GTTCAAGGTGAGCTGGATGGGCTCGAGGAGATGGGTGAGGACGAGGCATTGATCGATGCTGGAGGGTTTGGCGTGTTTTAAAGGCGTGTCAGGAAACATATATCTTGGTTGTGTTGGGCTATAACTCACTGGCATAATAACTTGTACGCCTATAGGTATTCATTTATATTTTCTACGTGCTTGCGAGCGCGTGCAATATCTCTCAGTCTCTGTGTAAGCAGATACTTTTATCTTTGTTGATCTTCTAAGTAGCCACACCGCTTACAATATGCATCTGAACTTTTACTCGTCCTTATTGCTGTGATAAACTTCTCAGAGGGCCTTATTACTCTCCACAAGCCACTGTAATGTCGGGCACAGTCTTATTTTCCCCAAACCACTCACCCACGTAGTGCACTTTTTGTGATGAATGCCTTGAGCTTCCTGATAGTGTCACGAGCCATTTCAGGGTCTCTGTGCATGCAGAATACGCCCCCGTGGCCATCGTCGTGGCACGCGAAGTCGCGCTCGGCGTGCAGGATGCTCATGCGGTGCACCGCGTCGCCTACGAGAAGGATCCAGGATCCGTCAGGGGACGTGCAAGCTAGGAGCGCGATATGGCCCCCGAGATGAACAGGCGCAGAGACAGGAACAACAACGGGACTCTGTGCCTGTGGGTCCTCTCCAGTCATGATACCCCTGGATCCCGAACCAAGAATGAATTCAGCCTCGGTGAACGGGCGGGCGTCTCCAACGCTAAGGACAGCTAGTACCTGTTATTTCGAATGCCAGAGGATAAAGGGCAAACTTACTGATCCCAGTGCAGGTGACTGATGACGATCACGTCCACCTCCTCTGGCTGCGCCCCTCCCTTCTTGAGCGAATCATGGATACACCCATCACTTTCGAAGGTGAACAGCCGAAGCGGGCTTACTTTGCCCTCATCTCCGAGATATATGTGGGCGAAGGTCTCGAACCCCGGCGGTGTCGAAAGGTCCTCGAGTCTGGGCATGCCGAGGTCGTACATGATATTCTTCCCACTTACAGAATGGCACAGGAGGAAACCGAGGGACGGCACCTCGAGACGCTCGCTCGAGGTCTTGGGGACGCCACTGAGGATCATCCAAGCGGGGCAAGCGAGGCGTCCGCCGTCGAGAGCTGAGACATCCAAGTACGCTTGGTTCGGAGCGGGAGCTGGGAGTACAAGTACAACAGGCGGCAAAGAGAAGATGGTTGGCTATACAATCGGAGCTGAAGGAGTCGGATAACTTGAGATTGAGGGAGGTGAGCTCAAAACACAGAAAAAACAGGGTCTAGAAGACGCAAGCTTTATGCCTTTGGTGGGATCGAACAGGGGTGCGCATGGTGGATTCGGTTCAGTGGCACGGTTGGTGTCACCAATCATGGTGTCTGACTGTAGCGGCCACCCCTCGATCGACACCGAGCGACACCGAGTCGGGGTGGTTAGTGCCTGTCAGTGCTTGCCGGCTCCGCTTCAAATGACGTCTGCGAACCGTTGCCCAGTTTTCATATCACGTAAGAAGGCCGCACAGGAGGTCACCGCGAGTCTCGGGAAACTGGCACGTCCCTGAATGCTCTATCAGCAAAAATCAGTCTGTTGACAGCCTGTAATGCACTGGCGCGTGAATCACCTGCTAGGTCGCGTAAGGTCGCGTTGCACAGAAGGCCCTACAACTACGAAGACAAGTCGGATCAGATGAGCCCATAGCATGGCCATGAGACGGTAGCGTTTCAGCAGAAAAGCTCGAGATATGATCCAGACGAACTAAGGCAAACGGAAGGTGCGAATTAAGAACTTGAAGTTGACTGACGCGTGCGCGTTGCGATAGATAGGGGATTTTTACGTCTCGACCGCCTCATGTTCGCGAACATGCGGCGACAATCGATGACGCGTCCTTTTTTGCATCTCTTTCCACAACTTTCACCGATTCGGCGTGTGGGCGGCATGCCCGTGCTGCTCGCTGACGAGCTCTTCAACCTGGTCTTTTTGGAATTAGACATAGTTTCGCTTGTAGCATGCAAACGTGTAAGTTCACCTCACTACCCCAGCCCTCTGTGCGCTCATCCACTGTGCCCTCAAGGTTTGCAAGCGTTTCCTACACCTCATAGAAGGCACCGAACGTGTCCAGTACCACTTCGAACTCCAAGCAGCATGCATGAAGGAGGGTCCTTCTCGCGCTGGCACTGATATACCTGAGCTGGATACTACGACTTGTTTCGGCATGCTCCAGGCGTATCGCAGAGCATGGGAAGCACTGTCTTGGACGGGACCATTCACCATTCCTATGTCGCCGTCATTGCCGGAGGCCAAGAATTTTCAACTTGTTGGCGACGTTCTCTGCGTTGCTGGACCCAAGTACCTGCAGTGTACTCGTCTACCATCGCCCATCAGAGGCATTGAGGAGCACCAGTGGAGATTTGCCCACCCGTGCAAAAATGAGACGAGGGATTTCGAATGCGAGTTTGCTATCGACCCGGCACAAGATCTGTTTGTTCTGGTTGAGGATGAGTACCGAGGGTGAGCCGTGGTTTTGAGCTTATACTGTTTGTCCTCATGTTTCTGCATACAGCCGGAGCTCGAAATTCAAGGTTCACTTGCTTACGCTGTCGGCAGGCATACCTCATCCCACCACACTCGCTCCTTCCGGCATCATTCCTTATTCCTATGACTACCCATCTGATTACATTTCCCGATGGCCGTTCGACATCCAGATTCACGGTTCATATCTGGGACTGTTTGTCCGCGAGTACTACCGGGAGGGGGTCAACAAGTTCCTGATAATTTGGGACTGGGTATCTAGTCAAGTAATATGTGTTCGTTGCACGAATTCTCGCATTACATCCGGAGTTATATAACTTACGTCCTCCCCTTCCCTCAGGAGATTTGTAACCATGACAACGGCGTTAATCCCGTGGAGTGCTTCGTGTTCCTCCCTGGAGACCTCGTTCTTCTCGGCCAATGCCTCGACTCGGGCCTGGAGGGCGATCCATGTAGGGTGCAATTACTTGTCTACGACCTCGCTGCGGCTGGATCCTTGGGTGCCCAGACTATCACGCATGTGCATGACATCCCATACGTCTCTGTGTTTGAGTTCCCTTCTTATGCGGGCCAGTTTCAAGGTATGAAAATCCAATCCACCGGAAGCCTAGGGAAGTCCCCTCGCACAAGCGCAGCGTACTGCTCTCCATTCGTACCCGATGCCGAATCGCAACAAATCTCATTCATCAAGGTTTTCGTGGAGGGACAGCCTCAAGAATCGTTCTTTCTTCCCTTCTCTGTTATATCACACCATGTCTCTTCCTATCGCGCTGAAGACCACCAAGGCATTCGCATCCCATGGGATGCATGGGGACCAGCCGCATCCTTGAAGCCTCGGCACGATGGACCGTCTGACATGTGGCGGCCTGAGGCAATGTGCCATCCACATTTGGACATTTTGTTCGACGACACACAGTGGGGCCCCGGACCACAGCCACATCATCTGCTCCTCAAGGACTTCAACGCTTATGCAGCTCGCCGGAACCCAGCCAACGACACGAACACCCCTAGTCAATGGCATTCGTTTTCAGAACAAGCGGCCGCTCTCAACGTCGAGGGAAGATGGGCCACACTCCCGCTGCCACAGCAAACGTTCAGCCCCACGGATGAGAAAACCCTTCTTGGCCAAGATTCTATTGTATTTGTGAAAGTGAGTTTTATGCGTTGCGGGTGACTATCACGACGTGACACGTTCCTTGTCGGTTGGCATAGAGCAATTCATATATTGGCCATCCGTATACATTTAGGCGTATGACGCTTGTAGATCCGGAGAATGTAGGCTGATTGCAGTCTTTGATCCTCGAGCAATGAGAATTGAATGAGAATAAAGCGCTAGAAGCGTCATGTACCAAGCAATAATAATACCATACAGAAAACTAAGAAACAAACAGCGCAGATGCGGTGATACCATTATTCCGTCTTCATCACAGAGTCAATCCGCGCAGCCTGGATGCGCTTCTTGAGGGATATCCAGATGGGGAACCCCCAGATGAGCGTAGAAACGACGTAGAGCGTCTAAGGATACAAAGCAACGCATGAGCACATCCGCAGGTATCAAGCGCTAAAAAAGAAAAGGGCGTACTGTAGGCACGAAACCCCTGACGCTCTTCCGACATAACGACAACGCGTACAGCGCCTCCAAGCCGTGCAAGAAAGCCGTGAAGCCAAGGACGGCCTTGTAACTGAGGGAGAACCCTATCGATTCTTGCAGCATGCGCGCGGGCATGAATGCGAGGTGCGTCCCATGGGGCGGACAGAGTATGTAGGCCAAGCCACTGATCGTTAGGGTGGTGCGCAGCATGCCGGCGAGGGGAGGTTTGAACGAGGTCAGAACGGGTGCTTTGATCTGCACAGTGGTAGAGGTGAAGGTGAGGTTCCTGGGATTGCAAATGCAACGCATTCAAGCAGCAGGAAGACGTACCATTCCGAGCGCTTCCTGTGCCTCCGCTGTCATGGCTATCAGCCGCGGCTTGACTTCCTCGTAGCCTAGGAGAGGTGGGTCAAATACGACACGGGTGGTTCCGCCTGTGCCATTCTGCAGCTCATAAGAGAGGGTCATGACCTGAAACGTGGTGTTACAATGACAAAGAAGAGCTGGAGAAAAGACGAGCGGCTGCGCACCTGCTGGTCAATGGACGTCATCTTCGCGCTCTTGACCTTTCCGGGGACCTTGCCATAGTGCTTGACGTAGGCGACGAGCGTGTCTGGGTGGTTGGACATGTACATACACAGGAAGCCAGACTTGGGCGCTACGGTATCGTTGGGGTTGGACATGGTGATGGGTGTTGTGCTCAGAAACGAGGGCAGCAAAGGGAGGTCGATGTATTTGAATGCGCTTATAATGAGTGTAGTCAGACTCGGGCTCGGTGAGGAGAGTATGTTCGGGCAATCTGCTCGGTGTCGGTGAAGGGAACGAGGCCGGAGAATGACGCGGTTGCACCGGCTATGTCGGCCCCGATGCTCCGTTCGTAGACATCCAACACGCGTCAGCGTGGCAGTGCTCTCCTTCTCAAACGACATCCTAACTCTCGGAAAAGGATACACAAGATACAAGATTTGGCATAGGACATAGGCGAAGTGTACCTACCTTTCTTGGCTTCCATCTCGCTTTCTCCTGTCGGCTGAATCCCTCCATCTGATGGCAACGCGCGAGGTACTTGTCATGATCGCTATTGCAGAGCTTTTTTTGAGCAATCGTGTTTCCCCTCAGTGTTGCTCCTTCGATCTCCGAGCACTCTCCTTCAAGCAAATTACGTAGATCACTAGCTGCCAGATGCTCTGATGCTCGTGTTGGGGATGCCACATCAAGATGTACGGACAACCGCCTTCCTTGCACTATTAATCCTGGCGAGGATCCACGATCGGTAACGTCATACTAGGACACCAAATACAGGTAAGTGCAGAAAGATCCAAGTTCGATGGCCATCTTACAGTCTTCCAGCAGCTTGGAAAGAAGTTCACAAGCAGGCGCACTTCTGTCCAAGCGTTTTCTCCGCTGGATCCTCAGCCACGACTTGCGCGAGGAAATAGGCTTACAGCATCATCCAGCCCCAGCGCTTACTATAGGGGCATCGTATATGAACATGTTCTGGGATTCGACGCTCCATGGATTTCGGTTCTCTTTTCGATTTCTCTTCCACGCCCAGTCTTCAAACCACCCCCACCACCAGTCCTTTTTTGAGCCCTACAAGCTCTCATCTCAGCCTTACTTCCCAGAGAAAAATGCTCCCTGCTTCGTCTGACAAACACTCGCATGGTGTTGGCCTCTCTGACTCTCGCGTCTCCAAGAAAAGTCGCGAGATGCTCGACCTTGTTAACCGCCTGCACGCTACAGGGTGTGTCTCTGAGTACCTTGGTCCTTAGCAACACAAGCTCACGCAAGTGATTTTTCAGCGTTCAGGCGGAAATGGATCTCCCTGTGATCGCCGTCGTCGGCTCACAGAGCGCGGGGAAGTCCTCGCTCATCGAGTCCATCTCGGGTATCAAGCTCCCTCGTGCGTCGGGCACATGCACTCGGTATGTTCTTCTATAACAACTTCATCAAGCCTCTATCTGTTCTGCCCGCTAAGCCCTTATCTTCTTGTACGACATGCAGGTGTCCCACCGAGTGCAAGCTCGCGCGCTCCGATAAGCCCTGGATGTGCACGGTGAAACTCCAGTTCACGACGGACGCCCAGGGCCGCCCGTGTAAAGTCCGAAACGTCCCTTTTGGCCCGCCGATCTCGGACAAGAATGAGGTCGAGGAGCGAATCAGGCGCGCGCAGCGTGCCATCCTCAATCCGTCCACAGACGCCAAGTTCTTCCTCGGCGACGGGGAGATGGGCGACGGGGAGGACGAGAGCGCAGTGTCGTTCTCGAAGAACACGATCTCGCTCGAGATCAGCGGAGAGGACGTTGCTGACCTGAGCTTCGTCGACTTGCCTGGGTTGATTGTATCGACCACGAACGGGGCGAGCGGGGATATCGAGCTCGTCAGGAGCTTGGTGTCTTCGTATATCAAGAAACCGAGTTGTGTTATCCTGTTGACCGTCACCTGCGAGAGTAAGCGACTTGTCGGTTGCCTTAATCTTCTTGACTGATGGCCCATTGATGTTCTGTAGCGGACTTCAACAACCAAGGCGCGCACGAGCTTATCAAGGAATTCGACCCAAAGGGCGAGCGCACCGTCGGTACGTCCTCCTATCGTCCAAATGCACACGTATTTGCTGAATCTCGCACCAGGGGTCTTGACCAAACCCGACCTCCTTCAACTTGGCGACGAGGATTTCTGGATTGACCTCATCCGCGGAAAAAACGTCCCCCTCTCCAACAAATGGTACTGCGTCAAGCAGCCCAGGCCCGACGAAGTCAAGAAGGGCATTACCTGGCACGACGCACGTGCCAACGAGGAGACATTCTTCGCAACGCGGGATCCGTGGGCATCGCTCCCGGACGAGTTCCAGCGCCAACTGCGCACCGCGAACCTGACGGACCGCCTGAGTGGGATTTTGTCCGACCTCATAGCGGCTAGGTGAGCACCATTTGTTGTAGCCCATTCAAACCTCCTTTTCTGAATGGCGTTATACCCACTATCCACCAGACTCCCGCGTATCGCCGACGAACTCTACGCGCTCCTTCAAAGCACCGAGACATTGCTCCGCGACCTTCCCCCACCTCCCTCGCAAGACCCCGTCGGCGAGGTGCTTCACGCGCTTACGCGCTTCGCGCGCGACCTCGGTCAGCGTTTGCAGGGGACCCCTGATGCAGACGGGATCCTGCAGCGGATGCAGGGGCCGCAGGAGGAGTTCAAGAGGGCTGTACGCGCGACGGCGCCGAATTTTCAGCCGAGCGAGAGGGAGCAGGCGTGCGACGGGGTTGGCGAGCCGGGGTTCCTTGTGTGTGAGGAGGGTGGTGCGGGAGACGACAGTGGGATGGAGGGGGCGGCGATTTATCTGGATGAGGTGCATGAGCGGGCGCAGAAGTAGGTCGCTTTTGCTGAGAACCGTATTGTCGCATTCAGGGCTGACTTTTGGTGACATGATAATAGGGCACGCACGCGCGAGCTTCCGGGAAACTACCCGTTCGTCGTGAAGCAGATGTACATCAAGCAGTTCCTCGAGAGGTGGAGCGTGCCCACGGCCATGCTCTTCGACGAGGTGTACGATATCCTCCGGGACGAGCTCGAGCGCGTCATCGACGCGCACTTTGCGCAGATGGGCCGCGGGGTCGCGAAGAACCACGTCTCGTGAGTGTTTTCCTCCGCAAGTGTTCCCCGCCCGCATCGCTAAAGCGTCCGCCGTACTAGGATGATCATGCTGGACCACATCGACCAGTGCAAGTCCCGCACGCGTACCATGCTCGACTGGCTGCTCTCCGTCGAACGCGTGCCCACGACGCTCAACACGCACTACTATATGGACTACAGGGACAAGTTCCTCGCGTTCTACCGCGGCTCGCGGGCGCAGAACAGCCGTAGCGACCTCGCGCGCGACTTGCAGAGCTACGCCCCGCCGGGCCCGGACGAGGATGCGAGCACGTTCCAGGACGCAGTCGGGCGCGTTGTGTCGGGTCTGAGCGAGATGGGCATCGCAGCGCGGGCGGAAGATATTCCGAAGATGCTGCCGCCTGATCCGATGGAGAGTGCCATCGAGATTATGGCGAGCGTCAGAGCGTACTTCCAGGGTGGGTAGCTGCTTTCTTCTTCTCCTCCTTGTTTTGGCGTGATGGTTGATTATTTTTGTGTCGTCATCTCATTAACAGTCGCGTATAAACGCTTTGCGGATATGGTCCCGATGGCGATTGACCACGAAATTGTGCTCGGCCTCGAGAAGGGAATGGAGCAGGCGCTCCGCGAGGGGCTGATGATCACGAGCGCAAACGCGAAGGAGTTCTGCGAGTCGCTTATAGAGGAGCCAGCGATCGTCAGAAACCGCCGGGCGGACTTGCAGAAGAAGCTTGAGAGGTTGCACGCGGCGAGTAGGGAGCTAAGGACGATGAAGATAACATAAGGGCTTCGAAAATCTGTCACAGCTCCCCGCCGAACCACGCTATTACTTTGTCTTGTTCTTCATCTTGGTATCAACAGTTATTTATATGTGTAGGCAGCAGAGTGGACAATGATAGCAATTGCGAACGCAGACACGCTGAGAGAACAAAGCAAAGAGCGAAAGCGAACCCCAAATCATCCGATCATGCCGTATCCTCTAGATCCATCGGCTCCTCGCCCAGCTCCTCCGGTACCCTCTCCCTCACCGTGTTTTCGCCAGTTCCCCCTTCTAAATCCATCCCTCCTCCCTGCCCCCGGAAGACCACATTCATGGGATTTGTAGTCCCACTCCCACCGCCAGGTATCCACAACTCGCGTTCCTCCATCACAGCCTCGACGTCATCCTCATTCCAATCGCTCGTCGTCTCCCACTCGTTCTCAAACTCGACGTCCAGCGGCAGCTCGCGTTCCTCGGCCTCCGTCAGCGGCAAGAACGCCGCGAGGCCGCTGGCTCCGCCCAGTGCCGCGGCGACAGGGTGCGCCACGGAGGAGGGGTTGGGGATGGACTGCACCCAGCGCCGCTCGCGCAGGCGTTTGTGCCGCTCGCGGTCTTCTTCTATGCGCTTGAAGACCTCGTTGCGCGGAAGGAGGGACTGTTGGTGAGAGGAGTGGGGCCGCGGGTGCGCGGTGGGTGCGTCGGATGCGGGAAGCGAGACGGATGTGGAGGCGGAGGCGAGGCGGGCGTCAAGCGAGGAGAGGGCGCGGTCGATTTTGTGCGGGTCGATGACCCGCTTTGAGCGCCAGTTGCCGAGGATCTGGTGGGGACGGTGGGGAAGGGCCGGTAAGTAAGCGTGGTCATGGAATGTTGGCTGGGAGGGAGAGTATGGGTTCACGTACCTGCTTTGTGCTCGACAAGTTGGGCAGCCCCTGCCTACCCTCTGGCACGACACACTGCACAATTTTCTCCAGGTCCCGCGACACGAAATCGACATAAAATGAGCCCAAGTCAGCACCTGCGCCCGAGCTTGAGCTTGAGGCTAAGAGTTGCTTGTTCAGTGACGAAGAGGGATCTGGCGGGGGTGGGCGATGTGCTTTGGCGAGAAGTGATGTTTCGCATAGCGAATCGAGGAAGTAGAGAATGTTTATTCGGTGGTTGATCGTGCCCTAAGGAAGGAGGCCGCATGTTATTCAAGCGCTTGAAGATCTGGTTGTGGAGGGGAACGCATGGAGTTGGGATGGAAACATACCTTCTGGCACTGTTCCACGATGCAGTCCCATAGGTCCTCGCCACACCTCGAGAAGTACTTGAGCGAATAGCTGACAACCTTCTGGATGGAATCTCTCGACCTAGCAGAAAATCAAGAAGATTGAATATATACTGATGAAAGAGGATAACTAGAGGAAACATACGCGCTCAGATTTCGCAAGAGGGAAATAAATTGCATGCGCACTTCAAAAGGATCCATGTTGTATCGCAAGCGAGGGAAGAGAACAGAGGTAGAACGCTGAAGCAGAGAGTGTTTATGCTACCAGCTAGACTTGCGCAGAACGTTCAGCCAAACTATATGCCTGTGCCTTGGATATTGTTTGAGCTGTGTGGTGGAGGGTGTGAGCAAAGGTTATTCAATTGATCTTAGGGGCGAAGGCAAGCGCGTGTGGTGCGATTGGGCCTGCCCTAAACCAGTTCCGCCTCTCCGGATTGCTCGGAAGTGCTCTTGCCCCCGAACCACCTCTGATGTCCACCTCGGCGCACTCGTATGCTGCGACAAGCCACTCCTTGTCTAACGTTTACTTTCCGAAAGACCTATGTTTGCGGTGATTCCTGTATTTCTGGGAAACTGACGCGTTCAGACGCGTAAGATGACTCTTGGATGAGACCTGGAAGCTCTGCCGAGATACGGCTTGTTCTCGATATGTATGCGTAGGGCATTACAGCTGCGGATGTTGTTGTTCTGTGCTGCCTTTTCTTGACATTCCTCGTTTTCACTAACCGCGATGGCCGGCCCCACCCTGTGTCTTGCAAGCCTACCTTGCAGGTTTGAAATCGGCCTGACGCCAGCCTCATAGACCCTCTACGGTGCTTCTACTACACTCCTTCGTTCGAAACGACATGCAGCCACTTCTAAAATTTCTCATCTCCTCCATGCTCATCGATAGCGCGTACTCAGTCTTCGATGCATGGTCGAATACCAACGTGAGCACCATATCCTGTCTTCTCAACGTCACCGTTGACGACGTCTTTAGCTCGCGGTGTGAGTTTCATGCCTGATTCTCAACGACTCGTTAGGTACTCATCCACAAACCCGGAAACAGCTATTGGGGCCAGGACTCATCGAATCATCAGAAGGACCTCCGATACTACTGCGAAGACGATACCATCGACATCATCCCCCTCGCGTTCTTATACGTGTTCTTTGGCGACGGTGGGTACCCCGTCATCGACTTCGCCAACGTAAGCCTTCATTCCACTGCGCCTCATTCTCCATTGCATGGATGCTGAAATGACCTGTGTGGACAGACATGCAACCAGCAGACAAATGCCACCTTTACAAACACGACGCTGGCTGATTGCTCTTTCATGGCGTCCGACATCCAGTACTGCCAGTCCCGCGGCAAAATCGTCACCCTCTCGCTCGGCGGTGGAACGGGTGTCGTCAGCTTCACGTCCGATGACCAGGCAAAGTCGTTCGCGGACCAGGTGTGGAAGATGTTCCTTGCGTACGAGTGGCAGAGTGGTGGGGTGCACAGGCCGTTTGGGTGGGCGGCTCTTGATGGGTGCGTCTGCGTCTCGTCGAGCACTCGAGTTGGAGCTGTGCGCATTTTCTGACGAGGTGACGCCAGTGTCGATCTTGACATCGAGAGCGGGACACCTGCTCACTACGCTGCGTTCGTGAACCAGATTCGGACCCACGAGCTCAAGGGGACGCGGAGGTACTTCGTATCTGCCGCACCACAGTGTCCATACCCAGACGAGAACATAGGATCTGCGCTCGATGAAGCCCCATTCGATGCTGTGTTCGTCCAGTTTTGTGCGCATATTTCTATCCCTACTTGTACGACTGTTTTCGAAACTGATCAATGTGGCCCAGACAACAACTACTGTGCCTTGTCGTCGCCTAATTCGTACAACTTCAACGTCTGGTAACATCTTCCCCTGTTTATCTTCACTCTCGCCAACCTACCAGTTTAGGGACGACTGGGCACGCAATACATCTTACAACCCTTCCATCAAGGTATACATCGGTGCGCCCGCATCCAACGACGCAGGCTGGGGTTACGTGAACACGAGCGCGCTCGAGGCCTACGTGCACGATGCACAAGAGAAGTACTCGTCCTTTGGCGGGGTGATGTTATGGGATGCTTCTGAAGCTCACGGTGTGCACTTTCATCTTCTTAAGTTGACACTGGGTTACTGATTTGACATGGGCAGACAACGACCGATATGACCTCTCTGCAAAGAAGGCACTCCAAGACGGGCCGCACGCGCACAGCGGCGATGATTTGGATCCGCCGGGCTCGCTGGCGTCTATTGTGTCTCTGCCTATGCCTACACCAGAGAATGCCCGCTCAACTTTGAGTCCAAGCGCATCTATCCCTCTTCCTTCTTCTCCACCGGGACGGTTTGCGTTTGAAGGTACCGTTGTGTAAAACACGTCTTGGTACTTTTACTTGTTAATCTCATGATATCACCTATAATCCATGTGCTGATGAGAGAATACACAGAACGTCTTGTTTTCCTCCTCTTATTCTGCTTTGCGAATGCGACGTCTGGCATATTATCTGTAAATCCAGCACCATCGTTGGATAGAGTAGGCGAACCGCGTATTAATATCCTCTGGCGCTAATAGGTCTTATGACCATCGTCCCTCAACGGCCCACCCAAGTCTGGTCAACTACTCTCACAGCTAACCTCTCCAGAAAACCATCTTTAGCGGAAACGGATCTTCTCCGCCCGCTTCTCCTCCTCGTCTCTCAGAGAAGTCTTAGCCCATGTCACCCTACACGCTCCTCGTCGGCTCGTGGGATGACGCCGTATTCACCCTCTCCTTCGACCCTTCCGCATCGCCTCCCTCCCTCAAGCTCGTCTCGGAGCTCAAAGTAGGTTACCACCCGTCATGGCTCGCCCAGCACCCGACGGACAGCTCGCTCGTCTTTACGGCCCAGCGGCTCTCTGACACGACGAGCGGCGAGATCGTCGCACTCAGATACACCGGCCCGGGCTCGGGCGTGAAGGAAATTGGGAGGTCGAAGAATGGGGGTGTGGACCCATGTCATTTGCTGGTCACCGAGGACGAAGTTGTCACAGCCAATGTCGGTGCTAGATTACCTTGTGTTTCTCCGAGTGATTCGCTGATTGCGTCCTTGTGTGTTAGTACAAAGAAGGCGGCGTTGCGGTGACGCCCATATCTACGTCGAGGCCCTACCTCTTTCCAGACGGCGCATACCAGTTGGATATGCCTTTTTATGCGCCGGGTCCGAACAGGATTCGTCAGGCGGGGTCGCATGCGCATCAGATTGTTCCTTCGTCTGATAGAGCTGAGCTGCTGGTACCTGATCTCGGGGCAGACAGGACGTGGCGACTTGGGAAGAAAGATGGACGTTGGGCAGTCCTCGAGGAGAGCATAAAATACGAGCCTGGCTCAGGTCCTCGGCATGTCGTACTTTTAGGTGCGCTTTGTTCATCATAAAGCTTCATCCCTGAATCCATCGCTGACCAGCACTTTCGGCTCGGATCAGACGGTAAACTATACACCCTCTTGGAGATCACCTCCCGCCTCGCAACGCACGCGTTTCCATCCGGCACCTCGCTCTCAAAGTCCATCTCCACGCTCACATCTCCGCCACCAGCCTCGTCGGGAGCGGTGATGGTCGCAGCGGAGCTGCTCGCACCGCTGCTGAACAGCACGTTCCCGACGCAACACCTGTATGTGTCGAACAGAGACGACCCCTCGCCGGAAGGCGACACCATTGCTATCTTCGCGCTTGACGCCGAGCACGATGGCGTGCCTGTGCTCGTGAACGAGGTGCGCACGGGTCTGCGACACGCACGAGGGATGGTGTTCGGCGGGCCCGACGACCTGTATCTGGCCGTTGGCGGGAAGGACGGCGGAGGAGTGAAGATCTTCGAGCGAGTGGATGGTGGGACGAGGTTGAAGGAGCTCGCGCAGATTGAGGAAGGTATCAGAAGTCCGACGCATTTCTTATGGATGTGAGCCAGGGATTCCGTAGAGATTGGTCCGAGAATGGGAGCTGGATATGAGGTAGTTTAGTTACACGGGTTTTGCATTCCGCTGTGTATCAAAATATGCTTAATGGACTGTTTCGTCGAAGTTGCATTATCTTGCTATCATCATGAGCGACCTGTACGTGGTTACGAAACACTTCACGCGATCGCCCTTGGGCGGCTTCACCTTCCTGCTCGAAAAAGCTTAGTTGACAGACGCCGGGACACTTTGAACACTTTGAGCTTTGAGGTATTATTACATCCTAGATCATGTGGTCGGCCCCGAGCTTTCTACATGGTCCTCTATCATTTCAATATACGATCCGATATGATAGAATTATCACCAAGTAAAAAGTTATATGCATTGGACTACGCGAGCCAGTAGGTATGTCCCGCTAAGGCTTTACTATTCCGGTGAGGCTTAGGCAGTGCTGACAGGGTATCGGAGACGCCCCCCTGAACGTCAACACTCTGACATACAGCCTATGGGTTAAGGCGCTACCCGAAGCACCTAATTCTCTTCCACATTCTCCGGATCTACAAGCGTCATACGCATAAATGTAAGCGGACTGCCTATCCGTGGATTACCCTGTGCCGACCGAGTAAGAACGCGCCACGCCATGATAGCCGCGCACAACACACAACACTCACCACCGCAAAAACAATAGAATCTTGGCCAAGAAGGATTTCCCCATCCATGTAGTCGATCATTGGCTGTGGCAGCAGGAGTGTGGCCCATCTTCCCTCGACATTGATAAGGACCGTTTGTTCTGAAAACGAATGCCATTGACTAGGGATGTCCGTGTGGTTGGCTCGGTTCCGGCGAGCTGCATAAGTGTTGAAGTCCTTGAGGAGTAGATGCTGTGGCCGCGGGTGGGGAGGTCCCCTCTGTGTGTCGTCAAACAAAATGACCAAATGTGGGCAGCACATTGCCTCAGACCGCCACATGGCAAAAGGTCCATCGTGCCGTAGCTTCAAGGATGCGGCTGGTCCCCATGCATCCCATGGGATGCGAATACCTTGTCGGCCTTCAGTGCGATAGGAAGAGATATGGTGTGATATAATAGAGAAGGGAAGAAAAAGTGACTCTTGAGGCTCTCCCTCCACGAAAACCTGGATGAGTGAGACTTGTTGCGATTCGGTGTCGGGTATGAACGGAGAGCAGTACCATGTGCTTGCGCGAGGGGACTGCCCAAGGCTGCTAGTGGATTGGATATCCATACCTTGAAACTGGCCCGTATAAGAAGGGAACTCAAACACGCAGAGATATGGGATGTCATCCACTTGCGTGATGGTCTGGCCACCCAAGGATCTAGCCGCAGCGAGATCATGGACAAGTGATTTCACCCTACATGGACTATCCTCCAGGCCCGAGTCGAGGCGCAAGCCAAGAAGAACGAGGTCTTTGGGGAGGAACGTGAAAGATTGCACGGTGTTGAAGCCGTTGTCATCATCCCGTATCTCCTGAAAGAAGGGACGGGCATAAGTTATAGGACTCCGCTTTCGATAAGGGAATCGGCACAGCGCACACATATTACTTGACCAGATACCCAGTCCCAAATTATCAAATGGTTGTTGACCCCCCCGTAGTGTTCATCGGCAAGCAGCCCCAGATATGATCCGTGAATCTGAACATCGAACCGCCATCGGAAAATGTAACTATAGCCATAGTCGTAGGTGTAGGAAATGGTGCCGGAAGGAGCCGATGTGGGGTGAGGTACGCCAGCCGATAGCGTAAGCAGGTGGACCTTAAAACTCGCGCCCCGGCTGTGTGTAGAAGAGGATCGACAAAGTATTACACACTCAAAACAACGGCTCACCCCTGGTCCTCAGCTAGAGCAAGCAGGTCTTGTGCTGGGTCAATAGCTAGCCCGTACTCAGAACTCCGTGGCTTATCTTCGCACGGATGGTCGATCCTCCACTGGCGCTCCTCAATGCCTCTGATGGGCGATGGCAGACGAGTACACTGCAGATACTTGGATCCAGCAGCGCATAGAACGTCTCCGACCAGTACATACTTCTCAGCATGCGGAGGTAACGGTGACAGAGGGATGGTAAAAGGTCCTGTCCAAGAAAGCGCTTCCCATGCTCTGCGATACACCTTCAGCATGCCGAAACGAGTTGCGGTATCCAGCTCCGGTAGATCAGTGCCAGAGCGAGAAGGACCATCCTTCATGCATGCTGCTTGGAGTTCGAAGTGGTACTGGACACGTTCTGTGCTTTCGATGAGGTGTAGGAAACGCTTGCAAACCTTGAGAGCACAGTGGATGAGCGCACAGAGGGCCGGGGTAGTGGGGTGAACTTACACGTTTGCATGCTACAAGCGAAACTATGTCTAATTCCAAAAAGACCAAGTTGAAGAGCTCGTCAGCGAGCGGCACGGGCATTTCGCTCATATGCCGACTCGGTGAAGGTTGTGGAAAGAGATGCAAAGAAGGACGCGTTGATTGTCGCCGCGTGTTCGCGAACATGAGGCGCGGTTGAGACGTAAAAAGCCCCTATCTATCGCAACGCGCACGCGTCAGTCAACTTCAAGTTCTTAATTTGCACCTTCCGTTTGCCTAAGTTCGTCTGGATCATATCTCGGGCTTTTCTGCTGAAACGCTACCGTCTTATGGCCATGCTATGGGCTCATCTGATCCGACTTGTCTTCGTAGTTGTAGGGCCTTCTGTGCAACGCGACCTTACGCGACCTAGCAGGTGATTCACGCGCTGGTGCATTACAGGCTGTCAGCAGGCTGATTTTTGCTGATAGAGCATTCGGGGACGTGCTAGTTGCCCGGGGCTCGCGGTGACCGGTGACCCTCGATGACCGCCTCTGAGGCCTTCTTACGTGATATAAAAACTGGGCAACGGTATTTCTGAAGGTTCACAGACGTCATTTGAAGCGGAGTCGGCAAGCACTGACAGGCACTGACCAGGTACCCCGGCTCGGTGTCGCTCGGTGTCGATCGAGGGGTGGCAGCTACAGTCAGACACCATGGTTGGTGACACCAACCGTGCCACTGAACCGAATCCACCATGCGTACCCCTGTTCGATCCCACCAAAGGCATAAAGCTTGCGTCTTCTAGACCCTGTTTTTTTCTGCGGTTTGAGCTCACCTCCCTCAATCTCAAGTTATCCGCCTCCCTCAGCTCCGATCCAAAACATGTCATGGACGCCTGTTGCACTCCCAGCTCCTGCTCCGAACCAAGCGTACTTGGATGTCTCAGCTCTCGACGGTGGACGTCTCGCTTGCCCCGCTTGGATGATCCTCAGCGGCGTCCCCATGACCTCGAGCGAGCGTCTCGAGGTGCCGTCCCTCGGTTTCCTCCTGTCCCATTCTGCATCTGGGAAGAAGGTCGTGTACGCCCTCGGCATGCCCAGACTCGAGGACCTCTCCACACTGCCAGGGTTCGAGACCTTCGCCCACATATATCTCGGAGACGAGGGCAAAGTAAGCCCGCTTCGGCTGTTCACCTTCGAAAGTGATGGGTGTGTCCATGATTCGCTCAAGAAGGGAGGAGTGCAGCCAGAGGAGGTGGACGTGGTCGTCATCAGTCACCTGCACTGGGATCAGTAAGTTTGCCTTTTCTCCTCTGGCATTCGCAGTAACAGGTACTGGCTATCCTTAGCGTTGGAGACGCCCGCCCGTTCACCGAGGCTGAGTTCATTCTTGGTTCGGGAGCCAAGGGTATCACGAATGGAGAGGACCCACAGACACAGAGTCCCGTTGTTATTCATGTCTCTGCGCCTGCCAAGCGGACGCGCTTCATTGAGAATTGGGAAACCTCCATCGGCGGCTTAAAGGCGCACGACTTCTTCGGGGACGGGAGCGTGCACGTCCTCGATACCACAGGTGCGCTTAGTTCGCTGCATCTCATTTGACTCGCTCAAATGGTGGCTCACTGGTCGAAAATCTTGTGACGCAGGTCATCTTGGGGGCCATATCGCGTTCCTAGCTCGCACATCTCTTGACGGATCCTGGATCCTTCTCGTAGGCGACACCGTGCACCACATGAGCATCCTGCACGGCGAGTGCGACTTCGCGTGCCATGATAATGGCCACGGGGGCGTATTATGCATGCACAGAGACCCTGAGATGGCTCGTGACACTATCAGGAAGCTCAAGGCATTAGTGGATATGCCAAGGGCCCAACTGCAGATCGCGAACGTCAACGCTGATGAGGGATTTTACCTCCCTGTAAAATTTGCTCCCGTTACGTAGGTTACTAGGCCGACATGATTCAAGTTCACAAAGCTGTTTTATCGCCTATGGAACCTGTTAATAAACTTCTGGCTGTCCTTTTTGGCTGTTCCCCCTCCGGGAGACAGGTGCGTTGGCAGGCATTGTGACATGGCCCCTCTTCTGGCACAGCCTCGGACACATTGTATTGGCCCACACGAAATCTTGTGTACATAACAGATTCAGGACCACAGCACAGAGATAGCACAGGCGCGCATACCGCAAGACGAGTCCATGGAGCACTGCCTACCCACAGATTCACTTGCATAGGAAAGGTCCAACGCATGGGAATCCATGGGGTCACAATTTGCGTTGGGATCAGTCAAGCCTTTCTGCGTGTCTTGTTCACAACCGTGTAACCATAGGGTTAGTTTTTATTCATTGTCTCAATCTCAGCGACTTTTAAAAGCGGTTATTGTTCGTTTGTGACGGCAACCCCAATCACGCGTGCACATATCGTGTTTGTTGCATTTTGTTTCGTGTGGTCAATGCTTGGCCACAAGCGCTGGACAAACCCTTGATTTTCAATATTGGAGACGATGCAAAGGCAAAGCTAGGCTACCCTCATTGCCTCCATGCGAATGTGGGCTTCTGCAACCGTCCGTTTGATCGATGTGATGCAGAAGGGCATTGTCCAACATTTTCGTGACATAGTGTGGGACAAGAGTCAGAGGAAAATGCCAGGAAATGCCACACGTCACAATACGAATCATAGGTACTAATGATTCGATAGATAGATATATCATCCGCATATGAGAACTACAGAGATTTATAATCACAATCCTCAGCATCATCTTTGGGTATCGTTAATAGTCAGAAGTGCTCAATAACGTCGAATCAAGAGTCATCTTCTGGTGTCATTCTCTTTTCTTATCTCACAATTGTCTAGTGACCGTGCAGGGCATTGTAGTAGTCCGATCATGCATCGCCAATGCGTATGATCACCTCCGTGGAAATATAACCCGATGGCCGTGGAGTGGGCTGCAAAAATACAGCGCCTTCGTGCTCTAATGCGATACGTGACCCTACTTAACTGTCGCAAACTTAAATTGATTTGCAGAGCTAACTTGATTCTGGTCTCAAAAAAATGTACCCTTACAGCCTCTTGGCCATACTCGGAAGGCATCTTATCATCCATCTTCATGTATCCTAGTAGTGCCTTCCTCGAGCAATATGATGTATTCTCAGTGATGCCATGTTGGGTGCACCGCCAGGGCCTTGTTCGGGTTATGTACATATATAAAGCGTGTAATCTTGGCGTGCGTGTACAGTATCCTTTGCGGAATATCCTCACAGCCTACACATCAGAGCTCATGCCAGTCATTTACAACTCTCCAGAATGGATACCTGTTGCCCTGCATAACGAGACTATTCGCTACATATCGGGTACGTGAAAAACGTCATACTTGCGTGTGGTGACACATGACGGGGGAATATACTGATTCACCATCATCATTTGGAATTGTTCTAGTGTCAGGGCCCGCTTTGGTAGTCTATCACCGGAATTTCGACGTTAAAATCAGCCGCTAGTACGTTGATGCGTACACAAATCGATATCCATCCACAAGTTGGTATTCATATACACGCATGTATGTGTACCCAGCTATCTATATATTCAGGTATACAACCATATGTAAATGCCTGATGAGCGTCCTCTCGTTGTTTGAGTCCTTTTCCACTTTCAGAGTGAAGAAAACAAGGTGTTTCCAGACTATTTTGACAGAAAAAAGAGACTCCCGATTGTATTGAACCATCGACCTCGCAAAGTATCAATGGAATTCGAGCTGGCAACATAACCACTGCACCACGGTATTGGTGGAGAATACCTTACTTGATGGTATATGATTATTAGGAAAGGACTTAGTACAAATTTCACGAAGTGACTGAAGGGATGTATGGCAAAGTCGGCCAGAAGTCCAACGCTGAGCGGTTATATACAATTTTAGCCGCCTAATCTTCACAGCCATTTGGTGTACTATGTAAAGCATTGCTAATGGTAATTGAGTAGGAAACTCGCCTATGAGGCCACGAGTTCGACCCCAAGCTTGATTTTTGTTTTAGCAGTCCTTGGATCGCTCTCACAATACATATTCCATTGCGATGCAGCTAACGTATGCAGCGGCTAGTAGGTTGATCTTTTGCAGACTATCCATAACGTACTAGCCGGTGGTCCGTGTATATATATACACATTTTTTTCAGCTTGTACGTTGATTTTTTAACATAAAAATCAACGTAGTCGTGGCTGATTTTAATGTCGAAAGTCCGGTGCTATGACTATAGTAAGGCTTCATTAGGCTTCATCTCTTCTCAATTTGCTTGACTCATGTGATTAATTCTAGTTATCCACTTGGGTCAAGAGGTATGGTTGTTATAGAAAAAAAAACAGTCACTGCTCACAATCGTATTAATGGTGGACCTCAGATTGACTTGATTTGGGTAAGCACGTTTGCCTACTCTTTCAGCCAAGTTGACTAAGGGCATCGCATCCCGAATTTTGTCACATTCTTCTCAGAAATCCAAATGGTCATGGATGACTTGCAGCTACGTTTATGTAGGTCAATACCCGGTCACATATTGTCTCTCATTGTGTTTTTTTTGCGGCATAGCTTCGCTATGGGGGGTTATTGTTTGCTTTGTATGTTATCACATTGAGTTGCATATAATTGGCATATAATCGAACAACTGAGCTGAAACTTCCTATCTTCCAGGGGTAGCCTCTGTGAGTTACGATGCTGTCAATATTCTGGAATGTACTGACGAATTGACTCTAGCTATAAATATGCCATTTCTTATGCCCGACGATGTAAGCAGCAGACTCCGCATCAAGTCTATATATATGATCGCCTTATAATAATTAACGATCATTACTGATGCTCTTTTTAAATACAGCCGTAAGTTTATGAAAGGTCCCTTTGTTATAAAGCGGAACTCAACTAGGGGCTAACACCTCGTGCTCTCCATAAGCTGTAAGTGATAATTCTGTACCAATGATTCTCTAAGGTAGATTGAACATTCGTGTGAAGGTACGATATTGAATCTGCTACTCTACGTAGCTCTCCAAATCAGTCTAGTAGTTGTCCTCCAGGGTGCGTTAATACCTGTTTGGCTCCTTATAATGTCCGCCATGGCTAGCTGATTGTGATTCTAGGAGTAATGACGGCGCGTGTTTGTGCGCTGTACGAAAATTCTACAAGAGTTGTTATATTTCTTTCCGCAAGCTTTACCTTGGTCCAAGGGGCGACCATTGCATTGAATGTACTGGACTACGTAGGACAACATGGTTACACTTGTGGGTGCCATGATCAATACTCTATGCTCCCGTTTCACACATCAAACGTTCAGTCGAAGAGGCCATCGTGTTAGGAACTCCAGGCTGTTTCACATTTGCACCAATATCACCTTACTCGTGGCCAGATCCGCTCAATGTTGCACTCTCCTTGGCGTATGAAGTCACCTTGATTGTGATGGTCATTTACCGTTCCTATTGGCAACTAAGAGACCATCAAAAGCATAGTGCTCTATTGGGTGTCAAGTCTATAACAAGTTTAATCTCTAGGCATGGGTTGCTATATTTTCTTTTGTGAGTTTATGTACATTAATCTCTCTGTTCTTATCTGACGGCTTATGCAGCATGATCTTATACGGCATTTCGGACACCATCAATGTGGCACGCCTGAATAGTTCCCCTTTGGTGAGAGAAATTATGTTCTTCTTAATACCGAATAGCCTTCTATTGATTCAGTCACACTAACGCTTATTTTGTGTTTATTCTGAAGGGTGGTTTAATTGTTCAGGGATTATCTTCGACTACGGAGAGTATGGTTACCAGTATGTTGGGGCCATGGTTCATCATTTCTATACGCGAGCCAGATGTTATAAGGCAAGGGTCGGATTCTGGTCTCTCTAGAGATGCAATGAGCTCTGTTGCCTTCAGAAGGTCATCTGACACACCGGGGTATGAAGGAGCTGGAATTCAAGAGATGCACGAGTAATTCTGTCGACGTTCTGATAAAAAAAATAGATTAAATTAAATACGATGCTATCGCCATAAGCTTTGAGTGTTCTAAACGCGGTAATATATCATAGAGCCTCCAATCAGTCGTATAAGTAGTCACCATGGGACTGATTTTGCGCTGTAAGGTTAGCACTGTAGCCTCAATATATATGGGAGATCACGACAAGCAACGCGTCTCTATTCAAGCATTCCCGTGGTTACTCTGTCATAAATGGAGCAAAGCACAGCCAGTAAGGCACATGCGTATCTGGCGCAAAGCAGCTGCATCGCTTCTTGTTGGTATGTCCTGCATCTGGCGTTAGGATCACAGAATCTGAGAAAACCCACCAAAAGACCACACGGCTCGTATCGCTGTCCCGTTGCAGCGTCTACTGAGAGTCTGCTCAAGCGTAAAATTGGCGAGCTTCTGCCTAACTCATGGTTGACAGTGGATATAATAGCAGCTATCTCAAATCGACCCGCAAGAAACATGTTTCTGGCGGAAAGAGACACGACGGAACATATCGACCTCTACCGCAACGTCTGTGTTACAAGAGGAAGAGCGTGGGAGCCGAAACACGTCATAAACCCCTATCTTGACACAACGCTTCGGACAAACATCGGAGTGGATATGAACCTCGGTCGCCCATCGGTGCTCTGCCGGCAAGAGACTCAGATAGTAACTCTGGGGCGCGCAGAGATAGGCTCATCTATAACGATCCTCTGCTTTTCTCATCGCCCACCCCAGGAATTGACCGGGGGCGCTTCTTGGCTTCTATCATCCGCACTATCATACGACGACTTTAACACCGTTGAGGTTCCAACGCCATGGCACCATACACAATCCTCGTCGGCTCGTACGCCGAGTCGCTCTACGTTCTCGAGTTCGACCCGTCTGCGAAGACGCTCAAGCTCAACCAATCGCTCAAAGTCGGCTACCACCCCTCATGGATCACCGTGCACCCCACGGACAAGTCGCTCATCTACACCGCGCTCGAGCAGAAGGACGGGGAGGTCATCGTGCTCAAGTACGCGGAAGGCACGTTGACGGAGCTGCAGCGGGCTCCCAGTGGTGGAAGGGACCCGTGCACTGTGTTGGCGAGCGAGGGAGAGCTTATCGTTGGCAATGTACGTGCTCACATCTACGTTCAGTTCGCAGCCGATGCACCGGCCTACTTTACTCATAGTGACGCTAATTGCGTATCATGACCTAGTACACGGAGGGCAATGTCTCCTTCACACCCCTCTCAACCTCTGAGCCCTACCTTTCGCCCGAGAAGATGTACACTGTGGTGATGCCGCACGTTGAACAACCTGGCCTGGTCGCAGATCGCCAGGAGTCGTCACACCCGCACCAAGTCGTCTTCACATCCGACGAGAGCGAGATCCTCGTCCCTGATCTTGGGGCCGACAAGACATACCGCTTGAGGCGGGGTGAGGATGGTCAGTGGGCGCTTTCCGACGAGAGTTTCTCGTACGAGGCGGGCTCCGGGCCTCGCCATCTCGTCCTCTCAGGTTCGTTTCTCGCCCTGCCAAACACTCATCTCGCTACCTCGCTAATCTCACACCCTACCTCGTAAATCCCCCAGGCACCGAGCTCTTCACCCTCCTCGAGCTCTCCTCCCACCTCTCCGCCATCGACTTCCCCACCGGCACCCTCATCGGCGTCGCATCCACCCTCGACCCCCCGCCCGCGCGCGACGCCCTCCTCGCCGGGCCCGCAGGCCCGCGCCTCGCCGCCGAGCTGCTCATCGCGAACCAGCTCGGCGGGCAATGGAAGTACCTGTACGCGTCGAACCGGAACGACCCCGCGCCCGCGGGCGACACCGTCGCGATCTTCTCGCTCGCCGAGCGCGGCGCGCCCATTCTCGCGAGCGAGGTGCGCACGGGGCAGAAGCACGTGCGCGGGATGATGTTTGGGGGCCCCGACGACCGGTACTTGGTGACGGGCGGGAAGGACGGGGGCGGGGTGAAGGTCTGGGAGCGGGTGAGTGGCGGGCGGGGGTTGAGGGAGCTGGCGAGTGTTGATGTGGAGAGTCCGACGAGTTTTTTGTGGATGTAAGCGTACCATGGACTAGTGAGGCGATTTGTATGATTAGCGAATTTATGGACTAGCATTGAGGATGCATGGACTGAGTGTTGTTTCGGTTCAAGCTTGCATTATGCTTTTGGGGCGGCACCAGGCGTCATGCATTTCGTCGAGGTCATATAACATAAAGTCATAACAAGACTATAGACATTAACCCAAGAAATGGGGCGGATGGAAGGTCCGTCAGCAATGCAAGAAGGAGACAATTAAACGTGTATGAAAAGTTCAGGGTTATGCAAGAACCAAGAAGTCAAGAAATCAAGAAATTCAACAAGAAATATATCTTCAAGAAAGCGCGTTCTCAAGAATAAGTTCTACACCACATGAAACACCACCAAATCCGTGTATGCGTCGTCCACGTCCAAGCCCGAGCTCATGCAGCGGCCACTCGAGTCTTCTTCAAGTCTTCGGAGTTCATGCAGAGAACTGCTGACGGTGCTTCTCCGAAACCATCGGCGTAACCTGCTCACAAAAAAACAAACCATAAGCATCCCATCCCCCGCTCGTCGCCACATCACCAAAACACAAAACGGGGCTGACATGATGATGATGTCTCCTCTGCTCCATCGAGCCATAGCTAACCAAAGGAGCACTAGCGCTCACCTCGTCGCCGTGCAGACGGACGGCGCCCTGTCCCTGCCCCTGCCCCTGTTGGTGCTGGTGCGCCTGGGTGGCGCGGCGCGCGCGGAAGAAGCGGCCGAACATGACGAGCCCGGCGAAGCACACGAGCGCGAAGAGCCCGCTCAGCGCGGTGCGCGATGTGCTAGCCGGTGCGCCCCCCGCGGCGGGGAACGCGGTGTCGAGGAGCTCGGAGGAGAAGCGCGAGGCGCCGCACGCGGAGGCCCACTGTTTGTTGCTCGAGATGGCGTAGTTCTGCAGAGGCGGGCGGTGGGTCAGTGAGGATACTTGATATCGGGAAGGAGGAAGTGAAGGGGAGCAGAAAGGAGTTACGCACCTCGATGCGGTAGATGAACTCGGTGAGCGGGATGTCGGCCTTGTGCCCGAGAACGTGGTAGGGCTCGAAGTCGCCGGACGAGCCGTTCTTGAACTGGAAGCGGAGGAAATCGCGCGTGTCGGGCGCGGGGCCGCGGCGGAGCTCGATGGCGAGCGCGGAGGCGGGGTTGGCTGCATTCGTGACTTTGGTTAAGAGACGGAGAGAGGGAGAGATACCGAGGAAAAGACGCACGGATGCTAGCGAGGAGCGGGTCCTCTCTGTTCATCTCGGTCAGGTGGAAGAGCGAGATGAGCGGCTGGTAGGACGTCTCGATGAGGAAGAACTTGAGCGGGTCGTCGTTGAATGCGATGCGCTCGAGCGCGGAGATGAGCGACGAGAGGATGGCGCGGCCAGCGACTAGTGTCAACCAACCAGCAGTCAGTTCACGCTGTAATTCGCACGCGAGGATGAAGGGCGGGAGGACTACGCACTGTTGCCGATTCCTCCGGGGTCCTTGTCAGAGAAGACGGCGTTTTCGTGGAAGTTGGCCCAGCCGCGGGCCTGCTCGATGAGCGTGGGCGGGAGGCGGTACGCGTATGTCTTGTTGTAGGTGAGCTCAGTGTTCATGTAGTCGAAGAGCTATACAAGGAAGGTGGTCAGTCATTCCAGGCTCAGAAAACAGCTGTAAGAGTCGCCTTACGTTCCACTATAAATCAGATCCATCACCGGGAATGCTAGTCAGAAAGAAGGGAGGAGAAGCGCGAGAGCACGAATACGCACGGCATTCTCGAGGGCGGTAACACGACCGAAGACGTAGTCCTTGACGAAGCCGAAAAAGCCCTTAGCGTTGCCAGCAGCCTCCTTGAACTCGCCCGAGCCATACACCTTCGCAACATGCTTCTCAAAGTTCTACAAACCACCGTCAGCCAGCCACCCTTTCCACCACCCCCTGCCCACACCCATTCTGGCACTCACAGGACAGTCCAACCACGGCTCGAGACTCTTATCGCTCTCCGGCTGAATCGTCTCCACCGGCACATACTGGTACCCGCCGAGCGGCGACGTCACCACCGTCTCGTTCGCGAGCTCGATCGTGTTGCGCGTGTTCGGCGGGAACAGGCCCTGCAGCACCGCCGTCGCGCTGTCGAACACGACCGCGCCCTCGCCGCCGCCCTTGACGTGCACGTGCACCTCGTGCGTGTCCATGACGTCCGTGCTCATTCCGGCGACGTACGAGGGCGACGAGGGCGTGAAGTATTCCTGGCGCAGGGCCGCGCCGAGGTTGTAGGACTCGGCCTGGGGTGGGACGTGAGCGGGGTGAGAAGGTGGGGGTGGGGTGGGGAGTGTGGGGATGCGGGAATGCGAGGGGTGAGATGGAAGGGAGACGTACCACACCGAGGGGCGTCGAGATCGTGAAGGCGGGCTGGTAGGTGTACGGGTCCTGGTAGAACTCCGTGCGAGCGCCGTTGGTCGCGATGACGAGGACACCGAGTACATCAGTCATGTCTTTAATCGTCAAGTGTGTTGAAACTTGTTGATGATGGAGGTGTTGGTTCAGAGACGAGTAGGAAGATGCTTCCCTAGAAGTGTTCTGGTCCCGACCTGGGAGTCGGCTGTACGCATTATATACTCACATGCAAAGTATACAACGAGCCAACCAGGTTGGCCGTTCAAGCTAGGCGGAGGCATGCCGGGCACATGTTTTCCCCGATGCACGACCTCGTTGGAGAGAGCGGGAGACAGGTCAACAGACATGAAGGGCGAGAAATGGACGAGAAGACATCGACTGGGGCCTGTCCCTCGCACGTTGGCACTGTCAGTATCACATTAGCTGGAGATGAGTGGTCCCCATGCGGAGCGCCATCGTGCTGGAAGGTGCTGCCAAAGTTCTTTGTGTCAGGTTTTTGCTTGGCTTTCGGTCCTGCTTGAGCATGGGACGATGTTCGAAGCTTAAGCTGGGTCGTCAAGTGACACAACGCGGTGTTTTACGGATATAGAGAGTGAGACGGTGCGACGAAACAAGAGGCCTTAGAAGAGAGTCGGTCCGGAGAAAGTGATCTCCCCAAGGCTGTTCAGGCGTCAGTTTGACGTTAATGAATTGGACGGAGAGCGTAAAGAAGGCCGCGCCGTTTTCATACAATGCCATTGTGACTATTAAACTTGTTCTTGTCTTCGCCTTCTTTACGTTCGTTCGCCGACGGATATGTGAGACGAAGACTCCAAACCAAAGAATACAACGGAGCAAACCAAGCGAGTAAGACTTTGCGGCGGACTGCATTCGCTGCACAGAGACGCAAGACTGGGTTGCCGAGGACGTTTCAGGGGGAAAAGGCATGTGAAAAGTCTATCAATCGCAAGACTACCACGACGAGGCCACGAGGAAAACGTTCGCTCCAGTAGGACTAGAATGACGGTCTGGATGATGGCCGTCCTGACCCAGAGCATGTTTGACAGACCCCGGACTTTACGGCACCCAGACCACGCTGCTTTCTGAGCTTTTACATCAAGGCCAGTGTTTCCATGTAGCGTGAGGTAGGTGTGCTAGCTCTTGAACTTCTGAGGAGGATGGAAGTTGAAAGGAAAAGAGCGCACATGGCCCACGCAAAACAGGCACTTCCTTATTCGTACAGGCCCCTGACAGGTCATTAAAAGAAGGAGACCAGTATGTGTGTCGCCCATCGTACGTCTCCTGGGCCCACCGGTCACGACGAGCAGCGAACGGCCGACTATGGCGTTGCTGCTGGATCCGTAGGTGTGCACCACACGTGTCTGATGTTACCCATGAGCTGCCAACTTAGAACTCTGATGCTTGCACCACTTGGGTTCTGCATCACGTACGGACTCCATGAGGCCATAACCCGCCGAGGTTCGCGAAGCCCCTTGATATCCGTCGACTGCGCACTTCCCTGGCCATTACCGTATCATGGCCCGCGGACATCACTCCAACGGGTGCGGGAGAAACGATGGAGCGTGCTAGAGAAGGTTGTCTTGGGAAACGGCAATGGAGGGGCAGGTAATATCCCGTGTTGACAAACGCGTCAACCTATGCTGCAATTCGACAACCTCATTTAGCAGCCCGGAAGGCTACTGGTGGGTAGCTCCAGATCGTTATGCAGAAAGCGCAGAGCGTTAGCCTCATCATCTAAGTATTCGGATCAGAGACGACGGTCGCACGCATACTACCATACTTGCCTAGTGTACATCATCACCTCTACCCAAAAGCAGAGCACACATTACCGCTTGCTTAGCCTCACCTCCCAGCGCCTCACAGCTTACTCTTCCCCGCCCCCACTTCGCCCTCGTCAAAGAACTCCTCGAAAACACCGAGCCATATCTCCGGGGTAAAGTACTCGACCCAATTATGCCCGAACGTAGCACTCGGGACCGTCCCCCTCCGCACGCGCTGGCCCCTCCACTCGAGCTCGCCCCCCTCGCCGGGCACAGACACACGCAGCGCACGCGCGTGCGGGATGAGCGCGAGAAAGTCGCCCTGGTTCGTCGGGGGCACGATCTGGTCCGCCGCGCCGCTGAAGGCGAGCACGCGCGTCGAGCGCGGGATGCGGGCGTGTAGATTCGCGGAGGTGAAGTCGAAGTTGCTCGTCTGCGCGTTCGCACAGGGCGCAGTTATGGATTATTAGTCAACATAGCGCACATGGAAATGCACGAGGATCGACGCACCGACCGCCGCTGCTGGAATATCACAGGGAACGGCCGTCCCTTGAGCCCTCTCGCGACGAGCTCGTCGATACGCTTCTCGTTCGCAGGGTCGTCCCAGAACGCGTCGTCAAAGTCGGCGTACATGCTCGCGCGCACGAGGAAGGCGCGCTGCTCCTGCGTGAGCTTGCTTAGCGGCTTCGGCGGGAACTTGACGCCGAACTTCTCGTTGCGGATCGGCCGGGGCAGGGACGCGGCGAAGACGACGTGCGAGACGGTGAACGGGAGCGGGGTGGGCTGCGTGGGGTGGTAGGGTAGGAAGAGGAGCTGCTGGGCGACGATACCTGCGCGACGTCGGGTGCTTGTTAGTATCTTTGCGAGTACGCGGAGTGTGCAAGGGACTGTGACCACGCACCGCCCATAGAATGTGAAATAATCGCAATCTTCTTCCACCCCACCGTCTCAAGCACAGCGAGCAAATCCCGCGCAAGCACCTCAATCGTAAACTTGTCAACGCCATCCGGCGGAATCGTCGAGTCGCCCATCCCCCTATCACCATTAAGACCAAGCAAAGCAAAGCACATCAATATCATCAACTACCCGCAACGCGAGCTGAACGCACACAGACACACCTATGATCCACCAACAACACCGGCCTGCTCCTCGCGAGCAACACAGCGACCCTATCAAAATCATGCCTGCACGACGTCATCCCTCCCACAAACACCACCGGCGTCTTCGCGCGCGAGCCGTCCTGCAGCTCCGCGCCGAGAATGTCGAACGCGATACGTGTGCCGTCGGGGCGCTGCACGCTCTGGAAGGGCCCAAAGAGGCCGTTCTGCTGGATGGGGCTGTTTCCCTTCATGTTGGACATAGCGGGTGGGTGGCGGGTGGGGTGGATGCGGGGATTGCAGAGGTAGGCATGATAAGTAAATGGATGCGTTCTTAGTCCTACCGCGCCAGTCGCTGTGTGAGTCGGAGTCGCGGGTGGACCAAAGCCGGCTTCAAAATCACACTTGAATTCGACTCTGAAAGTCTACGATGACGTCGTATATTCGGCTCTGAATCTGCGAGAACTTGGTTCGCAGCCCCATCCTCCAGCCGATAAACCTTGATGATCAGTCAGTTTGATCGCCGACACGTCTACATCTATGGTTGCCACAACAAACAGCATCTACACATAGAAAACATAGAAAACTATCAAACGTGCAAAGGCATCGTCCAGCCAATCCATGGGTATGTAACAAAGAAGATGGTAAGGTATGCAAAGTGAAGGTAATAGGTCTGTATGCAGGAAAATGGGGAAAGCGATAAAATTGTGCAACAAAGTTCGTGAATGCCCTGTAAGTCAGAAAAAGAACGAAAACACTATTAGCAAGAAACGAGAACGAAGGAAAACATCGAGCTCGTGAAGGATCCATCCGTATGGTATATCACCCATCTCCGTGTCCGCGTCAGATGAGAAAAGCAGGAAATCAAGACAGGGCCAGAGTCAACGAGCCCCAGGAGCCACTAGACTCAGAGACGGATCAAAAGCCCGAGCACCGAATCACCGCCCTCTCCTCTCTGCAGGCGGCGGCGTCACCCGCGCCCTCCTCGCGCCCGCACCGCCCTCGCCCGCACCCGTACACAACGCAGTCGGCATCGTCGCGCTGTTCGCGTCCCACGCGTCCCACGTATAACTGCACCCCGCCACCTCCGTCGGCGCGAGCCCCGTATCGCTGCTATCGTACCAGCTCCCGCCGTCCGTCCGCAGACTCGTCGGCGCAGGGAGCGAGGGCACCGCGCTCGTGCTCGTGTACGTCGGGAGCAGACTCTGCACCGCGCCGAGCGTGAGCCCGTTGATCGACGACGGCGGGTACTGTCCGAAGGAGGACACGGAGGAGGGCGCGATGGTGCCTGCGCCAGAGCCGCCGGTTTGCCAGGGAGCGAAGGTGCCGTTGAAGATGGGCCCGGAGACGCCGAGCGATGCGCAGGTGCCGATGGCGGTGCGCGGGTCTTTGGGCATCCAGCCTTGGGCGAGGCCGAGTTGGTAGGACCATTGTGGGGACTCGATGGCGCCAGATTGGGAGGGGCCGATCTGCGTAGACGAGCAAGGGTTAGTTCAGCGGATCACGGAGATGGGGGTAGAGTTGGATGAACGCCGGAGTATGCGTGCTCCGGAACACTCGGGCGAGCGAAACGAGTACGCGTCGATCTCGCCACCAAACCAACAGGGAAAAAAACACAGGGAGATAAACCACAGCTCACCTTCCACGTCCAGAAGAAATAATCCCCTAGCGCATCCATACTCGCGAGCGTATACTCCATAAACCCCGCCTTCATACTCTGATTCCAGCTCTGCCAATCCACAAAAAGCTCACACTCCCCGCTCGTCGTCGTATCGACCCCCGTGCCCACCAAAAACAGCCCACACTCATTATACCCATTCGAAAACTCGCCCGCAATCGTAACCCCAAACCCCGCCCTGCTCTCATTCATCCCCGCCGCCCACGCACTGCACGCCGTCTGCGGCCACGTCCCGCCCGCCTGCACGCCCACCCCCTCACTCGTCGCGAGCGGCGCATCGTTCGGCGCCCCGTCAAACGCAAAATACGGATGCGTATCCAAAATAACGCGATCGCTCCCCTGCAGAAACCCCGTCCAGTTCGCGGTGCCCACGAACCCGTCGTGGATCGCGATGTACGCGCCGTGGCCCTCCCCGTATCCCGTGATGCCGCGCACCATGTCGTGCGCGCGCAGGTAGAACGTCGTGAGCTGGTCTTTGCCGATCGTCTGGAGAAGCGCCTCGTTCACGATGCTGAACACGGGCACGACGGGCTGCCATTCGGGCTGGGAGATGAATTCGGCGATGATGCGGATGTAGTCGAGCGTGCGTTCGGCGTTGGCGAGGCCCATGACGCCGTTGAGGAAGTTGACGGTGCCTAGTTTGCCAGAGTGGTTGTAGCCTGTTGGATCGAACATATTAGTGAGCTGCTGCGTGAACGAGCTTGAAAATAGGGAAAGGAGCGCACCATTCTGCGACCCAGGGATGGTATGCAGATCGAGGTCGACCCGCAGACCATACTTGCGCGCCCACTGGAGCACACGCAGGATGTACCTTGTATCATACGTCAACACCACAACTCCAGAAACTCGAGCGTTCGATGTGCGCGGAAACCAACACTCACGGCCAGCACACCTTCTCAAGGAACGGCTCAAAATCCCACTTCTCAATCGCCCAGAACGGAATCGGCACCCGTATCCAGTTCAGCCCGGCACCAGCAATCTCCGCGATGTCTTGCTCGGTCTACCAAACCAAACCAAAACCACCAATCAGCCCCTGGCCACGCTTCCCCAAACCAGCCTTACGAAGGGCGAAGGAGGAGGAGACGCACAATGAACGTGTTATAGTGGTCCTCGAGCTGGCTCAGCCCCCCGCTCGCCGTGTCCTGCGCCATGAGCGTGCTGAGTGTCCATTCGTCGACGGAGCCGTTGTATTTCTGGAAGAGCGAAGGCACGATGAACGGCTCGAGGACGAACAGGCCGCCGAGGTTGACCCTGCGAGGGGACAGGCGAGGAAAGTGCGTGAGTACGGTGAGCTGGTCGTGGTGATGGTGATGTCATGAAGCCAGGAAGGAAAGGGACGGATACATGGATGATGAATGCGGTGGTGTGACGAGGGACAGGAAGAAAGTGAAAGAACCAGAGTCGTGACGTACCCGTTGATCCTGTCCTTGCCCCACGTCCAGGACGTGTTCAGCGGGGGCGTCCACGAGTTGGGCTGCGCGTCGTTGTTGAACGGGTCAGTCGGATCTTCCACCCCTAATGTGATAACAAACTACAGTCAGCATTCGGCACTCGATTCCTCTAGCGCTCGTTGACAAAGATAACGCGCGTGGGCGGGTGTAGAGTGGACTGAGAGTGAAACACTGCAAAGACGCATCACCAGAGAAAAGAAGAAACTCACAGAACCCCCCAAACGAATTCTGATACGTGAAACTCGTCCCGTTCGCCATAACCACCACCGACCCGTCCCCGCCCGTCGTCGCGCCCACGGGCGACTCGGGGTTCACAGCTGCTGCTGCGTTCTTCTTGGGCTTGACGACTTTGAAGTACACCGGGACGACGATGACGATAACGAGCACCGCGAGCGCAAGGAGCGCGAGCAGCCAGCACACGGGCCGCTTAAACATGCTTCTTCTTCTCCATCTTCCCCCCTGCGCGTGCTTGTTCCCATCACGCGGCGAACTCGAGTCCGCAGCATAAGCGGCTGATGCGGCGGCAGCACCACCCTCCTCAGCCTTGGAAGGACTGTTATTCGCGTCCACCTGCGCCTTTTCCGTCTCGGTCAGGAGAGGCGCCGAGTTGTTCGTGGACGCGGAGGCGGATGGGAACGAGCTGCGCGGTGATGTGTCGAGGAGCGAGCCGCCTGGGGTCTGGCCCGTGGGGACCGCCCGTGCGAACGGGGCTGAGGGCGGCACGAGCGTCGGCTCCGCACCTCCTGCCGCTCCCAAGTTAGCCGCGGCGGCGGCCGTGGTGGAGTTGTGGTTATCAGACGTATCAGAAGCAGAGGAAGATGCGGGGGTGACATCCGAGTCTGGGCTTGGGGGCGCAGCGGCAGCAGGAGCAGGTGCGGCTTCAGCGCGAGGCTGGGGCTCTTCGGCTGCTGCAGAGTGGGTCTCAGTTTCCGCTGGCTCCTCGTTCGACGCGACGGGCGGCTGAGTTGGCGCCTTTGGCGATTGCGGCTGTTCAGTGTATTGCTGAGCTTGCGCCCAACCAGGCTCCATGCTATCCAGTTGCGGCACGGGGGTGTTGGGCGCAGTGGTGAACGGGTCCGCGCTGGTGGCGGCGCTGGCCCTGCTTGTTGGGCGGTCTGCAGGTGTCGACATCGTCTACCGTGATTCTGCAAGAAGAATACGCCTTAAGAGGATGGGAGCGAGTCGCCTTGAAGGCGGATGATGACGTCCGCTCTGACGGAGGTGGAAGGAAAGGAAAGGACGACACAAATGGCGTTGAGCGCGCGGTGGGGTGCGAAGGGAAAACGGTCAACTGAACCGGGCACGGGCCTTGGATCGACCAAGCCTAGGTCATGCTAAGCGTGGCCAAAACCCTCCGAGGTGCCATTTCCGCACCGACAGATACTGATAGGACCTGATCCAAAGTTGCGCGACGCTATATAGATCTGAGACAGCGTTATATTCTGGTAAGGCGAGGTCCTACTATGAGCAAGTGTGAGACCCAGACGCGTCATAAGACAATGTTAGCATCAGAGCAGTCTTTTTGTCCTTGCTTTTGTTTTCATTGAAGATGCAAGCAACGGAGAGAGGGCGGGGACCTCGGGAGGACAAAGGTGGTGCCAAATTGGTATGACGTCACGAAACTTCGGAAAATGCCGCCAACGTCAACGACGTCACGACGCAACTGATTTCACCTGCCGCCAGCCTATCACTGATTCCGCCTCTCTATTGGACGACCGCCCGCTGTAACCAAGAGCAAGAGCAATCCGAAGTCACTTGGATCGCGGATATGACATGTCTCTTCTATCTTACTGACCTTTCCGACTGGAACTCTATCATCGTTAAGCAACCGCTCTCAGCATCATAGCCGCTAATAATTGTACTACTTTTATTATCCAATTAATCGTCCATGCCATATTAGCTTCTACAAGCCTCCATTTATTAGCAAACAGCTTCATAAACCGCTACTGTAACTAAAATATTGTCCGTCTCAACACGCATCTGCCTTCCTGGACATTAAAATGGCACTTCATTCATTCATTCATTCAAACCACCTCCTTGCTCATACCGGCCATTCCAACTCAGTACCACCCATATCTCGCAATACGGGCCATCTCTTTTCCTCAAGCACGACAGGGCCCATCATCATGGCGTCAACGTCCTGACCACGCTTGCTGCCCCGTCTTCATATCTGCGACGACGCCTGCTCTTTTCCTTTTCATTTTAAAAGAGGGCTATCACTTCTCCCTTGTTCGCTACCGCCCCATCGCATTTGTAGATCCCACAAGGGTCCAACTAGTTGCCGTCGCAAGTACCCCGCCGGCGGTTCTCATGCGCCCATCGACGAGCGAGCCAAAACAGCTCTTTCAAGCCCAGCAGGTTGGCCTCTCACCTTCTCATCTTATCCCGTCCCTCGTCTTTCATATCTCGTCTGATCGGGGTTAGCCCAACCCCACCCATCTACCCACCCAGCCAATCTATCGGACCACAAGCCATCTTCTAGCGGCTGCTCTACCTGCTCCTGGGATACGGCTTGGGAACCCGCGTCGTCCGTCCCTGACACCCCATACAAACACGAAAAACCAACTCGGCATGCAGAGGCGCAAAAACAAGGTTGCAGCGCCGGGCCCTTACGCCCGCCCATAGGCTAACGTGCTTAGCGCTCCACACTCGCGCGTGTTGTCCACGCACGTTCTCCTCACGTTTCTGTGCTGCCACTCTCGTTTCTGCAGCGACGGCGTTCTCAAGGTGTGTCCTCGTGTCTCCTGCGGTGTCCTGGGACCTGCGGGGCCGAGCGATATCACCACCCCGTCGAGCGGCCCGGTAACGTTCTCGCGCGCACACACCTCGTCCCCCCGCCCCCGCTTTTCTGCCTTTTTGGCCAGGTGTCGCGGACAACGTAAGTATGTTCTCGTGACGCTCTCGACTTGGAGGCTGGCGTCGTGCTAAAGATAAAGATAAGCAAATGGTCACTGTGGCGCCTGTGCGCAAAAATACCGCACCGCCGCCTCCGGATCACACGCATGAATAGGGAAGGACGTAGCGTCGTGCAAACTGTAGGGCTTTACCAAGATGCCGACGATCAGTGCTCAGCGTTCAATACCCTCAGATTTCAGTCTTTATAAATTTAATCGCAGGGCCTGGGATGGCGTTTGGCGCGAGGCACGCGCGAGCGTGAGCCTGAAGCTTGCTGGCACACCCCGCGTAAAAAAGAACCACCGTCACACCCAGACACCGCTTCCCTGCCGCCAGTCATCTGTCCGGTTCTAGTTGATTATGGCTACCCACCTTCGACGTTCGTTCAGCGTTGGCAGTTGGTGCCAGAGCGAATTCGTATTCGGGTAGCGATCTGCGCATTGAGTTTGAGTTCGTGGGTGATGATGATGTGCGCACTCTTGGTTCCCGGCTAGATGATATCGTACCTCGCCAATCAGATCTCACAATCGCGATGCGCGCTGTATGATTTTTGGGTGATCTCAGGCGGTCGATTATATAAGGTGTTTCGCTGAGCGTTTTGTGTCAGGGTCGGCAGGCATTTTCCAGGGCTCGTTATAGCTTGTAAAAAAGGATATATATTCAATATCCTGGATTTTATCCTAGCAGCAACACTTTACGCCAGATTTTAGTTGTGGAGTAAACACCCATTCAGTGAAGTCATCCTCGGTGCAATTTGCGCCAATCCGAACGTTCTCTGATGTTCACAGTCCATGCACAAGTGCCGCTTGCGGTGACGGCTGCGTGAGCGCAGGCTATTTACCGCAATTGTACCCGCCCAGTTTGCTCCTCCAACTCGACGTCAGTCCGGAAGTTATCTGCAAGTTCCTGCACTTAGAGGCAGGCGATAATCGATGTGAAGACCCCCCGCCGACTCTTCTATCGATAATGTGCATGTGCGAGGGGTTGAGCTGGTGATGGGGCATCGCGTCGTCACCGTGCGCGTGAGCGTTCGCTGCGCGTAGCCTATCAATATGGCATAAAGACTAGTCCCTGCTGATGCCTATGATCATCATCATCAGCATGATCGAGGCTTCCCATACACTTGGTGAGTGAATGAGGGCCACACGATCGGGGATGCGATGAGGCTCTGGATGCTCTGATGTCACGTCAAACCCCTGCCCTCGGTGCACGTCCCGTCACGTAAGGCTCCCCCCTGAAAGACAGGCAACGTTCCCCCAAAGTCCGAAATCGAGATTGCATTGCACGAGCGTAGGGTCGCACAAGAGTGAAAGTTAAGGTCTAAAACACATCCACGTTCGTCTTGAAGAGCATTATGAGCAAAAAAGAGCATGAATAGAAGAGGGCAGCCCCGTATCGACCGCCTGACCGCACACGTACCTGTACACAGGAGATCAACGGTGGCTCGCCCCGATATCGATTTCGGATTCGATGAACGTCATGAAGCGCAGATGAGGCACACGCTTTCAGGCCAGTGCCACCGAGGACAGGCGGTGACAAGGTGCAGCTGCACACAGGGGCGATGGTTGCCGCATCCGGAGCCGCGCTCCCTGTTCGCCGCCCGCATCTTTCACGCTGTTGGCTGGTCTCTCCGGCGAACAGTCCACTCCGGATGCCTATTTCGTGCGCCCATTGTTTGTCGTCTCTGATGTCTCCAGCTCGAAGCGCTTCGCCGTCAAGAAAGGGGGTACAGGCGCCATCTCAGGACGCGAGAGGTGAATAAATGGCTGCTGCTTCAAGATGGTACGATTTAGGAACAAACGAGCCAGTTCAACACGACCCCAGTCCGACACTCATTTTTTTTTTCTAAACATAGTTTGTTTGCTGAGATTCACCAAGGATCCTCGTAAAACGGGTTTGGCCACGGCCGTAAGTCGGCAGTATCGAGTCTGGTTCCCGTCCCGGGCAGCCGGCGCAGGGTGGTGGAGGGCTGTGTTGCAGTGTGTCGATGACAAGTCGACGCATCCAGCGAGGCTTTCATCTCATTTCATCTCGACAAGCGGTTCCTAGCAGTCGAACTCCCTTACTCGCCATGCGTCCTCTTTTGCTGCTTAGAAGCCCTCATTCGCCGGTGGGATCCCGCGCTGCCTGTCGTGTTGTTCACCCCCCGTTCGCTAGACGCTTATTCGCTCGCGTTGCCCGTTCTTTATTCTAGTCGAGATGGGTCCGACGCCAGAAAGAAACCGCTTTCGCTCCTTCCTGCCGCTTCGGGGAGGTTCGACCCCGAGCAAAACGAACCTGCAATTGCGCCGATACTTCCAAATCTATAACCTTCGTATCCCACAATACGTTCCCCTACCCGTCTAACAGCGGTGCTAGTTCGTCCCCGTCCATTCACAATATGCCCAAATTCCCTATTTCTTGCCGCTTTTTCCTCGCAAGCCTACCTTCGCGTCACATCCGAATTCGACGCACGAATCCGGTGTTATACTGCCGTAAGTATATCTACCCACTCGCTGATCGATGTGTTTTGACACGCTTACCGCACTGCTCATACTGTGCCTCGAAGACATTCAGCTTTCCGCGCTTCCTCATCCTCGCACCTCTCTTAAGGCTCCTTGTAACACCCCTCCACCACGTCAGCAATCAACACTACGCCTACCACTACCTCTGCTGCTACTATCACACCGCAACCTGAGATTATGACACTCGACAACTTCCCTACCAGAGATGATCCTATTCCTATGTGCCACCAGGGCCTCCTCGACTCGCTCGAGCGCCACCCCGGTGCCACCGCCATCGCCACCGGCGACAACACCAAGGGCTCGCAGCCGAACAAGAAAAGCGTCAAGGACAAGGCCCATGACGCGGAGACGGAGAACATCATGCGCGCCATCCTGCGCACGCGCAAGAGCTGGAAGACCGTCAAGGGCAACACCGAGGCCGTCTGGCCGCCGCACCTCGAGGCGGCGCTGCTCAAAGGTGCGTTCAAGCGCTGTAGCTCATTGTTGCTTATTCGCTAGCGCGCATTCGCTGATCGGGCCGTACTATCCCTCATTTATGTCCATCATCCATTGTCCATGTTCATGGTCATGGTCATCATGTTCATATTCGGTCGCTGTCCCGCCTCGTGGATCTTCAAACGTTTCTCATTCGTCGGTGTGCTATGGACTTATATGTACACATTCCATTCAACCCCGATCCACTCGAACCCATCAAACGATCAACGCCACCCCCGCCGCTCCACCTACACCACCTCTGCACCTCCTCATCATCATCCATCCTGGAATCGGCTCGGTGCACGCACACATACGCGTTACGTCACCACTCATGCTTTCGTGGATTGGGGTGGTGCACGAAAACAGGGCTCCAGGAGTACGTGCCCGAGGACTCGCGCGAGACGCGTGTGCTGGGCCGCTTCCCGATGCGCAACAGGTTCATCTCGGAGTACATCCTGCGCACGACGGGCAAGACGCGCACCGCGAAGCAGGTCGGCAGCCGGCTGCAGCAGCTCAGGGATACGAGCGAGGGCCGCGAGCGTGAGTCGATTTTTGGCCTGCTTTTTCGGTTGGCTGACTGCTTCATCAAACGTTCCTCTCTGATTGACAAACCGGTGGCTGGCTGGCTCCTCGGGTTTCTGTGGACGCGCACCGACTGCACGGCGACGGTGTACACACTGATGTTGTGGGATTGCGATGCGCTTCGGGTCGGCGTTCTCGGTTGCTTGTGATTCGCCGGCTGGCGCTCGCATCATGCAGTGATGGACTGGCTGACGCGAAGTTATCACACGCACGCGAAAAAGGGCACGAACAGCGCAACCGATCAAGGACAGAAGGGACGCGAGAGTGGCTCGCCACCCTTCACGAACGGTGTCGGGTGCTGGGACGCGTCTGGGCCTCTCCCATCTCAAGATGACTGTCCGCCCTCGCCTTTCTCGCCTACCGGCGACACCACCTCGCCTTCGTCCTCATCTTCTTCCTCGGGTGCAAGCGACCGCTCCTCCGAGTCTCCCATATCCCCCATCGAACTCAGCCCGTTCCTCTCCCATGTGATCCCTAGCAAGCTGCGCGTATCCCCTCCCCACCAAGCTCCCGCCCCCGTCCACTCCGTCGCCACCGGCCCCACCCCCGTACCACACACCGCGACCTCCGTCCCAGCGCCAGCAGTCGACGACAACCGCACGCACATCTACATCGACATCGTCCCCTCCACCCACGCCGACACACTCAGCGGCACCGTGAGCGCCTCCACCGGGCGCGGCACAGGCTCCTGCGGGCCGCGCACGATCCGCACGATCGACCCGACACTCGCGTTCGTCGCGCCCGCCGCGCCGGGGCCGATGGACATGCGCTCGTCGTTCATCGTGCTGCTCGACGGCGCGCCGATCCACAGCGAGATCGTCGCGCTCAGGCTCGTCGGCCCGAGCGGCGGCGGGGACCCAGATGCGCACGCGCGAGGGAGTGCGGGCGCGCTCGGAGGCGACGGAGCGCAAAACCCCCAGGCTCATGTTGCTCACTCGCTGCAAGGAGTGCAGGAGACCAGCGTGGGGGTTGCGACTGGGAATGATGGTGGCCACGGCCAAGGAGCTGGACAGCAGCTGTTGTATGGCACGACGCTCGTGCCCAAGTTCTGGCATGAGATACGCGATAGTCCCGGTGAGTTTGTTGGCTCTCTCGGTGTATCGGTCCGTGATCTCTGTTGTTTCTTTTTTCCTTCTGTTTTCTTGATTTTCCCTCCTTTTGTTGTTATTTTTTCCTCGCATGGTGACATCGATCCCGATTTTTTTTTTCATCTATTTTCTTCTCCAATCCGTGTTTAAATTTTCTCGAGGAAAATTACCCGAGTCATGGCCTGGGATTTGCTTCCGCTGTCACAGCACGGCATGACGCACCTGTGGCGCGTCGCACAGGCTGTCACCTGTCACGCGGTGCGTGCCTGTGAGCTTATTCGCTTCCGCCGCTGGCAGCCGCAAATGCGCTGACAGCTCTCGGCGAACTGAGAACAAGCGGGCCTTGTTGTTTTTTCGCTTTCATTTTTCCTTCATCCCCCCTTTGTCCTTTCGTTCTGTTGTTCTGCCGAGAAGTCAACGACGTGGAGCTAATGGCCGGAATTTTTTTCTTCATTTTTCCTCGATGTCCTCCGTCACCGCGTGTGCAACACCAGATCCGACGCAATACTCGATCATCCAGGACGTGCACCGGATTGATGCCGCGAGCGGTGCACCTCACGGCCTGTCGAGGCGCCGACGCTCGGTGCTCGTTTTCTCCGCGATATACCACTTCCGATACCCGAACAGCGTGGTGTGCTCGAACAGCAATGGAGCGTCCGATGTTATCGGCCTCGGACTCGACCTGGGATTGAGCCTCGGCACAGCTTTCCCTGACACTGCTGCTAGGTCTTTCGCCCAGAACCATCTGGGAGGCATGGGGCTCGCATCGCTGCCAGAGCAAGGCCAATGCCAGGGAAAAGACAAGATGGGGGCGGCAGAGACGATGCTGGCGTCGTCGGCCACGGCCACACCTACGCCGCTTATCCCGTCCTTCGATCAGACGATGGAGGGCATGCTCGATGTGAACATCGACGATCTTATCTTCAGCGACGATTTCATGATGGGCACGGCTAACGCCACTGCTACCCAAAATGTAACTGCTGATGCCGTAACGAGCCCAACTCAGTTCTTCACTGAGGACTTTGCATCTTACGTGAGTGGCCTGTTTCGCGATCCGATTCCTGCATACCACTTGCTGACTTGGCGGGTATCCAACCTTAGTTCCCGCAATGAATTCTTTGTATCTGTATCGATTATGCACCGCACTAAAACAACATCTCATCTCCGCAGGACTCGTTTATGGCTATGCTCATGCTTTGATTTTGCTCATGTCCGTTACGTTGATTCTTCACATGTATTCGTTTCTCGCATTGATGTATTATGGGGTCTCTTTCTTGTTTGTAAGATATTACAGAATCGGACGCGTCGTGCCTTGTTATTTCTGCCTCGCTCTGCCCTCGTTCTCTGTCTTCGCTTCGCTTCTGCTTCTCCTCAACATATCTCCCGGGTAAGCATGTGCACTGGAGTGGGGGGTGTCTTTCGCGCGGTTCGTCGCTCTGGTTTCTGTGTCCCTTGCTTCTCCCGCCGGTTTGCTCACAAGTCCTCACTCGTTATTCTTACATATACAAAACGACGCGCGCTCCCAAGCCTGTCACGAGTCACTAGAAAGACAGCCTGAGATTAGATTCCAAGCATTCAAGTCCGCGTTACCGTGCTATAGGGTTCTCCTTTCTTCTCTCTTTTGCCCTATACAGCCCATCGCGCATCATGCAACAAAAAGAACGTTCTGCGGAGTACTGATTATATCTAGTATTGTTTCCGACGTCTCAGTGACGCGCGTGCCACCATCAAGCTGCGCTTACGCTGGCTAGAGCCGCGAGCGCGTCCAGGCTCCAGGCACCTTCTAGCCTGCATGCAGTATTGGGATGGGGTAGCGGGATCATTTCATTTCGCACCTGTATATACGCCGTAACCAGTCGCCCCGACGATCATACTCAGTGCACGCCCCCCGCATCCGTGGAAGAGCGTTGAATTCTCCTTTCCTTCTTCTGATGACCTGAGCGCTGGTTGTTACCGGATTTCGAGTGTTCCGGACGTCTAGTGCTGCCGATTGCATGGTTTGTGTCTCCAAGGTGAGATAAGAAGTTATTCTTCACGAGGTTGAGAACGATGTGTGCGTTAATTGAGATTGGAGGCGTTGACAAGCTCTGGCGGCCAGTGTTTAGTCCCGCCGATCCCAGAATTCAGGGCAAGTGTGATCAGAATAAGTTCGAAGGAGGTACATATACTCCAAACATGTGCGATGTTCGCGATGTTCGATGATCGTTTGATAGGGAATCGACGCGTTTCTCATCGCCTTTGCGGAGATGACCGCGCAGGGCACTGTGCATGCTTGTGGTGTGGCGTACTGACGTAATGACGTCTCTCAAATCGCAGATCGTTTTCATTACTTATCAGGCTGCCGAGGCCACCTAGAAGCACCATAATATGACGCTACATCGGGTCAAACAGAATTGGAGGTGCATGTTACTTACGAAGGTTCATGGGAACCAGCCTCGCAGCGCGTATGGTTCTCTTCGTCTAGGGGTGGGGTAGTAAGGTTTGTACCAGAGGCGTGATCGCGAGTTATCAGCGTCTCTGAGTTGGGTAATTCACTTTGTGTGTTTGCCATCTCCTCGGCTCATCAATATCCCTCTGTGAAGATGACATTAATAGTGCACTGATCGTGGCTGAGCGCTGATCGTGTGTATGTGTTGAGAATATGGAAAATGACAGACTTGAATCGTTGCTCAGGATACTCACGGCGCGGAGACATTTTTGGGCTTACGAGTTCCCGGTTACGCGGATAGATTGTCGCAAGAATTACAGGGTGTGATGTTGATGTGTCGATGAAGTGAAGATGGTAATCAACAAGACAGTTCGGCCCGGCGGCAAAGTGCTGTACTGTCGGCTAGTCCCGAGACGGAATGCTCTCGGTGGCTGTGCCATCACGAGCACGTGCTTTAGCCAAGTGGGCGAGACGCGTCGCGTTGACTGCCTCATCTCTTGACGCGCTCCACATTTGCTGTTCTTCCTTTCTATACCACCACCTCTTTGCGCTTCCTAACCTTGCGATACATCAACCATGAATGAAGATGAATTCATGAACAGCCTCCTCTCCGACCTGAATGGTTCTGTTCTTCCCAATCGCGCGCCATCGACTCCGGCGAAATCCAAGTCCCCTCGTTCAAACGCGAAACCTTACACCACACAGGATAAACCCAAGTGCGCAACCTGGTATCTTGACTCTGTCAAGGAGGCTTAACCGTTCTTCCGTAGAGCGGAAAACGTAGACGTGATCGACCTCACAGAGGGCGCCGAAAACTGGGATTGGGACGAAATGTTATCGGATTTCCAGACCCCAAAGAAGAACAAGACAGCGCGTCAAACCCATAATCTTCCTCATCCTGTAACTGATGAAACTCAGCAGATGACCCCCAAGAAAGCACGGAGGTCTCCGGTCAAACGTTCATCGCCTCGTAAACCCGCCAGCACCATCAATCTCGATATGTCTTCGCTCCTGGAGGGTGCTGATAACTGGGATTGGGGGGAAATGGAAGCAGATTTTCTGACCCCGCAGAAGAACAAGAAACATTTGGCCGGGTCGCAGGTAAGTTGGTGGGGCCATGTGGAACGTTCCAGGCGCTAATATTTCCCCCCTCAGCGCTTGGCACCTGCAGTCCCTTCGTTCCGCCGACCGTCTGCTATTCGTTGTACGATTGAAAGCGTGGTAGAGGCCTCGCACGAAGGGCGTTTCCACAAGGTTTGCACTCTTCATCATTGGGCGTATTGGGGAGTTGGCTGAACATATAGAATCAGATTGTTCAAGTATGGAAACGCGACGATCCTCAGCGTCTGGCCCTAGAGCTATGCGACGAGTGGGCAAATATGGAACTTGAACCTGGTATGTCTAGCGCGTTGATCAGGGCTTCACATGAAATCTGTGCGAACATTGATGTTCTCTTTCGTCTCCTCGCACCCGCGTATCGCAGGTGATACCCTCAATCTCGTCAATGTGGGCGACGAAGACATATCCCCAACAGGAAAGCTTGCCATATCCTCCAAGTCGGACATCATCGTTATCCATCATCCTGACCTCCTCCTCACGGCAACCTCCATCTCTAACGCCCCCCAATGTCGCCGAAAACCACTACTTTCCCAGCTCGTTCGGTCCAGCTCCGACATCACACCTGCCCTTGTGTGGGGGAACATGCTACACGAGGTTATGCAGACGTGCATGGCGGCCGGCCGGTGGGATGAGGCGTTTATGGATGAGCAGATCGACAGCGTCATTCGCAAGAACCTTGCTGAGCTGGTCAAGATCGGACTCAGCGTCGCTGATGCGCGACGCGAGGTCAAGGCGCGGTCTAAGGGTCTCCACGTGTTCTCAGAGCGATACATCTCCTCCACTCCCAAGGTAACGTGATGCTCGTTCGCACGCTGCTTTCTCCCGTGACAAGCTGACGATGCGTGTAGCCAGACGCCGTTCTGGCAGACACACGCGCGACGCCTCAGGAGAGCGCGTCGCTGGCCGTCTCGGAGCTGCACGATGTCGAAGAAGACATCTGGTCCCCGACGTACGGTCTCAAGGGCAAGCTCGATGCGACCGTGCAGGCCGTCATTGCCGAGAAGAAGGTCGCCCCGTCGTCTCAATCCCGCTCCGCCACCTCCGCGGGGGCGTCTGCCTCTCAGACGACCACGACACACGTGATGCCTTTCGAAATCAAGACCGGGCGCGCGAACGCGGGGCTGGAGCACCGTGCGCAGACGATGCTCTACACGCTCCTTGCGGCGGAGCGGTACGCGTCGGACGTGCCCGCTGGGCTGTTATACTATACCCAGGCAGAGGAGGTCGTACGCGTGCCGCGCAGCCGAAACGAGCTGAGGGGTCTAATTGTGGCGCGGAACGAGCTAGCAGCGTGGATGATGAAGCGGAGCGGGGGCAAGGAAGTCAAGGAAGGCGAGAGGTTTTTGCCGGAAACGATCGATGATAAGAGGGTGTGTGGGCGGTGTTATGTGTTGGATTCGTGTATGCTTTATCGCAGGGTGAGTTGCCTGGTTCGCTTCGTGTTTCGCGACAGGGCCCCTGACTATCATCAGGCGGTAGAGAATGTGGAGGACGACGCGTCACCCATCGCGGACATGTACAAGCTCAAGACGGACCACCTTACGCAGGATCAAGCGGACTTTTTCAGAAAATGGGAGGCACTCATCTCGCTCGAGGAACAAGATCTTGTGCGTTTCCGAAAGGAGCTGTGGACAATGAACGCGCGCGAGCGTGAGGAGAAGGGCCGCTGCTTCCACTCTATGGTCGTCGACCACTCATATCGCCCCGCTGTCGAGGTTGACGCGGAGCCAGATGCACCTTCGTCGGGTCACAAGATACATCGTTTCACGTATCGCTTCGTCCGCTCTCCGAGTGCCGCTGCCAATGCAGAGACGAAGGAGAGAAGCCTCTTGAACGGACACATGGCTGTCGGCGACGCGACCACCGTGTCCATCGAGCCGCACCTTCTCGCGCTCGCTCGAGGGTTCATACTCTCGCTCAGCCCACACGACGTCGTCCTCGGCGTCGACCACGAGCTCTCCCCGGAGAAACTCCATCTCCGACACGCTGGTGAGGTAGCTGCCGGCAGCGCAAAGCCCGACGCCGACGCGCCACTTGTCTTCCGCATCGACAAAGACGAGATGTTCGGCGGCATGGGACGCATCCGCGATAACCTCTCTCGCCTGTTCTACGCTTCGGGTGCGGGTAACGACGAGCGTCGACTCAGACTGGTGGTTGACCTCGCGCGCCCGACGTTCCAGGATAAGGCGGACGTACGCAAGCTGCTGCAGGACGACGCGACGTGCGCGCGTGTCATGGGTGGGCTCAATGCGAGTCAGATGGGTGCGATGACGCGCGTGCTGAGTGCGGACGACTACGCGCTGATTCTGGGTATGCCCGGGACGGGCAAGACGACGGTGATTGCCGCGCTCATTAGGGTGCTGGTCGCGGCGGGGAAGACGGTGCTGCTGACGTCGTATACCCATTCGGCGGTGGATACGATTTTGAGGAAGTTGAGGGATGCAGAGTTTGGGATACTGAGGTTGGGGAACGTTGATAAGGTCGGAGCATATTCTTGGTTGTCTTTGTTAGGTCAAGATACTGACAAAGCTGTCTTCAGGTTCACCCAGATATCCGACACTTTACGCTTGCGGATAGACGGATACCGACGACGATCGAGCAGCTCGAGCACCAGATCATGAGCCCACCAGTGGTAGCAACAACGTGCTTGACTATTGATCAGTAAGTCGATTCTGTGTTATTCATCCTCAGATAAGGACTGACACATGGAATATCTTGCAGCGCGCTCTTCTCTCGGCGGACGTTCGATTACTGCATTGTAGACGAAGCATCTCAGATTACCCTTCCTACTTGCCTCGGCCCTCTCCGCTTCGCAGACAAGTTCGTCCTCGTCGGTGACCACTTCCAGCTCCCTCCTCTCGTGAGTCATTTCTTCCAATCCACAACTTCCCCACCCGTATATTGATGATGCTACCTGGACGTGACAGGTGCGTAACCCCGTAGCAAAGAAAGGCGGCCTCGAGACTTCGCTCTTCCGCCGGCTTTCGGACGCTCATCCGCATGCTGTCGTGGACCTCACGCACCAGTACCGTATGAACGAGGACATCATGTTGCTCTCGAATACGCTCATCTACTCGAACCGCCTGAAATGCGGCTCTGAGGAAGTGGCGAAGCGCAGCCTTGTATTGCCGGATCGCTCGTTCCTGGAGCACGAGTTGCACGGTGTTGGGTCCTCATGTCAAACAGAGAGCTGCTGGATCGAGCACCTCTTGACGGAAAGGTGCGTCGCATCCGCCGCCGCCGCCGCCGCCGCCACCCACATCTTATTTGGTTTATCCCCCTCACCCCCCATAGCTGCAAAGCTGTCTTTGTCGACACCGACGCAATCCCAGCGCTGGACTCGCGCGTAGGCGATCTAGTACAGAACGACATCGAAGCCTCGCTCGTCTTCCAGCTCACTGAAGCGCTCCTCAAGAGTGGCATACGCGAACAGCAAATCGGCGTCATGACGTTGTATCGCCAGCAGATCAAGCTGCTCTCATACCTCCTCCATGACCACCCTGCGATCGACGTCCTCACGGCGGACAAGAGTCAGGGAAGAGACAAGGACTGCATCATCATCTCGATGGTGCGGTCGAACGGGGCTGGTCATGTAAGTTCTACCTTTGTGTTTGACCCTCAACGATGGAAAATCTTATATCGCGACTTCAATAGATCGGCGACCTGCTCAAAGATTGGCGCCGCCTTAACGTCTCCTTCACCCGCGCCCAGTCCAAACTCGTCATTATCGGCTCGCGCAAGACCCTCGCTGGCACGCCGCTTCTGCAAGAGTTCTTCGTGCTCATGGAGTCACAGAAGTGGATACACGCACTCCAGCCCGGCGCGCACGAGGTGCACCCGCAACTCGCGCCGACACGCACGTCGTTCCCGCGCAGCCCCGGCAAACGGCCAGCCCCGGCCGCGTCGTCTTCCTCTTCCTCGGATGCGCCCAACGACACTTCGGAACGCGAGAACGTGGACGCCAGTCCGAGTCCGAAGCGGTCAAGAGCCAAGATTACTTATGCTAGCGAGGGCGTGCTCAAGGGGAGGCCGATTCTCAAGGACCTCGTCAATGGGGAAAAGTGAATTAGGAGGAGAAGCAACGGCTGTTGGCGCGAAATTTGGCGCGGAAGCTGGAGGGGTGCTTCTGAGAGCTATCTATTTCTTCACTAGACATGAGATCTTTTGATCAGTATCAATTTTATAGCTTAGAGCGTACTTGTGACACCAGTAGCATATTTCCTGTCATCCTTGATGGCGACATATTGTATGTACTTTGCACTCTATTCTCCTTCGCCACGGCGCTGGCTCCAGTGGGTCTGATCTAGTCGACTTTAGGGCAAACCGTCGTGACATTCGTTGATCGGCTATTCTAAATTTATGACGGCGCGGTACTCACTGTGAAGGTACCCTGTGTAAGTGCAGATGTCGTATCAGCCAAAAATCCTGTTAGATTAATCTGACTGCACAATAGCCAAATACGATCTCTACGCCCATGGATTTTGACATCGTGCCTATCCATATCGTGTGAAGGCGGCCTGAGTGAGATCAAGCTCTGATTCAGGCTGTCCCTCGTTGTGCAGCACTCGTTAAGAGCACCTCCACAGCAATGCCGACGGCCGCGAGGGATGCACAGTCTTATTCCCGTATTTCTGTATAGTGTTTGAACAGGAGCTTCTCTGGGGAAACACCAAGTAGTCCATGTACGCCGCAATATATGTAGCTGCAGGTCATCTTTGAGAATGTACTTAAGCTTGCATGTACCTAATGGGACACGAATCGCGCTGACAATGGACCCAGTACAGGCACAATACCAGAATGACCTGAAGACGTGATTGTGGAGATACCAGCCCGCGCTCGAACAGCCATGCGTCCGAGAAGGGTCAGCGTCAGATTGTCCTTGGGGTTGGGATATTATTCCATGTTCACCCTCTCACTGGGACTCTTTCTATCCCCCGGGCAGAACTCGAATCTCATATGGGTCAAAGAGGGCTCTTTGAGCCCGGGTGCGGAGATGAACGTGGCTCGAGGGGACAATGGGAGAATGCCAACGGCCGAGATTGTTTCGGTCTATGGTAAACTTGCTACCTTTGACGCGTGTAGACCCTCGCTCTAGGTATTGAACTTCGAGATCGGCATCACTAATACCACTAGTGCCCACTGAACCGAGCAAAGTTGCCCAATAAATCAATAAAACGCGTAGGGAGTTCTTGAACAATGGGTGTTTCTACGTCCTTGATTGCATGGGCGCCACGCTTCGCGTGATTTGTTATAGTAACCTGTGGTATCGAGATTTCTCGGAGATCTACTGTGGATTTCGCTCCACGAGATGCAAATACTTGCACTGGATGTGCCAACGGCGGCAATCACAACGCCTATAAGTTTAAGTGCAATTTGTGTCCTGTTCTTGGTTTTACCTTTAAATCCTCAAATACATAGTTGTCATTGCGGCCGTTTGTTAACAGGCTCACGAGGCATCCGTTTGCTTCGCAGACCTCATTCCCATCAAGAGATACGTCACGCCGTATCCTATTCGCTTCTGTGGACACATATATCTCTTGACCATCTGGGAAATTGTCCGCGCCAGTGAAGGTCGGCTGCCCAGGGTGTAAACCACTCCGGAAGTAGTTAGTACCACGAAGCAGGCCCAGCTCGCTGCAGGCAACGCCGGATTTTCCCGTGAAAAATAATGACTAGGAGAGGTGTAGGACTGTTAAAATATTTCGATCACCATTTAGTCGGGAAAAGGCGCTGAAAAGGGTTACCGTAAAATTTTAAGGGCTCTTACACGATCAGAAATCGTGTCCGAGCTATATAGTTTTCTGGTAGTCTTGAGGCCCGTAGTTCGTTGACGAGATCAACGTCTATTAGGCTTTGACTTAAAAATGTCGGAAATTTACTTTTTGCATCGCAACGGAACTTTGCCATTGGGCATTGTGATCTATTATAACACATTTTTTCTGTTGCGATGCCGTTGGCACTCAGCAATTTTCATCAAATTCCTATCGCAATTCCATTGCAATGCATTAAAATGGTCACTGTGATGGGAATTTTGACGACGACTTTGTCATTGTAACGGCCAGATTCATTTTGGCATTGTGATCAGTTGCAATGAATCCCAATGTTAAAAAAAGAACTTCCGACATTTTTTTTTGTCAATCATTAGCAAAGCAAAAAATATCTTCATAAGACTAATACCGCACGCCGTTGTGCCAACACTTTGGCCTGTGAACGCTACCTTGAAGACCCGCGTGTTCATCCGAATACTTGACGGGCTCGCCTCTCGATCAACTCTCGATTTTCCTTTCAACGCTTCCTATATTCATTCAGCTGCATTTCCTCACCTAGCAAAGATCTGGCAGCTAGGTCATACGGAGATATTCGCCAAGTATTCTCGAAAGCATGCTCTCCGTCATGATACAGTATGTCATTGCCACCGCAAATACAACGCTTCGTGACTACTGTCGTCCCATCAATATTGCACAGGACATTAAGGATGGCCTCAAGCGCTCAATCACAGCATCTTTCCAGAACGATTGCACACTCCGACAAGTGGCTCTTTATTAGAGCATTCGCTTGCACCCTCGGAGCTTGTGGTTAAAGGCCACGTCCTAATTCCGTCTTCAATTTCAAGATGTCACCGATAATAAAAAGAAACCGGAAGATCTTCTAAGTCACTTATCTCAATGTTAGGATAGAGGTTGGTTCTAGATCTTTGCTCACATAATGGAGACCTTCAGACCATCTTTAGCCGACTTGTGTACCGTGCGTATACGCTGCTTTGTGCATGCGTGCAAAAATTATGTGCAGTCGCATGTCACACGAGGCCCTCGAGACGTCGCGTGCGAGATTTTTGGGCCGTTTAGGTGACTGCTCGACATAGTTAAATATACCGTATACGTCATCGAGGCTCATCGAGGTGTTTATTTGTATACCGGTTCTTAAGCCACACATGAGGCATCCTTGGGTAAAGTGCATAGCCGATTCTTTGGAGTGATGGTGACGAATGGATACGATGGTGCCGGAGACGAGTTCAGTCCGTGTATTGGAGAAGGGGGGAGCATGCATGCTGCAGTATGTTTATTTGAGGACTGGATGCCGCCGTAACGAACGGGCATGTCGGCGGTGGCTGACACGGTGTCCCTGGAACGAGGCACGAAGGAGGCACGAGGCACGAGTCAAGAAGCGGATCATTCGAAGCTGTTCAATTTTAGTGCCGCTCGGCTGCCCCACTCCGAACGCGTGTTTTCTCACGGCCCGCTACATCGAGGTCTGTTCCTCCTCTTCGAATTCATTCTTTTTGTAACCTAGCCTCTTTCTGTCCACAGACCCCGCCATTCATCGCGCCCAGCCCAAATTGACACATCGGTCGTCCATTCTCCCTCTCTCTCCTTCTTCTCTGCCGCGCCCACTCGACCTCTCGTCGTCTCGGACGGCCCCTGTATACCCCTATTTCTGGACCCGGAGCCGAACTAGGGTTTTGGGAGGCTCAAGATGACGATGCTGAGACCACAAAGGCTGCCAAGGCCAGGAAGACTGTGGATCTTCGTCTCTCTCGGCGCACTCCTCTCATTTACTCTCTTTGTCCTCGCTTCTGACTCCGCGTGGCTCCATGAATCGAACCAGTGGCTCGCTCTTGCCCCGTACCTCCATGTCCAACACCATCTTGCGGACACGCATCCACACGAGGAGGTCGACCAGCGTCCCCCACCGCTGAAACACACACCGCGCTCGCGCTTGCAAGGTGGGTGTTCAGCTTGGTTTGGATGCCGGTCGGCCATGACCGTATCAGGGATCATGCTAACGTGATTGCAGACGCGCTAATCCCATCCCAGAAATACATTGCCGCCCTCAACTCCGCCGGGTTCGGTGCGTTCCTTATCGTTCTCTCCTCATCCCATACAACGCTTACACTTTGCACCTCTCCATTCCATATCCCCATTCAACACCTGAAACAATACAGCGAACCAGGTGATATCCACCCTCCACCTCATCCAGCTCGCCCAGCGCACAGACCGCATACCGATCGTCCCCCCGTTCTATCCCGCCTTCCTCTCCCAATCCGCGTCCTTTCTCCCGTTCGGCGACGTATTCAACGTCTCCCATCTCTACTACCACATCGAAGGCGGCACGCTCCCCGCGATCCTCGAATACACCGACCTCAAAGACACCTCCGTCGACCCGCACGACGCCACCGCGCTGACCGCTGGGCGCGCACGCGCGGCCGCAGCCGAGTCGTTCTTCGAGCCATCGTATTTCGGCGGGGATCTCGAGGATGTCGGATGCTATTCCCTGTCGATGACGCATAGCGCGGGCGGGGTGGGGCCGCGGCACAGTAAGATAAATGCGGCGCTCTCGCTCGACGCGTCGTTCTTGCCTGTTCCGTTTGATCATGATGTGGTTCCGCAGGTGGCGGACAAGGCGTTCCTTGTGCAGCTTGCGAGTAATCTCACTGTCGCGCGGGAGGCGCGGGAGGAGAGCGAGCGGTATGTGCAGACTGCGGAGGCGCTGAGGCACAAGGAGGTTGTCCCTGTGAACAAGGACGTGCCGACGCTGAATTCGAAGGGGAGACAGGTATATCCAACCTTGCCTGGGGAAGGGGAAAAGGATCTGGTGTGTTTCGATTATCTGTATTACACGAGCTGGGACAAGGACGAGGTGAGCTCTCCCTTCTCCTCTCCTCCAAACCACTCACACATCGCTCGTAATACCGACAGTGGGACCTCACCCAGATCATCGTCCCCTCCATCTGGACCTCCATCGGCAGGCACCTCGTGTTCTCCGCGTCCGTGCGCGCCATGGCGCTGCACACGCTCTCCCTGCTCCTGCCCGCCTCCGCCACGTCGGGCCTCCCGCGCACAGCAGATGGCTTCCCGCCATATATCGCCGTGCACATGCGGCGCAACGACTTCCAGAGCGCGTGCGTCAGGGACGGTGTCCCGTTCGAGCGGTGCTTCGCCTCGCCCGCTGTATACTCAGAACACGTCGCGCGGATAAGGCAAGCCATCCTCGACGACCCGGGTCGGATAAAGCTGGAGGAGGGCGCGTCGGCGCTGGCGTTGACGACGAGGGCCGCCGTCGACAAAATCCCCGTTCTCGCGTTCTCCGACGAACCACCACACACGCTCCCCGCCGACCTCGCGCGCTTCCCGGACCGCCCTCCCGACGCATCCGAATCGTTCTGGGCACAGGTCCGCGAGCTGGGCTGGCACATCGTCGACCACTCCTCCGTGTCGCTGGGTACAACGACAGAACCGAATCCAGCCCTGGACGCGCTCGCGCCGGGCGGTAAAGGGGGTACGTACGCAAAGTGGCGCCCGCTGGTGATCGATACGGCGCTGCAGGGCCATGCGGTGGGCTTTGCGGGAACGTGGTTGAGCACGTATTCTGAGTTTGCGGCGAGGCGGGTGGAGAGCTGGACGGGTGGTCCGGCGGTGCTGGTTAGGTGGGGGAAGGATGCGGTTGATTTTTAGATTGGGCGGTGGCGGGGGTTTTGTTTTGTGGTGTGTGTGGTGCTGTGATATTTGAAGATTTTTTTTAGGAGATGGACATTATAATTGCTTACGATGAGCGCATGGACTATACTACCTAGACCTTTTTTTGTACCCTCGTCTTTCTGCTGTCGGTGTTTTCTTGGACTTGTTTTGATTGCACACTACAGACATTTACTGATACGCTTTATCCCAGAAAGTAAACATCCTGCTAGCTAGCCCTTACTTGCTCTCACTGACACATTCGTACATTATCCACTCGCATGCAAACACCACGATGAAACCTGCCTGCCCTCGGACACTGATGAAACTGATAATCGGACAGTGAGATACGAGCGCCTCGTGTTTGATACTTGGGGATGACGATGCCTGCAGATGACATGCTGTACAATCATCTACTTAACCACAGAGTCCTCGCGTCCTGACCTCACCTTTCCGTAATGTCCTCACCGCAAGACTCTCAGTTGGTGAGTGGCGTCACAGTGGGCCCTGATGGGAGCATCATCGGCTTTAACACCATTGGTCGTAGATCTCCGTCTCGAGCACGGCGATGACTGCATGTACCTATTGCCTCACTGCTCGTGCCGACGCTGACCACGTCCACCACCAGCCACAGCCCCCCACGGCACTCGCCCGCACCCCGCCCGAGGTCCTCAGCAAAATTTTCTCACACGCAGCCAGCGTCCTCTGCATCCAGCACCCCTCCGTATTCCCGCGCGACCAGACAACGCACCCAGGCTGGGACTTCCTCATCCGCGCGTCCTACCTCGTGCAGAACTTCGCACAGGTCTGCCAGCGCTGGCGGTGCGTTGCCCTCGACACGCCCGCGCTGTGGAACAGGATCCACGTGGACTTTCTACAGTGGCCTGCGCCGCCCGAGGAATGGATGGCGGGGCCGCGCGGGCTGCTGGAACGCTGTAGCCCGAACATGAGGACCGCGCCGGTGTACGTGAGCGTTCGGCTATCGCGGGGGCAGCTGCTGCATGCGCTGCCGCGCGAGTGCGAGCCTGAGGGCGTGTTCGCGGAGTTTAGAGAGAGCTGCCGGGCGCTGCATCTCGTGGAGTGGGCGCAGACGTGTCTGACTGTGGATGAGCTCGCGACGAGGGCGATCTTGAGCGCGTTTCCGAGACTTGAGCAGCTTGGGTTGGTTGGCATGGGGCTCAGCGGGAGCGCGCTGGAGGCTTCGGTTCTGCATCGGAGGCTTACTAGGCTCCGGCTTACAATCAGCCCACGAAGCGTCGGCGCTGTAGAGGCTCTCTTTGGCGCGAGGTGGGAGCGCCTCAAGGCGCTCGTGATCGATGATATACCTGTGTTCCGAATGCACGGCGTGCGGTTCAGCGAGAATTTCCCCAAGCTCGAAGATCTGTTCATACATACGCAAAATCTGATCGTGGACTCCAACAAAACTAGACTGAAACTCGGGAATCTTCGCGCATTTGGCCTCTCTGTTGCTTACTTGACGAGAACATCGAGCGCTACGAACGACCTCCTGGACAGACTGGACCTCCCTTCGCTGTGTATGCTTATATATCCCGCTGCAAGCGAGGAGTCATTCGAACGCGTCACTCGCTTTGTCGAAGCACTGGGCCAACAATGGATGGAGCTTGAGCTGATCGTCGTGGATGGACATCTCTGGTTTGAGGGTTCCCGGGGCAAAGGCAAGCTACAAGACCGGCTGCCGAACGCGATTGTACATTTCGGATGCAGTTGGCACGAGTCCCCCTTGTTTCATGATTATATTGACGGGTGGAGCAGAAAGTAGTGTACATGTAGCAGCATAGTGTGCCGAACCTGTTGACGAACCGATTTTCCTTTCATGAGCAAGATCGCCGATGTTAAAAGGAATGCTCAGCCTACGACATCATTCCACCTTCATCACGGAGTCAATCCTAGCTTCCTGAACGCGTCTCTGAATGTCCCGCCATACCGGGTATCCGAGGATAACAGTGGCGATCGCATACATCGCCTACCCATGCATACGTCACTTTCTGCCCTGACAGAAGAAAAGACTAGAACACGCACTGTTGGTACGAAACCTCTGACGCTCTTCCGACACAGGTACAAGGCCCACAGCGCTTCGAATATGTGCGAGAACACTACAAACGTCGCAAGCGACTTATGGCTGACCTATAAGCCTGTGGCGGACTGCAGAGCTTGCGCAGGCACGAAGAGTGTTTGGTCGCCTGCGGGAGGGGGACAGAGAAAGTAAAACATGACAACCACAATGCCGATGCCGCGCGCGGAGACGGACAGTGGGAGACTGAAAGAAGTGAGGACAGGCGCCTTGATCTACGAGAGTTATAAGCTGGGTGCGAATTGGGACGTATTATGGACGTACCATGCCGAGCGCTTCCTGTGCCTCCGCCTTCATTCCCAGCAACCGGGGCTTCACCTCCTCGTAGCCTGCAAGGGGCGGGTTGAAAGTGACTCTTGCAATGCCTCCAGTGCCGTCTACTTGTTCAAAGGAAAGTGTCATCGCCTGTAACACGTCATCACGTCTCAGCAAGGGGCAACGGGGAGAATATAGTAGCTATATGCACGCACCTGCTGGTCGATAGCGGTCATCTTCGCACTCTTTACATTGCCTGGGACCTTGCCAAAATGCTTGACGTACGCGACGAGCGTGTCGGGGTGGTTCGACATGTACATGCACAGGAAGGCGGACTTGGACGCGACGGTATCGTTTGCTGCCATGGTGTGCGTCAAGAAGGGATCCAAGGGAAGCCTTCAACGAAATCGCAGGTTGAGCGCTTGGGGTTCGGGAAGCCACGAGGCATGGTGTTGAGCAACCCACCTTGGTTGACAGAAGCGCACTCGCATTGAGTATGATATAAACCTCCGCGCCGGCCCTGAACTGGCCACATCCTAATGCCTTCGAGTCGCAACAATCAAACAACAATCCTCGCTCGTGTCAAAAGTAGAAGAGCATGGTTTTGTTTATTCAGTGCGAGACGAAGCTAGTCAAGCTCATCACGGCTCTAACATATGCGAATTACATCAAAAAATGTAAGCAACAACAAGTTCTGAGTAATCATACATGCGGTAGTGATTGTGCCAGGTGGAAACATTACATAGCCAAGTAGCATCTTAAACAAACTTCGTTCAATCCAGCGACGGAGTGATGGGTTGAAGATCCGGCATTCTGTCCAAGAACCCGGCGGATCTCTGCAGGAACGTGTACTCCGTCCCATTACCCTACAGGTCGTCAGCAAGAGCACTCGCCTTCCAGGAGATACCAAGACGTACGAATATCGTATAGGGTGACCCGACGTCAAACGGAATCACAGACTCCAGTTCTTTCATATGCTCCTTGGTCAAGCGTACACCGAGGCCCTCCATGTTGGCGTGCAGATGCTCAACTTTCCGCCCGCCGATGATAGGGAACACAAAGGGCGTCTTGTGCATCACGTATGCGATAGCGACGGACGTGATGTGCTTGGCGCCGACGTCTTTGGCGACCTTCTCCAGCGCGGCGCATATCTTCTTCTCCGCCTCGGTGCGTTCCCAGCCCTGGCCAAAGAGGTCGCGACCCTTTTCGCCTGTCTCGCGACGACGTTCCTCTTCCTCGTCGGTACGCAGCTTTCCGCCGCCGAGTACGCCCCACGGCGCGAGCGCCATGCCTGGTACAACGGTTAGCGATAGCAGAGGAAGCTGGCCAATGCCAGAGCTGACCTTCAGCACGTGCCATTGGGATGATTTCGCGTTCGAAAGACCTTTCCAAGATACTCCACTGTCCTTGGTAGACCACGAACTGGGACTTTCCGTGGCACCTCGCGTACTCGTTGGCTCTGGACACAACCCATGCGGGTGTGTCAGAGATACCCTATGAAAAAACGGACTTAGACATGACGACAAAGGGATGGAATAGACGAGTCTTACCAGATACAGCACCTTGCCCTGCTGGACGAGGGTATGCAAGCCGTTCATCATCTCGGGAATAGAAGTCTCATAGTCCCACCAATGGACATATAAGATGTCAATGTAGGACGTTCGCAGCTTCTTAAGACTCGCGTCTACGCTCACGTGAAGGGACTTGACGTTGTTGCCCATGAAGAGCACCTGCTGCTTGACAGACGCCTCTCCACGCAGATAATTGTTCGTGTACTACAAGGCAGAAAAAGGGTGCAGTTAGTTTGCGATGGACTAGGAAACACACACACACAACAAAGAAGGCATGCTTACCTTGGTGGCGATGACTAGCTGGTCGCGAATCCCGCGTGCCTCGGCCCATTCGCCGATGAACTCCTCGGAAGACTGGTATTGGTAGACGTTCGCGGTATCGATGAAATTGCCGCCCGCATCGTAAAATGCGTCCAGAAGCTTGAAGGAGGACTCCTTGTCCGAGTTGCCTAGGCCCATCTGGCTCCCCTTGTCGCCAATGCTCATCGCACCGAGCTGGAGGGGCGAGACGTGGATCGCCGCCGTCGGCGAGAAGAGGCGGTAGCGCCCGAGACGGGTAGCGGGAGTTTGGTCTTTGTGGCCGAATCGGGTCGTCATGAGGAATATGCTGAGTAGAAGGGAGCGTTCGATGGCTTTGCGATGCTGCTGGATGAGACAGGCGAATAAGCCCTTTTATAAGATTTGTGGACTGTTCTTCAGCTATACAGCGACGCTGACGCAGTCACCGTGGGGCTCGCAATCTCTGTGGCGCTCAAGGGATGTTGATAAGAAACCGAACTACTCGAGCTCATCGTGCTTGCGTAGAACTGTTGAGAGTGTCAGATATTTTTGTCAAAGAATAGCTTGAGACGCGTTATGGACTCACTTGAAGTAGAACTCGGGGAACAGTGGCTATCGGTCGGTTCCTGTTCTGAGGAGTCTGGGGCATACAGGTTCGGAGCGGTCCCCGACATCGCTCTCCCACTTCCAACCGCTTAATTACGAGCATGTAGGCGAAATCTGCTGGGGGAAGTTAAAACGTTAAAAGGTTGACAGCTGCGTAGAAAGGAGGACGCGTCGACGCGGCTGCGTGAAGACAGTCAATTGTGATGACCAAATCACTTTTAAGACACCGCTTTCGGAGTTGTACCGGAGCAAGTCGGTAATCTTCGGTTCAGATTATCGCAGTAGTAATCCATAGTAGTACAATATCTTTTCAACGCAACTAGAACGCGGGGACTAATGATTGGCTATGGATGTATGTGGTACAACTTCACAAGTAGTAATCAATGCCATAGCCTAAGAGATAGCACTGCGCCGCGTCGATCCACGCGGAGTCCTTCAGCGGTATATCCATCATCCTCACGTCTGTGTCTGCCCCAGCCGTCGGAGACACTACGTTCCAAGGACCAACGGCTGCCATCGTTGCCGCTGACTTCGTATACCCACGGGAAGTCATGTATGCTGGGTCCGGGTTCGGATCGAAAGAACGCGCAAACGATGTCCAGTAGTCGACGGCGACCTGGGAGAGCGTCCAGTCCGCGGTGTCGCGAAAGTGCTCAGCAGACTGGCCGAGGGTACCTGCGGTGTAGAAAAGCTCGCCTGAGTGGCACCTGATGGATTATAAATTTGAACAGTCAATCAGCGAAAATAGTCGGTTTAACGGAAAAGACAAACCTGTAGTAAGGCAAGCTGGGATCGCCGTACGGGTAGTCCGCAGTTGCGGGAGGATCACAGATATCAGACAGAGGTTCCCAGCCCATGTAGCTCCTTTCAAACTGGTATGCGTGGACCGAAGCGAAGACGTGGTTTTTCGCTGCCGCATACATAGTAGCCTGATCTATGCACCTGTGACGAGTAACAACTTGTGTATGAGATAGAAATTACAAGGACGGTTTATAGCACACACCTGAATTCGCCGTCGGTAGCAACACGACTTGAAGCATTGAATATGTCCCAAGTAATGTTCGTTCCAGAGGTAGACACGGGGAACAATCCAGAGTTGACGATCGCCGTCGTCTCGTTTTCCGTCAAGCTAGCATCAAATACTTAGTGCTAGTACCCGAGATGGCGCGTGTCTTCTTACCCGATACTCATGATACTCTGGAAGGACGTTTCGCCCTCAGATGGCCATGACCTGACGACATCCGCCCCGTCATCACGCATCCAGCCGAAGATGACATGCGGGAGAGTCTCCGAAGACGATGGGCCAGAAAGATCCAGCTCGGGGCTGGTTATATATGTTCCGTCCATGATAACGTACCTGTGCATATCATATCAAAAATCCAATGATAGACTTTTCATAAGATACGACGACATACGCTGGCGGATTAGGCGCATTCACCAGCACTGTCGCATTAACTGTCTTCAAGCATGCGAGCTGTTCCACCGAAGTTCCGTTCACAGTGCTGTTACACCCGACGTATTCGAGTAGGCTTGGGACAGAGACACTGACTTCTTGCGGGATGGTGTAGTAGTCGGCATAAGAACGGGAACTTGCGAAGCCTCCAACGCTGCTCTGCGCAATCGCACCTGCGAAAAGGCTTTCGCCTTATGGATGGTTAAGTACCATGTACAGGCATTAGGATCCGATAGACTCCAGCACCGTGCTTACCTCTAGCAACAGGCGATGCGAGCAATGCACGGACGCTAGTTGCACCTGCAGATTGCCCGTGAATAGTAACTCTGGACGGATCTCCGCCGAATGCGGCGATGTGTGCTTGAACCCATCTCAAAGCGGTAATCTGACGAGCAGATCAGAAAATGGATGAGAATGACGAAGACTCTGTCGTGTACCTGGTCTGCGAGACCATAGTTCCCATTCGCTACGCCGTCCTCCAGCGCGAGGAAACCTAGCGTACTCAGTCTAAAAGTCTGGTCAGTAAGGCGCAGGTACCGCACTATGCGTAGAGGAAAGACGCACCGATAATTGATGGTGACAGTGACAACATCGCCTCTGCTAGCCTTGTTCCCTCCATCAAAAATTCCGTCGCTACCCTCGCCGGTCTCGTATGCCCCGCCATGGATCCAGAACATCACCGGTTTCAACTTGTCTGCATCGGGAGACGCAGTGTTCGCTGGCAGGTACGGCGTCTGAATGTTGAGGTATAGGCAGTCTTCGGATCCATATCCGACCTGGGTACAGGGCGAGCCGTATTCGAGTGCTGTGATGCTCGTGTTGACGGTCGCGCCTGAGGTCCCGTATACAGCTGAGTAAGTCCAGCGCTCGAAGGGGTCGGCGTAGGGAATGCCGATGAAGCGGAAGGACAGATGATCACGCGTCCTGGTAGATGAAAAGGTAGGGTTATTTATGACGAAGACGGTGAAAAGAAGAAGACACACCCCGTAAATGTGTAGTTCCCAGAAGTCGCCTCGACATAGTACGCCGGGCTCATGTCTGTCTCGTTGTTCGGCCTGTACGGTGCGCTCTGCGCGCAAAACGCGGGAAGCGTCTCGTCGCAGCTCACGCTCTGCATAATTACGTCCCCCAAGATCGCCGTACACCCCTCAGATGCATTGCTTGCATTAGCCGTGACCCAGTATTGCTGCGTCGCCGACGAGTTGCCAAGGTACCCGAGATACGAAAGCAGGTAGCGCATGTCGCTCGCGAAATAAGTCCCATTCGTCTGCAACAGTGGCTCGTTGAGTTGTGCGCACGCCGCTAGCGCATCCGTGTTGGTGAGTGGTGTGCTCAGGAGGATGGTGCCGTTGTGGTCTGGGGCAGTTGTCCCTGTGATACCCGTTCCAAACCAGAGGAAGTGGACGTCAGATTGCCAGCCGCCAAAATGCATTCGGAGATTCGTCAAGACTCACAGTTCAGGTCATTTTGGAAGAGGAACGTCAGATCGGATCCGATACTTGCTGCAGATGGTGCACCCATCACCGTAGCGAAAGGAGTAAAGAAGGCACACAGCGCAGCTAGAACCGTGCGGACGAGCATCGTCGCCAACGACACGAAACAGGGATGAACGCTCGAACGAGGTAATGATCCATCGTGCATATATGCACGTTTCCTATTTCTGTACGTACTTCGAGGACTTCCCGCCTTGTGATCAGCTTCGCGGTCATGGGTGGAGTTGGTCCCGAAATGTCTCCGACAGAGGAGGTCATCATTAGGACTACTGGATGGGGTCCGGTGTTGTGCAATATCCTGAGGATACCATTACGAGTAAGATAGTTTCGAGGAAACGGGATCCATGACAACTTTGCGGGCTGCAAGACTAGGTATGTTGTGCACTCGAACGGTTCCCTTGTTTGCTAAGGACTAATGGGCAGTGACGTGTAGTATTGATAGTAGACGAAACCGATGAATACTCATCGGTGCGAAGGGACACTGGGAGAGACCACAAGATCGAATCAGCTGAAGAAGCCTGCGGCGGATATGGGTGCCAGTGGTAGCGGGTGGGGGCTTGGATGCGCGAAACGCTTTGCCGCGGGAATTTATCCTGTTGAACCTACCCTGAACTAGACGCGGCATTCCGTTGTTCGCCAAGATCATTCAAGCGCTTTATTATAGCAAGCGGCTATCTTCCGCATTATATATATATAAGGGTCTGCATACGGGAAAGCAGCTCAAACTTTGGAGTAGGGAGGCCAGGAGCCAGAGCGATGGAGCAGAACATAGAGAGCGGAGTAGATAGGGGCCATCCATATCGGGATAAGCTTAGTCAGCAGTAGTACAGACACGCTGCGCGCGCATGTAGAGCAGAGTCTCAGCAGACCAGCATGACGAATACATCCGCAATACATCCAAAATACATCCAGCCTACACCAGTACAACGTCCAATGGGCTTTTCCAGCCGTTGCCGTATCCATGCCTGCGAGTACTCTGATTGCTCAGACCGAATGTGGAGACTTCATCTACTAAGGTCCGTAAATGCGCTACACGCCAACTAACCCCCTTATCAAGATCAATGACACCAAATGACACAATCAGGGCTCAATTTGGCTACCAGGGACCCTCAACTATTCTAAATCCACTCAAACCTTCTTCGGGTCCTTACATCGTGGTCCGATCTCTAACAAAGTTTGGCGGTGTATCTCCCTCATAACGTTAACCTTCCATTTTACCAATAACAGATGGTCACATACTATAGCTAGTTCTGGGAACTAGACGCCCTGCTTGATTCCCCTTATATATGGGAAGTACCTTCAAATCTTTACAACCCCTATTTCTCTTTGACACAGAGAAACATCATGGCCCCACTCGCAGACTCGTACTTGCGTTCGATGTCGGAACCAGCCAAGGTAGCATATCTTATTGCATTCTAGACCCTGGAGACGTTCCTTGGATCCGAAATGTGTATCGGTATGTGTGACGTTCCTTGACTATTCGCGAAACAAAAACGAAACACCAAGATGACAAAACATTCGTCATCCGGCACAGTTACCCAGCTCAAGAGCATGTCGGCGGGCACCTCAAGGTTCCTTCTATTCTGTACTACGATCGGAACGGAATCGCGCGCGCTATAGGGGATGAAGTCCTTCAAGAAAGTATCATGGACGAAGCAGAGGCTGAAGGATGGGTAAAAGTCGAGATGTAATGCACTTATAAGCCAACCATGGGTAGCAGATCATTGACAAAAACACGCAGGTGGAAAGCCTATTTACAACCCGAAAATGTGGCGTCCAGGGAACTCACCGACATGACCCTTCCTCCGTTACCTTTCGGCAAAACAGTAACTGAAATCCTCGGAGACTTCCTTCGATACTTGTTCGCTTGTGCAACAGCGTACATTCACAGGACGCATAACGACGTAACCACTTGGATGTTGTGCGACACCAATTTTGTTATCACTATCCATAACGGCTGGGATTCGCGGACGGCCCAGTTCCGTCAGGCAGTAGTTCTTGCGGGTTTAGTTGGGAAAAGCCCTCAAGACCAACAAAGGGTTAATTTCGTAACTAAAGGCGAGGCGAAGACATGGTTTTGTCTTGAGATCGATGCACAAAAGGCGAGCGTAAGCAAACCAGTCCTTCATCGCTGTCCGGTACTCATTATAATGAGTCCAGCTTGACCAGGGAGTGATCCTCATCGACGCAGGGAAGGAGACGGTAGACCTGAGTACCGTTTACATGTGCAATAATGTTATAGAGGATTTACTGCCCCTGTGCCGTAAGTACCATGTGAAGCTTTATTCATGGTCTAACCTTTGGGATAAGGCTTGCATCAGGGTTCTACTCATGTAAAAAAGCGGGCAGGTATCTTCTTGAGAGGTAATCACACATTCCATCGGTTTTGAACTAGTATGTATAACGTTATATTTGCAGATAAACTAGGCGCATCGAAATATTGTGCTGAAGATTCCATTCACTCAATGACTGAGAGTTTTGGTAAGATTGCGCTGTGGAGATTCAGCGACTCATCCGAACCATTATACGTCAAATTCGGGACGATAAGGGACAACGATACTGCCTTCAATATCCGCTCTGGCCAACTGAAGCTGAAAGGGTACGCCTTTGCTCTCTCACTATACTTTGCCTGACGTATGCTCTCAGGACCGATGTTGCAGCACTATTTGAACCTTCGGTCGGCTCCATAGCTGGTGCTATCCGCGAGCTACGGAAAGGTACAATGAAACATATCAGCGTTAGTTTTTGTTTCATCCGAGAAAAAGAGGCTAATTAACCCATTCATATTCAGAACGTGTTTCTCTTGGGTGAATTCGCGGCAAGCGATTGGCTTTTTCAGAGTTTGAACAAAGTTCTTGAAGACGATGGTCTATTTGTATATCGGCCAGACCGTTACTTGTCAGTCACTGCAACAGGCTAAAACGTTGACAAACTCTCATCTTTGTCTTCGGCAGCTCTAATTCGGCAGCCAACGGGGCCGTTGCCTTCTATCTCGATAACATCAGGGCTAAAACTGCCTCTTTTACGTATGGTATTCGCTGTGCCATCACGTACGACAAGGACGATCCCGCGCATATAACGCGTGAAAATACGCTGATCTCTCGGCCCTCGGGAAGGGCTTCCCTGGTGAACGTTTTTAGTCCTGTTGTTACGAAGGTATGTGCATCACATAAGCACATTTTATCGATTGTGATATTGTCTGCAAGGGTACCCGGGTCCCAGAGTATAAAGAGTTCCGCAAAGAGTTCATAGTGGAGAGCACACCGCAATCTACGTTCACTATCATTTCGACGGACGTCGTCTACTACCATGGAGAAAACCCAAACCCAAGGTGGATAGACTTAGAACCAGGTACCGTATTTGCTTCCGTCGCATTAAAAAAACACCGCCTCACTAACTTACGTAGAGAAGTTCAAAAGCCTTTGCACACTGAAAGTTGACAGGAGTTTGATTCCCAGGACTGTGGTCCCCAAGCAAAGTGTCGATGACGCTCCATGCTATCGACAAGAGTTCTGTTTGGTGCTTATTTTGGGGATCGGCGAGTCGAAAGCACAGATAAGCTGGATGGAAAACGTAAGCTTAATTCTTGGATACTTGATGGATGCTCACGCGACGGAAACAGGATTCAGAGCGCAGGTAATGACATACTGTCTGTCATCACAGTGAAATACATGTGGTAATCGTTTGCAACTTCCAGGACTCCTATAACGTTGGTACTTGACCATGACATTGATGAGAAGTAGATTAGGAATGTCCACTGCTTGCCGAATTTCCTCGAATAGCCGCATTTAGTCGCAAACTGTAAATCGCAGAGATATGTGATGGAAGATAATAGATGCAAGTAGTCGCGACTTTGTGCCCTCCATAATATCCGGTCAGGCACGAGTCAGAGTCCAATTGGAGGGAGGCTTGCCTCCGAAGCAGCGACTAGTTTGATTCGTCCTGTCTATCGTGGGCAATCTCTTGCAAGCTACAGAATCTCGCGACTCGTGGTCACCAGTGCTTTCAAGAAATTTGCAAGAGCGACGATTTGGAGGTTGGAGGCCGGGCCCTAGGCAAGTTGATAACGTCGGATCTCGCGCAGAACCAGCAACTCGACATAATGATTGTTACATATTGGGAGGGGGATATTTATTTTCCATTGGACTGTAAGGCTGGTAAATAAATGTGATATTCAAGCGCAGCCCAATCATTGCTCGAAAACCATCTGATGGGTTTATAAACACCCTTCTGACGATACCATGTCGGACGCCAAAGGCACCAAGCGTCCTGGGGAGGCGGCGAAAACACTACTTCTGCTTCCGCGCGGTAATCCGAGACCTGGTCATCATTGACGACCGTCGGCTCCCAGCCATGACATCTAGCGTCATGACAAGCTTGAATGGACCAAAGACGCAGGTCGCTAGTTGGCAGCGCAGACCTGACAGGTGGGGAAGGATCCCATTCGAGAAGGGGGCTATCCGAGATCGAGGCGAAAGGAATGAGTCCAAATAGCAGGGGGTGGAGCCGTCGAGATGAACGATCGGGGTGTCGAAAGGTACGAGGAATTTGGTGCTTTCTCCATCGCCATCCCGCCTCGTAGAGGCTCTCCACCGCATCAATGGCAAGGATGTATGGTGCCCGGTCTTTTAGCGGACCATATAGTCTGTAAGCTGCTTCTAACGCAAGCTTCACATTTATCGAATCCCGCCCGCAAATCCTTTCCAATTTCTGGGAGGCGTTGTACACCACGAAATGCGGATGAACGTGACTTAGTATAGGACCCAACGTGGCGAACGGGTATGTGTGAACGGTGCGAGTGCCGTGCGGCGACTCGGTGGTGATAACTTCACCAACCAGAGATGAACGAGGGACAAAATAGTACTTGAAGATGCTTTGGCATCGCAGCCACTATCAAAATAGGGCGGTCAGCCAATACGCGCTAACAAGTAACGCCGTACCTTATTGAGTTTGAAGCGGGCCGCAGCAGTCCGCCTTTTTGGCAATGCCGCCAACGACTGGATTGTGTCATAGTCTGGAAGCAGTAGCCACTGCTCGTTGTCAAACCGTTTCTTCCACTCTGCGCCGACTGCGTTTGTCGTTAGCGCGATAAAGCCAACGCTTCGGGGGGAAGACTGCCATCCAAAGAATGTATTATGAGGACTCGCAACGTCCAGACGCCGCCATCCCATTCCCCATGCCCACTCAAGCTGCGTAAGCTAGTGACGTGTTTCTTGATAAGTACATTTGGGAAGGGCAGGCATACACGAGACTCAAGCGGGGACTCACCATTTTATCACTGGTGTCCACCGGAAGGAAATGGAGACTCTCAACGCCAGTCCTCCGACGAGTGATTGCACACCGCCCTCGATTTGGGTCTAGTTCTCTCGCTTTTCTGAGCTTGATGTGGTGTTTGGCGCGTTGTTGACCGCTATGTGGATTCATGTGTGCATGTTTGTAGGGTGACTGGGCCGCATGCTTGCCGTCGTAATAGTCATCTCCAGATGTCGCCGAGTCAGAGCATGACTGCACCTCACAGCGGGTGAGATGCTGGAGTTTACTGGAGTTTGGGATGCTACCCATTGGATGCGTAGAGTCTTGCGAGGATGTTGTGGCGTGCGTTCTATCTAAATTCTGAGCCTAACGACCTGTGAGGTCAACTCGACGCGACGCGTTATCAGTAAACGTAATAACATTGGTTGAGTCACAAAAAAGACGCGTTATCAGCGCGTAGTCACACATCACACGTTATCTTAGTCACATCTCATAGTCACGCATTTTTTCCACGCGTTTTATCCTGTCTTATCAATCCTTTACTTTGCTCGACTCAGTGCCAGCTCGTTGCGATATCATCTTGAAGTCCACTTTCCTTTCCAACCCGAGGATGGACGGGAAAGAACACGAAACACCCAAAGAGCTGCTCACACTGCTCGAGGGGAGCCTACGCTGCTGCTTGCGATACACCAAGGCTCTGCCGCGGAACTTCTCGTACCCTGATCACGTCCGGAGTATTATTAAATCTTTACATGAGGAGATCATGAAGACAGCTGGTCAAGCTAATTTGGATGAGAACCAAGACATAGTCACCAACCTTAGTAAGAGGTCATTGGCATGTAGAAGACCCCAGCTTGGTTGACGCTCATCTAGCACCAGTAACACCGCCGTTGCTCACTACGTCCGCTGTGACCGAGTCTGTCCAATCAGAAGTTACGCACCTTGACGCGACTTCGCGCTTTCTTTCCGACGGCCCGAAGGAGGCGTTTGGACCCATAGAAAGTGGAAGGTGCGAGGAGGTGCAAACGGTAGCGCTCGTGAGTACCCTCACCTTTTTATTGGTTAACCGTTATGCATATCAACATAGCCAACGAAATGTGAGCTTCAACCTGAAAATGCGCAACCAGCCTCGGCTGTATCCATTCCATATGAACTCCTGGTCCACATCCTGGACCTGGCGTGCGCCCCATCATCACTCATTGACCCTCATATACGGCGCGGACCGAAATCAGCTTGGTCTCAAAATCTGCGCTTCCAGAAAGCATTAGCATCTGTGTGTAAAGCTTGGTGGGAGCCGGCACACGAGTTGCTGTATCACCACGTTGTCATTCGACGCCTTGAACAGCTACCCCTCTTATTCAGGACGCTATTGGACAACGCTACGCTACGGTCCCTAGTAAAAGAGATTAGCGTGCTCTGTCACATTGTAACCGGACACCGCCGCCTACTCGATCTGTCACTCGCGATGATCCTGTCTGCCTGCCCAAATATTAGCCGAATCGCGTATAATCCCACCTTAGATGGCCCTATCTCTCCGGTTACTGGAGCCGTCCCCGACTTCGTACCAAAGGAACGCCTCTCTCAGATAATCCATATCGATTTGGGAGCACTGCACACAGTCCCAGAGTTGGCCCGTTTTTCCAACATCACCCTGCTCTCATGCGATGCGGGGAACTTTGCGCATGCTCTTGACGATAAACCGTACACATTCCGTGTCCTCGAGGAGCTCAGGTTGTCGTGGTTCTCCCCTATCGTTGCTACGGTCTTCAAGAAATTCTCCCCCGTAGTCTCTGGTCTACATCTCCCTGCTCTACGCCGGCTCACGTTTTTACTTCAGTGGAATAATGTAGAAGCAAGCGTAAACTGCGGACGCTTCCTGGATTGGCATGGCTCACAGCTGCGGTTCCTTGCGGTGGACTCTACGAGCTTTCCAAGAATCCGGGGCTTGAGCAAGTCTCTCACAGGCGAAGTTGTCCAAAAATGGCTTGACAAGTGCCCGATGCTCGAACATCTTGTGGTACCCCGTATAGAAGGCATGAAGCTTCTCAGGCACCCAAATCTACACTCTATAGACATAGTGGATGACGTGTATAATAAGGACGGTACACAGCCTACACCTTATACTATGTCCGGCCCAACAGGCAATGGCGTACCTCGCCTTCGTGCAACGCGCCTTCTCGATTGCGCACTCTTCAAGCAAGTCGGGCCCACACTCCCCCTGTTAATCCCGCCCGAGCGCTTCACTACGGCCAGACCAGTTATGTCGTGGTTTTATCCTGGACTGATGATTTGCGCGACCGAGCACGTCGTATGCTCTCTTGACATGGAATGTCTGCGAGTCTACGGATTTTCTCTGTCAGAAGACCCGGATCTATGGGAAGAGTCAGACGGAGAAAAGAATATGGAATTCATGGAGGGCGTGAACGAACACTCTGAATCCAGGGATAGCGAGGGCGTGGACTCAGATGACGAGACGTACGTGTATGAATCGGGATCGTTGTCGGAGTCGGAGTCAAGCGAGATGTCGGATGATGCGGTTTCCGAAGCTGGCGCTGAAGGCCCGGAAGTGGATCAGGCCATAGCAGCACTGGATACATTTGTGAGCATATTTCGTGCTTCATTATGGCCTTAGCACTTGCTGTAGGTGGTTGTATCCTGGGTCATCGGCACCATAACGCGTCCTAGTTGAACATGGCCTCCTGACGTCGAGGGAACGAATAGCCTGGCTTTTGTACCTCCTCTACACCATCCTTGGCGAACATCGTAGCATCAGTCTCACCTAGTTCATGTCAGAGTCATATCAATACACCGTAATAATTGTTATACTCTGGTATGGGATGTAACGGGTACGAGGAACCTACAACAACACCTTTGTGACAAACTCCAAACCCGTAAAGATGTAAGAGTACAGTCAATGGTAGTAGAAAGAACAGATACCAACGTTTTTATGTCCCAGAGAAAGCATCCGAAAGCGTGACAGCTCAAAGGTAATAGTCAATCCCATACCCGAGGTAATCGCACTGCTCAGTCTCGAGCCACGTCGACGCCTTCAAAGGAATATCCAACAGCATTAAATCAGTTCCTCCCTCCCCAGTCGCAGACACCGCGTCCCACGGGCCCGCAGCACTCATCGCTGCGGCAGAATTCTCATAACCCCGCGCAACCATATACGCCGGATCCGGGTTCGGATCGAACGTGCGCGCGAACGACGTCCAATAGTCGACCGCGACCTGCGACAGCGTCCAGTCGGCATCGTCGCGGAAGTGCAGCGCAGATTGGCCAAGTGTGCCAGCCGTGAAGTAGAGGTCGCCCGAGTGGCACCGGAAATAGGGCGCGTACGGGTCTCCGTACGGGTACTCGGTCGTCGCGGGCGGGAAGCACGTGTCGGCGAGGGGCTCGTAGCCCATGTAGGAGCGGTCGAACTCGTAGGCGCGGGCGGAGGCAAAGACGCCGTTCTTGGCGGCGGCGTACATCGTTGCTTGGTCCAGGCACCTACACACATGTGTGTCAAACGGGGGGAGATTGTAGAGGGCGGGAGTGAGTGTGCGTACCGGAACTCGCCGTCAGTGGCGACGTGACTCGTAGCGTTGAATATGTCCCAGGTGTAGTTTGTTCCTGTAGGAACTTCAAAGTAGCCCGAGTCGACGATCATCGTCGTTTGGTTTTCGGTCAGGCTAAGGTACGTAGATATCAGCATGATCGTTGAATGAAGGTCCACGGCGAATTGCTTACCCAATGCCAATAATGCTCTCCGCGGATGTCTCTCCGCTGTACGGCCACGCTCCTGCAAAATCTGCACCGTCGTCGCGCATCCATCCAAAGATGACATGGGGGAGGGTAGCCGTAGACGTTGTCGGCCCAGAGAGCTCAAGTTGTGGCGTGGTTATGTACGTCCCATCCACGACTACATATCTGTGTCATCATCCCATCAGTTCAAGGCAATCACAAGGTACACAGCAACCACCCACCTCGGTGCGGTAGGCGCATTGACCAACGCAGTCGCATTCGCGCCCTGCAAGCACTCGAGCTGCTCCGCCGCACTCGCATCCACGTAGTTCGCACACCCAACATACTCAAGCAGGCCCGGAATCGAGACGTTGTACTCCTGCGGAATAGTGTAATAGTTCGAGTACGTGTCCGCGTACCCGAACCCAGCGAGGTTGCTCTGCGCGATTGCACCTGCGAATAGGTTTTCTCCCCGCGCGACGGGGGATGCGAGGAGGGCACGCACGCTGCCTGCGCCTGCGGATTGCCCATGTATAGTGACCCGGGAAGCGTCACCGCCGAACGCGGCGATGTGAGACTGCACCCAGCGGAGGGCGGTGATCTGGTGTGTAGTTAGTACTGTTATTTCGAACGGGATTTTCGAACGGGATTGAAGAATGGAACGCTCACCTGGTCTGCGAGGCCGTAGTTCCCGTTTGCGACGCCGTCTTCAAGAGCGAGGAAACCTAGCGTGCTCAATCTGTCCCATCGAAATACAGCTTTCAGTGCATCTATTTAACCCTTTGGTAAAACTTGAACGCACCGATAGTTGATGGTGACAGTAACAACATCGCTCCTGCTCGCCCTGTTCCCGCCATCAAAAATGCCATCGCTGCCCTCGCCGCTCGTATACGCGCCACCGTGGATCCAGAACAGCACCGGACGCAGCTTAGTTGCATCAGGCGATGCAGTGTCTTCAGGCAGGTACGGTGTCTGGATGTTGAGGTACAGACAGTCTTCGGAGCCGTACCCAATCTGCGTGCAGGGCGAACCGTACTCGAGCGCCGTAATGTTCGTGCTCACGGAAGCGCCAGTGGTGCCGTAGACGGAGGAGTAAGTCCAGCGCTCAAAGGGATCGGCATAAGGGATGCCGATGAAGCGGAAGGAGAGGTGGTCGCGGGTCCTAGCAAACGAGGCACAGTGAGCAACATACGCGAACAGTCAAATAGGAATGTGATGCATTAGGACATACCCGGTGAACGTATAATCACCCGACGTGGTCTCGACGTAATACGCCGAACTCATGTCCGTCTCCGTGTTGGGCTCGTACGGCGCGCTCTGGGCACAGAACGCGGGGAGCGTCTCATCGCAGCTCGCGCTCTGCACACCCGCATTCTGCGATATCACAGCGCACTCTCCAGCGGTTATACTTGCGTTCGTAGCGACCCAGTACTGCTGTGTCGCCGAGGAGTCGCCGAGGTACGCGAGGTACGAGAGGAGGTAAGACATGTCGCTCGCGAAGTACGTGCCATTGGTCTGCAGCAGAGGCTCGTTGAGCTGCGTGCATGCCGCGAGCGCGTTCGCGTTCGTGAGCGGCGTGCTGAGAAGGATCGTGCCGTTGTGGTCGGGCGCAGTTGTCCCTGTATAGCACACCGAGTGGTGGCGTTATGACGTATCGGGATAGTATGGGAGGAGGAACGTGGGGTAGCATCAGCTTCGCGAACATCATAGGCGGAGCAAGGATGAACACTTACAGTTCAGATCATTCTGGAAGAGAAACGTGAGGTCAGATCCGATGCTCGCTGCCGACGGTACTGCCTGCACCATCGTGAGATGGTGAGCGACGGTACCCAGCAAAGCGAACCTTGCCAAAGTAGAGAGCATAGTATAGCAAGAGTGCGACGAGAGGCTACGATTGCTGGCTGAGGGAACGCCTCTCAGCACACATTTATACAGAGCGCTATTTTGAGCTTTCTTCCGAGGTTTTCATGCTTTTCCAGGCTTGTGATCCACGTCATGGGGAAGCGTGACCAAAATGGTACCGAAAGCACATTGTACTGAAAGAGATTCAGGGTACTGGGTGTGTACGTGTGCTGGTGATGACTGAGAAGCCGGAGGAATGTTCTTGCCAAAACAGTTCTGACGACGTTGGCATCACACCTGGGGGCTAGTTATAGGCTGCATGGGTGGGAATGGTGAAGCCGGTAGGAGATGAATGTGAAAGTGGGAGACAGTTCCTTCTGAGTTGGGTGTATGCGTCGAGAAGATGACAAAACACTAGAGGAAACCTAAGGCCTCAGGTTTGGAGAGACGAATGGAAGACTAGCAGACTCGTCTCTTGTCATGTTCCCACCTCGGTTCTGGGTCTGGAAGAGGCCAGATCCATTCAAGTGCTAAGATTTTGTGTACGAGTACCTTTTCGTCAGTCTATGGGCACATGTGAGATTGCTCTGCGCTCGAATGGTGGTTTGAGAGAAACAGAGGAGAGTGGCACCGCCACCGTCGCTGTCACGCCGGCTATCTAAAATTATCGCGGGTTGCCTGCCGAGCCAATCAATGGCAGTGGAATGGCAACAGCAGCCGAGCGCAACCAGACACCACCTCGCCGCTTTCAGCCACCCCATCCCCGTCATCCCCGCCTCTTGTCCCTTGTTCCCCAACTCGATTTCCATTCGACTGCTCGAGGTCACTTTGAGCCACTTGTGTACACTCGCTTCCTTCGTTTTCTTTCCAACTTCCTAGCCGGATCTAAAGACATCCCTTAAAGGAGCAACACCACGTCCTCCAACGCCTGAAGCTTGAAGCCTGACGACTTGGCAAGCGCCCGCACTCCAACACCCGCCAGACGCTCGAAAATATGCATTCCCCAATCCAACTCATCGCCCTCGTCCTCGCGTGGTCATCCTCCCTCGCCACCCTCGCCGTCGCGGTGCGCACTGGACCCAACGTCGCCCACCCACCAGTGCACGCCCTCGCCCAGCGCCAAGACTCATCTAGCACAACCGGCTCAGCTTCCAGCGCGAGCGGGAGCACAACCGGGACCGGAACTGCAACATCTTCGTCCTCGACGAACATCGGTTCGCCTTCTGTGACGACGACGAGCTCGGCCAACTGGCCGACGCTGAGCGGGTACCCGACGTGTGGTGAGTGGCCTCCGGGGGGCTCGGGAATGTTGGGAGAGAACGGATGATTGATGGTGATGCGGTGTCTCCGCTTGCGCAGTGACAAACTGCCTTCAGGAGGCTGTATCGGCGGCCAACTGCTCAAGTATCATCGACGTCGACTGCTATTGCAGCAAGTGCGTAGTGCTTGTCGCTCTCTCCATCCTCAGACCTTGCTGATCCACATCTCCCTCTCCCTTTCTACTGTTCTTCAATCTACAGCGCGGTCTTCGAGTCAACAATCGTCGACTGCACCGCTCAAGGGTGCTATTCTAGCGTCTCCTCCGCGGAATCGCTTGCGCAGCAGTTCTGCGACCGCGCAACGTACAACGTCTCTGTAACAGCCACGGGCACCAGCTCCGCCTCGATCTCGATCTCAACTTCCACCTCCTTCTCGCTCACATTCCCCAGCGCTACGCCCCCATCGACGTCCGCGTCCGCGTCCGGGACCGGCAGCGGTGGCTCTTCGGGGTCAAGTCCGACGGGTTCCACGGGTGGAGCTGTCGCCCTCACGAAGGATGTGACTGGGCTGAGCATGAGCATGGGTGTTGCGATGCTGGGTGTTTTGGCTGGGGCCGCGCTGCTCTGAGCTCGAAGGTCCAATTTATATCACCATCTCTTTCCTGACGCTACTTCGGCCCGACAGCCTCTACAGATAGACACATGGACAGACAAACGGGGTGGGATGAACATTATGTTCCGTGGCTCGACGATCGATATCCCCGCTCTTCGCTACGGATTTTTTCTGCGTTCTGGAGTGCATATACACATACATACTTACAACACGCACGACTGCACACGTATATACGAGTGTCGCGTACTGGGTACCGATTTTGAATACTGATACTGATTGATTACCCACCTGGACTTTCATACCTTTTTTCGTATGTTTTATTTTCGTTCATTACCTGCATTCATTCCAAGGTTTTGTCGTTGCCAAGCCTACTGCGTCCCCGCCTTGAATCATATTTGTTACTAGGTATAGGTCATATTGTTTGATACGACGTAAATCCATGCGCTTGTAGCATGTATCACTTCACAGCGGAATGAGAGCAGAAAACTGGCGAGGCAGAGGCATCGGTGGAAGGATAGGGGCTGAAAGCACAGCCACTAGCTCGTCGTCACTGGATATTGATCCATGATAATGCAAGTGCTTGATGTATCCTCACGGTGATCTCTCGACAGCGGCTGGGGCATAGACATGCACACGCAGCTTCAATTTGTGTATACTCTATCATTTTTTATTACGGCCTCAAGCAAAAAATCTAGCACGATGAGCTCTGCTTCCTCATGCAGTGCCCACTGTGAAGGCGCGTCGTACAGTGGGAAATAAATGCACAATCTTGCCTTGATTATATCCACACCAACAACACCATGTGTCATCCACACCTTGTCTGGATGCTCGCACTTAACAGATATTATCGGAGACTCCTTGATCACGGTGTGGCACCCCCAAAAGGTGTTCGTCTCTGAATTGTCGCCGGTTTCCTCCTGTACGTGCTGGTCAGTTGGGGCTATCTCGTCTAAATCGAGGATCCTGATGTCCAGAGCAGCAAGGCAAATACAGTTCTCCCTTTTTTCAGGATCGGTATCTGTGAATTCAGGGGCCATCCGGAAGACGCGCGTCGCTCCGCAGAGGCTAGGAAGCATAGCGCCATGCGTGAACGCGTTCCAGTGCATGGGCATATCCGCAACGAGCTCAGTGTGAATTCCAATGGATGTATGAGGTGGGGCATCCTCGGGCGGTATGGTGAGGTGCATGACAAACAGGGAGAGCTGTTTTGTAGGAGGTCCCATCCAAGGGATCGGTACTGTGGGTGCCAACCAGGGATATGAGTGTGCTACTACTAGCACACCTTGTGGGAACCGTTTGGATGGAGTCGCGCAGTAGGGCTGGGGGATCCCAATGTGGTCATGCCGGCCAGAGGCTCGGGTAGCCAAAGAAGTATGCTGCTCTAGCGCGATCCGAATTATTGGCAGACAATGCGTAACGCAATGGAATAGCACACATCCACATGCCCGAGTTTGGTCTGGGCATCCACCCGGGTTCATCGTAATAGCCCAGCATCAGAAGATGAGTTCTCGAAAGGATGATGTGGTTAAGGAAGCCAGAGCTGGTCACAGATTGTTGGATGTTCTATGAATATCCAATGATAGTGAGCGGCGGCTTGACAGCCGACTAAGTTCATAACGACGTACATCGTTAAAAGTCGCAAGAGAATAAACATGTACATCTGTTGTTGATGCACCGAACTCCCACAGAAGGAAATGTGTCTCGAGTTTCAAGTCCTCCTGGGGCGTGGACACAGCTTTCCACGTCACGCAAAAGACTGTTGGACCAATGTTAACTGTATTCAGGGACTGATTTTGCATCTGAGGGCCTGCAGCGAGGCTGTATATCTCCGTAAATTCGATGCCAGAAGCGACCTCGGACGCCTCGAGAACGTGTCTACGTCATAATACCGGGTGGACGCCGAGCATGAGCATGACCCATAATAACTCGGCAGAGCAACTCACTCACATATTAATAAGCTCTTGTATTTCCTCGGAGAAAGTGCTATAGGCTAAGCAACCGTGCCACAACCCATTCTCGCCGATGATATCTGTAGCGAGGCTCTCGGAGAAGCCATATCCATGTGGTATTTCGCATATGATCATCGGCTGCGCGAGTGTATCTCCGTTTTTGAGCGTTGCATCAAGGTCTCGACATGTGAGGAATCGCTCTCGAACGAAAGAGATGAGCCATCTGCCATGCAGTAACTGTCGAGGGAACTCTGAGTCTAGTTGCGGTACACCGCCAGATGGAGAGAGCGCGAGAGTGTGCCGCTTCATGCTGCGGTGCAAGTGCACATCATCGTCACGGAAGAGACGTTGATCAAGCACTGCACTCTGTGTGAGCGCGTCCTCAAGCATCTGGCGCGTATGAGTCGGGTGTGGCGCAGCCAGCCCAGCGTGGGGGAGGGTTGTGTGTGCATAGATCAGGCTCCACACCGCCCTTTCGTACGTGAGCTCGTTGAGGACACGGGAGGTCTTTAAATCAAGTCACAAACTATTGGAGAGGCATGACTAAAAAGATGAGCGATATCGCATACCTTTCGCAATCTGAGGATGTCGAAGGGTTCAAGATGCCCGGCGATTTTGATGAGAATGTCGAATGGCAAGCTTCCAAGGTACCAAAGCCCATGCCTCCGCGTCCCCGGCTCAAGCGCTCATACGGGAACCCAGCGCTAACCCTAACCCTCGTAACTCTGCCAAATAGAAGCAAACAAAAGCCGGACCGAAGTAAATGTTAAAGACGTTGCAACCCGTCCAATTCACTAGTATCACTCATTACTCTTCGCAATTCAATGGGTTCGAAGAAGTCAGTGTTCCGTACATGTTTATCCCAACCAGCAAAGTTGGTCAATTTTTGTTGGAGCTGCACAGAGGCAGTACTCTAGAATAATCATACACTGAAAGACGTCACAAGATATACTCGACCAACGACTTAATAGACGTTACATAACAGCAGGGCAGCAAAGATACATCATCTCAGGGGTCATTTCCTCCCCCGACCCAGCAACGTTCTTCACCCAAAGCAACGTCTACTTCCCCTTGCCCTCCGCCGCATCCTTCGCAGCCCTCGCCTTCCGCTTATGCCTCCTCACATGCCTCTCCGTCCTGTCGTCCGCAATGCTCACGAGCACATTCCGGTGCTGCACCTCCCCGACCTGCAGCGGCACCCGCGCGTTCCTGCACGGCGTGCGCTTGAGCCACGCGACGTCCTCCCGCACGACGTCGTGGCAGAACAGATCGAGCTCGAGATCGTTCTCCTCGTACCCGAACGGTTGCTCGATCTCGTCGCCGACGGCGAGGAAGCCGAGGTAGATGAAGGATGCGACGGCGACGCCCGGGATGGTGAACCACCCGAAGTCCTTGATGAGCTGGAAGGGGAGGAAGAAGAGGTAGAGCCAGACGGTGTGCCGGAGGTGGCAGGAGAAAACGAAGGGGAGAGGTGTGGTTAGGATTTTCTCGAGCGCTGGTGGAGAGTCAATGCGGATCAGACAGGTAGTTATGATAAACGAGGGAGACAACGTACTGCAGAGTGAGTCCTCGTAAGCTGCGATCGAGCTGTAGATCGTGCCCAACGCCGAACCTTAGTGATCATCCATGTCAGCCTCGGACTCACCGTCGCTTGAGCATCTAATGATAGCTCACCTGGAATAGCACCGCGCTCCTCAAGCACCACCCCCCACTCGCTAAAGCCCCTCAAAATCTCCAATGGCAGATTCTGCCCGCCACCCGCCACCTTCGGCCGATGCTTCCTCGACCTGTTCGCAGCCTCCTCGATTTTATACACTCTATCCCTCCGCCTGAAAGCCCTGCCCACACGCGCGAACCCGCGCCCGATTGCACTGAAGAAACTCTCGAACGGGATGAGGTCCGCGTTAGTCTGCCCAAAGTACCCCGCAGTTCGCTTACGCGTGCGCGAAGGCAAGAGCGTGTGGTGTTCGTCGGAACGGTCGTCGTCATCGTCCGAAGAAGAGCAGGACGAGCGGTCGCTGTCGTCCACTGCGGAAGACGAGATGCCAGACGGGCGCCGGACTAGCGTCGTTGCGGCGGATGTGTGCCCAGGGGCTACGGATTCGAAGGTGCCGTAGACGCTCGGACGCGATTTCTTTCCGTTGCTTCCGGAGGGCGCAGCGAGCGTGGCTTCGCCGGCGAGCTGGGCGGCGGCTTCCTCGGGCGTGTGTGCGGTCTTCTTGCTATGGTGCATGTGAAGATGGTGGCGCTATATATAGTTGCGGTGAGTAGCCGCTCTGTGAAAAACGGTGAAGACAAGTAGAGATGGTTGTACGTACCTGTCCGTGCACAAGCGGGTACAGATCCTCGTAGTATACCCCAATTTCACCACGGAGATGGTGCTTGAGCGAAATAACGAATCTGTATTGCACCGTGTTCGATCACGGAGGTTAGCAAGTTCCGTTAGAGCAACAATACGGGCGCATCACGTACGCCTGAACCAGATCCAGTGCTCTCATCTTCTCGGCCATCATGACCTCAGCCTCTTCATCCTCTTCTTCTTCCACAACGACGCCGTCGACTTGAATGCCGTCTTTGGCCTTGGGACTGAGATGGAGGGGAACGTGGAACCAGATGACGCGTGCGAGCGTGCGCGACGTGCGGATGACGTCGCCCCACCCGCTACGGCCCATCCAGAAGCGGTCATAGCCGCTGGAAGCACGGTAGGAGATAACGAAACCGAGGACGAGACCTGGATGATACCACGTCTGTCAGCCGGTGCGGCGTTGAGGGACAGTGAAAGGGACTCGCCAAGGACGGTTAACATAACAGAGGGAATTCCGAGCCAGTATTTAGTTTTCAGAGAGATAGTGGTAATGACTTTTCAGAATGGGGCTTCTGTTAGCGTTCCTCCGGTATATAACGCGTATAAGACGAGTGACGCACCAGCAGCAACGAGAGTATGCAAGAGCACTGCGGGCCAGATCCTGTGTATCTACCACACCCAGCACTTCACGTAAGCTTGTGTCACCGGCAGACGCGCTAAGTCACGACCAGGAGACGGGCCACTCACCACCGTACCACGTCCGAACGTCCACGAGATAAACTCGCGATTAGGAACGATCGACATGACGGTTTCGATGCGCGCTTCGGCTGCGGGCAGGATCTCGTGGTTGCCCGTGAAGGAGCGACGGGAGCCACGCGTAGACATGTTTGATTAGTTGTTCTTGTTCTTCCTCAAGTTGTTTCTAGTCCTTCGTGTGGGTATAGCGCGAGGGTATGCCAACGCGATGCGTCGAGTGACGAACCAAAGTGAGCGGTGGTATAGATTGTTAGGTGGAATTCCCTAGTCAGAAAATGAAAGGTGGGTGGGTATGTCGAGGGGTATGTCGAGGTGGGTATCCACGAAGAGAACGGATGGGAAGGGAGGAGATATTATAAGAGAACGGGTCCTTTGCTTGTCATACGCTCATGTGGAAACAAATGATGCGCGCGCGCCGTCCAATGCCGGCAAACTGTTCCCGCTCGTCACACGTCACACAGCTCTAAATTTAGACATTATCGCCCCTGACTATGACGACACTCCGCTGCGAGGTCTCGCGAACAACTTGCTAGGCTCGGTTACCCTTGCATTCATTATACTCAAGGCTGTGGACTGCTGACTCGGTAATCCCGCGCTGTATGCCGTACGAGAGACAGTGAGTGACAGCTGTACGAATAAAGCACTCAGTCGTGCGTCGCGATCCAAAGCTTGGGGAACTGAAACATCAGGTTGACATTAGCTAGACGTCTGGTGAGAGCGAGTGAACACTAAAGGATTGTTCGAGAGTAGGCCAGAAGCAACTTAACTCCGACTTTGCGAGGCGTAGCTTTGTGTCTATACCAAATACAACATTTATTGCATTTTGAACGCTCTCGATGCTAAGTAATTCGACGGAGTCTTTGAGTGATAATACGGTAACGTAACATATTATCTAAATATACAGTGTCTGACAATCTGTCCGTGGAAACAAGTGAGACATAGATAAGTACTCAACCCATATATATATGTTTAAGCGACAGTGCGACTCGAAATTGCTGTCAAATTCCCTAGAGAATCAAATTATAAACGGTGCAAGAGGTTTGTCAATACACTAGCGAACCTGATTGTTGGCCCTCCACATCCTGTTGCGCACGCGCAAACACCATGCCAGTCATGAACTCACTCGACCCAGCTGACTTTGTTTCTAGTGCCTTGGCGTAGCTCTTCTGTAGACTGATAACCATCCAAGGGCCTGTCATGACGAACAAAACAGTCTGTAACGTCAAATCCAGCGCTTGGAAGATAATTGACTGAGATTATTGAGACCCGTGTCAACGTCAGCTTCCTTGATTATAAACCAGCTATGTCCCTCACCTGGCTCAAAGAAGGGATTATTCCGATGGAGGAAAGAAGCATGGATAACAGCGCGCTTCAATTTGACAAACCATGAGTTCCCAAGTACAAATAGGACGAATGCCACAGTAGGTCGCACTCACACGAAGAAGTATGACAAATTTCCACGCACAATGAACCGTGCAAGGTTTCTTGCGCCTTGCCTTGGCGTGATCCAAAGTGAAGCTGGAATGTTTTTGGCGACATATCTCAGGGAAAATACGCAAAGAATGACTTCAAACACCAATGCAAAGGTACTGGCGAGTGGCTCCCTCCAACGTTGCCCTGAAGGAACATTCCAAATGCAGGTGTGGATGGTGAGAAAGCCCGCGTCAGCTAATGTACACACTACTTATTAGCGACCGTAACTTCAAGCATGAGGAACTTACTCCAATAGTCTGCATATTGTGCGAGAGACAAGCAGGTGAGGGTAATGGCGATGCCTTGTGTGATGAAGAAGCATGGCCCAATAACAAGGAGTGTTCGTTTTGACTTTTCAAAGAGCACATATACTCGTAAAGACATAGTTGCTGTTTCATAATGACTCGTTAACTGTCAATTAGTCAGGGGAAGCTCCGTAAACAGACCTTGAAGAAGAACTACATTTAGAACGACAAAAACTTGTGTAATGGCGCCTAAACAAAAACCTGGATATGTGTAGTGTTAGATGATAAACCCGGAGCTCCATCAAACAACTGGTACTTGCACCTATAGTAGTCAAGCTGAGAGCAAGGATTATAAAGTCAAAATGCTACTAACATCTAGAAGTGGCATTTTCTCAGGTGTGGGTGTACTTGGTAGTCAAAATATCTAAATATAACACTCACCATCCCCGAGAGAGGCAGGTTTAGTTTTCCCACTTGAAGGAGTTGTCAGCTTTGTTGTACATGATTCCATGATTAAGACAATGCTCTTACCATTGGTCGATCTATGCTCAAAACAACGTGAGTAAAAGAAACGCCGGTCAATACTACATTAAGTACCCACATTAAATATATTAATCCGCAGCCCCGCATCTGAATATGTTTCAAGATAGCACGAGTATGCAAAGCGTTTGGCAGCACCAGATGATTAATGACACTAACCATTCCATATAGAAAAGTAGACCACGTAACCCTTCTCCCCTGAAGACATATTTTAATGTTCTCAATCAATGAATTGAGCAGAAAGTTTGTTATTACCCATATAAAAACGAGCTGATATGACTCGGTCAGCAACCTAGCGGTAGCATGAATCCACTAGCATTTCCTACCTCGTCCCCAAGGCTCAGCACTAAGATAAAGCGATCTCTTGTCATCCTCGGAGCTGCAACATTCATGAATGTTTCAACGCACGGTAATCGTACACTCCAAGAGTGATGTTGACGACTACAAGAGAGTCTTCACTTTCAGCTCGCTATTATGAAGCATAATTTCAGAAGCGCACCAGATATAAAGTCGAGTCCCTGAAGATAAATAGCTTCTTGTAAGGTTTCTTGCGCCTGTGTGGATACGGAGGACATGATCTTAGGGAGAATGGAGCGCGCAAAAAGCGACATAGATACGAAGGCTGAGGCTTTTAAGTTGCTGAGAGCTCGCTCACAGCAACATAGGCCAGTGATCGGGTACCTATCTATATTCTGAAGCGGTGCTACTCACTTGCCTAGAACTGGCTGGCCATCTTGCATCGGCGCTTCAGTTTCTGATGGCCGGTTAACAGGCACATCGCCTACCGTTTATACTCATGGCATTTCCTTGACACTCTTGGTTTCGGAATATGTCTATGTCTCCATATATTATATACATTATTACGCTATGGCACAACTTCAGCGCACCACGATAAATTTCTGAGCTTACAACAATAAATTGATTTTACCTTACTGGTATTACATAACCGCAGTTGATCAAAACAAGATGGTGCCTTTACTACACCTGTGCAATCGCCATCAAGAGCACTGCCTTAAAAATGGAAAAGCTGATAGTCTCCAGCGCGTACGGTTTGCTCATGAGTGAAAGCCAGTTATATTTCGGTACTGCGCAAGGTCAGAAAAGGACTCTACGAGATATTTGAGATACAACGCTCAGATCTGCTGGGAGTTAACGACCAGGGGTCGGCGCGTTTGGTACACCACATATCAGTTTCATGCTAGTACTATCGCTTGACAGCGCTTGACACCGACATTGTTAGACTTCACAGCGATTGCAATTGAATGGAAAGGAATGAGCGCTGAGGTGCGGTGGTCACTAGGTTGAAACACACTCCCACATCTTCCGGGACGAGGCAAAAGGACTCCCGGTAGTGCCTACGCTTGGTGGCTGCGCTCCATAATTCGCTTACAAGTCTTATAGGTATATATCACGCGTGATACTCCATGGCAAGCAACGAATGAGCGAGACATGTTGATTATGCCGGCGCGTGGTACGTTCTCACTGATCTTTGCCTGCCTAAACCGGGCCATACATGTTTGTCAGCCATGGCATATATTAAGTGCTCATCTATTACACTGATGGGCCCAGGAAGTACTAAAATGCTGTGCCAGGCCTCTGGCTTCAGCGTGCACAACAACCACCGGCAATTCTGAGTAACAACATTGACAGCTCGGTCTATGGTATGCTTGGGGGTCCATTGCCTCCGGTTGTGTGATGGCATGCCGTGTCTTATCGGCGCTCAAGTCATTGAAGCTTCGAAGGGCATTGTGGGAGCCTACATTGTCAATGGGAAATTATGTCTACAAAATTCATGTTTGTGGGTACGTGTAGTAGCATAAAGTGACACTAAGCGGTAGGCACCAACCTGGTGGAAGACATTTACTGTGACAGAGCGCTCGAAGGAGTGGTGTCAAACCTACCAGCAAAACACGAACCTTGCTAAGCTAGAAAACACGAATGCCTGCTCCGACTTGTGCCCACCTGGCGCCTCCAACTCGCTCTCAAGCCTGCTTATAGGAATCCCTGGACCTGGCATGGTTAAACAAAAACAGCACCTCGGAACGCTAAGCACATTCCCAAAAAAGTAGGCGCCTAGAGGCACAGTGACCAAAAACTGTGAAGTGAGCTAGAAAATCCAAATCACCCGGACCAAGAACAAAGGCTGTATGCAATGAACGAACGAACGAAGTAGTCGAGATGCTATAATAAACCCCGATGTCCAAGGGTTGCACGGAGACACCAAAGACTCTGTCAGATCAGCCCACTTGCTATCGATGATGATGTTTCAGAGTTCCCGCCAATTCCCTTACCGCAGAAACACATGTATCTGAGACAAACAACCGCCGTGCTTCCAATCTCCTACCGCTGACCCAGATAGATAGCGCGGATCTATATTAAATCATTACCCCTCCAAGCGCCAGCGGCAAATATACCAGCCTGAACCTACCCAGTTAATCATGCCCGTCCTTCGCATCCAAGTTTAGATCTTTCTTTCTTCTTCTGTCTTTCTATTTTTATTTTATTTTTTCACGTACTCTTCTCTGATCGATTCTCAGCTTCGCGGTTGCCATGATATATGCCTCATGGCCACCTTAAGAAGAAGAACGACGGCGCCGCCGCCGCGTGCTTCGAAAATTTCCATCGACATCGACATCGATGGCGCGAATCGAGGTGTTGTGGCTGTATGTACTGTACTGTGTATGTAGCCAGGGAAAGACAGGTGCGAGTGCGGGGACTCGGTGGGGTACGTGTGGTGTACTAGAACATAAGAAAGTGAGTAGGAGAACAAAGGAAGGGCTATGATACAACACAAGAAAGCTCTGCGCTGGGCGACAAGAAGGAATGAGGAGGGTACGGATCATGAATGTTGAACACTGTGGAGGTAAGTTGGTAACGTGCGATGGGTGAACGAGGTATGCAACGGTGTGTGGTGTGTGAAAGGTGCGTAGCGAACAAGCGAACCAAACAGAAGAAACGAGCGCGGTAGAGTTCTGTACAATGTATATGCAACGACACGATTCCGCGGAGACGAACGCGGACCAGCCAGCCCTCAAGCTTCCCTTCTCCGCGTGTCCTCGTGCCCCGCCTCGTGCCCGCTTCCTCGACTTCGAACGCGTGTCTATAAAGCACAGAACGCGAGGATCCGCGAGGGTCCTCTCTGATCTGAAGCGGTGCTCGCGGTGTGGATCCGTTGCATGCTCCGTGCACCTCGCTTCGAGAACCATTATCCGCGCCCGAACAACGGCGGTGAGACAGGGACACGAACGGTGCTACCAGACACGCCGTTGGGCAGAGCAGGGTATGCAGGCGGTTATGAGACGTCCTTCCGTCCTTCCTCTTCTCCCGCATGCTGCGGATGAGTATCATCCGCAAGCCGATGCGAATAAGCGGGCGGCTCAACGCCTGGTGGTGCGCTTAGATCTGAGCGGGCATCGTCGTCTTCCTCGTCGTGTTTTGTCTTAGACTCGGAGGTATGCGAGTGCTGCGAGGGTGCCTGCTGAGGCTGGGTGAGCGATAATCGGAGACGCTCGCTGTCGCGTGACGGAGGGGGTTTCGAGAGTTTAGCCTTCATCTCTGAGTCTGGATTCGCGTCGACAAAGTCCCATGAGTGCTGCGGTGCGTGGTTCTGCCCTGGTGGTGCTGCTCCGCGTATCAGCATCGCCAGAATGGAGAATCAAGCACCGGCTGGGCTCGAACGACAACTCACCTGGCCGTGTCAGCCCCGCAATACGCGCCTCCTCCAACGCGCTCTCCGCACCCATCGCAGCCCCCGTTCCCGTGCCAGCTCCCGTTCCATCCAGACTCATAGCTGAGAACTTGACGGAGCGTAAGCGCGACCGCCGACGACGCACGCGGAGGACGAACCACGTCGCGAAGCCGCCGAATATCAAAACAGCAAAAACTGCAGTGAGAACGACGCCGACGACACGGCCCGTCTGGTCGGGCTGAAGCTCCGCGGGGGAGTTGGTGGTGTTGTCGCCTGGGCCGGAGCTCGAGGAGCCGCCGAGGCCGGGGCCTGAGGAGGAGTCGGCGTTGTTGTTGTTGTTCCCTGTGGGGAGGGGCATGGCGGGCCCGTTTGTGAAGTCCATTCTGGGGAGAGATGGGGCGCGTGAGATCGATGGGGTGGGCGACGGAGATAGAGGCGTGCGTACCACCCTCTGCGATTTAAGGAGCGGGTGTGCGTGATGTGTGGGCGCTGGGGACGCGATGAGGGAGGGAGAGGAAGGGAGGGAGCGGGGGAGACGGGGGAGAGAATGAAAAGGCGAAGGAGGGAGCGATCGAGGGATTCGTTTTCGCGCGAAGCTCGGGATGGAGCCGAGGTGGTTGAGCGGGGATGTGGATATTGGATATTGCCCGTCTCCGTGACGTATTCTGTGGGTCCTCCGCACTGTCACAATGTGTCACCGTCGTGGCGGATCGCCGGGTATAGGACGGGGCGTGCAGAGAGGGAGAGAAGATGGCAAGAGGGAGAGAGAGAGGGAAAGGGAGAAAGAAGGGGAGGGTGATTTTATGTAAGAAGGACATGTCTCGTTGGCGGCTAACCTCCATCGAAGCTCCACCTTCCATTGCCACAACTAGTACTGGAACAGAAGGTGGACTTCCACACCGTGAGATTATATTCCCTCTTGTGGATGACAGATGAGATAAGCCACAAGCGCGCGTGCTCGGATGCAGTTGCCCATCTCCCTGCCTGCAGGCGCGGCACCGAACGTCCGAGTCGAAAATCTAGACGGCACCCGCATACACCCACATCTCTTTCCTCTTTTTTCTCTTTTCTGTCCATCGTGCCGCCCCACCCATCCCTCGCACGCCTCAAGAAACAGGCTGCGCGCGAAAAACACAACAAAAAACCCGACATCGGCGCCTGGCTCGCCAACGCTGCCCCGACGTCCCCGATCGACGACGACATGGACGACGATCGCAGCAAATCATGGGACAGAGACGCCCTCTTCGACGACTGGCCCCGTTCCCTGCAGTTCGCGCACAATAATCTGCTCACGAGCAGTACGAAACTGCGTGTAGAATTCTTGAATGGCGAGCTGCTACCGCTCGCCAAGGCTGGGAGTGCGTCTTTGCCTCATCTATCCCCTGTCAGTCCCGATTCTTGTATTATTCCTGCTAACTCGATAGTGTGGTGGCAGATATGAACCTCAGCCAGACGATGGACGTGTTTAAGCTCCTTGTGGAGACGTATCCGCGGTACGTCGACACTGCATCCCGCGACGCCGTAGAGGACGTCGGCATGGCCCTCGTCGCACACGACCAGTCTCTCCCGCAACAAGACCGCCTCGGCGTCGCAGACCACGTCCTCAGCTGGCTCGCCAACGAGACCTCGCAAATATCAAAACGCGGCGCGCCGTCGTACGTCCTCCCCTTCCGCCCCATACGCTCCCCAGCTAATCTGCATCTGGATTGGGCCTACCCAGCGCATACGCCCCCGCCAACATCTTCGTCCTCCTCTCGTGGTGCTCCGCGCTCTACTCCACCCTCCTGCGCTCGGATCCATCATACCCCACCGCATCGCAGGGCTGGATACCGCTCGTCGTGTCCCTCGCTGCGCTGCTCGACCTCCAGCTCACGCGTGGCACGCGCACGAAACCCTCCATGCGCCGTGCCGCGCTCGTGCGCACGCGTCGGGCGCTGCGGACGTCCCCACCCGCGCTGTCAGTGCTCATTAGCACGCTCGTGAGGCAGGCAAAGGGAAGCCAGGGCCCTGCGGGTCTCGTGCAGATTCCGCTGCTGGGCACCGCGGTGGATGTGAGCGTGCGGCTGAAGACGGGGGACGCGGGATTGCGCACGATAAGCGAGGAGAATAAGGTGCGTGGTAGAGCCTGTTTGTGTGTAATAACACGACTCATGCGATGCGATCGGGTAGAACGATATTCTGGCGCTGTACACGTCCACCGTGGTCATGGCCAAAACGCCCGTCCCGCCACACGCGTCGAGCGTGCTGCACGATTTCATCCAGCACGCGGTCACACCCGCCGATCTCGAGACCACCGTCCTTCCCGCGATGGAGAAGGCGCTCCTCCGCTCCCCCGAGCACGCGCTCTCCGGTGCGTCTTTCTTCCCTCCGAGGATTGCTCTCAGTTACGATGTGCTAACGCACCACCGAACAAACAGTCGTCACCGACTTCTTCACCGCCTACCCGCACCCGCTCCCCGCGCCCGTATTCTCGAAACTCGTAGCGGCCGCTCTGGCCTCTGCGAAATCCACAAACGCGCTCGCCCGCGCGGGCGCCGTCGCGCTCTTTGGCACCATCGCGTCCTCGGCGTGTGCACCGCAAGACGCCGACGGCGGCGGCGACGACGAAGGCGGCCGTGCGATGCTGCTGGAGAAAGCGGCGGCAGACATTCTCGCTGCGCCGAAAGCGGGGAAAACGGCGGGCGCGGAGCATAGAGCGGCGCTGTACGCGATGCTCGGCGCGATTCCTCCTCTCGCCAACGCCAACAGCGAGAGTAAAAGCGGGGGTGCGGGCGCGGGCGCGAGCAGGGAGATCGTGCGTGCTGCGCCGGGGCTCGTTGCGAAAGAGACGAGCGAGCCTGTGATGCGGGTGCTTGCGGGCGCGCTGGGTGTGCATCTGGGGTGTGTGCTGAGTGAGGCGGTGGACGATGTGGAGGGTGCGAGGGGCGCTGCTGCTGCGCTGGGGAAGGAGATCGCGGGCAGCGGCTCCAGCGGGAGTGCGGGTGCAGGTTCCAGTGCGGGTGCGAAGGCGGGCGTGCGCAGGGCGTGTGTGGGGGCCGTCGGGACTGCTATCTGGGGCTCGCCGTCTGTCTCCCCCGTCGCCGAGGGCAAGAAGAAGAAGAATCTGGGAGGAGACGGGGAGGGGAATGGCGATGCGGCGGAGCAGAAGACCGAGGCCGCGGTGAAGGAGAAGGAGAAGAGCGTGCTCGGTACCGCTGCGGGCGCCGAGTTTGCCAGGGGCCTCGTGGGCGCGTTCGAGGGGGCGCTGAAGAGTGTGAGCGCGAGTCCGCTCGCGGCGCCTGCGGGGCCGCTGGAGGGGTATGTGGGTGTTGCGTGCGTGTTGGGGCCGATGAGGGATAGTGGGCGGTTTGGTGAGCTTTTTTTTTTTTTTTGGTTGTCTTTGCTTTTCCCGTTTTCCTGACCCTCTCTCTTCCGCCCATCCACGTTTTGCGTCCATCGTTTCATATTTGATATTTACGATCTGGAACACGGCACGCTGACGATGCGGTATGCACAGACGACGTCATCAAGAAGCTCATCCCTGTTGATATGCTCGTCGGGACGCAGGCGAAGCCCGGGTTCTTGGTGTGGGACAAGGTATACGGCAAACTCACCGACCCGGTCGAGGAGGAGTGGCTCGTCCGCGCTGCAGGCGTCGCGCTCGAGTATCTCGCTGTGGAGCTGGGCAAGAACGAGGGGCTGAGGTGCGCACATACCCGTCCCTTTCCATCACGCGCGAAACCCGGCTTACTGGATTCTCGTTGGTTCTGTTCTGTGCGTTGTGGGTGATAGAATTCAATTTGGCGCGCTCCTGACCCATCTGACCGTGCACACGCCGCACGCGTTTGTGCGCCGCGCGGCGCTGAAGATGCTGGTGCGGCTCGTGAGGCGCCATCCGGCGCTGGTGAACCGCGTTGTGAGGGAGAGCGTTGTTGCGTCGCTGACTACGCCTCCGAAAGAGGCCAAGGAGAAAGCGAGGTCTCCGGCGTCCGCTTCTGCAGCGGCGGGCGCGAAAGGAAAGGAGAGGGACGCAGATGAGGGCGCAGAGGGCGAGAAGAAGGGACAGGGCGCGGCGGAGAAGCAGAAGCGGTACGCGGCGCTTGTTGTGGCGCTCGCTGAGGTCTCCGCAGGTGTGGCCGGGGGCGACACGGAGGGGCGGGAGAAGGTCGAGCGCGCGATGGTGGATCTGCTGGTGCTCGCGCACCATCGGGCGATATGTGCGTCTACTTTCCATTCTGTGGTGTGATTGCCCGGATAGCGAACGCTGACGCCATTATTCGGTTGCTGCGACGAACCCAGGCGGCGCATCGTCCACCGCGCATCTGCTGTGGATCGATCTCCTCCGACACGCGGCGCTCGACCCTGCGTCGCTCGTCGCGGGGCACGCGGAGGCGCTGGTGCACGCCGTTGTGCAGGCGACGATGCTCGATCCGAAATATGGATTTGACGCGGCGGGGTATGCGGCGCTGAGCACGCTCGCGTTCGTGTGTCCCGCGGAGGTGCTGCCGCGCGTGATGCAGCAGCTGAGGGAGGATCTGGAGCCTGCGAAGCTGAGGGCGCTGAGTGAAGAGGATGTGGGGATGTGGAGGACGCAGGAAGGGGTGTTGTATGTCGACGGTGCGTCTCCTCCTTTTCCCCTTGCTTGCGCTTCTGTTGCGCTCGTTTGCTGATCCCATGTGTACAACGCTCTAGTGCTGTCGCAGCAGAAAGACGAACCCTCGGCGCCGCGAAAGGGCAAAGACGCGGACATTGCGAGATGGGAAGCCGATCTCCGCAAGTCCATATCGTCCAAGAAGTCCGCCGCTTCATCTTCCTCGCCGGCGCTGTCGAAACAAGCGCAGGCGCTCGTCCAGGCGCAGCTCGAGAAGGAGGCCGCCGTGCGCGCGCGTGTCGCCTCCGTCGTGCTGGGCCTCAAGCGCGGACTGGCGAGCGTGAGAGCGCTGGTCAGCTTGGATATTCCCGAGTTGGCGGAGTACGTTGAGGGGATTGTGGGGTTGCTGTCGGAGGGCGCGATGGAGGTCGGGCCGGGGCTGGTTGGCGGGGAGGTGTTTGAGACGTATTTGGTGAGTGCTTTTTTCGCTGCTTGTGTGGGATGGGACGGTGAACTGTGATGGTGCCCGTTTTTTTTTTGTGTTTGTAGGAATTGTCGAAGGCTGCGTCGCCGAGGTTGGATACCCTTCGTACGTGGGTAGGCGTCGCGAGTCTGAGGTGTCTCAAGCCTGCGTGTGTGCCCGAGGATATGCAGGCTGAGCCTCTGAATTGTGCGTTTTGTCTCTGCTGTCTTCTGCTCCTGCTTTTCTACTTACTAACGAGCTTGCAGCGCTGCTAATCCGGGTGTTGTACCGCCTTCGCTCGTTATCAGAGCAAAAACCGTTCGATGCGGCGACGTTTTGCTATACTTTCCCGCTCCTCGCGCATATTATGCGCGTCGGCGGCATCGGCGGCGCTTCTGAGAACGAAAAGGACGCGGAGGACGAGCGACTTGAGCAGGTCACGCTCGTGTTGGACGTGTTGAGGTTCCACGCCAGCGAGTGTGCGTAGCGTTTATCTATTTGCCACAGTCCGAGCTTACTGACAAAGAACTCGTTTACGTGTAATCTAACAGTCTCGGATAAGGCCTTCCCGCGCCGCGACACGTTACTGCGTCTGCTAGATGTCATCCGATTCCAGCCACGCTTGAGCAAGGACGCGTCGAGTATCCTTACGGACCTCGGCCAGGCTGTACAGGCGACCGCATCGCAGGAGGAGGTCATGGTCCTCGTGAACGGGACACTTTACCAAGAGGTGTACGTGAGGAATTCGTGTCTCCAGGCCCTTCAGGTGCGTGCATCGCGTCCACAAACATAAGTGGAAGGAAATACTCACGGGAAATGATGCGGGGATTTAGCCATTTGACTTGACGGAGATGGACTGGTCGTCGCAGCTGTGGATTGCGTGTCATGACGAGGACGATCAGAACGCACGGCTTGCGAACCATGTGTGGGACGATAACGGGTTGGATGTGCCAGAGGCGTTCTTAGATCAGCTGTTGCCGTACCTGGGTGAGCTGCCTTCTGGAGGCGCGACTTCGCATCTAGGAAGCGAAGATGCTGATATTCCCGTCATGTAGATCACGACCACGCATATGTGCGGGCGAGCACGGGTCTTGCGATCGCGGAGGCGGTGGAGCTGCATCCACAGAGCATTGATGGTGCGTTGAAGACGCTTCAGGAGTTTTACCGGGATAAGGTTCGTGGTGGATCCATCGTGGATATTCTTCACATGCTGACAGTCGCTCAGGCCAGGATTTTGGCACCCGAGTATGATCAATATGTAAGTATTACTCCAGTTCAAGCGCCAACGAGAGATCTCACAGTGTTTTAGGGCATGGTTATCGCGCAGAGCTTGGACCGAGCAGATCCCTGGCTCACTCGTGTGGCCATTTCCAAAACTCTCGAGCACCTCGCTCCTTCCTTCACCCCAGATCAAGTCGAGCCCTTCTTCGTCTTCCTCATCAAGGACGAGGCTCTCGGCGACCGCACCCCCGAAGTCCGCAGGAGCATGCTCCAAGCCGGAACAGCCATCATCGACCAGCACGGCGCCGACCGCCTCGCCGGCCTGCTCAAAACGTTTGAAGAGCACCTCGGCGGCCCAAGCCCAGCCAACGAGACGGGCGACCAGATTAAAGAGGCCGTCGTCATCCTCTTTGGCCGGCTCGCGCGCCATCTTGATGCCTCAGACGAGCGCATCCCCTCGATTGTCGACAGGCTCGTTGAGGCGCTCAAGACGCCGAGTGAGCAGGTGCAGATGGCCGTCTCGGAGTGTCTTACGCCGCTCGTCGCGCTTATGCGGCCGCGCGCCAAGGCGCTCGTGGATCATCTGTTTACAGAACTGTTCGATGCGCCGAGGTACGCGGCACGTCGTGGGGCGGCGTATGGCCTCGCTGGCGCCATCAAGGGCCTCGGCATCGGTGCGATGAAGGAGTTTGACGTGATCAACAGGCTCAAGGCGGCCGCGGAGGACAAGAAGCGGTTTGAGCCGCGGCAGGGAACGACTTTTGCGTTTGAGACGTTGTCGACGACGCTCGGGCGGCTGTTTGAACCATACATCACGTTCATTCTGCCACTACTTCTTTCGGCCTTTGGTGACTCGACGGGAGACGTCCGCGAGGCTGCTCAGGATGCGGCACGTGTTATCATGGCGAATATGTCGGCCTTCGGTGTGAAGCAGATTCTCCCTCTGCTGCTCTCTGGGCTGGACGAGAAGCAATGGCGCTCGAAGAAGGGATCAATTGAGCTGCTGGGTATGATGGCGTACTGTTCGCCGCGGCAGCTGTCGCTGTCGCTTCCCATCGTTATCCCGAGGCTTACTGGAGTCCTCACGGACACCCACGCGCAGGTGAAGGTATCGGCGAACAAGAGTTTGAAGCAGTTCGGCGAGGTCATCACCAACCCCGAAATTCAATCCTTGGTTCCTATTCTTCTCAAAGCGCTCGTAGACCCAGGGAAGACTTCGAATGCACTGGGGTCGCTACTCAAGACGTCCTTCATGCACTACATCGATCATTCATCCCTTGCGCTCGTCATACCGATTATCGAGCGTGGTCTCCGTGAACGTGGTGCCGATACCAAGAAGAAGGCTGCTCAGATTGTCGGTAACCTTGCTTCGCTGACGGACTCAAAAGACTTCGTCCCTTATCTTAACACCCTTTTGCCAATGGTTCACATCGTTCTCGTCGATCCGGTCCCAGAAGCTCGCGCAACGGCGGCAAAGACCCTCGGTACCCTCGTTGAGCGACTCGGCGAGATCCATTTCCCCGACCTCGTACCAGGTCTCCTACGAACGCTCAAGACTGACACATCAGGCGTCGACAGGCAAGGTGCCGCTCAAGGTCTCAGTGAGGTCCTCGCTGGCTTGGGCATGGAACGCTTAGAGGCTCTGCTCCCCGACATCATCGCGAACGCACAGTCGCCGCGGAGTACGGTCAAAGAGGGATTCATGTCGCTGCTTGTCTTCTTGCCCGCAACGTTCGGAACGCGATTCCAGCCGCACTTGCCAAAGATCATCGCTCCCATTCTCGGGGGTCTATCCGACCAGGAGGAGTCCGTCCGCGAAGCGGCGATGCGCGCCGGGCGGATGGTCGTCACGAACTATTCGAACAAGGCAATCGACTTGTTACTTCCCGAGCTGGAGGCCGGTATGTTCGACCCTGGGTGGCGCATTCGGGTGAGTCTGTCTCTACACGCCAGAGTATACTGCTTACGTTCTTACTCCTTCCTACAGCAATCGTCAATCACACTTGTCGGAGAACTTCTCTTCAAGGTATCTGGTATCAGCGGAAAGAACGAGATCGATGAAGACGAGGAGGGTGGTGAAGCAGCCGACGCTGCACATGCCGAGTCGTCCAGACGTGCTCTCATTGAGGTCCTTGGGGCAGAGCGTCGCGATCGTATCCTTTCCGCTCTCTACCTCGCCAGGCAGGATACCGTCAATGTCGTGCGCCAATCGTCGATACACATTTGGAAGGCGCTTGTTCATAACACGCCACGGACTGGTGAGACGATTCACCCTTTTCTTGCGGAATTTTTGCTCATTGGGTGTCTAACAGTTCGCGAAATTCTGCGTGAACTTGTTGCTCAGGTCGTCAGACTTAGCTCTAGCGACGAGTTTGAGCAGCAGGAGGTGGGTCATGTTGCTTTGGCCCATTATTGGCCACGAATTGATACCAATTTACTCAGACCGCGACGCGCACGACCACGGAGTTGACTCGCAAATTCGGAGAAAAGATCCTTGGTGAAATTATATCCATTCTCAAGAACATGTCGACATCATCGGACTCGCGCACTCGTACAGGTGTTTGCCTGATGATGTGCGATGTCATGTACGTTTACACATGTTGTCACGTTTCTCTGGCAGATGCTGACAATGCGGCAGGGAGAACTCAACAGACAACCAACGCGATGGACACGAATCGACGATTGTCTCCATCGTGCGCTCGTCACTTGTGGACGATGACGCTTCCGTTCGCACAGCCGCCGCCAAAGCGTTTGACACCCTCCAAGAGCATCTGGGCGGGAGAGCAATCGACCAGACCATCCCAACGCTCCTGGAGGCGCTGCGGCAACCAGGCGAAAGCTCCGGCACAGCCCTCCAGGCCCTCAAAGAGGTTATGTCGGTGCGTCGAATCACTATGACTCGTGGTGGAGCGCATATGGCTGATTCACCATGCACAGGTTCGGGCGTCTACAGTGTTCCCCGTTCTCATTCCTACCCTCATTGCAACCCCGATGACCGTGTTCAACGCACATGCTTTGGCATCCCTCGTCACTGTGGCTGGCAACGCACTTAGCAAGCGCCTAACCGTCTTGTTGAACGCCCTTGCCAAGGTTCTCGAGGAAGAGAAAGACGAGGAGGTTGTTGAGGCCGTCGAAGAGGCTCTCAATTCTCTTCTAGAATCTATCGAGGACGCTGAAGGCTTGAACACCCTGATGCTCCTCTTGCTTGGATGGTGTGTGTCGGGTTTAATGCGGTTTAATTGCACACTAATCCTTTGTAGGGCGAAGCACGCATCTCCTAAGAGGCGTATCAGCGCATGCAACATATTCGCGACGTTCTGCGAGGTTTCTGAGCTAGATTCGTCACTATACCGCGTCGATTGGGTCCGTCAGTTGATTTCCCTATTCGACGATCCAGTGGTCGACGTCCACACTGCCGCCTGGAAGTCCTTCGACGCGTTCGTCAAGTCCGTTCCGAAGGATGAAGTCGAGCCCCTCGTTGTTCCACTACGCCGGACCATCGACAGCACCGGTGGTCCCGGAAGGAATGTTCCTGGTTTCAGCCTCCCGAAGGGCGTTGCTCCCACCGTGCCGATCATCATCGCAGGTCTGACAACGGGCAACAACGAGCAGCGCGAGAACGCAGCCTACGCGATCGGCGAGCTCGTCCAGCGCACAGAGGAGGCCGCCATGAAGCCGTTCGTCGTGCCCTTCACCGGACCCCTCATTCGCGTGGCGACGCAGGCGGCGACGTACCCTCCAGCCGTTAAGACGGCGATTCTCAGCGCGCTTCAATCAATGCTCTTGCGCATCCCTGTGCACGTCAAGCCGTTCTTCCCTCAGCTGCAGCGTACGTTCGTCAAGTCAGTCGGAGACGCGTCGAGCACTGTCGTTCGGACAAGGGGTGCGGAGGCGCTCGGCGTGCTCATGCGCAATCAGCCGCGTGTGGATCCTGTCGTAACGGAGCTTCTGGCCGGCGCGAAGGGAAGCGATGACGAGATTGCGTCTAGCTTCGTGCTTGCTTTGTCGTATGTCGTCCACAGTTCGACCATCCATGGAGGCATAGGCGAGAAGGCGAAGGAGTCATGTGCGGAGCTCGTCACTGACGCGTTCCGGGAAAGTCATGGAGGTGAGTACTTAAGGAAGCATCGCCGACGGCAGGCCTGACACTGTATTTAGATCACTACAATCAGGCATTGGGTGGGCTAGTCGCAGCCTTGGCACAATATCCCGACATCCTCGGCCCTGTCGTAAAGTATGGACATTCTTTCGTGTGCTATGCTTAACTCTCTAACCCTCCACTTTTCAGGGCCAATCTCGTCTCTGGCACCCTGCAATCTCCTCTTTCATCCAACGTCATCCTCGCCGTTATATCGTCAGATGAAGAGCACTCCTACGCCCCCGAAGCAGACGACAACCTCTTCCAAAAGCTTGGCGTCCTTAAGGACGTTGCGCTCAAAGTCAAGGAGAGCGCCACCAACGAGCGTCCCATCATAGCGCGTCCAGCTCGCGAAGCACGCGATATTCTAAAAGCGTGGAGTGCCCACGATGAAAGCCTAGCGGGATTGTTCTGATTCAAGTCTTCTTACGATAGTAACCATTTTTCGACGACTTCGTACATAGTTCACTTACATAGAGCCACACCAGTGGTTGTGTCAATGACACTGCGCATCTAACGGGACAAAGATACCTCATCAGAGATATGAGGCGGAGCATCGGTCAATCTTAACATACGCTCGTTTTTCATGCGGAGTTAAAGATGAGGGGTTGAAAGATACTTCTACATGGACTATCCCTAGCCCACGGAACTAGCTTGCCTCACCAGCAGCGCGTTCACCATCTCTCGTCGTAACTTCAAGCTGGTCTAAAATGCGTCCCAGTTTCTCGTTCCCTCCCAGACGTGAGACCTCCGATCGTACCTGATGTTCGCGAAGATCGAGTTAAGATGGTAAAGATCGAGAATGGATCGCGAGGAATCTCACCTGCTTCTCGATCGTCTGGATGACGTCAAATGTATAATCAAGAGACCGTGTCCGTGTTCTGAGGTATTCGATAGTATGATGCTTGAGCGTTGGTGTAGAAGGACGCTTCTGCAAAACGTCTGAATGACGAAGACTCGTCAACCAAACTCAAGCCAGTGTGGATTGAAAATGCTTACTCAGGACTTGTCTATTGCTGGTGTCCGCGCGAACGCTGTGTACTATTGGAAAGGAGAACTTTCCCTCCGTGAGGTCTTCTGCGAACCCTTTGTTATGCGAGTACTGGACCAAGTCACGCTTTTGTTGGAGAGGATCCGGTGCTGGCTCGTACCTCGGTGCTCTGCAGATTCATATAGTCGTCTCGTATCTGAAAGTACACGCCGAATAGGTTCACCAGGGGGAGATAATCTCTGTTGGGCGAATGAGCATGTATCTCGTGCTTAGAACGAAATACGCACACGTCGTAGTTCTTGGTAGCGCATGCCATCATAAGCTTGATCGCTATGCGAAACAGCCCGCCGGTCTCTGCAAAGAAACGATAAGAAATCACCCAGCTCAATCGGGCCGATGAAGGTGATGTGCGTAAAAGATCGACGAACTGTTGTTTACCATGTCTATGTACTCCTCTTCGGTCGGACACTGTAGAGAATCTCGCCACAGCAGCTCTAGTCCCTGTCCTCGATGTAGCGAGAGAAGCTCTTCTGTGACCAGCCCGTCAAGGTCATGGTCTGACACCAGCCGCCCAAGCTGAGGTTCTGAGCGCTCGGACGGATCGGGCCGTAACAAGAAGAGCTCCTTGTACGCGAGGAAGTAGACGTAGTTGGCGGTGTTGATGGTCTGTGGGATACCATAAATCTTGTGCGTTACTGACATACGCCAATGTAACCAGAACGATCAAACGTGTTAGCGATCCGCTGATGCTTCGTCCCTCTCGCAAGTCGCCTAAGTGCTCTGACTCACCTGGCTGACCACGCCGCAGCTGCGAGTCGTCCTCGATATCATCCACCATAAGGCTCGCACTGTGCAGCATGCTCACGATGCGCGAGATGACGGTAAGCTTCTCGGGAGGGACGGAGAGCCAGTCGTTAAACGCGTCAATCATCAAGCCCCTGATCTCTTTTCCAGGCTTCGCGGTGATGTAGGTGTATGGCTCGAGGAGCGTCGCCTCGTTTTCTGGTGTCCATGCTGAGGTAGATTTGAGCGTGGAAAGCAGAGAGGAGTAGTCTGGTGTACCGGAAGACATGGCGGTAGGTGGCTAAGGCAAGTAAACTGCGCGCCCACTGCGCGTCTTGCTTTACGCGTCAGCTCGACTGCGCTGACTGCATACGGCAACCGTGTTTCTAATTTCCAACCTGGTCGGGCGAGACTTGGCTTGCTGTGCAAAGCAGCTTTTAGACGTCGACAAATATTCTACTGTAATACATCGATAGGCATCGTTCCAGTTTTGTGACATGCAACTTCGTACGTACATAAAATAGAAGAAAGCAAGAACGATGAACGAGCGGTAGCGGGAAGGGTCATGGTGACAGCGATAAAATAGATGAAACCCGGAATGTAAAGTTCCCAAAACAAAAACCCGAGGAAACATTCGCCATATTACCCAGACTAGAGCAGGCATCGGACGACGGCCCAGCTACGCCGCCTCCTTTTGTCGTTTCAATCGACCTTTGTTATCACTAAGCAAAAAGAGTTAGACGTTGAGGTGTAGAACATCGAAGGTTGGCGTACGCAAATGCACTGTTCTTCCGCTTCCTACTATCCTTCTTGCTCACATTTCTCTGAATTTTGCGGCGAGCAGCAGCTTCAGGGTTGGTAGTGAACTGAGCCATAGTACGTCAGCGTCTAGGGAGATGTCGATCTCAGAAAGAAACATACCTGTGTCGCTCTCGCTGTTCGTCTGCCCTGCCTGACGTTCATGACACCCTGGCGGATCTTACTGTATGCAGTGGCGAACTGAGTCGTCCCAACCTTTGCCTGTATCATGTCCTGGAGCTCAGACGCGAGGGTCTTCAGCTCCTCTGTGTACACTATACGTGAGCGATCACGCTGAACAGTTCCGACAGCAAACTTACCCATATGTGGATCTCGGATTGTGTCATCCTCGGAGACCCTGTACATTGGTGACAGCATATGTGGGAGGAATCGCTCCAGTGTTGGGCCATCAAGATGTGAAGTCATCGCTGCGAACCAGCGGAAGACACACGTAGGTTGCTGTATCCAGTTTGGCTACGATCGAGCGACGCCACGTCAGCTGACCGAGGCATAATTTGCGGAACAAGATACGCACCGGTGCAGATGATTTATTGCGTCGTGCTATATGCGCGGAGCGAGCTTGGAAGGAAAGTCTGGAGAAGAGCCAAGGAAGGGGTTCGGTTTGCGACGATCGAGGGTTACGCTTCATCCGTTCTCGCCGCTGGTCTGCCTTCTCGGCGTCATTTCCCTCTTCTTCCTCGTCGTCGCCAGATGCATCACTACCGTCGGCCTCAGCATCGACCCCATCGTCCTCGTCCCCATCTGAAGGGGCAGCGGACGGTATTGTTGACGTAATCAGCGCAAAGCATTTGCCGATGAAGAAGAGGTTCTTCACGACCTGTAGTCCGAGCGCCTCATCAAGGTGCGGACTCTTGAGCTGCGCGCAAAGCTTGCCCGCCAGAGCCTTCAGCCTCACCAAGGAGACGACGTCAGTACTGTCATCGTCGCTTGTGCTTGGAGCCGATACCGTCAGGGAAGAAAAGAGGGTACCAAGGAGCCTACAGGCCGCCGTACGAACCCAGGCATGCGGGAAAAGCAGGTGCGCTTCGACGAGTTGCCAGGGGACGCTCTGTCCACCAACATCAGTTGCAGGAGACACGAACTCGGGGAAGACCTTGAGCACTTTGACGAGAGTGCTCAAAGCCTGATATGGAACCTGCCAGTCCAGCTGAGAGTCGATATCCATCCCGTCTGCTTCTTCGTCTTCATCTACAGTCTTCTGGAGCGCCTCCGCGCTCTGCTCGAGCGCACGACTCATATCCTCCAGCAGTGTTGCAACGTACGGCTCCATACCACGGCCCAGCACGTCCACGACCAGCCCATATACCTGCACCGCCACCCTCCTCAGGTGCTGCTGCCCATCTTGCTCTGCCCACACATGAAGATGATTCGCGATCATCCGCCGGCGCTCCTCGTCCAGCCGCCTCACGAGCACCTTGACGAGCCCCGCAGCGCTCTCGCGGCACTTGGGCGAGTCGTCGTTTGCAATCGTCATGACGAGCGCAGCGAAGATTAGGTCCGCGTACTCGTGCACGAGCGCTGCGTCCAGCTTCGCGAGGAGGACACCGAGCAGCTCGAGCACCGAGAGTCGGCCGGACTCGTACGTGTACGAGAGGTTCTTGGCGAGGAAGACCATCTGGTTCCGCATCCGACCCTTGCCCTGCGGATAGTCGAGTAGGAACTGGAGTGCGAGGCCACGGCACTGTTCGCGGACGTGGGAGGACTGGGAGGTGACCATGATAGAGGTAACGCGCTCCATGAGATCATAGATCTCAGGCGCGACGAACTTGCGGGAGACAATGGCGCGGAGGAGGGCAAAGACGGAGGCCTGGCGGGTGTGGTCCTCGAGATCGGGAGCAACGAATTCAAGCAGGAAGATGAGCTCCTTTTCTTTCAGCTGGGCTGCGGGACAGTCGCGGATGATTGTCGCCAGTGTTTTGAGCGCCGTCTGCACAAGGTCTGACTCAATGCTACCTGTCTGCTTGATGATCTCCAGCGTCTGCTGGACGATGACCGGAGTGGATTTCTCCAGTGAGTTAACGGGACACTTTAATATAGCCGCGGCGGCCTTGAGCCCAGACGTGACCACGGCGCTCTGATTGGAGTACAGCGTGTTGCCAATGGCCTTGACCATGGGCTGAAGTCGCGAAACGACGGTAGCATCCTGGAAGTCGAAGCGCCCACGTCGATATGCAACGTTGAACATATCGATACCAAACACGATAAAACTGTCGAACCCGTCAACAACGTGTATCAGTTGAGATGCTACCAATTGTAAACTTACCGGAAAGAGTTGTTCGCGTAGTGATCTGTCTCCGCCACAACCTTCCGCTTCAGGTCCACAATCCGCTGGTCCTTCTTCCTCTTGCCCTTCTTTCGTACCTCCTGAGGCCGCGCCTCCTGCAAAAACTTCGCGTTCTGCGTGATAAACGTGTGGCACAATGTCAACAACTCCGCTGGCTGAATCAGCGCGCTCGAGTTAATACCGCCCGCGACGCGACGCAGTACCTCTTCCGCCTGCTGCAGCGCCTTCAGCGAGCCGGTCTCCTGCATAACTCCACGCACGGGCAGGAGAAGCTGCTCGATTTGCTTGGGCGTGACGTGCTTGGCGACAAGCGCGAAAGAGTCGAGGCTCTTGGATGCGGAGCTCTTGACCTCGCGCATCTTAGTCTTGAACCCTTCGTTTTGGACATCCTTCCCGGAAGCGCCGAGGACGACCTCTGATGCGACGTGGGCGATGTCCGGCACGCACGTGTCTAGGTTGCCGAAGGACGCGACAGCCTCTGGTGCGGTGACGTGAATGAGTACCGCGTGTGCGACGTATGCAAGGACGTGCAGCTGCGGCCCTCGGAGCAGAGCGGCACGCAGTTCGCGAAAGACGATGGGGAGGTACTTGGGACCAAGCAAGACAGCGATGCGACAGACTGCATCTCGCGTCAGATCACGGGTCTCCGAGGACTTGCTTCGAAGGATCTGGCTAAGTACTGTGAGGAGTCTGCCGGCTTGCGCTTCTTGCATGGACGGCGGAAGGTAATTGACGATCTTGGCGATACCAATCGAGACTGGGATGCGGATGTTCTCTTCCGCGTCGTCGCGATTAGCCAAGAACTGCAGGAGGCTGGGCATCAAACGAGCGTGGACGGCGTCAGCGACTTTCTTGACGTCGTGCTGGGGTTGCTTCGTCGCGGGAGGTTCTACCACCACCTGGCCCGCCTCGGCCTCTACGGCCTCTTCTCCTTCGCCGCCTGCTTCTGCTTCGCCCTCCTCTAACGCCGGTTCTACGACTTCGAGGACGACCTCCTCCATCGAGAAGTGGAAGTTCTCTAATACCGACACGAGCGTTCTCATGTGCACCCTCACCGAATCGTCCTTCGTCTTCGCGGCCTTCAAGTACTTCAGCACGAGCGCAAAGTACCCACTCCACCCCAAGTGTCTAGCGATCGCACCAGTAGCGGCGATCGCCTCCGTGACAAGGTGGTGGTCCAACGCCCTCGTCGAGATGACGTAGTGCTCGACGAGCGGGAGGAGCACATCCGCGAGCGTTCGATTGCTGAACGGCGAATCTTTCGCGTTGTCGCAGTGCTCGGCGAGGCGACGCAATGCACGGGAACGCCTGTGCACCTGGATGTGATGGATATTGGCGAAGAATGATGCCTCCTCATCGCCGCCGGCAAGGAGAGGCGTCAGCTCGTTCAAGTACGGGAGGTGCGTACACGTCGAGACACCGTACGCGATGACACCGAGAATCTCAGCGCGCACCAACTCGTGCTTCGAGCGAAGCGCCTTTTTGAGACTTGGGTAGACGACGCGCTGGAAGATGGTGTTGTGCTCGGCGAGGCCGGGATCAGCGACGAAATCGAGGAAACGCCGGAACGTGAGTCCTGCGCTGTTGCGAACAGCGAGTTCTTCGGGGTCCTGAATGAAGTGGAGAGCGTTATAAAGAACCGGGAGCCAGTCGCGGATTGTCGCCGTCTTATAGAACCTCTCGTTGATATCGGTGAACGCAGTGAGTCGCTTGTCGAAGTCGGGCTCGTCGAGGCGCTTGACAGAGTACGCGTTCAAGCCTTCCAGTAACACCGTGACGTCACTGAGAGATGGTACAAGCTTCGCAAAGGCCTTGAATGTCGCCACGAGCGCCTTCCGCGCCGGCGAGTACCTAAGAGTGAGGAACAACGACGCAAGCATCTCGTGCAGCCTGACGTGCAACGCAGAGTCGGCGTCCGGCACATCCGGTACAAGCGGGAACGCGTTGACGAGGATCCTAAGCAAGTCGACCTTCGTTTTCTCCGGGACTATACGATGCGTCTTACGCAGCAAGGGCAACAACAGCTGCAATAGCGTGCTCGCCTGCCCAGGATCCGCAAGGTGCGGCGCGATCTCCGTCAGAATACCGATCTCGCGCTGCACTAGAGGGCTCGCGAGCGCCGCGTCGCCCTTGGCGCGCTCGACGAGCGTGGCGAGGTTGCCGAGCAGCAACGACGCATGTGGCCTGATAAGTAGGCCCGCGAGCGACGTGTCTCCCTGAGCGAGGGCGAGTAGCCTGTCCACGATATCGAACACCCTGCTGAGGACGGCAGGCTTTGCACCGGGCGCAATGAGCACCGCGATGAGCTTGGGCAGGGCCTGCGCATCGAACTGGACGAGATAGAACGCATATTCGCGGCGCGACGCCCACGCTTGGAAGAGCGCGAGGAGCGCTGTGGGCGCTTGCGTCTGCTCGGTGTCCAGGCGCATGATACGTGGGGTGAGGAAGGCGGGGAAGGCGGCGCTCAGGAAGGGCGCGAAGTCGAACGAGAGAGGCGAGGTGAAGAAATCGACGAGACGCTGCATGCCGAGGTGGCGTACGAGCTTGAGGTTCTTATTACCGCCCACATGTGTCTTTGGCTGGGAATTGTCTGCGATCTCCTTCTCGGCCAGTGCATCTCCGTCGGTATCGTCTTGAGCCTCTTCGTCGCCCTCCAATGCCTTCTCCGTTAACCTGCCGTGCGCGCTCCCAACTAGATCCATCGTCGCACCGACCAGAGCTGGCCAATACGACAATACACTCGGACCGAGGTTCTTCAACACGTCGCCAAGGAGGTTCAAAAACCCGACTTGCACCTTCGGCGACACCGCCTCTCCGCGAATATCTCTAATCCTGAATTCGCCCTCCCGACGTGCAGCGCTGTCCGTGCCGAGCGGCGCGAGCATAAGATCCACGAGGAGCGCCAGCTCGTCCTCAGAGCACGCAGCAAGCGCGCCGAGGACGGCCGCTCGCCGCTCGCCAATGCGTGACTTGCCCCGCCGTTCGCGCATGAGGCCGAAGAGCAGACGAATCGCGACGCCCACGAACTCCGGCCTTGCTTGGGGCTCGACAGAGGCGAAGTCCAGCGAAGCGAGGGCATCGCGTCCCTTTGCATCGTCCAAGAGTGTCTGGAACGTCTCGGCGTAGGGGAGGAGGTGTGGAGGGCGGTACGAAAGCATGCAAGCCAAGGCGTCGCGCTGCAAGGTGCGGTCTGGGTGGGCAAGAAGCGAGAGGTAGAGCGTGCGGAGCGTCTCGGAGGCGTAGATGGCTTTGGGGTTCACGAATTTGCCGAAGAGCGTGAGCCATGCATGCATCTTCGTTCGAGGCATCTTGCGAGGTTTAGCGCCGGTGGTTTGATCAGGACCGACCACTTGCATGTCGTCCTCGGCCCCACCCTCCTCTCCTTCGGCGTCACCCTCGTCCTCCTCCTCGTCGCCCTCTCCCGCCACCTCCGACCCATCCCCATTCGGCCCAACAAGCACCAAAAACAGCTCCACCAGCTCCCGGTTATGCTTCTCCGACACCGAAAGACACCCGCCCTCGCTGAGTGCCGCAAGCAACTGCCCCTCGTACCCCGACACGTCCAGCCTGTCCCCAGTGGCCGGCGCCTGCAAGCGCACAAGCGCAGCCCGCTGCACGCGCGGTGTTTGGAGCCAGCTCAACGCGGTCTCACGCGCCTTGTGCGCCGAGGGATCGCGCCATGTGCGTTCGTCTTCCCAGGGGTCGTCGATGTGTGCTTGCGCATGGGTTTTGGCGTCGGGGTCCTGAGCCTGGGAGAAGATCGTATCGCTTGGGCCGTCAGGGTCTCGGGTCCACTCGGGCGAAGAGGCAGGAGAGGCGGTGGATATTGCGCGTAGCTCGTCGAACAGGACGTGCCACACCGGGTCTCCAAAGCGGGACACGAGGGCGGCGATAGCTGCGCATGCGGGTGACCAGAGCGGTCGGAGATTCACTTTCAGCTGGGCTATTCACAGAGTCACTGTCAACTTTGCAAGACCACATTGCAGATCAAGGAGACGCACCGACGAGCCAACGTGCGCACACATCCACTGCCTCCCCATGTTCCTCTTCTCCCTCTTCTGCATCTCCGCTCGCTTTCTGTTTTCCCTTCTCCTTGACGGCCGTCCCAACCCGCCCAATCCTCATCACCCTCTCGCGCACACCTGCCACGTCCAGCGCTACCTCCTCTCCCTGCAGACACTTGTGTATCGCATCCTGTGGGCCACCCTGCGTGCGCGCGAGCAGTCGTAGCGTCTGCAACCTCAGCACGCGCGAGTGCGAGAGCAAGCGCACGCGGAGGGTGGGGTACAGCTTGGAAAACGAGGGAAGGGTCGTATCCGGGCTTAAAACCGGCCAATAGGTGCGTCAGCAACATGCAAGCTCGTATACGGGCCAGGAGTAGGAGAGCGCACCTCGTCTGAAGCAACATCCCCAGCCCCTCCATCACGCCCTCGCACCACGCCCACTCATCGATAACCTTACGTGTCCACTCGCCCGCCTTCCTCTTTACATCCTTCTCCGTGTCCTTCCATCCGTCGCTGCTACCGTTGCCATTGCCGCCGTCCTGTAACACGCGCCCAAGCGCACGCATCGCCATACCAAGAACCACACCCGCGTTCGCCCACGTCCGCGCATACTCCTCCTCCGCACCTTCCAAACCAAGCAGAGCATCCACAAGAGCAACGAGCGACCCGCCCGCCGAAGGCGCATACTCGATCATACCCAGGATCTCGCTCAACTCCCGAACAGCGTTCTCCCTCTCCCGAACAGCGTTCTCCCTCTCCCCCTCCCTCTCCTTTTCTCCATCAGCCACACTCCCCCCATCCCGATCGCGGCTCCACAGCCCGACAACCCTCCCAATTCTCTCGCTCGCCCACGCATCAAATGTCCTCCGCCAAACGACATCCACCTCGCCGAGCTTCTTCGCCTTGTGCAGCGCGCTGAGAAGCCTCAGCGCCGTGAGCACCTCCGTCTCCGAGGACGAAGACAGCAGCGCGGGGGTGTGCTGGATGAGCAGCGGGCGCGCGAGGAGTTTGAAGTGCGCGTAGCCGAGGTCGGAGAGGGTGCCGAGGAGAGGCACGCCGAGCGCGGGCACGGAGAGGGCGCGGGCGAGGAAGGCGCGGGAGGCAGAGGTGGATGATGCTGAGATTGTTGGTACGGGTGTTGATGATGAGGTGGAAGTGGATGTCGAGTACGAGGCGAAGAGAAGGGCGGAAGTGTGTTGCAGGAGGGCGGGCTGAAGTGCAGGGATTAGAGGGAGAGCAGGAAGGTGCGCGAGGAGGATGCTGAGCTGTTCCGCTTTATAGAGCGATGTCAGTGAAAATACACGTTTAGCATGAAAATCGACGCACCTCCCATTCTAGATCCCTGCCTAACTGAACATGCAACGGCGCACACCAGTAACGACCGTCTCAACCTTTCAGTCTCCTGCTCTCCCAGCTCTCCTCCATCGACGCTCGCAACGGCAGATGTGATCGACGGAACATGCGCACCGAGACGTGCAACGAGCACGTCCGCGAGAGGTGCAAATTGTTCCGGGCCCTTGCAGTGATGCACGAGCGCAGTAATGGACCTGCGAAGCAGCGCCAAAACCGCTTCCGCATCTTCTCCTGAACATGCTGCGACGTCCATAAGGTAGTCGAGGATAGGACTGACAATCGATGAAGCTGCAGTGTGGAGAGTTTGCGAGACACTCTACAACCCGGCGTCAGCTTCCTCCAAGCCAAAAACAGAAACAAGCTAGAACGAACCTTGCACCCCTCTACAACAACCCACGCTGCCGCATCTTCCACCCCGTGCATATCCCTAACCATAATCCTCACCGCAGCTGCCCTCGCAGCGCTCTTCATCCTGCGCACCGCACCCGCCCACACCTCCGCGACCGCTCTCCTCGTCTCCGACCCGCACCGCACGAGCGCGTCGCGCATGGCCGTCCACGTCTCAACGAGCATCGTCTGCGGGTGCTCTGACTCGCGAGCGAGAGATGGCACGAGGAGGTGCCGGAATACCGACGATAACGCAGCGAGGAGCGCAGTGAGCGCTTGCGTCTCGAGACCGCGCGGAAGGAGGGCGGTGAGGGTGGAGAGAATGGATGTGTAGGAAGGGGAGAGGGTCGTGCGCAGGTCGTGGGCTAGTTTTTGGAGGAGGCTTTACGAGTCATTAGCTTGGTTCATGGAGAGGTGTAGGGAAACTACGTACTCGAGCAACGCTCTCAATCCATCGTCATCCGCGCTTTTGACTGCTTCTGTCCATAGGTTGACGATCTCCTTCCAGTTGTGCAATAGCAGCGGCATCGAGAGCGCGAGCCCATCCGCTCGTTTTGCGAAGTTGGTGAATGCAATAGTGAGGTTAAGCTGTTTCCAGTCTTGCAGTGCAACGTAGAAATGGCTTTCATTATCCTGGATTAACCAAACGCGCCAGATCAGAAAGGCGGAAGGATGGAGAATAAAGTACATACGCCGATGTCTGTGTCGAACTTGGATAGATCGAGCGCCGTAGGCGCGTGTACGCTTTTCAGCTGCTCCGCATACGATTGGTGCTAAGCATAGAGGATATAAGTGAGTCAGAGAAACATATTGGACGAAAACGCATATACGCACCTTGAAGCGGTTCATCCGAACTGGCACCTCGTCAACCTCCATCTCCATATCCGAGTCCGAGTCCATCGTGGTGTTGTGGTGGTTTTCGATGAGCTTCAGTTGAGGTCCGAAGGCACGGTCACCCGCAGTTTTTGAAGAGGAAGGAGATAGCTTTTGGCCCGGGCCAAAGTTTTAGAAAGGGGGAGCGTCAAGCGGCAACTTTTGATAATTTTGCCGAAGCGGTTGTTTGGATCCAAAGCTCTTGGTAAACAGCTTTCTGAATTCGGTATTTAGCCCCTGTTTTCCATGGCGCTAACACAGACTCGGATAAAGGTCGGGGAAGCTTTCTTATCATCCCCACTGTGAGTGTACTCCCATCCTCTTCTTTCCATTGTCGACCTATGTCATGAGGACGCATTGACTCGGAAAGCGCATCTCTTAAGCTTTCACGCAGGCTATCTAGGCAAGTTGGCTGCATGCTTCATGCACACGGGTTGCACCATCGAATACCCGTGACTCGACGCGCCCTGCTAAAGAAAGCTTTGGCCGACAGAACCCTCGGGTGTCATATGTCCTCAGCTAACGCTCACGCCCAACATAGCCCTTCGTTGCCTCCTGACCTCGAACTTATGCAAACCACCGGAGTTCCCCCGTCTCAGCGTCAGACCGAATCCAAAGACACCACATGAGCTTCACCCCCACATCTAGCATAACCTCTCAAACGCTCTTCGCCATTACCCTCCTCCTGCTCGCCCAGCCCACTCACACTCCCAACATGTCGCAGAGCCACCTCTTCCCCATCACGCACTTCAAAACCGGCTTCACCACATGCGCCTCGGTCTCGCACCCCTCTCTCACCTCCGTACCCCTAACGGACGACGCCCTCGGCGTGCACAAGGCCTTCTCCCTCCCGCACGAGCTCGTCGCCCCGCCTTCATCCCCGGACCCTTCGTACCCAGAGGCGGGAACCACACCCGACGGGGCGCCAGCACCGGGCACCGCGTGGCAGGCGCGCTATCCGAAGGGCAGCATCAACCCGCGCTCGGACCGCGAGGGCGGGAGCGTGTTCTACATCGCGGGCCCACCTGACTTTGCAAAAGCGCTAGAAGAGTCACGGGAGGCACTCATAAGCTATAGGGTACTTCTGGACGCGGAGTGGGAATGGGTGAGGGGCGGGAAGATGCCGGGGATGTGTGAGCTCATTCAGATTCTTCATCTTATTGCTGAGGCTGACTGTCGCTCTGCGAAGACGGTGGGGAGGGCGACTTGGCGTATCATTGCTCTGGAGGACGGCAGTCCGAACGATGCAGGTGCTTCAACCTTCGGCTTATGTGGAGGTAAGCTCCGTCTTTGTTGACTCTACCTCTTAAACTCACCAGCGTAGAGCACACGGTCACGGAGAACTCTACGCATACCTGCCACCTAGCGACACAAACAAAAACAGACTATCCGCCGTGCCTCCTCGATCTATCGTGAACCCCGACTACGGCGTGTCAGCTGGCCGCGGGGCATTTATATGGCCAAAGGCACGCTGGGTGACGCTTGCAGAGCGGGTGAGATTGAACGACGTCGGCCAGGCGAATGGTGTGTCTCATTCGCGTAAAGCAAACGCGTGGACTTTGCTGATATGAGAAACCACAGGGGAAGTACAAGTATGGGTCGATGGACAGAGCGTCATCAACGTCAATGGCCTCATCCTCCGCGAGAACGCAGATTCGCGGATTAAGGGCATACACTTCTCGACGTTCTTCGGAGGTGAGTAATCCAGCTCGAGCGACAGTTTTTACAGCAGGTTTTGAATGCTTGTCACAGGTCATGAGCCTGAATGGGCCTCGCCCAAGGACTTGAGAGCGTGGTTCTCCGATTTCTCTGGTGCAGTAATTGAGTAGTGAGGTATGTTCACAACGATGTACACACATAGCACATGCATCCTTCCGTAAGTTATGCGAACTGTCTTTAGTGTCTGGGACCATTATAAACCTGATGTATAGTTTTAAGTACCCGTAAGCCCTGGAGGAAATCTATCTTTTCTAACCCGTGCCCTTCCTCCGTCTTCCCGGCCTAAGAAGTGATGCCCGGTACATATCGCGCATACCAACTGGCTTTGTACGCCATGAAGACGGGAGAAAACAACCAGTGATACTTGAACATAACCGATGCCTTCGGTAGTCGACTCGATACAAGCGTTCCGTTCCCATGCCAAGAAGTGGTGGGATTGAGGAGCACCTCGAGCGTCGAAAGCCCACCACACAGCTGCTCGTCGAGCTGCGCGAGGCGCTCCAAGTGCGTCTCGCTGCGCAGCGTGACCACCAGCGTGCTCAGCGAAGGGAGCTCAGCGACATCGAAAATGTGCGGCCCGTCAAACGACGGGTCCCGGTACGAGAACCCGAAGACGCGGACCTTGGGAAGCGAGAACGGCTCGGACGACATGACGAACTGGTCCGTGTACAAAAACACCTCCTGCAAGCTCGGAAACGTCCTCTCGCTCAGATCGCCCACGTCCAGCACCGGCGACTTCGTCAGAACGAGCGACTCGAGGTGCTCCCACCGCAGCCCGAAGAACACGCGCACGTCCTCCCAGTTCGGCAGCGCGATCTGCAGCCGCGAGAGGCGCTGCAGCGCCGGCGACCCGAGCCTGTCGCGCGCGCCGAGACTCGTGACCATCAGCTGCTCGAGACGCGGGAACCGCTCGAGACAGTCGACGACCCGCCGCGCCCTTTCCTCGTCCAGCCCCGTGATCGCGATCTCGAGCGCTGCGCACGTCGCGCGGAACGGCTGCAGGACGCCGTTTCCGCACCCTGAGATGAAGCTGCCCACGAGCTTGGGATCCCGGTTGACGAATATGGAGAGGTGCGTGGGCGCGGAACCGGAGCGGGAGAGCAGCGCGAGCGGCCGGCGCATGGACGCGCTAATCTCCGCTTCCGCCCGCCAGTCGATGTGGATCAGGTTCCAGAGCCGTGGTGTGGCAAGCGCGATCTCGCGCCAGCGCCTGCAGACCTGTGCAAAGTTTTGTGCGACGGACCGCCCTTGGTGGTTGATCGTGGCGTGTACGGTGATGACGTTGACGGCGTGCAGGAAGATCGTGCTCATGATCTCGAAGGGGACGCGTCCGACGCTCGACACAGACCGAGAGTGATTGAGAAGGGACTTGTGCAGGACGGATTTGCTTTGCGTCAACGTGTCAATGGCATTGTCCAGTTCCGCAATCACGCTTGAGAAATTTGCGATGATGTTCCGCACACTGCTATGTTCCGTCGCCGGAGCATAGAAGTTCGAGTGAATGGCATCAGCATAGTCCGTCTCCACCAAGGACTAGAACACTCGATTAGCAGCAAAACCTTGAACGTAAACAATAGCTTGAACAAACGTTGATTTCCTCGGTCACGGCGGGGAGCTGAGAGGTATACAGCGTCAATCCCGGAACGGGACTTCAGTTTCGTGGGAGACAAACTTACCAAAGCAGCAAGTTGTGCCAAAGCCATGCCTCTGCTTCGAGTTTTCGTGGTGCTTGAAAAATATGTAAAGACGGAGGGATGCGGCGATAGGAACGAAACTGAGAAAATCGAGATGGGGTTTTTATTACCAGGAAATACAAATACCTCCCAGCCGTCGAGTCACACGATGTACTTTTGAGGGCGGGAAGGCCCAAAATGGCCTCATCACTACTTCCGTTGGCCTTGACAGGATGCACGGATTTCCTAGGATACAGTCGACATCAATATAAATCTATACAAATGGTGGTACGAAGTTCTTATGCTGCCCGTCTCTACATACACATCTTCTGACTCAGGTGAGCTTCAGCGTGCGCAGTTCCTGGCTGGCCAACTTCAACGTGTCCAGCCTCTTCTGCAACTCCTCTCTGCGAAGTGAGATAGTCGAAGCCTCTTCAATGAGCGCCTCACATGCCTCACGTGCATTAGGACCGGTGATCTCCAGCCCGTCTCGCAGCGCCTTCTCTAGACCCTTGTTAAGCCCGAGGACGATCTCGTGGTCGATGGTCATCGGCACCATGTCCGCGAAACGCTTGTAGGCAACTGCCATCGGGATGCATTCGTCAGCCGGATACGGTATTACATGTTAGCGGCGGGCCTTGACTCACCCTGGAAGTAGGCCCTGACGCTCGCCATGATCTCGATTGCGGGCTCCATAGGGTCAGATGGCAGCATCTTGGGTATGTCCTCGGGCTTTGCGCTGATCCCTAACTCACTCAGGCCCGAGAGCACCCTCGATACCGACTCCTGAAAGCCACTCGGATACTCTGTCGGCCCTGGGGCCGTGTAGCTCTGAAGATTCGCCGAGAGACCAGATGCCTTGGGACGTGCACCACGGTAGTGCGCTAGGAACTTGTCCCGGTAGTCGGCGAAGTAATGCGTGTTCAGTGTTGTTGGCATACTCTCGACGTCGAGGAGCCACTCGATCTTCTCTCTCGTTCGCTCGGCGCAGCTCTCTAGATGTTCCTGGACAATTAGACTGATCGCCCAAAGGTGAGCATATGGCCCTTTCAGGATTAAAGTAGAAAACCCCACGTAACACGGTTCGCGGCTAGCCCTCGGCCCATCCGGTTGAAGTGTGCATCGACGACACGCAAAACCTCCTGCTTGAGGATGTCATACGTCTCGTCGAACAACTCCAGAGCAGGCGCATGCCACTTCGTGAGGAACTGCTTGATGTACATCTCCTTCACAACGAATGGATAGTTCCCAGGAAGCTCTCGGGTTACCGCTCTATTCGCGGTCAAAATGAGTTGTGAGCGTTGTATTACTGCAGGCAAACGCACTTCTGAGCTCGGTCCTGCACCTGATCGATGTATATAGGCGGATTCTCATCCTCCTGTGATTCAGTTGAAAAGATCTCCTCATTCGAAAGAAAGGAAGGGTCTTCCAGCTGCGAATCCTCCCTACCGCTCTCGAAGGGCTGGAAGTTCGGAGCTGTCGCACGAACGGCACGCTGAAACTTCACCTGACGCGGGCGTATTGTCTGCAAGACACCATCCTCATCGGGCGTGCCCTGCATGCGCTTGGTGATGTCGATCGTGAATACGTTGAGAGCCTGCAGCACTTCCCCAACGGGATCTGACGATGGGGCCTTTGGGAGTTTGCGTTTCTCTTCTTCAGTCTTCTGTAGCAAGGCCTTGAGCTCGTCTTGAATCTTCGGCAACCTGAGGAGTACGTGACGTCAGAGATTAGAATCACCCGACCAGCCGAGAGAACACACCGCGTCGCGATCAAGTCCGAGAGAATCACACTCAGTCGCTCCGTCAAATTCGAAGTCCGAAGATACCGCTGACGCTCTTCCGGCAGCGATGCCCAGGGCTCTTTCGTCATGAAGAACGTGTCCTCGTTCTTCCTGGCCTGTTGCCAGGTGATCCCTTTCTTCAGCTCACTGGGTGTGGGCTGCTTGACGCAGAACCAGTTGTTTGACAACGGGATGTTCAATCCCTTAACCAGGTCCACCCAAAAGGTCTCATCGCCCTCTTGGCAAAGGTCAGGTTTGGTAAGAACGCCTGCAAAGGTAAATGATAAGTTGCTGGGGAGTTCAAGGTGATAAAGTTCATACCAACTGTACGGTCGCCTTTCGGGTCATGCTCTCTCACGATCTCGTATGCGCCTTGGTTGTTGAAGTCGGCTACCAAACGTATTAGCTACGGGATGTCTTCGCGAGACAGAACACCGCTCACTTTCGCAGGTAACGGTAAGCAAGATCACGCAGCTCGGCTTCTTGATCCACGAATCCACAAGGCTACGCACGAGATCGATGTCTCCCCTGTTCCCATCAGTCGTCGAGACGATGAGACCCGGGAGATCAACGAAAGAGAGGTCCGCAACGTCAGGACCACTGATCTCGAGGCATATGATATTCTTCGAGAACGACACCGCATTCTCGTCCTCGTCGACGTCCCCGCCATCAAGGAAAATCTTCGCTTCAGTGGAAGGATTGAGAATCGCGCGCTGAGCACGACGAATGCGCTCCTCGACCTCGTCCTTGTCTTGAATCGGAGCACCAAATGGGACGTTGCGAGTCTTGCACACTTGTCCGTTGGCGTCAGTCATGATCTGCAGCTTCACGACACACGTCCACGGCCTGTCGGAACGCGAGAGCTTGCATTCGGTGGCGCATCTGTCGCATAGTCAACACAGTCAGCGAAATGATATTCTAGTGTTGACGAGACGTACCGCGTGCACGTGCCCGAAGCACGAGGTAACTTGATACCAGAGATGGCCTCGATCAAGGACGACTTGCCGGCACTTTGCGAGCCGATGACAGCGATGACCGGCAAGTCCATCTCGGCTTGAACGCTAAGAAATGGGTCAAAATGAGGGTGCTATAGGGGAAGGGAAGCGACAGGGTAACATACCCTGTAGAGTGAAGACGGTTTACCAAGTCGAGCATCTCCCGACTCCGCCTGGAAACACGGGCGTTCGACAGCCCGACAACCTCATTTTGTGAATCAGATGAGCCGTCGGCAGGCATTAGTGGGAATAGCAATGGGGGGAAGAGGAGGAGGGGTGTTATCGTCTGTGAGGAGCTGAATGCCAATTATATACTCCAACCAAGCTGTGAAGGTCTATCTCCTTAGCTCCTTTTACAGCATCCCGAAAAGAAAGAAAGGTCACTTGTTGATAGCATGCTGAATGTAAGCGCCCAGGGTACTGGGGACGCCACTCCCAAGTTGGACAGTCGCGGATCACTATCGCCTTTCATGGTCTTGCAATGAGGGTGCGATACTCCACGGTTGTCTCAGACAGGTCTCGGTTGTTAGCCCTGCTGTGTAAGATGCTGATCGCCGCCAGGGAGAGCGCACAAGGAAAGTCTAAAATAGAACAATGCAGGTGTCAGTTCGCGCGTCGTCCTGTGGCTGTGTCAACGCGTCGCCAAAGTATGTACAATCTTTAAGTTACGGCAGCGAGGACAACCATCGCATCAGTTGCGGTGAGGTGAAACAAAGGCGTTCTTGTATTCAAGTCAACCTCAAATGTTTATTGACCTATCAATTCAGATACGCTATGCCAAAACCTATAGAAATCCCATCAGAAGAGTAGATTGACATTCAGTGAGAAAAAACGCACGCGCAACGGTCTACCAACCCTTGATCTGTATTGAAAGGCTGTACCACAGGTACACCCGACTCTGTATGGTTGAACAGCATCTCCGTGTTGCCGGTTGCGTAAGGCTCCCAGTACGGGGTGATGTCAATCAAGTCGAACTTTTGGTTGACGTCGAAGAAACGCGCGAATGACATGTATGACTCGACGTACGACGCGTCGAAAGCTGGGTTGTCATACGGTGGTGCGGTGCTATGACGGATTGGTAAGTCCACAGCGCATATTGCAAGGATGCCCTAAACTTACTTGTTGAAGTAATATTTCAAGTCATCCGCATGGAGCCCTGGTGGGACGGCCCAGAAACCCTGGTTGACACGTGAGCATCAGGCCCAAGCCATACCTTGGATGAAGTCAGATACGAAGACGTACTCTCCAAGATCGTCCAGGGAATGCCGCAAGCATATAATACGTCGGACACAAGAAGACGGCTATCTCGCCAGAGCCAAGTTAGACGCTACACCACACGAATACAAAGGAACCCACTGTCGCCCTGGATCCATTGCATCTGCTCCAGCGGCGTGCCCATATCGCGATACAGGTACGCAGCCTCCTGTACATCACCCGAGCCCAACTTCGGGAACAACGCCGCGACGTACTCCACCACAGACATGTTCGCGACAGTCTCTGCGTTGACGAAGTCGGTGCCTTCATGCGAATTGCCGAATGCTAGATACAGCTCCTAATATTCAGAAATTGTAAGAATTTTTTACTCCTAGACCAGTATGGGACGACGCACCCCGTTGACACGCCTATCTTGCATAAGGACGGTAGGTCGGTCAACGATAAAGGTCCCGTCGACGACGGGAACGAAGGCAAAGCTGTCAACCGGGGAGAGGGTGGTGATGTTATTGTTGACTACCCCGAGCTGTGAGGCATTGAGAGCCCTGAGACAAAATAGTGTGTCGCTCGCCGAGGCGCAGCTACAATTTTACGGGTGAGTTTTTGTCAGAACCACAGTACTTTTCGACGTACCCGCCCAAAGAAACAACTTGGTTGTAGTAGTACTGTTTTCCAACATGAGATTTGGGGACTTGCGATAAGAGAATATGATTTTACTACCTGAGGTATAGTATCGTTGTACCAGTACTGAGATGGAAGAAACGTAGAGCTTGAGATGACTGCGTGGAACAACGGGGGCTCGGTGTTCCCATTGTTAGCGACCAGATGCTGCAGCATCGAACCGGCACCTATCACACGTTATGTCAGTGGATGTATGCGCATGATCAGAGCTCGCATTGAGACTAACCTGCGGACTGGCCCCAGATCGTTACATGTGATGGATCCCCGCCGAACTTGGATATCTGAGAATGACATTAACACTGTGGTCTGAAGCGCAGGGTAACAACCATACATGCTCCTGTATCCACTGGAATGCAAACTGCTGGTCCACTGCGAGTGGTTAAGTATAAGTCAACGAGAGCAGTAGAAAACGCACAAAGTCCGGCATTCAGGGCACCGCCGTCCTTGACCTCCTGTCCGGCGAGAAACCCTACGATGATCCCATCGCTTAGCCTAACGCGTACGCCATCCTTTCACACTTACCGAACAGTCCAAGGCGATATTGGATGGAAACGACGATCAAGGAGTGGTGCGAGTTGATTACGAGGTCAGTAGCATTATACTCTGCCCTACTAATATCACCCTCAACATAGCTGGAAGGCTTAAGTCAGTATGACACCGAGAAATCACAGAGAATCAACTCACGCGCCACCATGAACCCAAACGAGAACCGGTATCCCGCTGCCTACAGTCGTATTGGTTGGCATATGACCAGGCACGAGCACGCTTTGGGGCCGTGTTAGATTGGGCATGGCGAAAGAACAGAAAACCGTACTTGAGAAATAGGCAGTCCTCAGATTGAGGAGCATCGTTAAGGTCACTACCGCTCACGCCGCTCTGGTAGCACATATTAGGATTGACAGTCGCCTGCTGGACGCCAGAGGTGATGCTAGGTATCTGAGGTGCTGCGAAGCGGAGATCACCTACGACACCGACTTCTCAGCGCGGGAACCACAAGCAAGGATCCTGATGTGGACATACCAGTGGGAGGCGCTCCGTATCGGATCCCTATGAACTCTGTGATCCCGTTTGACGCGTTGTAATAGCCCTGATACTTCGCATACCCGACGTCGATTATGGGAATAGTTGGGGACGATGCAGACGCTCCTGTGCGGGACGCATGACACGGATACAAGAGGATAGAGAAGGCCCAAATGCTGAACAGATGGGACAGCATGTTCCACGAAAGTCTGAAGATCGAGGCTACGAAATGTTGGAGCGGCGGAGAAGCGAAGGACGTAGTACATACTCGCTTGCATGAAAGGTTCGCGATGAGCGTTCGTTCCTATAACATAGTCAGCAGACCCTGATGTGAGTGTCCGAGACTCGAGTGCGGCCCGGGTGCGTCATGTGTTGACGCTTCACCCACGATTCAGAACGTATGGGAAGGAATAGAGCCGATTGCAAGAGAACACATGAAAGGAGGTTGAAGGAGAAAATATCCATGTGCTTGAGCGACGGCCCGGAGGTAAGAGTTGGGTAAAAGTATTCATTCCCTTCTGTTGTGGGCGGTGCCGGATGATGACCAGGACGAAGATCAGGTCAGGTCAAGTCACGGGAGGGTCACAAATTCTTCATGGTAACGCGATCGTGATGTCGACGCGGTGAGTGAGTGTGACATGTGACTGCACTGGCACGATCCTCCTGAGCATGCTATGCTCGAACGCAAACGTTAACGCGCGTTAACGCTCTCTTGACATGTGACGCTAGGTGATTATGTGTTCAGTAGGTAGGTTTTGACTTAGGACTACATCACAAACCCCCTCAACTATCGGTGTGTCTTGCTCATTGTGCCTCGTTTACTAGTAGAACACGCAACCACTTCTCCTCCCGGTTCCTCGGATTCCCCCACGCCGACCACTTCGAGTGGTGGACCCACTCCTCATTATATGGCACCACCGACGCTTCCGTGAACACAAATACTGCCGCATTCGAGTAAGGCTCCAAGGGTTGTCTATATCTCAACATCCAGACGCCATCCCTGTCTGAGGACACCGCGTCGCCAGCCGCGAGCAAGCCACGCCTGACCCTGTTCTGGATCTATAGCGGCGCATATACATACTGCGGCAGGAACAGGGTGAGCAGGCGCGATGTTTTCACTGTTACCATCAGCTATCGGTGCACCGAAGCCCTTCTATGGTGAAGAAGAGATGCACCGAGAGCTACATGCCGACGATACAACTTGAGCACACCAGGTTTCCTCGCGCTCAGAGATGGCGTCGCGAACGGGGACTATGGCCTTGCAGATCAGGTTACCGCCCGACCCCTCAACTCCGCTGGAAACCCTTCTACTAAACGATGTACCAGGTCACCGCCCTTTGCTGAGTGCAATCTCACATTGCCGCCTTTGGCGGTGACGCCTCCCGCATTACGATTCTCGAGCAGTCCTCGGCCGCAGGCAGCGTGCGCGTCCTCCTCGCTCCCCCAGTCTCGTGGAGTGAGAACCTATTCGCGGACGCGATCGCGCAGACCAACTTCGCTGGGTTCGGGTATGTACTCGATCCGCTGCACTATCGCGCAAGAATGCAATGTCTTGGTCCCGGACCGCTGTAATATGTTGGGTGTGCGAGTTATGTGGATGCGCCCGCGACGACAGAATACCCATACCGTACGGCGACCCTTATGCGCCCTATTTCCAGTACCACTCGCCCAACCTCTACTTCATCGCGGGCATGCTCGGACAGTCCGCGCTGCACCTCCGCGACGACGCCGACTGGACACTGTCGCAGGTCGTGGTCGACTACTTTGCGTCGTTCGCGCGCACGTTCGATCCGAACTCTGACCCAGTGTATATGACCACGCGGGGGCACGATAACTCGGCCGCGGCGATGAATGCTGCGTGTTCGCGGGACGCTGTTTCTGCAACTGGGGAGGGAGGGATGTGATGCTATTGGATATTCTGCTGAGAGCATCGACGTGGCTTGAGATAGATATTTCCTAGGGTATGGAATCGATCATTACCTTTGAGCTGATTGATGTACGGTAGATTGCTTTCTCTGGGACAGGGCGTTAATATACAGCTGTTCTTCCTCATTTCAATATATCCTCGCATCTTTGTGGCGATGAAGTTTGTCACAATTGGACTATTGTAGGTTGCTCATACCCCTTGTATCCCACACCAGATGGGATCACATCAGCATGATTTCCATCAAGGCTATAGCGAGCAAGATGCACTCCATCATCTGTATAGGCGTACAACTGTTTGTTCGTGGTGTATTGACGTGAATCGGATATGAAGTAGGTAAGACTGAGGCTATGATGTTAGTCAGGGAGGTGTAGAACAGGTGCAAAAGCCACATTCTGCCGATGACCCAGGATAACATCTCCTTGCAGCTAATACTAAAACAACAGTCAAGCACAAAGTAGGCTTACAAATATATCTAGTGCTGCAAGTTCCTCATCCACTTCCGGACCTTCGGCTTCAGAACCCACATCATCCGACATCTCGCTTGAATCTGACGACGTTGATGATCCCGATTCATACACATACGTCTCGTCATCTGAGTCCATATCCTTTCCATCCCTGGAATCGAAGTATTGGCTTGCACCCTCCATAAATTCCGCATACTTCTCTTCGTCCAGTTCATCCCACATATCTGGGTCCTCGGACAGGCGATATCCGTAGTACCATATACAACCCATGTCCAGAGAGCCTACAATGTGCTCAGTCGCATGAATCATCAGTCCGGGATAAGCCCAGAAGATTACTGGCTTGGCCGCAGCGGTAAGATCAGGCGGGATTAGCAGAGGAAGTGCGGGCCCGACTTGACTGAAAAGTGTCCAGTCAAGAAGCCGAGTTGTCCGAAGCCGAGGCACACCATCGCCTGTTGGACCGCTCTCGTCACGTAGGATGAGCCTTGTCCCATCCTTGGTATATATGTTGCCCACTATATCAAAAATCAACAGATTTGGGTGCCTGAGGAGCTTCAAGTCGCGCATGTAAGGTATCACAAAGTGTTCAAGCTCCGGGCACTTGTCGAGACATGACTGGATAACTTCGCTTCTGATAGGCTCGGGTTTCGCGTTCTGTACGCTCCAGTTTGAGCTGCTCGTAGGGTCCATCGCAAGGAACCGTAAATGTGAACCGTGTCGGTCCAGGAAGCTTATACAGTTTGCGATTGCCTGTGCGGTATTCAACTGGAGTAACAATGCGAGCCGGCGTAAAGCAGGGAGTTGCAAACCGGAGACTACAGACGGGAAATCTTTGAGGAGTGTGGCAGCAATAGGAGAGAACCATGATAGCCTGAGTTCCTCGAGAACGGGGAACGTGTACGGAGTGCCGCCAGGAACTGGCGCAAAGTTGCCAACATCGCATGACAGTAAGGTGATATTAGAGAAACGAGCTAACTCTGGAACTATATGGAATGCTCCTAATTCGATATGCGTGACCTGTGAGAGGCGTGAAAGTGGCATGGCTTTGAACAAAGAGTCGGGGACGAAGTCCGTACCCGACGAAATGGGGCCATCCAGAACGGGATCAAAGACGATGTGGCCAACGCTTGCGCAGACCGACAGGATCACCCTTAGCGACAAATCAAGGACCCGGCGATGACCTATAGGGACGTGACAGATCACGCTCAGTTTCCTGACCAGCGGAGGTAGTGTAGAGTTGTTCCATAGCGTTTTTAGTAAGAGAGGTAGTTGTTCAAGGCGCCGAATGACAACGTGGTGATACAAAAGCTCTTTTGCTGATTCCCGCCAACCTTTACAAACCAACACTAGTCCTTTCTGGAACCGAAGGTTTTGAGACCACGCCGACATTGGTCCGCGCCGTATATGAGGGTCGAGGAGTGATGGTGGGCTGCACGCAAGGTTCAGAATACAAAATAGGCATACACGCGGGATAGATAAGATAGAGGTGGACTGAGTGTTTTGAGCTTTGGAGACACGGGTGTCTGTCTCTTTCGTTGACTGTACCGAGTTGAGCAGGGATTGACCGAGAGCGAAATGACATCACTCACGAGCGTTACTACTTGCACCTCGCTAATTCCCTCACTCTCCGTCAGCCCCTGCGTCTTCTCACGTCCGTAAACATGCCCTGTGATCGCACCAATCTGAGTAGCGCTCGTATTTGTAGAGTTGGGTGCGGATGTCGTGATATGGGATGACGACGTTGCTAACGATAAACAAGTGTGAGCTACACTTGAGTTCTTCCGCATAGCATCGACTTTCTTGTTAAGGTCGGTGATCATGCCTTGAAGCTCTTCTAGGTCTGCTTTATCGGTTGGCTTGAGGATCTCATCATATAAAGATACAACCATGTCCCGGACGCCTGCCGAGTACGAAAAGTCCCGCGGCAGAGCCTTGGCATACTGCAAGCAACAGCGTAAGCTTCCCTTGAGCAATATCAGCAGCTCATCGGGTGTTTCAAGTCCTTGCTCGTCCATGAGATTCGAGTAAGGGGAAGACTTGTTCGAGAGCAATAACGCGACGAGTTGAGTCGGGCAAAGGTTTGAAGAATACGTTCAATTGGGTAGCAAATGGGTGAAGCTGAATGCCTGTCACACGATAGGCTCGGGAGGGTATTGAACAGTTAGGTGTGACTGAATAACGGCGTGATGTGTGACTTTGTACGCGTCGCGCGTCGTTGACGTTGAGCACAGGACCGTCGACCTCAGGTCGAGCTCATAACATACGCCACGACATTCTCACATCTACGCATCCAATGGGCGGCTTCCCCAACTCCAATCAACCGCAGCATATCACCCGCTGCGAGGTACAGTCATGCTCTGACTCGGCGACGTCTGGAGATGAGTTTTACGACGGCAAGCACGCCCAGTCGCCCTACAAACGTGCATCCATCGATTCGCGTAGCGGTCGGCGACGCGTCAAACACCACATCAAGCTCCAAAAAGCGAGGAAACTAGACCCAAATACAGGGCGGTGTGCAATCACTCGTCAGAGGACTGGCGTTGAGAGTCTCCATTTCCTTCCGGTAGACACAGATGATAAAATGGTGAGTCCCCGCTTAAGTCTCATGTATGCCTTCTCTTCCCAGATGGACTTACCAAGAAAAACAACCTAGGTCACGCAGCTTGAGTGGGCATGGGGAATGGGATGGCGGCGTCTGGATGTTGCGAGTCCTCATAATACCTTCTTTGGTTAGTGCTTTTTGACCTGAAGCGTAGGCTTTACCGTGCTAATGACAGGCAGTCAGCGCAGAGTGGAAGAAACGTTTTGATGACGGACAGTGGCTCCTGCTTCCGGACTATGATACAATCCAGTCGTTGGCGGCATTGCCAAAAAGGCGGACTGCTGCGGCCAGTTTCAAACTCAACAAGGTACGGCGTTACTTGTTAGCGCGTATTGGCTGACCGTCCTATTTCGATAGTGGCTGCGATGCCAAAGCATTTTCAAGTACCACCTTGTCCCTCGTTCATCTCTGGTGGATGAAGTTATCACCACCGAGTCGCCGCACGGCACTCGCACCGTTCACACATACCCGTTCGCCACGTTAGGTCCTATACTAAGCCACGTTCAACCGCATTTCGTGGTGTACAACGCCTCCCAGAAATTGGAAAGGCTTCGCAGGCGGGATGCGATAAATGTGAAGCTTGCGTTAGAAGCAACTTACAGACTATATGGTCCGCTAAAAGACAGGGCGCGATACATCCTTGCCATTGATGCGGTGGAGAGCCTCCTCGAGGCGGAATGGCGATGGACAAAACGCCAATTTCCTCGTATCTTTCGACACCCCGATCGTTCATCTCGACGGCTCCACCCCCTGCTATTTGGACTCATTCCTTTCACCTCAATCTCGGATAGCCCCCTTCTCGAATGGAATCCTTCCCCACCTGTCAGGTCTGCGCTGCCAACCAGCGACCTGCGTCTTTGGTCCGTTCAAGCTTGTCATGACGCTAGATGCGATGGCTGGGAGCCGACGGTCGTCAATGATGACCAGGTCTCAGATTACCGTGCGGAAGCAGAAGTAGTGTTTTCGCCACCTCCCCAGGACGCTTGGTGCCTTTGGCGTCCGACTTGGTACCGCCAGAAGGGTGGTTGTAAACCCATCAGATGGTTTTCGAGCAACGATTGGGCTGCGCTTGAATATCACATTTATTTACCTGCTATGCAGTCCGCGTCGAAGGAGTTTTCTCTCAGACGAAAGAGTGGTTCTCTTAGAGTACTCTCATAGATTTCGTGTATTCACTATCCATCTATATTTCATCTTCGACCAGACATGCCGTGCTCCGCTACGGCACTTTTTGATGGCGGAGATTTCAATGACAGGGACAGCAGAGTCAACAGTATATTTATATGCATGACCTACAACGTGCGAAGCGAAGCGTTGACAAAGGGCGGTATAACATCGCTGCTCTCCGGCTTTTACTATTTGATGTCAGAATGTTTTACTTGACTGTTTCGGTGAGCTTGAGATTAACCCTAGTTGGTCCCGCCCTGTATTATATTGAGGTGAGCGAGACGCGAGACGCGAAAAGATTTCGAGTCTGACTATGTAGAATATTTACCAACACGGGTAAGCAGTGTCAAGAACGTCACGGTGAACTGATCAAAAATAATAATAGCCTCAATTGATGAGATTTAGTCATTGCAGGAATGCTCAGTACGAACACAGATGCACAATCGCTGACAAACATAATCTTGAACCATATCAGAGTGATGACCAAAAACCTTCGAGTCGTAGACAACATCCGTGGTCGCGGCACAATGTTCAAGTATACCTGGTATGAGTTTTACAAAGGTACTAAGGTCGTTGTAATTATGTGGGTCTCACTATGGTGCGAATTGGGCCAAATCCCAAGACCGATCAAACATATGCTCCATATCTTTAAGCATCTCGACTGCAGTATGTTTGTCACCCACTTTGTTCTCCTTCAGTATCTGCCCCAGGTTGGCCAGTAGCTTCTTTTTCTCAGGTTCCTCCAGCGGTAGGTACTTCCTCATGGCATCGAAAACCACAAACTGGGGCGAGACATGGCTCTCGATTGGACCTAGTTTCTTGAAAGGGTGAACGTATGTGCCAATCAGTCTCGGGTAGTCGGCCTCTCGATCGGCCTCCGGGTCGGCCTCCGAGTCAGCGTCACTCTCAATTCCCAACTCGACGTCCAGCTCAAGAGGTGCCGGTGAGCCACTAAAAACGCCACTATCTTCCTCAACGACCAAGTCAGCATCCTCCTGGGCACCATCCTCATCATAGGCCTCCCTCTCCGTAAGCAGAACCTTATCCTTCAAGGAAACGGTACCATCTTCCGAATCATAACCATCAGCCGCTTTGCGTAAATCATCATCCACGACAAAGCCACCGGAATCTCCCACATCCCATCTTGTAATACCGTATGCCGTCCTCTTCCGCGACACAAAGTAATATGTCGAATGCTCAAACCGATAAGTCTAACGGAATTTATGGTCAGAGTCGAAATATACGGTGCTATTGTCGGTCAAATCCGCGACTTACCTTATTGATACTGACAGAGTCTTTTGTCGGAATTGTCTTTCCATCCGCCCCTGAAATCTGGTTAATACCCTTCTATTAGTGTAAAGCAGCTCTAGTCCTCACCGAAGCGTTGCTGCGTCAGCTCCTTAAGCTTTCGTATGGCATCGGGTGCTGGAACCAGCATCCACTCCCAACGGGGTGAGTCAAATCTCTTATGGAGAGAAACATCGACTTTTTATGCCCGTCAGGAAAGACTTTCAGTCAGAAAATGCCACGCTCACCTAAGAACATATTGAACCGGCTATCAAAAGCGTTCCTTCCCCCCCAGGCTTTATCGAACTTGTCCTGCGTGCACCATGGCTGTCAAAATTTCGCAGTGTAAGGGAGTGTCGTATCACTCACGACATCGCTTTTGTTCTTTCCATGCTTATGGCCTAACAAGTGTGCTCCCTCGACCGCCTTGCTAGAGCGTGTTCCGGTGATAATGCACTTATCCTTGTCAGGGGATGCGATCATAGCAAGCTCCTTCTGCATTTTACTGCGTCCAGAGCCCGGTGGCCTGTTCTCGGGGGTGTCTTCTTGGTCGTCAGGTAGCGCCACATGCGAGGTGGGTGTTGCGGGAAACGCCTACATTCCTCGTTAGAGAGAGATCTGTATACGGTATAGCGGCTCGTGAGGGGAACCAACCTGCGGTGCGCCTATATCATTCTCGTATATGACCATAGGCGCCACGGGCGTGGACCTCGATGCCTTTCTCTGGCATGTAAAGGCGGTAAGTCCATGCTAACCAAACGACAATAGAATTATACTCAACGGAGTTAGACGACGACAACGACGTCGCCGGTTTAGTTTTTCGCTGCAATGGCGAGCTACTATTTGGGTCTTCTGCGGCATAATCACTATCAGGCGGTGATGTGTCCGATACCTTCGTGCGTTTGGCCCGAGGGCGAATCCTATCTGGCGCCTGGTTCGATTCCATAGCTAAGGTGCGCAGGGATTAATGATCTTTCAAGGAGACGAGCCCTCTATAAGACTCAATTTGAGTGACTGCGTGACAAGGGCGTTCACGAAGAAGACAAAGGCAGGATCTGTGCCGTCATCTCTCAACCCTTGGCCAACCCTTCACCCTGCTTTCGCATACCAGCACGGCGTCCTGCACCATCAACAGCAGGATCAGATTAGTTACACACCGCACCAAGCTTGTGGTTGAGTACATGCCTCATCAGGCCAATCTTCTCGGAACTTTGATCCGGACACAGTCTGCGCGATCCTGATTTCAAAGCGTGCGTGGGACGCAACACTTACAACGAGAAGCTTTGAAGCCACTTTGGGGTATAATGAAACCCATTGAATTAGCATATTCAGCGAATCCTCGGGCAGTGCATGGGACAGTCAGATATGAAGATGAGGATAGGCAATAATGAGACCGACGTGGACCTACAAACCAAAAAGGTTCCGTGAACACAACGCGGCAAGCACGATGTTTACTAGCGGCTTCTTCGATGTACGTATGATTGGGTTTTTAAGACGTGAAGTGATCTATACGTTCGATAAACCTTGGCAAAATCTTGCTATTAGATGCTCGCAAGCAAATCATGACCATCGACTAAAAGCAAGAACAAGGGACGGGTCCGACGGGGTAAGAGACAGCACCATTTGGGAGTGCAAAGCGCAGGTAAACCGATCGATCTAATCTTAAATCCCCGTAAATAGGTCCACAACGTGCATCGAAGTCGTAATCATGCGGTATCAAGGGTGCTAGAAGCTGTCGATGCAGAACGAAACATTGGATTGTATAGAGATTAGTAATTCAATTGTGATTTCGGTACCTGTGTATACAATCAGGACTGCCTCCGTGTACGCGCATGGAGAGATCGAGGGGCAAAAGAAGTAGGGTACCTACCAGGGTAGCTAGTATCTTTTTGCCAGAGAAGGCAATCAAAGAATAGAGGGTATGAAGATTATCGAGATTTTTTCAACCACGAGGTGGCAAATGGAGGCTAGATATTTGTGAGCTCGTTAGCATGTCTCTTTCGACATTTGCCACATACCAGTGTGTAATTTTCTAGAATAAAACCAAGTGGTTGAGAGCCACGCCAGCAGATATCGGCGATGCAAAGGATACTTACCAGAGACCTGGGGAGCTCAGATACCGGCGCGAGATTCGAGATCGCGACGAAACATACACGTGGAAGCAGGGTACTATCCGACTTCTCGACAGCATCAGATATGGACAGATAAGGTGAGATATCTAAGTCTACACGCACGCCTGAGACAAACTCCATCCGGGCTGCACTGGCAGATGATACTGCATCGAATCAGATACCTGTTGGTACTAACACGATGGAACCTCTCTTGGGCCCTCGACTCAACGTGCTGTTAGTATTGTGTAGGGCAAGAGTCGAGCCGTTGGTCTTAACCCAAATCCGATTCCCTTCTCCCGTTAAGCCCTATTGTTGACATGCAGGGTCACTAACACCAGTCTGGGAGTACGGACGTCGTTGACTCGCTATTGCACATTTCTGGTGGCCCACCAGAAGCTGAAAAAAGGGGTTGTCGTGGTGGAAGCAACGAGACAATGTAAGACAGGTCGTTTGAGATTTTTTTAAAAAAAAGCCAATCAAACAGGGCAGCTAGTGTAGCAAACAGCTAATAAATACAAATGAACATGTTATCGTAAATGCAAGCCCAAAAAGGAGCTCAACAGCCCGTTTAGCTCAGTGGTAGAGCGCGCCACTCGTAATGGTGAGGTCGGTTGTTCAATCCAGCCAATGGGCATTCGTTTTTGATCCCCTTCATGACATCGTGTGTTCGAGCCACGCACACGCAACATTGTTTCAATCGAGTTGGCTGAAGCCGCTTAAATTTTTTCGTGACACAAGTCAAGGCACATGCACCAGCATGTCAAGTGTGAGACGCGTTCAAACGACAATACTCTATAATACAGTACTCAATGCAAAGAAGCAAAAAAAAAGCATAATACAAAACACTCGGGCTTGAGCAAGAAATCTACAAGTAATGTAACGGGTTTTAGACTGGTACAATATACGTATGCTTGCGCACACTGATGCAGAATCCAGGGTGCGAATCAATACTTTTTCTCGTTGCCGGGAATGAGTGGTCACTGTCGACCTCAAAAGCCGCATTTTCTATTGCGGTATACCGTCCAATCCTCGCATATACAGCGCTCAGTATCGACTGAGCTCTCCCAAGCGTGCGGAGCACGGTGCGCGAGCCATCCGCGCCCACAGTTACTCCTCTGCGCCGCCTCCGTCCACGCGCACGCGCTTGCTCGCTGCCTCCATCGCGCCCCCGTCCTGCTCCCTGCCCGCAACAGCCGCATCCAGCTCCTCCGACGAGCGCTTCCGCTGCCTAGGTGGCGACGCCGACCTCGTCGACTGAGGATGGGACACCGGCGGGGAAGGCGACGGCGACGAGGACGTCGACACGCCGTCCACGAAGGATCCAGGTTTAGGCTTGCGCTCCTTGCCCGGTAGCCTGAGCACATCACCGTCGCCATCGCCATCGCCGTCGCTCGGACTCTCCACTCTCGCCCGCTTCGTCAACGACACAGACCGCTCGTGACCGCTCTGGCCCTTTGCGTATCCCTGCCCGCGCCCGTCCTCCGGCGCACCAGCGTACCCGTAGTCGTAGTCGTAGTCGTCCTCGGACGACCGCTTGCGCGGTGTGATCCCCACCGACACCGGCGCCGACGGAACCTCCCCATTGCGTTCTTGCTCTTGCTCCTGCTCCTGCTCCTGCTCATACGCCTTCACCTCCCTCAAAAACTCATTCAGCTCCCGATCGCCCGAGTCCGCATCGCCCTCGGCCTCAGTGCTCAGCGCGAGCTCCGACTCGCTCGCCGCCAGATCGTCCCCGTCTTCATCTTCCCCTTCCTCCTCTTCCTCATCCTCATACAGCTCGTCCTCGCCCTCTTCCTCCTCCTGCCGCCTGTACCGGCCGTACGGCGAGCGCGTGGGGCGGGGCAGAGACTGCAATCCTTGGGGCCGCGGCGGAGCGGGGAGCGAAGTAGGCGGGGGCGGGGGCGGGGGCACAGCAGGTGCGATGGTCTTCTGCCCCTGTCCCTGAGCCTGGGCACCGTTTCCTCCGACATTGACATTGACACCGGCATCGCGATTCGCACTCACGACCGCCCGCTCGCAGATCGAGCACCGGCAGTGATATAGCGGCGCGCAGGCCTCGCGCCAGACCTGCCATCCGTATCGTCAGCAACGAAAATAAATGATAATAGAAAAGATAGACGCACGATTTTGAACGCCTCGAGACTATACTGCGCGAACCGCGCGAGCGTCTTGGGCACATACGGAATCGACGGCAGCGGCTTGGGCGACTCGAGCACCGGCGAGATCGGAATCGGGATCTTCACCTGCGGAGGACGCGGTGGCTGCTGCTGCTGCTCCGTCTTCTCCTTGCCCTTGGTCTTGATCTTCTCGCCCCCATCCCTAAAATTATCCTCGTGCATGTCATCATCATCACCGCCCGCGCCCGCGCGCTTGCCGCCGTCCTCGTCGTCCTTCACATTCTTCTCCGGCGGCGGCGACGGTGTCGTCTGCAGCGTCGTCGTCGACAGCACCGGGCTCGTCGTGTGCGACCCCTGCCCCTCGCTGCCGCTCGTACTTCCTCCCTCCCTCTCCCTCTCCCTCTCCCTCGGGGCCGCTTCCTCATCCTGACGCTCCCGTCCGTGCCCAACCCCACCGGGCGACCCACGCGCGCTCCCCGCATCATCAGACCCACACCCAGGCCCCTGCGCCCAATCGACCCCATCAAACCACACCCCCGGCGTCCTCAGCTCCGCAAGCACATCCTCCAGCTCCATCCTCGCCGCGCGCACCGCAGGGTCCGACCCACTCGCTCTCGACGCCGACGTCGGAGAGGCGGCTTCCATCACGAACCGCCGGACGAGGTTGCGCATAGCAGGGAGGAGAACGAGCCGGAGCTGCTTCTGGTACGCGCGGAACGCGTTTTCGCATAGTGAGAACGAGGGCGGAGCACGTGCGAGGCGCGTCGAGCGGCGCGGGTGCGCCTCTTCTCGCTCTTCTCCGTTAGCACTGTCCACGACCATATTAGCGGCGCCGGGCGAGTTGCCAGCAGCGGCAGCAGCAGCGGACGACGCAGGCGAGAGGAACGGCGACGGCGACGGTGGCCTCGATAGCGTCCACGGACACGGATGCACTGCACGTGTCCACTTCGCCGAGGGATCTTCGGCGCGGAAAAGCGCTTCTTCTTCTTCCCTCTGCCTTCGCTTCTTCTCTTCATTGCTCCCGGTCCCAGTCCCGTCGCGTCTCTCCCCTTCCCCATCTCCCACCCCGCGTACCCCGACGTCGTCGCCGCCTGTCGAATCGGCTTCGTCCCCATCCAATCCCGGATCCCTCACCCCGCCACCGACGGGGCTCGCGAACCCGTACCACTGGTCGGCGGGACTACACCAGTGCCCGTCCAGAATCCGCGCACGCGCCCAGTCGGCAACAGCGAGATCGCGCACACCGCCGTATTCGGTGATCGAGAGCATCTCCGGGTCGTCCTCTTCCTCTTCCTCCTCCTCTTCCTCCTCTTCCTCTGGTTCTTCGTGCTCCACTTCCACCTGCCCCTCATACTCCACTTCTACTTCCTCTTGCGCTTCGACGAGGATTTCATCGGCGCTAGTAACCTTGTCGTCGTACTCCGCCGCGACACCCGCGAGCGGATTTGAGAATCGCGACGCAGATCGGTCCTCGACCACAGCAGCAGCAGGAGAAGGAGATGACGGCGGCGCCGGAGCGGGCGAGTCCCCGCTCACCTGCGTCCGCCTCTCAGTGCCCGTGCTCCCAGCAGTAGTCGCACTCGCACCCCTCGCCCCCGCCGTCGCTGTCACCGTCACAGTCGCCTCTGACCCCGACCCCGACTCCGACCGAAGCACCTGTCCCTGCCCCTGCTTCTGTCCACGTCCGCTTGTCGACTCCCTCCGAAGAGGAACTGCAGTCGCATACGTCTGCGCGGTACCAGCCTCCTCCGCGCTCGCCCACCGGTTAGCCGCGAGCGCCTGCTGCATCAGCTCCGCGATACGCGTGTGCTTCCCGAGCCACGCCTTGTCCCGCGCAATAGTGACCACCTCGCTAATACCCCCCTCGCCGAGCTCGATAAACGACTCCACAACGTGCTTCGCCTCCCAGTCCTTCGGATCGAACTTGACCGGCGGCTGCAGCGGAAGCGACGCCGCGTCATTGGGGGCAGCGTCGGATACAGATCCGAGCCGGGGTGGCGGTCGCCCGGAATGAGAACGGTGAATGGGGCCAGCGACAGCTTCGCGGTCCCCGGCGCTGCCGACGACGCGTCGCCAGAGCCACTCGGTCCTGCACTTGCGGCATGTGGCGTCCAGCCCCGGCCACGTCTCCTCGTCCTCGTTCTCCGTGACGCACACGAGCTCCTGAACGTACCCCGCGCCCGCGCCCGTCGGATTCGGCTGGCCGTACGCGTAGGGATACTGCGTGCGCGCGTGGTGGCTCAGCAGCGGGTTGCCGTGCGCGTCGAACTGGGTGTCGCACTCGATGAGCGGCGCCTCGCGGAGGCAGAGGCCGCAGAAGGACGACTTCTTGTGCTCCCGGCAGAGCAGGATGGTGCCCATGAGCGGTGTCGTGTGTGCGCGTTTGGCGGCTGCGAGGCCGTGGGAGGAGAAGGGCGCGTTGATGCGGCAGACGACGCAGCTGCAGCTGAGCATGCCGCGGTAGTGCTGGTAGGGGGATATGCGGTAGGGCGCTTGGGTGGAGGCTTTTCCTGCGCTGCCGACGGCGTGTGGGGGTGGTGGGGAGGGTTTGACGATGGCATATTGGGCGAGGACGTCGTGAGGGTCGAGAACGGAGCACGCGTGCTGCCAGAATAGGTGCGTCTCGACTGGAGTACAGCAAGCATGGGCACAGCAATGGTGATGTTAGCGATGCGTAAGCGCGAGATAAGAGACGAGGGACGTACGGGCAGCGCTCCAGTTGGGGTGGACGAGCATGATGCGCTCGAGATCGCGCGCGTCGCGGATGACGGTGTAGACGATGCGTGGATGCCAGAGCTCGCGCGCGTCCCAGGTGTTTGGGGTGTAGTTGGTGGCAGAGACATCGAGGAGATAGTGTGTTGCGATGAGCCTAGGGGTGGCGGTGGGTATATGCGTCGGTGCGGGTGAGGTCAAGAGAGGGGCGCGTACCTTATGATTTCTTGGGGCAGCTGGAGCCAGGACCTGTTTGTGTATTTACCCTTGTAGCCATTTGACCACCGGTCAGCCGAGTCTGAGTGTGTTATAGTAGGAGTGTGGGCTGGTGCAGCAGACATTTTGTCAGGATTGGACTCGAGGAGAGGAAGGATGTATTTCGGTTAGCGTGGCGGCGTGACGGTGACGGTGATGGACGTCAGCGCGGATTTGTTCACCCCCGACGAAACACGTCCTATTGTCTCCTCCCTCTGTCATACCCCTCGCACTATTCCGAGTTAACTCTCCCGCGCACGGACCTCCGCAGCACCACCCCACGTGTTGCCCTTCCGGATTCCGATTCGCGTCATCCTCAGCTTATCTTGGTGCGCGCCAACCAGTCAGTACTCGTCACATTAATGACACAAGCATCACCACGCTCGAGTACGGCTTGCCTGCAGACGAATCGGGTACAATTCCGCGGTCTTTATCTCAACGCCCAGACGCCGTACCTGCTGAAAAATACATCGCCGTCTTGCGGATCAGACAAGTACTTGGCGCTATGATACCGTTCTCGCCCACTTTCCCATCTCGCCCAAACCGCACTCTCATGGGTCCAATCACAGATCATCGTATTCTGCAGACCCGTCCCGGGTCACCTGTGGCGTGGGGAGAAAACCTGTTCGCTCGCGCGATTGCGCAGAGAAGCTTCGCTTGCTTCGGGTACGCGAAGACGTACTTGAACTACTAGCTCATTACGCAGGAGTTCAGTGTCACCGTTTCCAGGTGTGCTTGGGTATTTTCGAGGCGCGCCAGATATGTGGACTAGAGGGCCCAGGAGCATTTTGAGTGTTTGAAGGGTGCAGATGCGACAGTGTTAGCTGATGCATCAACCGCGCCTAGGTGAGTGTTTTTTCTTCGACGTAAGGGTGACTTGAGCTGAAGGTATGATGGTTCAGATATGCGGTCGTGCATGGGACGTGCACCGTCACACCACATCTCGAGCTCCCTAGGCCAACGACGTCTACCAACACTCTCGCGCACGTTATACTCGGTTAGATGCGTGAGGACAGCGGAGGGGCGTGGCCATAAAGCGGAGAGATGTCTATGCAGAATTTTGCTGGTGTTGGGTGAGCAAGTCGCCAAGGACCTCACGTCGTCGGTCGTACTGATAGCTATCCGGCATAGCCTGACAGAGAACCAAACGACCATGACCATCGACTGTGGCGTTGCCGCGGATAAATCTATTCGAGATATATTCAATGCTACAAAACTCATCACTGCCGATGGCGAGTTCCTGTACAATACGCTCTAACCCTGCTTTATTTGCCACGGTGTTGCATCATCTAACAAAGCCATCGCGATCAGGCGCCTGGCAAGGGGTACTCAATATTAGGCGCTACCGTGGACTTCCCTGACCCGGACTCTTCAGCGATCCATACTACCTTGCGCCTGTTGTCGTCGACAGCTGTCTTGAGAGAACGAAGGAGGTCGACTCTAGTTCCCGGAAGGCACTTGGAGTGAGGTTGACGTTCGCTAGAGTCGTAGATAGCGCCCTGGGCGCATTCCCGAGCCAGCTCTTGCCAAGCGTCGTGATTGCCTTGAAACCCTTCTAGCTGAAGTGAACCCCTTGTGAAAGAGAAATACGATACGTACGTTTCTCCATGGTGATGTGCCTGGATTGAGGTCCTCACGATTCAAGCGCACAGGATAGTGGTTCACCACATAGGAACCTCGTGGCCAGCCTGCCTGTGGACGACAGGTGGACACCAGCCACCATAGTGCTTCCCGAGCGCTTAGCTGTGAGGTGCTTAAGACTGCTGCACCAATGAGCCAACCTGATGCAGGGAAAACCCTCACTACTAGTTAAGCACTTATCGAGCTCGATCATTGAGGCCATTTTGGAGCATCAAGAACTTATCGTTGGGAAATTTTGAGAAGAGTTACTCGTAGATGGAATGTGTTACTTCAAATCTGCAACTCCGACTCGGAAGAGTCTCCATCGACTAGTCAGTTGAACGCTGCCCACACGTATACATAGGATATGTGCAAACCGAGCGAACTCGAAGAGCGTCAGCATGTGACCTATGTAAGTCCAACACTCGCATTATTTTCGTACCAACTACTTAAACATTCTCCCTATCTTTCTTCAACGTGTTCCTAAACATCTCATTATTACACTCAGCTTGAACAGCATAGCTTGTCCTTATACGTAACGACCGACACATCTGCCAATTCTTCATTGGCTGCAGATTCACTCAGTGTCATCCAAAGCCGCCGGTGCATCCTCGTAGCCACGATCGAGCTGAACACTCCTTGAAAACTGCAATCACAGAAACCATGAGCAAAAACAAAACGCGACATTATGATAAGATAGCTCACATAGAAGGCATAAAGTTGTTCTGGTCCCCGAAAACCAAGATTCAGCTTAATATACGGCAACAGCTACGAGCAGAAATTACTCACGTATAGTGTCAGAATGAGTGTCATGTTCACAACCGCGATAACTATATATCATCCATTAGCGCATTAACTAGGCAGAGAGCGTTCTGACTCACCCAAAGCACACACAAGGTATACGACATTATGGTGGATGACAATCTCAACGAGCCTGAGCCGCCTGCTGCGGAAGTACGCCATGGAGCGGTACAGCGTCAGACCGAGTATTTCTTCGAACATTGTACATCAATCCATATTCGAGCTTGTTCTGGTTATGGAAATAATCTCACCTGTATCTAGGACAAAAATCGTCCCGATGATAATCACACATAGCTCGTTCCGATGCGGAGGGAGGCATGCTATCCAGCCGTCGGATATAGCGACAGCTACGTAGCAGTTTGAAGTCAGCGACCAAAACAATCATACAATGCGAGCGCGTTTACGTCTCATCTGTGTCCCGGGAAGCGTAGCGATAACCGCGAGCGAGGCAATGTGGACCTTCGAGCAGTCGTCAGTTTTGGAGTCTAGCAAAGCAAAATATCCGACTCACACCCAAAGTAAGCAGGGTAGGCACGAGCACCCGCTTATCGCAGCTCCATAGAGCGTAGACGCGGCCGATAAACATAACTGGAGTTTATCAAACATAAATGACAGTCGCTTGATGTGATGTTCATAAGCGATGCTTACTCTCCACTGCGATGAGCCCGATGATAGATGGCACTGCCGAGACGCACACCGCTTCAGTGGGTGTCTCGGATGCAACCAACCCAATCAAGGATACGCACATTCCGCAAGCTTGCCAAGGACATTGCATTGCTATCGCACACCTCCGTAAGCGCCCACTTCAAACTCAAAGCGGACACGTGCGACTCAAAGACATACTCACCTCGAGACTTCCGCGCATAGGCAAGCTGGCTTCAAGCGAAACAGTCAGCATATGCACATTACACACCAGGCCAAGCAGGTGTCAAGTGCTCACTCACACCCCGATATCAGACTCACAAACATCGTGAGCCGGATGCCCACATACACGACCTTCATGAAGCTAAGCCGCGAATGCCGCAGGAACCGGACCTACACGCGCCTCCATCAGTAAATGTGGTCGAGGTCCGGAGGAACCGGAGAAAGGACGGTAGGACGAAAAGCAACCGTGCCCGCCACCGGATATCGGATACTCACCTCGTCGGCGAACGTGAGACACGTATCGTATGCCTGGAGTTAAGAGAGAAAGTCAAGTTCAGTGTAAGAATACGACCAGGGGGCGAGCGGGCTCACAGCGAGGCATAACAACGAGACTGGTACCAAGGCGCGCGAGCACATGCAGTAACGAGGGTTAGCTCATGCTAGGGGACAAGAGTGAATTGCGAAAGACTCACCCCATATAAGCTATTAAAACGCACACGGGAGGTAAGAACCCTGTAAACAATCCCCCAACGATCTCAGACGCACCTGCATATCCACCACACTCTCAATCGTCCCAACATCCATCGCAAAGCTAGAACTATGTCTGCCGTCAGCCTGACGTCCGGGGAACAGGTGCGTAGCTTATCAGGATCAGGCCCATCAAAGGGGAGAGAGGACTCCGTCACCCCGCAGCCTACGCTTACTTATAGCTAGGGACTATCCGCCGTGCTGTGTTCCGCTCCTCAGGCTTACCGGGATACAGTACTAGTAATCGGACGCAGCCTCACCGGTGGTGGCTGGTGGCTGAAACCAGGCACTTGCTTGGTACGCCCTGCCAGCCATAAGCGTCATCACGCACCGCGATAGGGTAAAGACGCCCTCGGCCATTTGAGGGACAGCGCCCAGGCTAAAAGCGAGCACGACCAGACAGAGTATGGTGCACGTTTGCACATCTGGAGCTAAGTTCGGAGTTGCATGACGTGCGTTTGCTCAGTTGATGTGGTTGCACACGCGGGGACTGGGACCTCGGAAGAATCCGCTCGACCTAGAGTTCACGTCTACCCGTCGGGAGTAGGCGCTAAGCGTTTGCCTAATCGAAAGCGCGAACCTTGGTGCGAGCTTGAAACTTTGAGACGAACAAGAAATCCAACGTCACGCGCAAACGCAAAGGGTGTTCAGCAGATGCTGGTCTATTCTTTCCGTGATGAAAATAAAGCACGTAGTCAGATGTAAGCTGCTCTGGCAGACGGGCGCAGAGTTGGTATACGAGGGATATGTGGTCGTAGGTTCATAGGGACGCTTTCAGCGGCGCAGCCGCGAACGATGGGAGAATGGCGCTGATCGCAAGGGCAAGATCGTCCGGTTTTTCTTGGGGTATCTGCGATACACAAATGTCGTTAGCAAACCGTTAAACGAAATAGCACGAGGAAACACACATACAAGGTGTCCAGCGCCAGGTACCTTCCTAACAGACGCGAGCTTATTCTCGGCAGCGGCACATATGTCCGCCTTTGCGTTGTCTTTGCTGGACAGCGTATGAGCATCAGCTGTGAGTAGCCGGCCAGACGGAGTTCACTTACACGAATTCAGGGAAATCCGCCCAGATATAGTGCAGCGGAAGCTGCCTTGCAATTTTCGCTACATCCGCTGGATTGACTGTATGTGCCTCGGACGGGTATAGAATTGCCTCTTCCTCCTTCCTCAGCGTCGGGTTGACGCACGGCTTACCCTCCTCATCGACGGCCTCCGTGAACGCATGTTTCTGGACCACCACACCGCCTCACATCAGCCAACCTGGACTCTCGTAGGAATACAAAAGGGAGAAGGATGAAGGAACGGCAAGACGCACAAGATACAGCTCCAGCACCCGCGGATCCCACTTCTTCCACGGCGAGCGGCGCGCCATGAACGCGCGCAGCGTCGCAAAGTCCTTCCAATTGTCGTTGCGCGCGAGAACCCCCTTGGTGTTCGTGATGCCGCGCTTGACGCGCCAGTCGTCGGGTGGCATGCCGGGAAACATGAGCGTCGGGTCGACCATGATTATCCCCTCGATTGGGAGCTTGTTGTAGTACCGTCCGGAGTTTACCCTGGTGGTGCAAGATGGTGAATGTTGAGGTGGGCGCGACGTGCGCCGAAGAAGACGAGGGGATGGGAGCAGAAAGGTTGGGTGGTGTGAAGGAATGCGGGGACGTACCAGTATGTGCTGCTCCCAGAATGAGCGACTGCGACGATGCGGTGGCCGCGGAAGCGGGGGAGGGTGTAAAAGTTGCGTGTCATCTCCGTCTGCGAGTCCGTGCCTTCGTGGATGCACTGAGCTAAGTACGAGGGTGCGAAAAGAAGTGACCAGAGCAAGAGAGACGTACAGCACACAATCCCATGCTCTTTGATGACCCTCCGATTCTGCAGTGCTGCCTGACCATGGTTGAATAAATCCAGCGCCCACGCTTCCCGGATGACGTTCGGCCCCTCTGCGTCGAGCTGTAGCAGCTTGTGAATTGTAGGCTCCCATTGCTCCTTGTCTAGCGATACGGCGTTGCGACAAGCACGGATAGAGTTGAGCACCTTGTCACTTGCACTCGAACGTAGAAGAGACTCACGAAAGCTAGTCCCATGCGTAAAGATCAACGTCAGACATGCGGAGTTGTTCCTGTTCTGCGTGACATAGCGGTTCGCCAGGTTGACGAGCCCGTGCGGGGGATGGACAAACGAGTGCGTCTCGAACGTGAACGTCATCGTAATAAAGTCGGGTTTTGCTTCCGGCTATGCGACCGCGAACGTCGAGGCTGTGACAGATAGATCGACGGCCCTGAGCTATACTTATTATGAATGTCAAAAGCACTATTAGATGCTAAACCAACTTACAGAAAGATGAAATGGCCGGGAGAACGAGGGACGGACAAACATGTGCGCTGGCAGCGATTCATATTCATGGCTGTGGCTCGTTGAGTCGGAGGTTCGCAAAGTGCGACGCTCCAAGTCTCCAAAGGCGGTTACAGAGCCTTATGTCAGCGAATATTCCCGTCACGTGGTGGCCAACGCGTGCTCAACGCGTGCATGCGGCCGCCGGAGTGGGGCGCCAAAGGCACTTCTTGTGTGGCGTACCACCTCCGACATGCACAAGGAAATGCGGTGAAGCCAGAAAGCAAGCCGCCAACGGATTTTGTGATTTACGATTGTGAAGCAGACGAACCATTTTTCTTTGTATCGTACAACCTACTCAAAACTTCTCGTTTACTTTCCTGCCCTTAGATCTAGATCCTCAGTATCATGTCGATCGGATCAGCTTTGGTTTGCGCGCGAGATGAGTGCCCATCCCGTATATCAGAGCTGAAGCAAGCCCGAAGCCTCCTTGGGCAGAGGGCTAAGTCTATCCTGTAAATCCGCCATAACAAGGTCTATGAGCATGAAGCTAGCATCGTTCGAGACCACTTACTTCCATATAGTCCATTTCGTCGTCCAGCAGAAGAAACGACTCTCCTTCAGGAAAAATATTGAGGAGTGGGGATACGAGATCGTTATCACTGGGAACGATTTCAAGTTTTGATGATCGAGGGTATGGTGCAAGTGACAATGGCATTTCCTCGTAAAGGACACCCAACGGCACACGTACTGGACCACGGCGAGATGGAGGCGATATGTATGGGCGTAGCGATTTGGGAGGTGGATCGTTGCTCGTGCATGACGCGTTGGAAGTCTGGAAGTCGTCCTGGGCGCAGTGAGGCGTCTGGTTGTAAGGCATGTCAACCGATCTAGAGTTAGGTGGCTGATCCCCCTGTACCCCGCGGATGTTGCCGCGTGGACCACTTCGTGAGGTAGACGGGCTACATTGCGAGTGATGCCGAGTACGTATTGGCAATACGCTTGAGGTCCTTGACTCTGTCTCGTCGATGTCGAGTGGTGGAGATGGATACGATATGTCGTCCCAAAGGAAAGGCCCCCATATCTTATTCAAGATCGTGTCTGTCCAGAAGTCCTGGTGTAAGTAATGCTGATTGCGCGTCAGATATAAGTGTTGCAGCTGCTATTGGCATCATTGTACCTGCACGAGCAAGCCGTCTTCGTTGGTACCATTCAGGAAAACAGAGTATAAATGCATAGCTAAGACGTCTGCGTAGCGATTGAAAGTTGGATGAAACGTTGAAAGGCGCAAAGCAAGCTCTTTTGAAGCTCCAAAATCGCAAAGTCACACCGTTATGTATCTTTCAATTTCCGCGGATTGTCGTGCCGCTCACTGCATTCGTGATCATGCGATATCCAGCACTGCTTGAAGTAAGAGGGTTCTTGATCAACGAAGCTCGCGCGAAATATACCACTTTCTTTTTTGTTGTATTCATGGCACCAGCGTACGTCAGGTCATGTCTAAAGGTACGATAGCATGGAACGATGCTGCAAGCTCTCCGAACTTTCTCTCCACCCAGGCGTAGACCCAGTCCATTTTTCCATGACGGACGCCGCAATGACGCTGCCGCCGGTCCGAGATGTGGCACCGACACTAATTAGTCGCAGTCTTCTGAACGGATAAGGATATGATTTCATATCTAAAGCCCGCATGCAGCACATCGCCTGAGCTAGATATAGAGAGTAAATTAAATCACGCTTCTTTTGGTGTGCTGATGCTCTCCACCGGGGTCGAGATGTACGGACGCGACTCATACGCGTCGCCTTACTTTGTAGCACGCGGAGGAATATTAGGCTCAGATTATTGGAGGACTATAGCTAAAAGCATAATCTACCGCCATAGCATCATATTCGGCTCTTTTCTATATGAAAATACTTGCCAGAATGAGACACTTCAGGGCAATGAGAACCAAAAACAGGTGAATAGAACTATACGGAACACGCCGTCGGTTTGCAGGGAGAGAAGAAGGCAAAAATTGAATGCCCATTGGCTGGATTGAACAACCGACCTCACCATTACGAGTGGCGCGCTCTACCACTGAGCTAAACGGGCTGTGATGACTGTATTACCTAATACAGTGATAATTTGCCAAGCCTCCAAACCGAAGTCCGTTCGCCTCGGACCTTCTGCGTACAGCTGAAGGCGTTCGGTGAGGCATTTGATCGATGGGTTCACGTCGCAATAACTTCAAGTTACAGCGCTCTTGACAAGTCCCCGAATATGCGCAACTCTATCAGTGACCCCAACCTCTTAATTGGTGCGCAAGCGATGAAATACCTGAAGAACTGCTGATGTTGTTCAAGGAAGCCTACACTCTTGCCTGCGATACGTGCCCAACGACTTTCCTTGCTGTCGGACGCTAGTCTCGTATCGCGCTGGAGTCGAGGAGATAATGGCATCTCTACATAAGGAAGTCCTCAGGACAAATTCCATAGCGATTCAAACGAGCTTCAACCTATGAACAAACACCATCGGTAGGGTCGAGGCAATGAAGAATATTAACCTCTATCGTGACTCGAGCCCTCCGAGATCCATCGTATCCGTGCGCGTCTTCGTGTGCCACTTATCTAGCGAGTACTCACACAGGTCAAACTGCCATGACTCAAATTTAGAGCTACACCTATCTCTGTCCTCACAATGTTAAATTCACGAGACCATATCACGACCGTCTCTAGCGAAACTGGGATAGCCAATGCCCGTCCTCACTTGGCTGAAACGGGGATCTTCTACATTCATGGTTGCCGTCAAGTACTCAACTGTCAGCTCATGATTTACGCTTACCAGTACTTGAGGTACGTGAGGTCCAAGTAATAGCTGCTTTGACGTATTAAATGACGTATGCGTCAGCGCCTTTGAAATAACGAACGGTTAGTCCGAATCTGCCGCCGTGCTTTGGGGAAAGGAGTGTCCGAGTGACTCCAGTTAGACGTCATATAGCAGCATGGATAAAAAGCCGCCAGACCCCGTATCGCATCAGCTCATCTCCCTCGAACATAGTCACACCCAGACTTACTACATGATGAATTTCAAAGTCGCTGGTGCCCTGCTTGTCGCAGCCTCCACGGCACCTGCTGCCTTTGGAGGCCCGCTCGCATACGCAGCTTGTCAGACTGGTAAGCCTACGTTCGTGGTTGAAGAGGTGCAGACTGTTTGCTAACCGATTATCATGATGTAGGCTGCAACACTCTCGCTGTGGCGTGTTATGCAGCCGCGGGCTTTACGTTCGGGACGACGATTGTAGCTGGACCTCCGGCTATCGTTGCTTGTAATGCCGCTTTAGGCACATGCATGACTGCCTGTGCCACTGTGGCATTGTTTGCACCGACGCCGTGATAAGGATAGCTTTAGCCTAACGTCGACTGGAACAGGTAAAGAGGTAAGTACTCTCTCTTCGTGTCTATGCTCGAGCACGACTCAGCTTGTATCCCACACAGTTTGCTGTGTTTTGTCTACCGTAACAATTTTCCTCTTTGTTTTTCGTTTCCATGAGCTTCAGCTCCCATGACGTGTATTTGTTTCGTATTGGGAGCTTCTACTTCCCTCTTGCAGTATTCTATCTCGGACCGAAAGAGTACTTGTGTCTAATGCTACTGAGTATTCATGGTTTTATCGAAGAAATAAAGATCTGGACGACTAGTTGGCCGTAACTGTCTAAGAATATTCGCGTGCCCTTTCTGCATTACAAGCACAAGGTAATAATTTTATTCCGAATTCGTACAGATATGTTGGTTAACGAAGGAAATAGGTACTGTCATCCCAGCTCCCAGATTTATCGACGTACCTCCATGGCATACCCTTCCCCACGAATACCTCAGCCGTATGTTTGATCTCTTATGCGCATCTCCAGCACTCCTCGACCGTTATCTACGGTTCGGACTGTGCTTGACGTGGGTTTCATGAAGTACAAAGCTTGGACCAACTTCGCTAGTGAGCTTCTCCACCGCCATGTGGTCATCCTGTGCCTTTAACAGCCGCGACCACTCATCAGGGTGACCTTCACTAGCTTCAATGATACCGCAGCTCAACGTGGTTCTATATGTCCGCGCAGTTGGCGGGAATGCGATCCTCCTGTTGTTTCTGCAAATCTTTGAATAAGTGAGGACAACCTGGATGGCATATACCTCTTTCGTTACATCACCGCGCGCTGGTTTGGTACATCCAGTCGTTACCTTTTTATCCTCCTTATACGCTGATCAAGCGAAGATCAACGTCCAAAACTATATGTCTGAAATCTTATTCGAAATGATAGAGAAGGCGGAATATGATTAGTTGTGCGCTATCGGTCCGAACACCCATGCGCCGCAAGCGAGCAACACCACGTGAACCCTCCATTGCATGCATACAGATCCGATGATGATAGACGGCTCACAGCTTCACAGCTGCGGTATGTTTTCGCTCCTGTCCAAAACACAGAGAACATGGGAATAATATCTTGCCATCATATGATCATATGCTTCTTGCTGGTCATGAGTCCATGTGATATCTATATTCGAATAGAGTTCTCGTGTTGAACCACCCACATGAGCTGCGTTGGTGCTTAAGAACTAGCATCATAGCACATGATACGATCCAATGCCAGTGATGCGGCAAGTTACTGTGATTTCGCCTGGGGTACTTGAAGCATGGTGACGCCGTACCAAGACCCATATGGAACGCGTGGCTAAGCCAGTGAAGTAACCAACCCGAAAACCTATGGCAATCTATATAGTGAGGACCACTCGGACTAGGCATTCTACCTCTTCACCACCTCACTAAGTCCGGTGTTTTCCAGGCATCATATCAGATTTATTGTCTGTGTATTTCGAGCGTCACTTCCATGGTAATATCAAAGAACCACAGCAACGCGTTTGATAGTAAGAAAAAAAGGTTAGCGCGCAAGGCGCGTCAGCTACTCGTGAATGCGGCCCTAGCTTGATGGCCTCGGACGCGCAGGCATGTTCATGGACCCAACCCCATTTTATTCTACGTTTGGAGACTTATGCACACATCAACACCATTTTCTACAGATGTGCATCTTGAAGATCACTCTGCAGAACTATAAGTCAGAGAACTGATAGCGTCATACGCATGCCTGGTCCACGTAATATTGGAAGTCTTGACCCTTTCGCTGAACAGAGCCTTTGATGCTGTAGATAACGAGAATAGTCCAGACTTCATTTTCGGTCCGGTCCTCCACGTCTATTTTGGGATACTTATTCGCATCAAACATATTATCTGGTTTATGAATGTACTCTCAGGCTGCCCGATCACAAAGGTCCAAATGGTGATGGAAATGCATGTCAAACCCTTGATGCAAGTAGCACACAATCAGCGATCATATGAAACGGAGGCGACAAAGTTGTTTATCACATGAAGATGCTCGCGAGTAATCCCTTTCCTCCTAGCGGTCGTTGGCTGCGTAATCTTCTGTGTTTCATAAACGAGGTGATCAGTCGAATATACTTGTTTCAGATTGGATTGGATCCTTGGCGGATCGCAAGCCGTTGTAGGGACACTTCCTATTTTAGTTTTGGGCGACGCATTGAGATGGTATGTACTAAAGTAGCTCATTAGACGCTGCCGATTTTGTTTCAGTTGTCGCATCTTGCCTGATAAATTTGGACAATGCATTCTGCTGTATATAATTCAGAGCGACTGATAGCATGGGCAAACTAGTTTCTCCACTCGTCTGCTCTCGAAGGTTCTGTGCCTGCGTTCCAGGGAAACCTCACCATATAATCATCAGAATGGAGTCTATAACATACATGGAGCAACTCATTGCAGTTATCAAGGGCATACAGGTTTCAAATGTACAATTTTATTCATATCTTGTGATGCACAAGTACTGAAAGCTCATTTTATTTCGTCATACAGTACATGGATGGTAAGAACCTCCAGCGCTACGCTGCAAGCCATACTTACGTTTACATCGAGAAGTTTCAGCTGGTGCTATTCTGGTAAGACACTAAACATTTCTATAAATGAAACACGTGCACAGCTTATTGGTACTTAGGTCTATGACTTTCTCATTATGCTCCCGGATGAGGTAAAACAAGCCTTGAGAACTCTCTTATTAAGGGTTTACGTCAGTTTATAGGTGGATTACCTATGGATAGGACGTGGAATGGGGCTAGGAAAAATTCTGTACAGTCTGGCTCGGTATAGTGCGTTTGCGCTGTTGTTTCTGAACTTCCTATGTATGTATTCGATTTCCAAGCTCAGAAAGAGACTTACAGGTGCCTTCAGTTCAACTGCCATCCAAGATTGCGTATACGGCTAGTTATCGAGGTACATTTCAGGGTATCAAAATTAATTGGCTATTTAGGCATGCGTTCCGTTGTTCCATACTCTTGTCGGTGCGAGGTCTCCCTTTCTCCATTAGAATGGTTCCTGTCTTACATAGCGAATAGCTTTCGAGGCCATTACAGTACTATTCTCGGAAGGTTTGTCCCTGAGATAATGATTGGGAATCCACTACGATGCATTCAATCTTCAGGACTCTTTGCTCTGCGCACCTGTGCTTTATGGTGTCATCACAGAATTGCTGTTATGACACTAATTATCTTTTATATTGTACGTATTGTGCTTTCCTCAACGGCCGTTGTTAGCTCATGTCTCATTAGATTGAAGTGGTTCTGTTTGGCGTCCTTTTGCGATCTATCTTTGCTGGGGCAAAGCGTAAGCCCAGATTTGACTACGGTGAAGTCTCCAACTAAAGTATACAATTTTCCCCTACAGTTACAGCGTCCCCTGCCCCAAATATCTTAGATTGTATCTTAAGTAGCCTGCCAAGGGAGGTCTATGTACTTTACCTCTTGGTGCTAATGGGCGAGCTAGGTCACCGTTCCGTCTACACCGAGATTTTCTCGTACTCACAAAAACATTTAGTAATGGTGACTTTGATGATCATTCGAATTGAGCGAAGTAGGCCACACCCGGCTCTCTTGAAGGTCTTGATACGTGATGGCGTGTTTTATTGCATCTGCGGTGTTTGTAAGTGATGATTTCCTCAGCGACTTTCTTGAGATCGCTCATGTTGGATTTAGTGCTATCAACTGTGAACGTGGCTATTTGGATAAGGGCAAGGGTGAGTCGGAAGTTATTTCAGTACTCGAAACGCCTTCAGCTTACCGGGTTACATCAGAATGGTTACGATATCCTTTTTGTGCCGTAAATGTTCTCTCTTACCAAGTACCTAAGTCTCAACTAACTCTCATCCACCCAGGTTTCAGTCGATCTTGCACTCAATTCTCGCTTCAAGGCTGCAGCTCCACCTGGTGAGCGAGAGCAAGATAGATGACACAAGCATTGACACGATTGTTGCATCTACCGGATTATGTGACAGAGGCTCAGGTTTGCCAGCAGTGGTGCATACTTATGAACTTACGCACATACCTCATCATACAGTTTAAATTACAGCTCAATAAAGAGTGACTCCCTCTCCACTTAACCCGCATCTATTCATTACGCTAATAAGACCTAGTCCTGAATATTCGTGATATTATTTCTGTTCGGGCTCTCCTTCTGCGTCAGCTTCTTCATCAGCGTGTAACGAGCCATATCACTTCTGGCTTCAGCCAATCAATACAGGTCCAGGTGGCGCGTGTCTTGGTTGGTCTCGGATTGGTATCCGTTCTGTCATTGATATGTCCTATGTGATTTAGGAGATGGAATACTTCCCGGAGCGTACCCCCTCCCATGTGAAACGGAGGCGCTATTAATTGGCACCTATGCGCGTTCTGGACTTGAGGACCTTTAATTATCCTCGCACGTCAACGACAGAGGCGTTATGTGCCACAACTTCTCACCGATGAGGTCTACCCTGCGACTTCCTGCACTTTGAAGACCAATCGCGTACCCGGGGAACAAGGGCCCTTTCCGGCCAGTTACCTGTCATTCCTGGGAAGCTCAGGGCTTCATTTTACAGTAATTCGTAGTCAGCTTCCCGCCTTCTTATAGCCCCTGAAGCGTGCCATTCTCGTTCAACCACAAGGACACCCAGGCGTTCATCAGCAAGTGGGAGCTTGGTAACTCGGTAGTACTTTATGCAAAGGTCTACCCTCGAATGCGCCAGTCATGCCTGCTTGGCATAGCTTTGCCAAATTCAAGTTGGCTTAGCATTACCCGACACCGCCAGCTCCGAGATGGCTGCGAACATATTAAGGCTGCCTTAGCCGTACTCGCGGATGATGATTTGTTAGACAGACTCCTGGCTTACCAATTTTGTATAGAGCGCTCGCAAAGTTACCGAGATTGGGTTATCACGGGCTTCAAAGTGGCGAAAGCGTAGGCAAGAGATTATGCAAGAAGGATGCGAGCAGGTTGTTTGCCATTGGCAAAAGTGATGGCGCGAACTTGGCATATAGCATGTGTACGCAATAGGCTTACCCCTATCGCCCGGGTCGAAAGATGACGACCTATCGAAGCGCCGGAAAGTTATGAGGAACTGGTGATATATCTGACCTGACTTTGCGTTGTAGGGCTTGCGTACTGCATCAATGATAAGCATGTATGGACATTTGCCATGCGGAGGACCGTATTGTGTGTAAACCACCTCTGCATCATTCAGGTCCATAGAGCCCTGCCTATTGAGATCTCCACTCTTCTGTAAGGCGTTGTATATCACAAGGCGTGGTCGTACGTGGTCATACATGGCTGAGGATAACCGATGGCACCCAACGTCGCGAATGGATATGCGTGAACAGCGGGTGTGCAATCCCCGCGATCCTATGGTGACGATCTCATCCTTGAGAGACGAGCGAGGGATCAAGTGATACTTGAAAAATCTCCGGCGCTGTATATATAAGAAATGAAGTCAGAATATACAAAGTAACGAGAGACCCAGTATCTTGTTGAAGTTGGGACGGGCAGGAGCAGTCCGCTTCCTCACTAATGCCACCAACGACTGGAGGGTATCATAGTCGGGAAAAAGGAGCCACCTGTCATTACTAAACCGATTCTTCCGTTCAGAACTGACTGTGTTAGCAATGATTAGGAAATCGTAGTCAACATAGCGAAAGTCCATCAACTCACGAATGTGTTGTGAGCACCCGCAGCGTCTAAATGCCGCCATCCCATGCCTCATGCCCACCCGAGCTGCGTGAGCTAGCGATCGGGTTCGTCTTTCGCAGTCGATGAGAGATTGTACTCAGAAATTCAGAGAGTTAAGTGGAGACGCACCATCTTGTTCTTCGTGTCCGCCAGCAGCTAATGCAGGATCGCTATGCCAATAGTCTGGAGGGTGATTGAGCACCTCCATCTGTTTGGATCCGTCTGCCTTACCTGTCTGCGCTTGACTTGTGGTTAGAGATGTCACCGGCTGGTGAAGGGACCCATGTAGGCGCGCCTGTAAGGTGACTGAGTGCGCGTTTCGTCGTACAATCATCTTCAGACGTCGTCAGGTCAGATTACGATAGCGCATTGCATGTAACGGATGTTTGCTGCACCTCGTCGTTGATAGAAAGGGCGATCAAGGGTTGCTTGAGAGGGGCCGGAAGAGCTGGCCGAATGCCGTTGAAACTCCGCGAGGACGCAAAATTGTGGAAAGGTTCCGCGTCACAGCTCCCTGCGCATACATCCACCTCCGTGCTCGTGCACGCAAGACGCGTCTCCTCCTCCCCCTCTTTCGTCTCTGGTTTAAAGCTCGTCAACATGTTCTCCGTCGTCACCCGTGGGGCCTACCGTCAGGCACTTCGCCCAGCCGTACGCTGCATGGCCTCTGCTCCCCCTCCGCGCCCGCCTCCCTCGGCAGAGGAAAACCAGACAGAGTCGCAAGAACCAGCCAAGGCACAGGAGCCCGTCCAACCCCAAGCCGCAGACGAGCCTCCAAAGCCCCTGTCCTCGCTTCCTAGTCTCGACTTTGTTCCGTCGGAGGGCAGCAGCGCGCAGCAGGAGGCAGGAGGGGCGCGGACAGGTGCTAGGTCCTCGCGCGACTCGATGTCGTCCATCGAGCGCCGTAGGCAGGGCTTAGCGCGCACGTCCCTCGGCATATGCGCCATTGGCGTGCTCGCGGGCGTGCTCCTGCTTGGAAGCGAGTGGACACCTGATGAGCTGAAGAAGCGGAAGCAGGTATGTGTTCCGGTTTCCTCTCCTTCAAAAGGTGCTGACGATGGGTCGTTAAGACGTTGGAGCAGGCGCCTGCGACGCGCTGGGAGAGGACGAAGTCAAGGCTTTTTGAGATGACCAACGTGCGCTACATCATCTTCGAGCGCGCTGTCATCTATTCTGACGAATGGCACACAGTACTTCAGCGAACCAGCATGGGAAGAGCTCCTCCCGCCACCATTGCCTGCGCCGCATCAAAAGCCGTATACACTTCTCCTCTCTCTGGACGACCTGCTCATTACGTCAACGTGGGATGTAAGTCTGGTCCTCTGTGCCAAAGCCCTTATCTGACCATGCTCGAATAGCGTCAATACGGCTGGAGAACGGCCAAGCGTCCCGGCGTGGATTACTTCCTGGCATACCTATCCCAGTTCTATGAGATTGTAATTTTCACTACTCAGCAGCACTACGTGCGTCCCCATCCCTGTACCGACTTCCTCGGGTATTGACGTAATACCTACCCCCTACAGACCGCCCTTCCCGTCCTTGAAAAGCTCGACCCATACAACTTCTTTATCACCTACAAACTCTTCCGTGACGCCACGCGCTCGATAAATGGCAAGACTGTGAAGGTAAGCCTCGCCATCCTGCTCTCCCTCTGCGTCTCGATGAATTGTCACTAATGTCCATCTATCTAGGATCTATCCTACCTCAACCGCGACTTGTCCAAGGTCATCCTCCTCGACACACACGAAGAGCACGTCTCAACGCACCCCGAGAACGCGATCGTCATTCCCAAGTGGACCGGCGAGTCGCGCGACCGAGGGCTCGTGGCTATGATCCCCTTCCTTGAGTGTACGTGGCATCCCTCCCCTCTCCATTGTTCCATTCCCTTCTCTTGGAACACGTAGACTGATGAGTGTTCTCACAGCAATTGCGATTTACAAGTCCCCCGACGTGCGGCCGATCCTGACAGCATACCAGGGTAAGGACATCCCGATCGAGTACGGCAAGAAGGAGGCCGCGGCCAAGGAGCGGCACATTGAGGAGTGGAAGGCGAAGGGCGCGTCTGGGCTCGGAGGCGGGCTGAAGATGAGCTCACTGTTCGGTGGCGAGGTACGCTTCCGTTCTTTCTTGCTTTCCTCCTTCCCTCGTGTCCCTATCCCGCCCTCGTTTCATGTCCTCCTCTTCCTCGCTCGCCTTCGCCAACGCTAAAGCACCCACTCATGAACCACAGGCTAAGTCTTCACCCGTCCCGCCTACCTACCTCGAACAAAAACGTACGGAGGCGCAGCGGATATACAAGGAGGAGCAGGCGTACATCGCCGCGAACAAGCACGAGTTCGAGCGCCTGCTCGAGGAGGACCGGCAGGCGATGGCACGGGAGATGTCCGGCTCGCTCTGGGGCATGTTGGATGGCGCTGGAGGCAAGAAGCCAGATGCTGCTTCACCTGCACCTACGCCTGCTGCTGGTGCTACTGCTCCGGCGGTGGCTGGACAGCAGGCGAAGGCATGATCCACGAGCGTATGCTGGAGTGAGCAGGAGACGGGGGCCTGAGCTTGAGTTCAAGGAGAGGGGATGGGGGAGGAGGTGCGGTGGCCACGATAGACTTATAGTATATTCGCGATGACTATTTACTTTGCATAATCGAACCAAGCTCTGCTCTTCGACCATGTGCGCCTGCTCAGTTTCGTGAAAGTATATCCGCTTGGAACGTGCCCTTCGTATATAATGATTGGCATCGCTCACCCAGCGCGATGAATGTCAAGGACAATGCACCCCTTTCTGTTCAGGACGATCTCTGAACATGGATCCGCAGCTCATGCTGGTGCTGATTGAACAATTTAAAAGCGTCATTCGCCTCCGTTTGGCGTAGTCTGTCGGAGCTCCCAGAACGGATGTTCAGGAATCGGGGTCCGAATTGAGGCGCAGGACAGTAAACAATTACGCTATCTCACTGGGATAGGGTACCTCTCGTGGTCCTTGAAGGCATCGTCTATTGTTCCTTGCTACAATAGAGGAACAGAGCTGACGCTGACGGTCCATGGTTTCGGCAGCGCGTGATTGTTGACTATTGTCAATCGCGTGCTGTCTTTCAAACTGAGTTTGAAATGAACTGCAGTTCGGGTGTAAGTTGCTCGCTTCAAAATTGCGACGTTTATCTGCGCACTCATCGCTTTCGTCGCCTCACGTTCTTAGATCCCGCCTCCTTCACCGCCATCATGTCCGAAGAGCCGCGCACTGCATCTTCAACCAAGCCTACTCCTGTTCAGATCAAGCGTAGTTCGCACTTCAGCAGCGGACATAGCAACTCGAACGGTCTCAAATCGAGCGGTCTACCGACAAGCAGCCGCCCGTCTAGCAGCGTCATACAAAGCAGCTCCAATTTGGAACAACACACTCCTTCTGCTGCCCAATCCGCGATGAAGGAACACTCCAAGGATGAGCTTCGGGGTGCCACATGGGAAATGTCCCCAGTAGATCTCGCTTATGCACTCTCAGCCAAGGCGTGGAAACATGGTGTATCGTTTGACGAAAACCCCCACGACATTATCGAGAACTACGACACTCATCTTCTGGAGACTTTGGAGCCTCACCTTCTTGCCTCTGCCGAGAAGCTTCGGCAGCTCATGGCGGAATCGACGCCCCCCGTAGATTTCCCGGATCATGGACACCCCAACGAAGAGAGTTCTTACCAGTCTATCAACAATTTCCTCCAATGCTGCGTCGCAGCTGCTCTCTTTGCTTCGGAAATGGAGAATGGGCCCGGGGACCACTCCTACTACAGCAAACTACGCTTTGCCGAGTGGGCGAAACCGGTCTCCGACGGTGTCGGCAGCGATGACAGTCTTAAGCCAGACTTGGTTGGGTTTATTCCCAGAGAGACAGAAGACTCTAGCGGTGCTATTTCTACGCATGACATACCTTCTAAGGTTTCATGGACTCTATCTGACGCAGCACGAGAGGAGGCTAATCACTGCGAGCTGCTCATCCCAGTCGAAGTCAAGCGGAGTTGGTCAGAGCTCATCGCGCAAGCCGCAACGTATGCACGCTGCCTTTCGTTCGCTTCTCCCGTACGCCAATTCTCACTGGTGCTTGCGTATCAATACAAAGCCAAAGAACTGCGCTTCCTCGTTTTCCATCCAGGTGGTCTCACAGCGTCTGCTGCTCTCGACCCGTCCAATTCCGAGCACCACATCGACATTCTTCGCCTTTTCGTTGCTTTAATCACCTGGGAGACCCGGGCGGATGCTGGATTACCTGAATGGTGTGACGAGACCTCATCGTATCTTCCTCTCAAAGGTAACGATGACGGCGTCAACCTTCGAATCGAGGAGGTTCTTCATCGATCTTTAGCCCTACGTGGTCGATCGCCAGAGGTTTGGCGCCTCTCCAACAGGACTCAAGATTCCGCAGATCATCCCTTCATACCTCCTCCAGTGACGTCACTCACACAAGGGAAGAGACCGACGAGCTCGAAGAGGAAAGCAACTGAAGAAGGGGACAGTCAGAGAAAGCGTAAGAAGAAGGGTAAGTCAACGGCGCAGTGTATACGTTACATCACTCGGTTCTGACACTACCCGTATATAGACACGGCGACTCAGTGCGGCAATGTGACCCAGAACAGTTCTGCTGCGACGAAGAAACCTGGTACGTTTTTAGGTCAAGCTTAGTCCGTATACCCCTTAATTCGTAAATCTTCCGAAGGGTACGGAAAGCCGGTCGCATTGAAAAGGTTCGAGGCTCGGTACGTGCGGCAGGGTGTTGATACGCAGCCGAATCAAGTCTTCGAGGACGATATAGATATTGTCAGCAAATTCTCTTGGGTATCCCGGCGCTATTTCAATGCGGAAAGGAATATGCTGCACGACTGCGGTGACAGCTTTGGCGTTGCGAAGCACTACTACTCCTCTGTAGTACACCACAAGGAGGGGCTACCTGTCACTAATCACCTCTTCTTGAACTTAGCCACCTTCTGGAGGGTCATCGAAAAAGACGACGCGTGGAAGAAGAAGGACCCCATCAAGGAATACAGAGCGTTGAGACAGCACGTTTCCAGCTTCTGTGGCCGTTCTCTTGTTCACGTAAAGACCCCCGAGGAACTTTTCAATACTATCGCCCACGCCATGATAGGTACGGCACGTCGCTGATTCTGCTTTTGATCCTACTTACCCGTTCCGTCAGGGTACTGGAACATGCTTAGAAAAGGCTATCAGCATCGTGATATCAGCATCGGCAACATGCTTCGATGCGAGACCGCTCAGGCGAAGGCGTCTCTTTCGGAGGTTTTAGCTATTATGCTACGAGATATCAACATCTCGGATAGCCGTAAAGCGTTGTTGAAGAAACTGAAAGACCTCCTGGAACGATTGAAGATAGACGATCAGTGCAAAGGATTTGTCATTGACGGCGACTTGGCAATCAACCTTCGTGAATATTTCTTCGATATCAATCTGAGTGAGGCAACTTCGCGATCGGTATGGATTTCGGTGTTCTCGATGCGTATTCCGCTTCTGATTCGATCTTCAGGGAACGGTGGAGTTTATGTCAGAAGGCCTCATCACTTCTGTAAAAATGAAAGAACCATACCTTCAATCTCCTGTGGACGATGTTTTCTCGTTTTTTTATTCCGCACTTTGGGCAGCGGTTTACAACGGAGACTACAACGAACTGGGACTGCCCAATGGTCTGGATGTACTTCGTCAAGAAATCGCCAGTGAGACGAGAACTCGGGCTGTGGAGACTGTCGTAGAACGCGTGGCCCTCAAAGCGAACAACTATGGCGACTTTCTTCCCAAATGTCAAGCGTTTTTGAGATCGTGGCAAGCTATAATCAAACGCATTGTCGTCGACTGGGCAGCAATTATGGATAAAGATCCTGAAGCGGGGACTTTGGAGGAGCATTTCTGTACCTTCTACGAAAGGAGCCTCCTCGAATATCTTGAGTTGCTGATCGAGATGTATCCTTCTGGTTCGGAGTAGGCATAAACGAATTATTATGTACATGCCTATCGTGGTACACGACCATTCGGATATTCACATCATTGTACTCGCATGCTTCGTCCGCAAATACTTTTGTGAAAATATATCATCATGATCGTGAAGAAACGGTCACTGACGCGCCATGAACCGCGGTACATTTTCGGCTCCGCATTTCCCCTATTGATCAGAGTCCACCTCAGTCAAAGGCAGATCAGACATAGACGCGGCGATGGCAACTCTTCTCGAACAAGTGATGAGTCTAGAGGGTCAACGAAGAGGATTCATAAGTAATAATGACGCGCTTAAACACTCTCAAAGTTATAGCTCGGTTTTGGGCAGAGCATCATCTCGACTAGTCAATATGCAAATACATATTCTACGCCCAGATCTAAGTTGTTGGAATACCTGACTAGTTCATATAAGGAACGGCACAGCTCACTTCAGACGACCTCATCATTGTCTCAGGATCATCTAGACTGCACCTTCATTTTCTCATCGACAATCCCCTCTCTCTATTTTACTCTACCTCCCGGACGACAACGAATTGGGAGTGTCCACTGACCTTTAGATATGGAATGGCGAGCTCGTAGACGATGTGTATACATCAGCATTTTTCACGAGGAAAATCGTGACGTGCGTTCCCATTAAATCGCAAGACGTCGGAGACTAGTCCTCGCCTAATGTTAGCAATTTCTGAGGATATGAGGTACTAATATTTAGTTCCTCGACGCCGACTTGCGCAAGCTTGCAGAGAAATATCCCGACGCGAAGCTTTTCGGGGAGCGTTTCTTCAGCTTCTACGAAGGAGGGTTTTGTGAGTACTTATTCCGAATGATAGATGTCACATTGGCAGAAAAGATAAACTTACTCGCAGAGATGACTTAACAGCTCAATCATCGGGAACATCACTAAATCGGGGGAAATTTTTCGGGGCATAAACGAGGTTATCAGTGTTATAATATTACCGTTGATAGAATCCTGTATGACCGTAAATGGCGAGGATTCAACATTGGTTAAGCGTCAGCCCACAATATGAGAACAGAATATAGTAGAATATCATATCGTCGGGGTCTTACCATCGAGTATCATATAAGTGTGAGCTTACCGTGGACCGAAACTCAAGGTAAAATCACTCGCAATATGTGGGAGCATAACAAGCCAGATCTCATTTCGAAGGCAACATGATCATTCGATTATAAGAAACTGCTCATAAATCAGTGAGCCACTAACGAAAGCACGCTGAGTAGTAGAAGACTGACCTCTACAATGCATCAAAGCCAGCCTTGTCAGCTAGCGCTTCGTCCTCACCCAAGAAACTTCTCTCATCCGCCTGCTCTACAGTATCCATCATCAGTAAAAGTACGGTGGGATAGTGGATCAAGTGGGCGTCACGAGATGGAGTCAATTTAGGCAAGGGAAGATGACGGCTCCCGAGGCCTTGCAGGACGAACAGTCAGCTCGTTCCGGATCGTCAAAACGCGGCCAGCTCGCAAGCGAATTAATACTGCTAGACACTGGCACTTAAATGTTTAAACACCGATAATTTTGATCGTCGCTCTCCTCAAAGTAGGTTAAAGAAGCTTCTTTTTGGGTGAGTGATTATGACGAGCCGGATTTGTGGCAGATGGAATCTCTCGATGACGCGCGGAAAGAAGCTTGCTCGAATTCCTTTGACCCAGTGCAGCAGGTGGCCCGTGCGCACGCCAATATTTGCGAGGGTCAAGAGGCCTCTTAAACTAAGGGATTTTGCGCTATCTCCCTGCTGCCCTTGCTTCCCTCCCACTATCACCATGCCTCAGTACTAAGCGTTCAACGTGACCATGGTGAGTCCCTCTACTCTAAATTATCAATCGCAGCAGCTGTTGCCTGTCAAGGATGGCAACACCGCAGCAGGCGAGGCAATTCCGACTGCCACCGTGCCCTCTGGGCCACAGAGACGCCCAACGCCACTGCCAACGGTGTGAAAGAGGCTTCCAAGTCCCATTCTCCCGAGAGAGCATATCTGTCGCAGTAGGCTGGTGCCCAGCCTGCAGTGCACCGTTCTCGCTGTCGTCAGCATGTGCAGAAAAGTCCAACTCGCCCCACACAAACGCGTGGGACCATGCGCATGGTGCGTCTCCTATAATGCATCCACAAGCAATGCTGTTTTCATCTAATGCTATCAGGCTATTTACAGCGCTTGCATAAGTAGTTTTTATCGGGTCAGTTCATGGTACGTACTCTCTAGCACATAGTATCTCAATTGTTGCCTTGTATACATGCCTTACCTATGCTCTTGGGTTGGACCCTGATCATTTATATTACTGTTTGATATCGCTGTAGTATACTGTACCTTTCCGATCTTAAGTTCTCAGTGACGTGGGAAAGTATTACAAATTAACACCTTCCTATTCCGTATGTCCCGAATTTAGGTTCGCTGAGTCCTGTAGAGGCGGGACAAAGTTCGTGTCTTAGGGTGGGTGAGGGTGGGTGAGGGTGGGTGACCCAGCAAGTGAACCTGAGGATGAGGATGCCATGCAGCCGAGCATCAGCCGGGGTGCTTTTGTGATGCGGCACACAGAGAGTGGTCCTTATAACAGCATTCTATATGACATCAAACAATTGCCTTCAGTTGCAACTTGAAGCTTGTTATAGCATTATGCCACTATTCACTCTGAATTATTTATGGTCAGAATTCTCCCCATCATGCAGTGACACTTGCAAAGAAGGTAGATTATCAATGTGCGTGAGACATGCAAGCTACTGGTTTATTTTTCCACTTGTTAATATTGTTATTCAACATGTTTCTTCATCTTAATATTCTACCATATGTCCCGTTTCTAAGTTCGCAAGGGTCCAAATCAGTGGGACTGTCCCATGTTCTAAGTTCTGTTCATGGGCCCATGGGACATGGGACAGAACTTAAGATCGGAAAGGTACAGTAGTAGTAGTATTTGACATGTTATATCAGACAATCAAATGTGCTGTCCCATACTTCATAAAAACTGTGTGCCTCAGACTCGTAATAGCTGTGAGTACCTATATGTTGTTATCATGTGGCCTATGCTGATGGTAAGATGGCGCTTAGATTATGATAGATGTAAGTACCCATATGTTATTATCATGCCGTATCTGCTAATGATAACACGCCCCTTCGAGTAGATAATAGATTCTTTGCTATGAACATATCGTGGTGATCTTCCCTGTATGCTAAAAACGGACTTTACATGCTACTAGTGTCGGAGTCTCACCATTTCCCCGGTGTATGTTTGTCATGATCTGTAATGTCGGTCAAGGTCATTTGCTTATCATTCATCCCCTCATTTAGTGATGAACGTTAGTCAGTGCGCCTTTTTGTCCCCGGGCCCAACTTACCCTCTCTATTCGCTTGTCTAGCACTCAGCTTCATTCGTATATGTATCTGCCTGTTGTGAGCACCAGCACATGTATACCGGTGTCTACCTTTGTTTACGGTCACCCTGGTTGATATCACTGTGCATCGCGTCTCTTTTCAGTCATATACCATGACCGCGACGTAACCACAATGAGATCCGGGACGGCTGCGGCGGACGCAAACACAGGATTTAACTTCTGATAATCTGCACATATAGCGAAGGCGACCTTCGCTTCACGGAAGAGGTTTGATTCGATACATGGGGCTCCTTGTCGAAAAGCATCCCATGGAGACGAAGGAAGTCTAGCTACTAAGTTATATACCTTTCGCGTAGAAATGGAATCCCTTCTCGACGTTTTATACCACTTCTGAGATTAAACTTCCGATGTATTCCGTTGCTCATTCCGTCCTGTCGTCATGGCAAATCAACCATACATGTACATGCGTGGACTTTCAATTGTGTCGCTATTGTGCACACCACAAGGTGCGTCAAACTATTGTCTCTACGCTCCTCTACATTAACTTTCATCTCTTCGCCAGGATATCCGAGTTCTCTTCCACCTCCGCAACAAGACATCGCTTTTGAATTCTCTGCCATTTCAAAAGAAGAGGATAGCGATGGCCTCTGTATCGGAACATCTGTCAGCCTTGTATAGTCAACACAAAGGACTTGTGATTGATAAACTGTCGACCAATCAGCTGAGCGTGCCGGAATGGGGACATAGCTCTTACCAGCATTCGTCAGAATCACGAATGGTGTGTACATCTGCCTTCTCAGTGCATGTTCCGGATCTTGGATCTGAACCAGTCTTGCAGGGAACAGCGGAGTTCATAACCGACGAAATCATCACTGCCACAGAAGTGGAAGAAACATATCTTCCGTCTCCCGCGGACGATCTTTTGTCGTTATTTTATTCCGCTCTTTGGGTAGCGGCCTACAACAGAGACGATAACCAGCCGAATGTGCCCATCCATCTGCAGATACTGCGCCAAGATCTCGCCGGTGTCAAGAGAGGTCGGGTACATGCTGAGAGGACTGTCGTAGGCTACCAGATCCTCAAAGCGAGCAAATATGGTGACTTCCTTCCCAAATGTCAAACGTTTCTTAAACCATGGGAGGCTAAGATCCGACGCCTTGCCGTCGACTGGGAAGAAATGCTGGAGAAGGATACTGGCGTAAAGCCATTGGAGGAGCATTTCTCCAGCTTCTACGAGAGAGGTTTTCTCGACTATGTCGAGTTGATGGACGCTGTATCGGCGGAACAGGCTCTGCAGGATGCTATCACTACCGCTCCTCCTCCTAAATTACCTGCGGTGACAGCCTATGATGGGATAAGGGTCTCAGAGTGGCTGGCCATGATGGAGCGACGTATATAGGTTCCATGTTTACCGTACGTTAATCACTAGAAGATAGATTCCTGACTCCCTTGGTTATGACGGCTTATATTTGCATGTTCTTGGTTATTCTCCTGCCACACGTAGGTCAGTAGATCTAGATAATCTTGGCCCTAGTATTTGACTCCAGTCCAGGCCCCCATTCGTTGAGATTTCCCTGTTGATCGAGTCTCGCTTTATTATAAGGAACGACTGTCTTTCGTACTAAATAAAGGTCTGCCTACGGGAGACTAGCTTTATACACATCGATCACCACGAGACGAGTTGGAATGGGCGCAAACTCGAGCTTTAACATCTGATCTGTCCGCCATATTGCAAAATCGACCTTCAATAGCATCCAACTCACGGAATGACGTCTATCCTGCTTCCTGCATATGCATTGCCGCTGACTGAAGACAATAGATTCAGAAAAGGCGTTGCAGTACTAAGCGGTAATGCAGTGTGTTATCGTCACCCTCCTTTTTACCCGCATCACCTCGTGTGCACAGGGAAGACGCTGAACCTCGAGGAAAAAGACGTCTTTTGTATACTCACGTAGAGGAACGTGTGTCGGATTCTGCAGGTTCGAGCGTCTGTGAGACCGAGGCACCAATTATAACCCGAACTTACTAGGGATTTTCTCCGAAGATTTAGAGGCGTGACAGACGTCCGGACTTTGTCCCGATCATAAAGTAGCCAGATCTGGGAGGCTGTCTCGACGACAACCTGGGGTAGGTGGCTTATCACGACGATCGCTTGGGGAAGACAAAATTTAGCTGGCTCTGACAAAGTGCTGACACCTGGCGGTCTCGGTGCGATTCTCAAGGATTCTCACTCTAGATCTTCTATCCCAAGCGAGAAGAAACGACTGCGAAAGCGGCACGTTCAATGAATTCATAGTCCATTCGATTGGCTACGCATATACCTATGGTTCCCGTCTGTTGCGCGGACTGATCGCGATGATGATGCATGGTGGGCGATTGAATGAGAGCGAAGATGAAACTCGGATGCACGGCGCGACACTTTGTGTCGTGTTTCTCCACGAGTCGCGGTTGCGTTCTGATGAAGCCTGCGATGCCGCTCGGCCGAGATGAAATATGGAAGTGGCACGCTTTCTGACACGTGTAAATGTCATGGCCATTTACGACGTTATTTTCGGGATGAGTGGGCAACTGACGTGAAGATTATAGCGAGCTAAGGGGGAATCTTGGAGAAAAAGTGACGAAGAGCATATGTTCATTCCTGTGGCAGACAACGACAAGGTAGCGGACGTCGATGGAGGAGAGGAAGAGAGCAAGACGAGGGAGGGGAGCGATGGGTCGGAGGATGACACGGTGCACGTGCTGTGATTATCAGGGCGGAATTCGAAACGCGTGATATTTCGTTACTTTGACCCTCTTTTTTTTCCTCCTCCTTGTCGGTTTTCCAAGAGAACAGCCTTGACACCTGTCAGCCCTCGTCTGCGCATATATAAACCCTCTGATATCTCCAGCACCCCCAGCGTCCTTCTGCTCTCGCCCTCTCACTCGCCTTTAGCAACTTCCAACTCTTCCAATCCCCACCTCTCGAGGTTATCGTCCAGGAGTTTCGCAACTCTTGCATGTACTCGAATCAGCTCGGCAGCCCACACAACCCTCACCGCGGTAGCAAGCACTCCGCCGCAGGCATCCTTCCATCCCACTAAATTTCCCTCTTCGCACTCGTCTTACTCCACCTCTTATCTATCCACTATGGCCCCTCAGGTCTACAACAACGGCTCGGGCTACAACACCCCCGACTCCCAGCTCGAGTCCGCCCTCCCCATCCATCCCACCGCTGCTCGCCGCCCCGAGTATATCACCGTCCAGTCCGAGAACACCACCTACACCGACGAGCACATCACCTCCAAGTTCGTCAACCGCGGTGCCAGCGTCCAGGTTACCGATGGTCGCATGACCGTCACGCCCACTGCGCAGACCTATGAGTTCCGCACCGAGCGCAAGGTCGGAAAGACTGGGTATGTCGCTCTCCCTTCCCTTTCCAGTAGTTCTCTTGCTCATCACGTTCATCCGCAGTCTCATGATGATCGGTCTCGGCGGCAACAACGGCACCACGCTCTGCGCTACCATTCTCGCCAACCGCCATAACATCACCTGGCACACCAAGAACGGCATCGTCCAGCCCAACTACATCGGCTCCATGCTCCGCGCGTCGACCGTCCAGATCGGGACGGACCCCGCGACGGGCAAGGAAGTGCACGTTCCCATCTCGGACGTCCTCCCCATGGTGCACCCAGACGACCTCGTCCTCGGAGGCTGGGACATCTCGGGTCTCCCGATGGACCAGGCGATGGCGCGCTCCAAGGTGCTTGACTACGACCTCCAGCGCCAGGTCGCGCCGCACATGGCGCTGCTCGACAAGCCCCTGCCCTCGATCTACTACCCGGACTTTATCGCCGCGAACCAGGAGGCGCGCGCGGACAACGTCATCCCCGGCGCGGACAAGCAAGCGCACCTTGAGCACATCCGCGCGGATATCCGCAAGTTCAAGGTGGAGCACGGGCTCGACCGCGTGGTGGTGTTCTGGACGGCCAACACGGAGCGCTACAGCGATATCATCCCTGGCGTGAACGACACGGCTGACAACCTCCTCGCCGCGATCAAGTCTTCGCACGAGGAGGTCTCCCCGTCGACGCTCTTCGCCGTCGCTGCCATCCTCGAGGGCGCACCATTCGTCAACGGCGCCCCTCAGAACACCTTTGTTCCCGGCGCGATTGCGCTCGCTGAGCGCGAGCACGGCTTCATCGGCGGTGACGACCTCAAGTCCGGGCAGACGAAGCTCAAGTCCGTCCTCGCCGAGTTCCTCGTCAACGCGGGCATCAAGCCCCTGTCCATCGCGTCATACAACCACCTCGGGAACAACGACGGGCACAACCTCAGCGCGGAGCGCCAGTTCCGCAGCAAGGAGATCAGCAAGTCCTCGGTCGTGGACGACATGGTTGACGCGAACCGGCTGCTGTACAAGGCGCCCGCTGCTGGTGCGACGGGCAAGGCGGCCAAGGGCGAGCATCCGGACCATATTGTGGTGATCAAGTATGTCCCTGCGGTGGGTGACTCGAAGCGCGCGATCGACGAGTATTACTCGGAGATTTTCTGCGGCGGGAGGCAGACGATCAACATTTTCAACGAGTGCGAGGTGCGTTTTCTCTCCATCTCCTTTCCTCTCTTTCACTTGCTAACACCTCCATTATAGGACTCCCTCCTTGCCACGCCCCTCATCCTCGACCTGACGATCCTCACCGAGCTGCTCACGCGCGTACAGTACCGCCGCTCCGGCGAAGGCGAGTTCGCGCCGCTGCACTCGGTGCTCTCCCTGCTCTCGTACATGTGCAAGGCGCCCCTGGTCAAACCGGGCACTGACGTCGTCAACTCGCTCGGGAGGCAGCGCAACGCGCTCGAGGCGTTCCTCAAGGCGTGCGTCGGGCTCGAGGGCAACTCGGACTTGCTGCTCGAGACGCGGATCTGGTAAATGGCCAGCGAACGCGTCGAGGTGTCGCGTGAAGGCTTGGGGGCGAATGGTGTTCTGCGATTGCGATGAGGGGGTCTTCAACTGCTCCCGGTAACGTTTTTCTTGATACGATCGGCGTATGTACTGTGCACGTTAGAGTGGACGCGCGTCGTGATGGGGTGCTCAACCGCCTCGCTTTTCTTGTCTTTCTTGATACTCTGTAGGAATATATACGTACACCAATGTGTCGTCGAATTGAAATGGTGCTTGTTGAATTTTCGTATACGCCCGAGTGCATCTAAGTGAGCTATGTGGGTGATGTGAGCGAAACGGTTTACTCTGAGACTTCAAAATCCCGACTGCATCTTGACTTTGTTATTTTGTTATCTTTATCTACCTCTCGTTTTTGCGTTGCGCGTCGATCGTCACCAAGCTTGTTGTGTTTTAAGTTCGTCAAGGTAGGTACACGCAAACATACAATCCCTAGCAATGTTCGTACATGCCATGTCCGAGATATCGTATGTACTAGCCTATTGTTCGTCCCCAAGAAACTACCAAAAGTGCCCGAGATTGTCACATATGGTCCGAACACGAGTCCATATCTCACCCCGCCTTTCCGAAACCGTCCATACTGACAGCTTGATTAAGACGAAGATGAGTTCGTCGGCAGCGGGTCCACGACCCACGTCACGTTGCTCACGACGCCGTTGGACGTGTTGGCGACGGTCTGGAACGCGCTCTGCGAGAGGCCGATGGACGTGTCGGAGAACCCGGAGAGGAAGTAGTCGACGATCTGCGCGGAGACGGACGTGTTGCCGACGGTGACGGTCAGGTTGTGTGCGCAGATCGGGTTGTCGTTCGGGTTCGCGGTCGCGTTCCTGATGGAAAGGGCGCGTGTGAGGCGGTGGAAATGAGGGGGGCGGAGGTGAGGAAGGGAGAGAGGGAGATGGGGAAAGAGGGAGGAGGGGAAGACGTACGGGTAGTTGTTGAAGAAGTTCTGGGAGACGGACGCGACGGCCTGGTCGGACGTGTTGGTGTAGCCGCATGCGCCGAGGCCGGGTGCGAAGAAGAACACTACGTGGTTTCACGATAGAGGGTCAACCGTGGTCTACTTGGAGAGGGTAAAGAGGGGTGAGGTGAGTAGCACGCACCATCGCCAGTTTGGGGGTCGGTCTCCGCGGCGTGTACGCTGACGACAGCGAGGGAGGCAGCAAGGACAAGGGCAGCGCAGAACATCGTCGACGTGAGGGTGGATGTAGGTGGGAAGAGGAGGGAGCGGTAGAAAAGATGCCGGGGAGAATGCACCTGCCCTCCCCCGCCCATCTCACCTGGCCCTTATATCCGTGCTGCAGCACGAGTCTCCGCCACCCCGGACCATCTTGTCTTCTGTTTCTGTTCTGCGTCGACTGATCGTGCATATGACACATCGACCAGAAGATCGCGGTGGATGTAGCACCTTGGCTGGGTGGTCTGACCCCCCGCCGCCCATCTGAGCTCGGACTAGAACCGCGAGAGGACGTCAACGGTGACGCACTGTGCATGGTCGCACATACGTCCGCTTTCTCCGTTTTCATTCAATTCCCACAAACTGGGACGAGCTGTCTTGTGGAGGACGGTGCATGGCTGCAGTGGCCAAGTGCGCGTGGTCGCGATCAACGGATATTGGGATAAACTGAGTTGGAGCACTCAACGGTGCTTCTGCGCGTCTTAGGGGGTGTCAGGTGCGAGTCAGGTGTCGCCCCAGAGAAGTCAGTGAATGCTTCGAAGGAAGGAGGTGTCGCGGTCAGTAGTCCGTACGCGTGAGACGCGAACCCAATACGAGGGTGGTCGAGAAGCCAAAGTGATCTGAGTTGAGTTGTCCATTTCATCGACTGCTCCCTTCGTGTTGGGTTCCGAGTCAGAAACAAAGAAGGCAGCTCTTAGTTTGTCTAGGTTTCGTTGCGACTCTCGGAGATGGCGATGTATGACTCTTCGTGACCATGTGCTGGTGATCGGCGAGGGTCGAGTTCTGGAAGGTGGTGATGAGTTGATGATGGATGAAAGTTGGTCAGAGATGGAAGGGGAAAAGGGTTGGCGGCCCGGCGCACGTCGCCACTCCCCGCGACGCGGAAGATGCCGAACTCTCTTAGATTTGATCGTCATCATGATGCTTGTCTAGACCTCGTTGAATCCCCAAAACCACACATGTTCTACAGGTCGGCGTTTTATCTTCTCACAGTATGCAAGGAGCATGAATGCCATCACCAGGTGCACATGCAACCCTTGCACCTCGATAGCGTCGAAAGGGGGAAAGACCTCGAGGTGAGTCACTGGCAGAGCAGAAAGATCCCAGACAATAACGCATTCGGAATCTAGAATCAACGGCATGGTTCAAATCCCCACCACCCTCCGATGTTCGCGAAAAGGTAATCGTATCGCACTTGACGCCCAAACATAGTACCTAGGTTTCGCTCAGATTCACTTGCAAGGAGAACTATTGTAACGTCAATCACAATGGGTATGACTCCATTCGCTCATCCGCATAACGGTCAAGGCATTACATTCTAAGCAAGTGCATGTTATACGCATCATTAACTTTATAACAGTACCCGATATTGACTTGCCGTAATCCTGTGAGGTGATCTTATCGTTCCTACATCGCCCTTTCCAACGTTACTGATTTGGTAGCCTGACTCGAGGGCTTCTTGGGTGCTCCTCCGTGTTGATTGCGTTTAGTTGACTATAGCTCGAGCCGCCGAGGAAGCTAGGCTACGTGATTCGCGGAAGCTCCGATAACAGGATGTGTGGTACTTGGTAGGTCCAAGGTACGATTCCTTCCCCGCGGACATTGAAGATTCTCGTCCTTTGTTCGCTTCCTTTCTTAGGAAAGGCGGCACGATCACAGCGTGATTTTATTTTAATTGAGTGTTCGTTTGGATCGGCAGTTCAAGGCCTCTAGTTTGACCATATGACTCAAGATATTCATACTGGGAAAGCTAATATCGCTCCTGGACGTACATATCCACGCCTTTGCACGCACGATTCTGCCCATCATCCGCAGTGACTCGACACACTCAGTTACGTATTTGATTATCGCGCTGAGAGCGGGGGAGGGAGGAAATGCCCTCTATTCGCCGTTTACAACGAGACAATCAAGTGCAATTGAGCTACTGATAGGGAGCTTGATTTACTTGAAGCTCACGTAGGTCGTGTGCATCGACGTCACTGTGGATGAATCAGAAAAGAGACCAAAATGCTCAGAGAGTAGGTTAACTGATTGGCTAGCTTGAAGCGGAACACCTCGCCTGCGTTTCCAGGAGGAGATTTGGCTGCCGACATTCAAACGTCGCCATCCCATCCCCCATGCCCATTCGAGGCAGCAGAGCTAGAAAGATTACGTCAGTAAGAGCCAAAATTTAGCAGCAATCATACAGTTCTATCAACAGTCTCGAGCGACATCAAGTGGTATATGTTTGCGGAAACCGGCCTTGCATCAAACCGCTTGCGAGCAAGTCCTTGTCGTTTGAGCTTCTTGCGAGGACGCGAAGGTGAAAGAAGGTCGCAAAGGTCTTCAGGCAGCTCATCCCTAGAAGTCGCGGAGTCAGAGCACTGAGTATGGACGGTGGAGATCCCCATAGATGTGGGGCCAGTCAGAGCGCGCTGCGGGATGGGTGCGAGTGGGTAGTGATAGCATTTGACGCGTCGCTGCCTCAGATCTTCAGACGCAACGCGCTGCACGTGATCGTCTTCTTTTTAGGACTTGTGGCGTCTCTGCGCGACACAGAACATAACGAGCGCCATCAGACTTGAACATCGTGGCATTTGTCAAGGCTTCAATTAGCAAGTGTATGCTCCTCATGATCCCTACAGCAATTCCAGACTGAACTGCCAACTCGCCTCTATAGGCACATGTGGCCCTTGCACCGTCCTCGGATCGTTAACGTTCAGAAAAAGGTAACTTGAAGGTGAGTCAGGTCATTATTTGTTCAGAAACAAGCGTGTAGGAAATTTCACAGGGTGGCAGGTTTATTCAGGTAACCACTGCACCTTGTAGCTAGTTTGAACCCAAAGTGTGGTAACATCACTTGTAGGACAGGCTACTGGAGAACACGCTAGGCATGACTCTGTTCGCTTGCCCAGTGCATCTTGTCCAAGAAGTTTACATCCTCGGCGAGTGCGTGCTGGACGCATCACACACGCTTCTGAAAATGCTGATAGCTGAGCTGCTAAAGTCCTATGATGTGCTGTTATTCATGTTCTTCCCACATCGTCCTATTCGTGCTCACCAATTTGGCAGTCTGACTCGACGCCTTCGCAGGCGCGCCTCCAAGCTGATCGTCTCTTGTCTAATTCTGGCTTGACAAGTCATCTTGGAAGAGGCGAGTAATATGAAAAACTACAATAACAGGAGACGTGATACCCCGTAGGACGAAGGTGCACTTTGTAATCGTCCCCGTCAATTTTGCTCTTTCAACATGCTTTTCAGGCTCCTGATGGTTCACTTGAGAAGGTGTCTCCCCGGACTGAAGGCATCTCATAGCCTAATCCCCTGTGATGAAATAATTCATGATAAACCCGAAAGATCTCACGTCCTAAACGAGCCGAATTAAGAGATGATGTCGGGTGACGGAGAGACACTACTGGTACTCTTTCAGTAGTCTTACTTAAAGAAGCCCCTTCCGCCAACTTTGATCCCCACAATTTCTGTTCGCTTGGAATACAACACTGCATGAGGCCGATCTACATTCATTAACTCATGTTTGGTGCCACATCGGCAAAGAAAAGCACAGGTTCTCTACTCTGATGGACGCGTTCTAGTATAACGGGCAGCAAGATGACTAAACGGTCTCACTGGCATTCTGACAAGAAACTTCCTCGTAGGTAACGTCTGCACGTCTTATCTCGGCTGGCTGCGCTACCCAGCCTTCTAGCTCTGATGACCAGCGGATTCGCGTTCCTCCACTGAACCTTCAGCGGAGCTCGTCTCATATCGGAAACTCAAAAAATTGGGAGAACCAATCGGGTCTATAGTCTGGAGAAGGATAAATATTCGTGTGCTTACAGTCGATTGAACCAGCTCCCCCGTCCAATATCTCCGTCCAACCTGTCTAAAAGTTGCTCGCACTCTCTTTTAATGTCTTTTGACCCTACTTCCAATTCTCGTAAGAAGCGGCCGTCCACAGCCCTTGAGCTTGATCCTTCTGGACGTACCAGTGTTCCGTATGTCGCATACACTGTACTAAGTGACACCCATCTGACCTTATGTTAGTGGCGTGGTGGAGAGCACACCAACCAGTGGGAGATGGAAATCACCTCCGACGGCAGGACAACCTTCTGAAGGCGACCTCCGAAAGATGCGGCAACGCAAAGTATCCGACGTGAGAAGTCCTACTGGAACACCAGGGGCATTCACGGGACATGACCGTCAAGCCAGCAAGGCCTCACTGGCTAAAACTCCGTCGCCAACCCCAGAGTCTTTTCACGCGGGTATGTTGACGAGAGCGTTTAATGCTGCTCAGGATCCCACTACACCCGTATGTCACTTCGGCACATTTTGACCTTGGTAATAATATCTGACGTATCATCCTTAGCAAAAATCGGCAGAGACGGTGGCAGATACTAAGGAGACTATAGACCACACTCCTCTGCCGGAACCTAACTCTGAATCCCGTATTGAGAGGCAACCACGAGAAGGGGATTCTGCTTTTCAAAATATCTTCGTTATGCTGCGCACTCATGAACTTCCGGTATGGTGGTTGTCGGAAATGAAAGCGCGGCCGTGTGGTATGTTTCGCTGGTCTCTAAGTACTCGGTGTCATGATAACGGATTACTCACATACCAGATAAAAGTGATGGGGAAGAGGATAATTTCGAGCCCACTCCTAAAACTACAACGTCTGCAGGGTCTGCTTCTACGTCTCAAAAACAAAAGGCCGAAGTTGCCGACCCAAACAAGGGTCGATGTATGATTTCCGGTCAATCACGAGCCGTTGCAGGCCTTGTCCAAACGGCTCACATCATGCCAAACATGCTTTGGTACAACCTCTACTTCGTGAGTACAGTCCAATTGCACGAGTGAGATCAGTCATTGATGCACAGGCATATGCATAGCACTGGAAAATGCAAGAGGCTTGGTGCCTAGCCAATCTGTTAAATCTTGATACGCATTGTAACTTGATACATCGTCAGTCAACTAGTCTTATCCTCCCGATTATTGACGTTAGTGGTGTGTCTTAGTTCGCGCAGACTGGCATGTTCTTTTTGACCAAGGAGCCTGGGTCCTTGTGCCCACCTGGGAGACATTACGCGAACTGAAAAAGTACAGCGATGACAGGCTCACAGGAACTTGCAGAGTCGACCTCCGGGAGGTAAGCCTTATTCCTTCGAAGTATACGTTATGATCCTGACAGTGTGAGGCTACGTTGCAGACCTTCAAGAAGAAGAAGACATTTGAATACTTCGCAGTCTTTTGTCTGAGTCAGGACCGAGTTCAGAAATTAGACGAGGACTTGGGGCCCATGGTTCGTCGTGACGCGGGTAAGTCCTGGTTGAATTTCTGATGTACTGGCCAAAGCTAAATTCTTTGATGGACTCAGAGGGCCGTTGGAAGATGCACAGTTTTCCGTACACGGACTTGCCCGTAATAAAGAGCCACGCTCAGCCTCAGTTTGTGGTCTACAAGGCAATTAACACATACGCTCAGGCGACTCCCTCTCGGCAAGATAACTTTGAGAGTCACCTAGAGCAAGTGTATCGGCATCACTGTACTGATAAAGGTATAATTGCAAACGAAGACTATGCTAAAAACTGCTTCGGGCACATGTACAACCTTGTCCTTTCTTGGTGGACTTCGCCCGGTGACCAAGGTTCTCAGGCTACAGGATATGGAACACGTAGTAAAAACAAGTGAATTCAGTTCATGCACGCCGATCTTTCTGCACGAGTAATGAAGGTTTCATCTAACTCCAAGTCCTGTAATCAAAACTATGCTATATGCTTGCTTTGGAACCAATACATATTACGCCGCATGTCTTTGCTTAGAATCTGAATCGCTGTGGATCTACTTTCTGAGTCCGCCGTATGCGTCAGACAGTGGATGCTACATTAAGTAGGTGTGGAACGAGCAACAAAAATGGTCGCCTGCCTTGTCTGCCTTTCTTGCGATGAACGATGAAAAGAATCGATTATACATTGGCCACGTACACCAGAGGCCGAATCAATACAGTGGGTAACATACTAATGTGCATGGAGTCGATTAATGTTTAGTAGTGGGCAAATATACATGGTGTTCAATGGCCGCCCAATCGTTACTCGAAAACCGCGAGGTATCTTGGCAAAGGCCTCGCCGACGTCTCCAGGACGAACGCCAATCGCGCCAAAATTTGGCGGTGCAAGATGGAAAGACGGGTTCCGAATCTGAGGCGTGCGCGTCGTTCGAGAGGCAAGTTTCCCAGCTGCCACAAGCACGAACGCATGACTCGCAGTCAATGACCCACTTCGTCACCCGTGCCTCGCAATCGGCGTAATCTGTAGCACTGACAGATCTGGACGAATCGCGTTCTTCTTCCGAGTAACAGGGCTCGTCGTCGTCGACAGCAGCAGGGAGGCCATACGTAGGGTGGAAACGTTTTGTCGCACGCATATGTCGATGAAACTGCTCCGGGGGTTGCTGTCTGTTCCATTTACGATACACGTCAAAGGCCGACGCGTGAATCGCTCTCTCGGGGCGCCAAAAGCCTAGATTATTAAGCTCAGGCACGTGGAGAGCAAGAATTTGGCGGTGGGCCCTGTTTATAGCATCGTATTCAGGACCGCAAATATCCCCCAGTTTCGTGATGGTCCCCCAGACGGCGTACTGAGGCCGGCAATGGCTCAAAACGGGACCGAGGGTTGTGAAAGGGTAGGTATGCACCGCTGGCGGTTGACCGGGAGCGGATACGTCGACAAGCACCTTGTCTCGTAGACTCGTTCTGGGAACGAGGTGGTATTTGAACATCGACGAGCGATGGCGAAAGATCTTTGGCAAATGATAAAAAACATAAACACATATCATTGCCTACAGAACGTACCTTGTTAAGTTTAGGCGCGACCTCATCTCGGACCATTGGTTGATCTGACTGGTCTTTCAGCATCTCCAAGACGGATTGCTCCGGAAAGAAAAGGAGCTGGCTCTCGTCAACGGCTTCATCAAACGTAAAGCCGACTGAGATATGTTTCAGGCTATAGAGTGCGTTTGGGACTGTGGGCTTATGGCTTACCGAAAAGAGTATTGAGTTGGCTGCCGACGTTCAAACGTCGCCATCCCATTCCCCATGCCCATTCGAGGCCACCGAGCTGGAAAGAATATTTCAGTGAGAACGAGGGATTGAGCAATATACCATACGTATACGTCTTCAGTTTCAAGGGACATCAAGTGATAGACGTTTGTGGGAGCCGGTTTTGTATCGGGCCTTTTATGAGTAAGCCGTCGTTGCTTGAGCCTCCTACGAATACACGAAGGCGAAGGAACATCGAAAAGGTCCTTAGAAAGCTCGTCTCCGGACGTTGCAGAGTCGGATCGCTGGATAGAGATAGCAGAGATCCCCATAAGTGCGTCGCCGGGAATGGGGGCTCGTGGTGACAGCGTTGACGCGTCGCTGCCTCGGTCTCAACGCGCTGCACGTGATCATCTTCTTTTGGGACGTGTGGCGTCTCCGCGCGACACAGAACGCAGGTGAGTTCCGTCGGACTTCAATATATCGTGGATTTAGTCGAGGATTTGCGTAATAAGTTTGTTATACATGTTACCTACAGTATTTTCCAGGATAAACTACTACGCCGTTCTCGGATTAACGTTCAGAAAAGGGGGACCTACCGGAGGTAAAGGCTCCCGGCCGAAATCTGCTCAGACTCCACAAGTGCATAGAGACATATGCCAAGGATACTCAGATACTCAACACATATTTAAATCAGTTTCATGCAGCCATGAATTATCCCCAAACTCGTGTGGAAGCATCACATGTGGGATGGGCCACTGCAGATACGCGTTGTAGACGACTGTCCGCTTGCCTGCCTATCGCCCCAGAAAACTAATACATCTGTAATTAGTGCGTACTGAACGCATCGCATACGCTTCCGAAAATATTGTGGAAGGAGTAGACTCGGACTTGAGCCCTTTAGCAACAATACCACGAACAGTGGTGGCTTAGCTATGAAATCCTGCCTCTAAACATTGTTCTAATTATTTCATAGTACACGCGACCCGTCACGTTCGGGAGTCGTCGTACAATAGTATATAGCCCACAAAAGTACAACTTCAATGCCTGACACGTGCGATAACGTGTGATACCAATGCACAACGGGTGAGCACCAACCAAAGGTTAATTACATACGTTACAAGGAATATTGGAGGAAGAAAAAAGACATTATAGCAGATACTACCTATAAAAAGTTATCAAAAACGCGCTGACCCAATCCAAGGAATCAATCAAGCGCGTTCCAGGCTCTTTGCATTGTGTTGATATGTGGTAATTACTATCCGGTAGTCGGGAGGTATACAAGATGCTCGAGAGCGGCCCAGTCATTACTCGAAAACCGGGATGTATCTTTCCGAACGCGTCGTCTATTTCTCCAAGAATCACGCCAATCGCGCCAGGCTCCGGCAGTGAGAGGCAGAAAGACAGGTTCTGAGTCAGAGGGATGCTCGTCGTTCGAGAGAGATGCTACCCAACCGCCACGTTCACGAACCCAAAACTCCGACTCGAGGATCCACCGCTTTACTCGCGCTGCGCAGTCATCCTTTACAGATGCTGGCAAAGATCCGTTCTCTCCCTCGGAATGACAGAGATCCTCGTCGCTAATGGCGGGAGGGACTCCATACGTGGGGTGAAAGCGTCTCGTCGAGCGTATATGTTGCCGGAAATGGGCTGGGGGTCGTTGCTTTTTCCAGTTGGAGTAAGCTTCAAAGACCTGCAGCCTAATTTTGCCCTCGGGACGCCACGAACTACGGGCACAAAGTTCAGGGGCGTGGAGAGCAAGGGTTTGGCGAAGGGCCCTATCTACAAAATCGCATTCAGGATAGTGGGTGTCCTTCATTTTCATTGACGTGCCCCAGACGGCATACTGAGGCCTAACATGGCTCAAGATGGGGCCGAGAGTCGAATATGGATAGGTATGTACAGATTTCGGCTGCCCAGGAGCAGATGAGTCAATGAGCACATTGTCTTGGAGGCCGCTTCTAGGGACAAGGTAAAACTTGAAAGTCGACGGCTGACAGCGAAAGAGCTAGAGCATATGATGAGTTTGCTTAGCTGGTTACTATTTCCAGTAAAATCTACCTTGTTGAGTTTAGGCGCGATCGTATCTCGGAACTTCGGCTGGTCTGATTGGTCTATCAACATCTCCAGGATGCGAGGCTCAGGAAAGAGAAGTAGCTCGTCCTCATTCACGTCTTCTTCAAACGTGAATCTTACTGATAAAAGCGTCAGCTGATATAGCATGGTACATGCAGTATAACGGGGCTGTGGCTTACCAGGAAGTGTATTAAATTGACTGCCGACGTTCAAACGTCGCCATCCCATGCCCCATGCCCACTCGAGGGAGTCAAGCTAGAAGGAGTTTCAGTGACATGAGATACCTAAGCCGAGAGTCGCACAAGTTTTTCCTCAGTTTGGAGGGATATTAAGTGATAGACGTTCGTAGGAGCCAGGCGTGTATTAGGTCGTGGATAAGGTCGGTTGCGAGCAAGCTCACGTCGTTTAATCTTAGGGGTGCAGGAGGATAAAGAAAGAGAGTAGAAATCTTGTGAAAGCTCGTCCCCAGAGGTTTCAGATCCAGAATGCTGAGCAGAGATAGCAGAGATACCCATGGATGTGGGCTTGACTGGTGTGTGTAGAGGAACGTGGTGCAAGCGCTGACCGCGTCCGAACCACACCTGCACGTGGCCATGCCCTTAATTGGATCCGTCACTTGCCCTCCACCATGTACAACCCCTTTGTTGTAACGACATGAGTGTCCCTGCCCGAACAGTTCAATCATGCAACCATCGTAAGTCAGTTTTATACTATTTATAGCGCATAACGCTGTACTAAAACACGTATGTAACCTCGATAAAGTCGCTCCCTGACACTACAGGCAAATGCGCTAACTCTGTGCCCAAGAATAAGCAGGAAAATGACCTGGAAAGTAAACATCTTCCTACAGATTTTCGGACGAGGAATAAGCACGTGGAAAGTTATCATTTTCTGGTGCGCCAAGAGGCCCAAAAAAGCAGGTTAAAGCGGGAGTTGAATCTCCGCCAGCGCTTAATGTCTATAAATGGAAGAAAAGCTTGTTTTTGTCGCCTGAAAATTCACCGGAACATGAAATTCTTTCGGCCTCTATTGGCCAAAGGGAAATGTGGAGGGAAATATTTACTTTCCAGTGCATTTTCCTCCTTATTTTTGGGCCCAGAATTATCGCATTTGCCTGTAGTGTGAGACGTCGTGGAGTCTGGATGCCGCTCTTTGATCAACGAAAACAAAACGAAGAATCGACTCTTCCACGTGCGCATCTTTTCGAGGGCTTAGGCATCATGCAAGGCGTAGGTAGACGCATGATTGGTATAAACTACAAACCAGGGCCGCTCGGCGCTAAGCTCCCTTCTGCAGAGGAATGCTTCATCGGCGTTGACTTTACCAAGCGACTTTGGTGCAAATATTTGTCCGAACGAATCGCTCCATCCTTTCCTAAATATCATACAATATAGAACTCAATCAATACATTCATGACATTTAAGCCAAGGTACATGGGTAAAATATCATAAAGACATCAGCTACATCTCAGCGCTACGACTCCTATGGTGATTCGACAAGGGGGTCATCAGCTCTAGTAAACAAGCGACCGTTTAAGTCATCTTAGAATAGTGCGCATTGTTATATTGATGAATGAAGAAGTCGTCAGCATGAATTGACTTACCTTGAGCTCAATTCTTCGCCTTTGGCATCTCGTTGGTGACGTGTAGCACGCGAAGTAAAGGGGAAATAGCATCCCACGCGCAGGGTCGGACCACCACGTATTCACCAGAGCAGCAGTCAACTTCTGTCGTAGAGAAATGGAAAGTGGTCTTATTTCTGTAATAATCTGTGCTGAGAAAAACGTCTTTGGCGAGCTCAACGAGTTTCTAAAAGGTATTGAGCGATGGATGTTAACGGCGGAAAAAGAGACGCATGTCGTACCTCGTATGACTCCGGTTTGGAGATGAGAACGCTGTGACCGTCGTATTTGAGCACGAGGAATTTGCCTTGGGTCTGGATGCGCTGGGACATGGTTTCGGACGACTACACTGACGAGGTGTAAAAGCGAGGGCGAGCTTTAAAATGTTCAAAGCTTCCGTGTGTCGCTGTTTGGCTTCAACGCTTCCCGAAGCTTCTCGATGAGAAGAAATGTTGTCAAGCTTAAGCTGCTGGCAAGTTGGGTTTTCGGGAGCTCGAGTTTCCCTTCGCTGTCAAGCTTTGATGGCAGACCGAGCCGCAGATGCGACGTTGCAGAAGAGAAGTTGTGCACGAGTCGAAATGGCATGACCTAACTGTTTGATTCGGAAATGCTAGCTCTCAGTCCATATACATGTATGCATGAGCTCATTTCGACTCGGATAAAGATTGCTAGTGAATGAAGGACGCATATACGCTTTCTTATAAAGAAGGTGATCCACTCAAGCTCGTCGAGAGATCCGCGGAGCCGGGCTACCGTAATGCCACAGTTGCTAAGACAGTAGGAACTTTATTGCCCAAAGGGAAATATTCTCCTTGCGATGCCGACCGAACCTACCTCGCGTAATCGTAGCGCCCGCCGCCTCTGCCGTAAGTTCGCCCGCCGCCTCACTTACTAAAGTGTGGGTGATGTCGATGAATCCACATCCCTGCCACAGAATCAGGCTGTATAATTCACCACGCGAAAAACAAGACGAGGCCCTGCAAACCAAGTACCACACCAGCTTTGCTCCCCCAGAAGTGTAAGGAGGGAATGGTTTGACATGCTTAGACAACGAGGTGCTCCGAACTGCCATGGCTTCTGCTACCTTTGATGAAGCGTCGGCGGTCTGGAGCAAAGGGGGCTGCCTCGTGGCGTGGCGCATTACTAACGTGGACTTACTATTCACTTCCTTTGGAAATGAGATAACCTGAGCGGACCACGCGCATAAACCCGTCCCGAAGCAAGATTTCCGACGATAGGGCCCTTGGGCACGAGGTGAGGACCGCTGAGAGAATTGAGTAGATATTGAGTTGGGGGAGGGAAGGAATGGATGGTGGAGGCTTTCTCAATAGCGAAGCCAAACATGGTCCCATATGTAGAGCAAGTTGCTCAATAGTTGCCTAATAGTCGGGAAGCCTAATAGTCGGGAACCTCACGATGATAACGGCGGCGGACCAAGCGAGGTAGGAGGCAAAGCACAAACATATCGAGCGGGCAGTGTTGCTCACCTACTAGCTTGAGCACCTGGCAGAACTGCTATTATACAGAAACAACATCAATGAACTTGGATTACAAAGCGACGCGAGTAAAGCTACAGTCTAAACCGTACAAAAAACAACATGATCCGGGGTATCGTTGTTGATTATATGCGCATATTCCGGGACCTTGAAGAGAGCTTGAAACTAATAGTAATATGAGAGGGAGAAGAGACATGTCGGATTCGAGGTGGTGGAAATGAGGCATTCTAAATGATGATTCCGGCTGACTCGCTCACGAGCATGAGGAGTTTGTCCTGTACCAAGAGTTGCATTTAGTATAAGGAAACACGGCAAACGCAAGGTGGATACGTACCTTCTCGTCGGAGGTGTCCGCATACATGAGCCAATCCTGCCCGTCGACGAACTTGACGGCGAAAGAGTGCGGGATCGCCTCAAGCTCCTCGAATCCCTCCCACCACTCACATATGCGGTCGACTCTGCCGTCCAGAGCGACCGTGTCCATAGGTCGCGTCATCTCCTGCCAGAAGGTCAGCATGTGCTCACAACCAAGATGACGCTGAAGAATGAAACGCACGTGCGGAGCCCTGTAAAACGCCACACTGCCCTTATCCAAGTCGAACCTGAAATACCGCCTCTTCCACGCCAGACTCTCCGGCGTCTGCATCGTCACCCAACCACAGCACATCCCCTCTCCGGTGCTGCTCCCCCGCGCCGCGTCCTCGTTGATGCGCATCACGCGCTCGCGCTTCGCCTCCTCCGACCTGCGCCTCAGCGCCTCCTTCTCAGCCACCTGGCCCTGCGCGCGCTCGGCCTGCTCACGCCGCCACCTCTCCAGCTCGAGCGTATACTTCCTCCTCCGCTCCTGCTCGGCCCTCTTCCGCGCCCTTATCTCCGCGAGCCGCGCCTCCTCCCTCTCCCGCGCCTCCCGCTCCTCGCGCGCCTTGCGCTCAGCCGCATAGCGCAGCTCATCCTGCAGCGCCGCCTTGCGCGCCGCCTCGGCTTCGACGAGCGCGCGCTCCTCGGCCTCGCGTTCCTGCTTCCGCCGCACAGCGCGCTGCCGCTCTTCCCGCTCCGCGCGCTGCTCGTCGGCCTCGCGCTGGCGCAGCGCCGCCTGCCGCATGCGCGCGCGCTCTTCAGGCGCCGGAGGCTGCGTGCGCGTGTTCTGCTTGCGCAGAGTGGGACTATACCCATCCGCACCCCCTTTCTTCGGCGGCAACGGTGGCGGGGGCGACGAAGGCGGGGGCGGTGTGCCCGATCCAACGCCGTTGTGCCCGTGTCCCGACGGAAGGTGCGGCTGGTGGTGGTGCAGATTCGGATAGGGGAAGTTGGGGTGGTTGTACGGGTACGGCGGCTCGCGGGCGGCGGCGGCGGCGGAGGCGCTCGCGCTGTGTGCGGGGGCGAGGCGGTGCGGCGCGGTGTAGTCGAACATCTCGATCTCCCACTGGTGCGTGTACGTCGGCGCGGGCTCTGAGATCTGGCGCTGGCGGTCCTGGTGGTGCCTGTGTGCCATGGGGTACTTGAAGGAGCTGGCGATCACCTAGCGTGCGAGGGGCAACGTTTAGGAGGGGAAGAAGAAGGGTGACGGGGGTGAAGAGACGGTGTGCTCACTGGGATACTTTCCTTCGGCGGCAACGGTGGTGGCTCCGTGGAAGACTCAGAAGAACGGGCGAGGTCCTTGCGTGACTTGCGGCGCTTAAGAAACTGCGAGAGCTTCCGCACCGGCCCGCGGCCGTGCTTGCAGCTGCCTTCGCTGGAAGGGGTGGGTGTAGCGGACATCTTGAGACCACTTCGTCGTGGTGATTGACTGGTAGGGTGGGGTGACTTGGAGAAGACTCGTGGCGAGTTCGTGAAGAAGAAGATGGGGGCTGCACACGGTGTGTGGCTGCTGGGTGTGGTGGGGTGATGTGTTCAGAAACAGTGAACAAGTGAGGTATTAATGAGAGGAAGCGAGCAATTGAGTACGAGGGGTATCACGCGGCTGTGTGTGAAGAAGGCCCTATCAAAGGGGTCGGGTTGATGCTGGCGTTTCAGCTGCAGTCGTCGAAAGGAGTGGAGGTGTAGACTGGAGTGCGCAGCACGTCGCAGTGGGAGATGGTCGTGGTATAAGTTCAAGGATGGAGAATAAAGGAAAAGGACAGGAATGGGGTTGTCGACGAGAACAACAATGACCAGAGACGGACAATAGCATTCGCTTATGCGGAGGTATAAGCTTCGATCAAGAGATCAACTAGTCATTGTGCACAGCCACAATGACCTCACACAACAACACGAGCTTGACACAACCTTAGCCAGGCAAGGGGGATCGATGATATTGCAGTTAGTATTGTACATATCATGCCCGCCGTGTTCACTATCTAGTATCATATCAACCGCGAAGCATCCTCGGGTGGCGGCGACTCCACCTCCCGACTAACACTCACCTTCTTTCCCTCATAGTCGAACGAGTGGTACATTGGAAAGTCCAGCAGAACAGTCTGCTTGATGAAACGCGGCAGCGGACGGTATAGGAAGTTTGGAATCATGATCAGCACCGACGTCGACTTGACGTAGTCCTGGTAATCCGCCCACGCCTCCGCGCCCTCGGCGTTATTGTCAGGGTCCTCTTGCGCCTTTTGCTTCAGCGCGTAAAACTTGGACGATTGTGATTTCTCGGCGGGGGGAATGCCGGATGCGAACAGGAGAAGGCTGCAGAGCTGTCGTCAGACGAAGAGAAACCGTACGTATGATCAAACGAGTGACGTACACAGTCGTGAACAGGGGCGATACGATGGAACCGTACAGCGCCGAGCGAGATGACGCTGGTACGTTGTGCGTCGTCGCAGGGGAGATACACAGGAGCCAAATACCCCACCAGCACAGAATCCTTGGAAGGGGGTTAGCAATGGCGTAGGCAGTGCTACTGTGTCGAAAGTGGACTCACTCTCCAAAGTAGGGAGGGTGGCGGGACCACTTCCAGACAGAGGTCTGGACACCACAATCAGTCGAAGGCTCAGAGTACTACGGTAGGTTTGAGGGCTTACCCTCATTATGGCGTTCTTGGGTGGATTTGAGCTCTTCCACATGTACTATGCACCATACATGTCAGCGCTCACGATGAATAAGCAGGGCTCAGGTACGCACCTTTGTGATATCAGCAGTAGACTCAATCGACCACCCAAGAGCCCAGATGACGATTCCAGCTATGTCCAAGCCATTGTACCCAGGAGTACGGCAACTTTGGTTGAAGTCCACGACAGCGGGGGAGTTGCGGATCGTCACGGGCGACGAGACTGTCCATACCTAGAGATCAGATGAGACAATGGCCATAAAGTAATGGTAGGATGTACCCAAACAATCTGCCCTAGAAGACCGGCGCATCACTGTCAGGGCATATTCATGTAATCAACGAGGGAGATATACTGTACCTATCCAAAAGCCTTAGAACGCAAAATCAGCTACCTGCGACAGACGAGAGGACTACAAGGACGAACCAAGGAACTTGAAAAAGTGCCCCCTAATCTCGTCGAACCTCGAGTCGCTCCCTCGCTTCAGCACGCGGAACAGCAAGAAACCTGTAGCACATCCAAGTCAATGGGAGTGGCACATCCGAGCAGAGTCTCGACGCACCAGCGAGCCTGGCAGCCCATACCATCACAAAGACGCTCGCGAGCAGGTTCTCCGCGCAGAACGTGCCGCCCATGAGCAGCGTCATGAGCGCGAGGATGAAGAAGTTCGAGCCTGCCCACACGTTGCAGTCAGCAAACATCTAAACCTGACACCATCCCGCGAGGGCGAAAGCGGGAAGGCGTTGTTTGGGAAGGGGTGTCGGTCGGCGAACGCACCTCCTGTAAAGTCTGTGATCTTATCGAACCTGAACGTCCACGCGATAGCAAAGCCTAGCATCTGGTATGCGACGGTGACGAGGAAGGTGAGCAGGAGATAGTACCTATCGAGCGCGTGTGCTGGGGACATAGCGGCGGGTTCACGATTTGTTGTGCGTGAGGAGGGGGGGACTGTATCGGTTGTGGAACTGTCCGTGGGTTAAGAGGCTGACTGTATCACCAGGGCAGATTCAGAGCTGGTGGTTGGAGAAAGGAATATTAATGACGACGTCGAGAGTCGATCTGCGTCGGAGGCTCGATCGCCGCTTTCGATCGCGTTCGCCTGGGAACGCGTGCTATGACTTGAGAGCATCGAGCAGTCCAGGCACACTCGTTTAAAGTGGCATAACTTCGGCCATCTGGCTTCTTTGTTCGTTTGAGTCTCTGGGCATGGTCGAACACTAGGTAGAACTTCTTGCCAACGTATGGATGGACGACTGGCAGAGGCTTGTTCATAAGCCAGACTTGGTTTCACACGATGTAAGGTCTGTCAGAACTTTCTCAGGCGCATTATGAACCATTGTAATCGACTACAATGGAAAATACATAATAATCGATCGTAATGAAAGGCACTTTCCATTACCAAGGGCATTACAATGGCCATAACAATGCAAAAATTCCCATCGTAACCGCTTAGTAAGCGTTGAAAACAGCATTTTAGTCGCTTCACTTCGATGGTGATGCATTACAATGCGCATTATCATCGATTATAATTAAAGGCACTTCCGAACCCATTAGAATGCCCCTTTAGGAAGTTCCGACATTATTCCATGGACCAACTCCGCATGCATCGGAGTTGCAACCATCATACCGCCCATTGCTCCCTGCTTCCTCCCCGCTTTCATGTCCTTCATGCACTCGGAACACTCCCAAAATCCGGACGACGTATCGAGGAAAATTACAGCGCTATTGAACAAATTTAGCGTGGCAAACGACAGGCGCTCCAATGATGATGGCGACTTGACCATGCTGCCAACCTTGCAAATGGTACAATGCAAATTACTCCCATTATCGGCAAAAACATCTGACGTTGATCTTCAGGGGACAAAGGAATTTATATCTGAAGGGCGTATAAGTGCTGCGCTCCTCGAACGGCCCTACCCTCCTTCACCAGTGGATGACCTTTTCTCTTGCTTCTTCATAGCCATATGGACGGTGATATTTCACAGAAACGATCCTTCTGAAGTTCCTATCGGACTCCGGAGGTTCCGCGATAATCTACTGTATGATCGACGCAGCCGGTGGGACGTCATCATTAACGTTGCAACACCTATAGAACTCGACATTGGATATTATACTCCGTTTCTTGTTTCCTGTCAGCCCCTTTTAAACGAGTGGCATGCCAAGCTTTCGATATTCTTTGCGGATTGGATAAAACTACAAAAGAACAATCCTAGGAAAGATTGCCTAGAGGTTCATTTCGGTAACTTGTACGGGAGAGGTATAATCGAATATCTGGAGCTTTTCAACGATATATATGGCCAGGACCAATTCACATAATCCATGCTAACGCTCATCCTGTACTAGTTGTACCACTAGGGATCCAAACTACTTCGACAATGCGTTAACTTCCATCTTGATACTGTTTTCCAAAAATGGATTCGTGTGCGAGACTTTGACGCGAGGTCGTGCGATGGAGGGAAATGATGTCAGTGCATAATGAAGAGAACATGCGGCGTCGGGATTTGAATATTCGCGAGCTCATCCACCATCTTTGCCCGACCTCATTCTCAACTTGAAGGTTTGCGCATCCAATCAGATCCCAATCAGATCCACCACCCCTCATGTTAGTCCACGCACAAATTCAGAAGAAGATGTTTGCGAATGTATCCTTGAATACGTTTGACGGAAGCAAATACGTATGTTCCGTTATTGGCGGTACAAAGCCAGTCTTGCGCCGGCTTGTAAGATGCATTCTACTTCATTCATACCCTCGAGAAGGTCACTGACATCATCTTTTAGGGAACAAAATAATTCATAAACTTGGATCGCTTAGACATTGCTCTTGGTAAAGAACACCACCTTGGGTCCCCAATCGACGACCTATTCTCTTGCTTCTATGTCGCCCTTTGGGCAGCAATCTATCGCAAAAGCGACTCACCTCCAACCCCTCGCGACCTCCAGCAGTATCGCGACGAGTTCATCAGTACCCGATCACGACCAGGTGTTATATTGCGCGTCAAAAGCTGAGTAGGACTAGACGAGGCTGATGCTGGACCGTTCCTTGTTTCTTGTCAGAAATTCATAAGGGAATGGTATGATAGGCTTGATATGCTAGATGCAGACTGGGCAGAACTACAGGTTAGCATGCCTAGCCAAGATAATTTCGAGGATCATTTCTACTCCTTTTCCAAAAGAGCCAATATCGATTATCTGGAGATTCTCAGCAGCTCGGTATAATAAGCGTACCTGAGTTTGTATCACTGTAGATTCATGTTGCTTTAACGCTACTTTGACATGGAAGATTCCCCCATTATTTTGGAATCAATTCTAATCAGTTTTGATTCGAGACCAAACTTCAAGGCCATAATGGCTGGAAACAGAGCAAGTAATATGCACGCTGCAAGTTGTTTAAGGCGGTAAACTCAGGTCACGATAGCGGAGGATCCTGGACGCTTTCACGATCACAATGCTGAGCTCAGATGAATCCGCGATGATATGATTTCCATGCGACGATGGTCAAGTCTGCATGAGGCTATGTGCAAAGGGATCGATGACATGCTGTATGATAATGGACAAATGGGTAAGGAAACCATGGGCATAAACAAAATTCTGTACATGTTGCAAACACGCGTCGAAGGTGGGTTTAAATTCTCACGTAGACATTTATTGTGTTCCGATCAAGGCATTCGTTCCTCAAGGTGACGTCGGAATTTGAAAGCTCGCGTTACCTTCCATCATCTTTTCTTTGATGAATAGTGACATTCTCGCTCCTGCTATAAACTCGCACCTCGCCAGACATACTGATTCCTCATGCACGGCCAATCACAACTTCAGGTTTCCAAGCCAATTTCGGCGAACAATGTCTCCCAACGAATCCTAGCGCTGATAAGTTCGCTTGATATCGGCAAAAACAAAATTCCTATTGGCGATTGTGACTTACCCGTGCGCCCAACATCGCGGTTGGTAAGATGCCCAGTTATATCCACATTGTAGACGTATTTTCTAAAGGCATATCTCAGGGGACGATGGAGTTTATGGGCAGAGGGCTTATCATTTCTGCTTGTGATAATGAGCCATACCTTGAGTCCCCAGCGGACGATCTTTTCTCCTGCTTCTTTGTGGCTCTTTGGGCGGCAATCTATCACAGAGACAATTCAACTGGTATCCCTGCAGGAGTTCTGCGGCTGCGCAAAGACCTCGTAAGAAGTACAGACAGTCGAACAGCCGCTGCCTCCGATGTCACAAGTTATACAAAGCTAAAGGTCGACAGATATGGACTGTTTCTCGTCTCCTATCAGCCCTTTCTAAAGGAGTGGTATGACAAGCTCGATATGCTCAGGGCAAAATGGATGGAATTACTGGATAGTGATCCTAGCAAGGATACTTTGGCGGAGAGCTTTTCCGACTTGTACGAATCCGGCGTGGTCGAGTACCTGGAGCTTTTCATCAAAGTATATGGCTTAGCTTAACCCACGTACGAGTTTCCAGTTATGTCACCAACGACGATGTCTTAGCACAATCATTGCTTTGTAAGATAATCAGATGGTTTACGAGCAGATTAGAATGCGAACCTTAAATGCGAGATGAGACGGTATAAATCAAGCCAGGCGGTCAAGTAAGGTCATGCTAGTGGATGTGTCTCGACACGCTTACATTCCCATCTCCCGGCTCTGATGCATCAGTGACATGCATTTATGATAGTCGCATTTGCATAGGGTTATGTTTGGATTATTTTGGAGAACACGATCCACCGGAGCTAGTGATGAGCGAAAAAGCTGAAGAATCGTTGAGCATCCATCAGGCAGAAATTAATGTAATTCATTGTTTTGGGGAAAGTCACTCTTCAAAATAAAGTCGGAAGTGAATCGCCCCAAATCGACTCTCCCACAGGTCCCGGAGTTTCACGTTCCTGTCCTCAACTCTCGCAGCCAGCCAGACACCTTAACCCGCCATGCATGACTACTCTCAGCTTCTGGAAAACCTTTCGGCGCATTCTGACTGGGAAGGCATGAAAGTGCTGCTACATATGCTTGACATAGACTCCAAAGACGAATGCCCTGTTATCGATGACGACTGGGCCACACAACCAACTTCGCGTTTGGTAAGACAATGCACGGTGATTCCTTTCACAGACAAGGTCTCTGACACGATAATTCAGGGCACAAAAGAATACATGTCTCGAAGCGTCATAGGCGCTGCTCATGATAACCGTGACCATCCCTACCATGCATCCCCAGCCGACGACCTTTTCTCTTGCTTCTTTGTAGCTCTTTGGGCGGCGATTTATCGCAAAGACGGTTCGCTCGAGATTCCTGAAGGAATCGTCGTGTTTCGCGAAGACCTCGCAAGAAGTACGGACAGTCGAACAGCTGTCGCCTCCGATGTCGCGAACCCTGTGAAACTCGAGGTCGACATGTACGGAACGTTCCTTGTCTCCTGTCAACACTTTCTGGAAGAGTGGTACACGAAGCTCTGGAGGCTTTTGGCTGATCGGAGGAACTTATTGGACAATGACCCTAGCGAGAATGGATCGACAGAGCGTCTTTGCAGCTTTTACGAGAGACGCCTTCGGGATATCACTCCGCCAATACTCAAGGCGCGCTTTGTCAAGCAGAGTGTCAAGCAGAGTATTGATAGCGAATCCAAACGCGAGCTTCTCGATGAAGACGACGTAGATATTGCCAGCAAGTTCTCGTGGGTGTCACGGCGCTATTTCAACGCGGAAAAGGATTTGCTCTCCGCATGCAGAGACGACTTCGGGGTCGCAAAACACTACTATTCGGCTATAGTGCACCATAAGGACGGTATACCTGCCACCAATCACTTCTTTCTCCAATCCGTGACCTTTTGGAACGTCTTAGAAGCACGCGAAGATCCCTCTAGAGAGCCTACGCCAGAGTACCGAACCCTAAGGCAGCACGTCTGTGGATTCTGTGGACGCTCTTTGGTACATGCCAAATCGGATCGCGAGCTCTTCATGGCTATTGCACACGCCATGCTAGGTCAGTAAACGTCTATCCCAAATGACGCTTGTAAATCACTCATACAAATTCGGAATAGGGTACTGGAACATGCTTAGGAAGGGTTTTCAGCATCGAGACATCAGCATCGGTAACGTGCTCCTTTCCGAAGATTCTAAAACGAAGAGATCCCTCTCCAAAGCTCTGAATGAGCTGGTGTCGGACCTGAAAGAATCCGACACCCGCAAAGCCAGACTAGAGAAGATCACCACGCTTCTTCAGCCGTTAGATACCGACGACAAGTGCAGGGGATTCGTCATTGATGGCGACTTGGCGGTCCATCTCCAGAAGTACTTTGCTTTCAAGGCGGCTTCGCAGTTGGTAAGATGCGATTTTCGTTGTTTTCGTGGTTACTTTCTGACGCGAATTGTAGGGGACAGCAGAATTCATGTCCGAAGGTCTCATAGATGCTGCTAACGAGAGGGTGCCCTACCTTCAATATCCAGGCGACGACCTTTACTCTTATTTCTTTGTAGCTCTTTGGGCGGCTGTGTATCACAAGCACGATATGGTTGGGACTCCTTCTGGGCTCCGGCTGTATCGCGAGTACCTCACGCAGGGCACGTCCCGATCAAATGTCGCAAGGAACGTCGCACGTCATAGGGAGCTAGAAGTTGACAGATACGGATCATTCCTTGTCTCCTGTCAGCCCTTTCTGAAGGAGTGGTCTGAAAAGCTTGACTTGCTTGACAGCGCATGGATGAAACTACTACAAAGCGACCCCAGCCAAGATAGTCTCGAGGAGCATTTTTGCAGCTTATACGAGAGGGGCTTGGTTGAATACCTGGAGATTTTCATGAAGGTATATGGGTCGGCTTAGTCCATGCAGCTACGTTTCGTCGTGCAGCCAGTGTATAGTCCTACGCGACCTCAATGATACGTTAACGAGATGACTACCCTCTCAAAGCATTTCGATGCTTAGCTCGTAAAGTCGGAATTGACATGTTATGGAAAAGATATGTATAAGTAAGCCAAGAAAGAAATATGAGATACGTAACGCTCGAAGATAGGATGGTCAATGGTCAGGGTCGCCCTGGACAGTAATGATGAACCTTGCTTCGTCCTTCGCGCCCGCTTCCGCCATCGTATCCTCCCTGCTGCACTTGAACGAGTACGCCTCTTCGTCGCCGTCTGCGCGGATGATCATGTGTAGCCGGGCCCTGTCAGTTACACATCGATATATCAGCGTCCGCCAACGTAGCACTCAAGAACACACGTAGAATGAGAGGATACATGGAGGGATGTGACGGGACGGGAATGGAGACAAGGACGCACATAGTAGCATCAAGTCCGAACGACTTGCATACGCCCGCGATGACCTTGCCGACCTTTGTCTGAGCCTTGGCCTTGAATGGTGCGGTCTGATGCGACGGCGGGTGCGTGACGGTAATAACGAGCTTCTTGTTCTCGTCTTCCGGGAACAGCCCCTGGGCCGCTTGAGATTGGGTGAGTTGCTGCGACTGCGACTGAGACTGCGACTGGGGCTGAGAGCGCCGGGAGGACTGGGTTTGCGGCTGGGACTGGGTTTGCGATCGGGAAAGCGGTTCCTCTGTTGTGAGGAAGGAGAGAAGCGGGTCAACGACGGGATCCTCGCATTTGATAACAAGGTATGCGTACCGAAGAGCGCCTCCGCCCCTCGTTTAAGCCCCGTTTTCAATGGACGATCAAGGTGCGTATCGTCGGTGCGAAGGGCGCTGGAGCTTTGAACTCGCTGAGAACCTTCTTGCCTTTCGTGCATGGTTCTTCGAGATTGGCTCTCTTGCTTCGAACGTGACCATTCACCATCCATAGCAGGACTCGATGCGCCAGGCGAAGCCTTTACTGTAGATGAGGCGGGCTCGCTCTTTGGCGGAAGTTCAGTCTGGGAGGTTTTATCGTCGGGTTCCTCATCCATCTCTGTCGGATCGCAGTGAAGAGGTAGGTGTCAGCTTTGCTGACAAAACTCGGCATCGCAATCACGCACCTTCATCCTCCTCATTCAGTACGCGCGACACCGCCTCCTCTTCCATCTCTCCTTCCCTGATAGCCTCAGCGGCGGCCGACTGGGACTCGTCGACTTGAACATGCACCAAGCACATAACACTTCCCACGTGCACCCATACGTCCGGATGTAACATCATCTTCTTTCCCGGACAGATATCGAGATCCATCGCGTAGAAAGAGACCTCTTGTGTGCCTGCGTCTTCGGAGTCGAGATTGAATATCTGGCGCGCGCGTTGTTCGAGGTTCTACTGTCGATGACGAGCTGAGTATATATGGCGACGATGAAAGAGGCAACCTTGGAGAAAGACGTATGGCATATGAGTGATGAGGACCGTACCTCATATGTTTGAGGTTTGGGAATGAGGACATGGCTGTCCTGGTATACGAGACCTAGGACTTTGCGTTCCCCAGTAGTGGCATCTTGGGTGGATACTGTGACGGACATTTTGTTCGCTAGAGTGGGGCCCAGCAGGATTAATGAGTGTCAGAGGAAATCAGCTGTGAAAGAGGCGTTGGTGCTGCGTGCAATGTTTGTGGAAGAAGAGCACGTCTGACGCGTGTCTGCGACAGTCGCGTGATGGTGTGTTGGCAAGGACGCGTCGTGCGTGAGGGAAGCGCGATCGGTCACAGTCGTCACATGTCACTTGTCACTTGTCACATTGCGGACTACTCCTTTTTTTGGACTCAATCGCGGACTGCTCCGAGTCGCCTTCCGTTGCTTCTGCTCCCACAGCGCCCTCCTGAGGGAAGAAAGATGGTACGACCAATGCCTGGACAGCCTCAACGGGAGACGCTCCCGGGAGCGCAATGGTAATGCTCCGAGACGACAAGTCGGTCAAAATTCTCGGCCAACCCATGTACCTCACGCTCTCCAACATCTCCAAGTTCCACCTCGTCCGCAACCATATTTCAGAAGAAAGCACTTTCCGTGCTCCGCACTCGCTCCACTAGACTGATATCCACCCATATCTTTCTGCCCAGTGCGGTCTCAGGACGACGTACATCCGCCCTGCCATTTATGTCTCTCCGCTCTACTGACTATACGATGGCCGCAAATCGTGTGAATACCATTATCAAATGGTCAGGTGTCCGGCAGGTTGGTCGACCACCGGTCTGCACATGCCGCGGTCGGAGGGTACCTTTGGGGTTTTTCATTTCCGCAGCTTCCTACTGATCTTGTTCCACGAACACATGTACAGCGTTCAATGTTTGGACCTTCTGATACTGGTACATTCAAGATATATGACCTCCGTCTCGATTTCATGTGTCCACCCGGATCTCCTCTGAGGTGCGAAAGGCGGCGACCACTTCCACCTGGAGAGTGAGCGCTTCATCTCCCTGCCGGATAAGGTTTCTCGATTCCTTGCCTCCGTAACGGCACTGCCTTTCTCTTCTACTGTACATTTCGGCACCTCGTTGGTTTTGCCCCATCAGACGAATTGGATAACTTTGCATAATCTGTTCCGCCATTACTCGCTGCTAAGCAACGGCTAACCAGTGCTAACGATTGGAAGACCATGAACGCCGAAACGCTCGTTAGCTTGTTCGGAGCCAAATTGTCAACATCTCGAGGATTACGAGAATGGATCTAAGAATGTTCAGGCACTGGGAGTTTACCGCAGACCCGCTGCTTCTAACATCTGATGAGAAAGATGGGGCTTGGAACGCGGCCCTATACATATGAAGGTGCCTGGTGGTGTAGGTGACGGCAAAATATGCTATGCGTAGGTGCGTTCGTCCTTGGTTCTTTTCTCTCTATTGTATACTTCAACATACGTGTCTGACGCGAAATGTACCATTACTTACGAGCCAATAATAACCCTCAGACGGTGGACAAACAAGGATGTGCCTACTATGTCTTGATAGCCGCCGATGCCGAGATATTTTCTGCTCAGCGATACGATCAGCCAGTTATGGGCCGAAGTCGAGGACCGAGATCCAAATACATACGAGCATATGACAAACCTCCGCCACCATCGCAAAGCAATTCCGAATAGCCAAGGGAAACTGCGAATGTCGGAAAGGATCAATACGTACGGCAGCTACGTTGGCCTATGTTGGTCTTATTGATTTTACAGTCGAGTCCAGACTGTCATTCAGTCCAAAGAACGTGCCTTGCGATCGTTCTATATTTGTCTTCGTAACATTGGGGCTAACAAATCCAAAGATCAACTGAGTTGTATCCCAGTACTTGCGCAGTGCTAACGCCGAATGCACCCCTCCAGAAAACAGATATAAGAGAGGCAAAATTCGCCTCGAACTCTTCAACAGCCTTGACTCTTAGTACCCACCAGCTCTCAAGCTTAACCGTCACTCTCTTACCACCACACAATCTTTAATCGTCCGTCAGAATGTTCACCCGTGTCGCTTCCATCATCGCTCTCGCTACCTTCGCCCTCGCTGCCCCTGCTGCTACTACCAACCAGTGCAACACTGGTTCTGCGCAGTGCTGCAACACCGTCGACAGCGTAAGTCATAATTTCCTTTGGCATTGAACGACTCTTCAACCTGAATGGTCGCATTTAGGCCAGTTCTCCCCAAGTTGCCACTGTCCTTGGTCTCCTCGGCATCGTCGTCGGTGATATCACCGGTCAGGTTGGCCTCCAGTGCAGCCCTCTGTCCGTCCTCAGCAGTGGCGGCGGCACCTGCAACCAGGAGCCTGTCTGCTGCACGAACAACAGCTTCGTGAGTTTTATTACGATCAGTCGCGAATTCCGAGACTAATTTCGTTCGCAGAACGGCCTCGTTAACCTCGGCTGCTCGCCCATCAACGTTGGTCTCTAAAAGACCTTTCACCACCCCTAGCTAGTTTGTTGTTGTTGTAGAACTGAGACGGACATTTGATATACTAGGCTTTTGCCCTGCTTGTCTCGCTTGAGTGAACATGGTGAACGTAGTGCGAAACGAGATGCTGAGGTTTTCATGAGCTAAACGAGGCTAGAATAAAGTGAGCTATTCGTATCATTTTCTGGTGGTAAAGGTGGAGCGGAAGCGCTCCAAGGAAGTTCCTTTACATGTGGTGCATTTTCAAGAGAGATGTCTTCTGTTCAAGCCCGCAAATATGGCGCCGTAGATATCGTTTTACAATTTACAAAAATAAATTAGGGCGACCAAACAACCGCACGAACAGGCGCTCCGTCGCCTGCATCTAGTTTCAGGGGTAGCAGGCTGATAGTAGGCGCCTCCAGGTCCAGCGCCTGCTCCAGGTTGCACAAGTTCTCTGCAATAACCCCTCCATTACCCAATATAACGCGGTGAACCTCATCCGGAGCTCGGTCGTTCTGATGCTGATCCGGGCTGAACGTATCGCTCCCAATGACACGTACTCCCCTCGCCACCAGCTTCTCTGCAACCTCGACCTCGACATACGGATGGTTCGCATAGTCCGGTTGGCCCCAATACCGCGACCACCCGGTGCAAAAAATCACAACGACGCCCTCCGTTATCTGCGCCTCCCACCGCTCGAGATCCCCCCAGCTGATCGCGCCGCACGGCTCTTTCCCTCGCACGTCGACGACCACCGCGCGCGCGACGAGCAGCGCGAGATCGAGCTCGGCGACTTTCGCGCCGTGCGGGACGAAGTGGAACGGCGCGTCAATGTGCGTGCCCGTGTGTGTGCCGAGGGAGATCGCGTGTACGTTGGACGGGTCGGGTGGGATGCAGCACGTCTGCACGGCCGAGTAGGTCGGGTGGCCTGGCCACGCGGACATCGGGCCTGTCGTCGAGAGGGTGTGCGTGAGGTCAACGATCATGGTGATGATGAATGTATTCTGTGTGTTTCTGTGTGAGGACGTCGTCGTCGCCGTGAAGCCATCGTGATAAAAGCAGCTCGCAGGACGGAAGGCCGGAGGCAAAAGCGGTTTGACAGCTCTGTGAACTACAAAACGGGCTGAGACGGACCGGAGTTGTGCGCCCGGCGGCAGCCGGACCGCTGTTTCCCGTTGCCTTTTAAGGTAAAAGAGGTATGGTGGGAGATGTGACTCAAGCCTACTGAGCTAGTCAGACGTTCATCAAGTCCTGCGATGAATCTCGCGACACTGTTGAAGCGCTGCATAAGGCTGTCCGCTTTGATGCTACTACTAGTTGCCACTCCTTTGTCTCACCACATACTCCGGGTCTTATTCTTCCGTCACAGCACTTCATCGCCTGCAGCAAGGCACGAGTAAGGCATACGGCATCCACTCAAAACACGGGATACTGTGATGACCTTTCTACGTAGTAGCCGGTATCCAAATAAAGATCAGTGATAAGTCAGCACATTACTTCCACGTCTCTGACAAGTTGACCCCCTGCTTTGCTTCCCCGACAATACAACTTCCCCTTATCACGAATCCCGTCATGGAGCAATCAGTAATTCTCGCCCAGAGTGTCCAGTTAAGGAACGTACGTCCCTTCTAGGTCATCGAGGTGCGTGCAGGGGGTACTCACTAGTTCTCTCTCAACTATGTTCAGTATATGAATGGTAAGACAATGCATACTACCATCACGTTTGCCCTCTCAAAGCTTTTTCAGTCTCTGTCGGTTCCGTATTGGTGCGTGTTGACATGGCGGTGTTTTGTGTGTCAGTCCAACTCGTTCATCCGAAATTTCTCTAGGTGTACAATTATCTTCTCAGCCTGCCGGAGGAGGTATGCTCAACCAAGTTACTGGTCTCTTCCGCAGGATCTTACTGGTCCCTAGATTGATTACCTGTGGACGAGGCGTGGCATGGGTCTTGGGAAGGTCTTATTCATCTTGACACGGTACCTTCCTTTCGTTTCGACGCCCCTGGCGATTGGGCGTACGTATGCGTGTCATTTATTTTTTCAGAGGGCCATGCAGCTAACAGTCGCTGTAGTTCTGCTATTTCCTGGAATCAATGTCGAGGTAAACCTTTGGTTTTCTCCAATATGCGAGATAGACTACTCAATTATCGTACTTGCTTACCAGACATGCCAATCTATCTTCTACGCCTACTCGGGTATGAACGTCTGCATATTGCCTTGACCGCGTGCTGATTCCATATCCAGCGATCGATGTTGCTGTTATTGTGTTATCAGAGTGTAGGGCTGTCACCTTGCGGCTGATGTACACAGAGCTGATCCCGGACGCCAGGTCTCTTTTTCCTGCGCACCTACATCATGTGGAACTGTCGAAGAAGCATCCTTTATATCATATCGGCGTTGGCCTTGGTTCGTGAACAAGCAAATTTTCCTTGATAGCTTCTCTTGACATGAATTTAGCTGGGATTTGTGCCGCTTGCAGCTATATTGGCGGCATTCCTCTCTACAGTAACCAGTGAGTGATTATTCCGTCCTTCTAGAGTGTCAATTTGAGTATTCTGCTCTTCCTCAAGTCGTGGAATCACCCGTCTCAAAACTATCTGGATGTCTCACGGTGAAAGAATCTTATATCCTTCTTTCCGGCACCTTCGTCATTGTGATCGTGACCGAGATAGGTTAGAAGGCGCGCTGTCTCGATAAAGGGCCATTACTCACTCATGCGTAGTAATATCTGCCTTGATCGCGATCCGGGTCACACAGGGTCGGCCACACTTTGGCCTTCTGATGAAGACCATAATACACGGGGGAGCCATCTATTGTTTCTGCGTGACACGTAAGTTATATTTTAGCAAGCTTCCGTCTGCTAGGCTAACTATCTGGTTTTGAAAGTATTCTCGATAGCAAATATGGCCTTGTGTTTGGTTCATGTCCGTACGGTTTCTCTCTCTAGTTTCTTCTTCTTTTGTTTCTAACCAGCTTACTCCTGATGAATAGGGCACCACAGAGATTATCTTTGATATGTGAGCTTCCTTGGTGATGCGACTATGCTGCCTGCTCAATTAATTGCAGTTATCAGGCCAGTTTTCACGCCATTCTTGCCACGCGCTTGCAACTTCACTTGGCTAGCATACATGAGTTGGAGCCTTCGGATACGGGCACAAGGATATCGTCAGTACAATTTGAGAGGCGTGTCATGAACAGACCAGAGAGCCACATCTGCGAGCTGGTAAGTCGAAGGAGATAGTACCGTTCGACCCCGCCATTCGGCGCTATGGGGTCATTACAATTACTGCCTTCGAGTATATGATTCGTTTTATTGGCATAGGGTTTGGGACAACTTACGCTTGGGTGCCATACGTCGCTACCGATACGTAGTCTACATTTATAGAACATTTGTGGCATATGAATGCACAAGTTAACCTACATAGTCCGTCGAAAGCAGTGATTGGTTGCTGATCGGCCTAAGATAAACTTACAAAAGTGCGCACTTGGAATGGTGAAGAACCCGAGGTATTGTGTGGATTGCGCCCATTTGCGCTGCAATAGCGTACTTCACCCGACAGACTTTCTACGAGAGGACGTATAGCTTCCAACTCAAGCTCGCCTACCGGTGGGTCAGAGCATAGCTCTGGGGGAAACACGTAGTCAAGCACAGGTGTGGCAAAAGCTGTATGAACACTTGATCTCACAGCAATATACCTAGTTCCCCCGCATACTAGGCAATGCGTCAAATATCACCTGGTTTCTCCTGTTGCCGTTGCCGTGCACATGCACATACTGACACGAACATTCACGTCTGATCATAATTTCTGCGAGAACGCGGGGAATGCGTAGACGCACAGTGCCTTAGAACCATGATTATTAGATGGAATTCTAGCCTGAATCCTACGTCAATTATACAATCTATCAATATCATATGGCGAAGGAGGAATACCAGTAACAAAAGAAATATTAGAGTAACGAGTGTGTCAAGCGAGGGGTGGCTAAAGGAGTGAGATATGTTGGACAAGATAGAAACCGAGAGTCTGAACTCGACACAAATTGATGAGTAAAATGCCCCAAGACATATAGAAATCGGCGACCTATAGTTGTTTACGGGGCATGCTCTTGCTTTACGTTCACTTATGGCTCTTGCGCCCGCCAAGTTTCTTCTGGCTGCTCTTAGTTTTCTTTGGCGGCGTAACAGGCGGAGTCAAAGCCCAAACATTCATGGAAGATGAAGGAGGCCCAGCCAGCTCCGAGGTTTCCTCTCGCGAACGCTTCTGTGAACGGCGGGCTGCTCCAGCAGCGTTGGCGACAGTATCGAGAGAGGGATACGTCTGACCTTTCCGGCCCCTTTGACCTCGACTCATCGCCGGTCCATGAAGACGAGCACCATCCGAGTCGAAAGGAGGATGATAAGGCTGCACATGCGTTGAATCGTCCCAATACGAAGTCGCGCTGTGGGCTGAGGTCAAGCTCGTGGGCACAAAAGTGCCTTCGTGTGCGCAAGGGTCGCCTGCGGGGTATATGTAGTTGTCTTCGAAGCCCGACTGAGATACACCGTACAGGCGCCGGATCAGGGGATTATTAGGCTCGGCGCCTGAAGCCGGAGCCGGAGCTCTCGAAGACGACCTCGTTGATGAAGGAAACACGGTTTGGGCAGGGGTAGAGAGCCCAGCCATCGTAGTGGCGGCGCAATTGCGAAAGGCGTTGGAATAGAACGAATCTTGATAAGTGGCATCGTTAGAAAATGCGGGCGCATGAGACATGATAGAGCTGCCATAGGACTGGTTGTCTCCAGCGTTGGACGAGTTCGCCGCATCGTAAGCTACCCCCGGAGAAAGGTAGGGTATAAAGATTGCCGGGTATGTGCTTGACGCTAGCTGAGATACAGCTGAGCTTTCGGGAGATTCGTTGACATACTGGTGGATACTTCCTGTACTAGAGCTGTGCGACATGTTAGCTGTGAGTATATGAGTTAGAAACGGCGAGGAGAAGACACAATGGGAGGCAGAGACGATGGTCGCTCCTGCTTTTATCCTCATGTTCGCTCGACAGGGTGTCTAAGCGACCCTGCCGCATTACTACATGGGCGGTCGAAGCGACGTCAAAGCAAATTAACTAGTTCGATGGGAGGGTGAATGGGCTCGCTCCAAGCCAAAGCTCCTACCGATAGATTCGGTTCTCACCCGTCACAACAAATAAAGAAGACGGCAAAAGCGGAAGCTGAAGTGGTATCATTGAAAGTACAGGGCGACGTTAGACTATAGGTCTTCGAGGCGATAGACGTCGTAAGCCACTTCCTCGTATGGATGAACCTGATGGCTTTGTATCAGACAAGATTGAAGGGTATTGGCTTCGTACTACTCACCGCTTTCAGCGCCTCGACTACCTTTCGTAGCTCCGCTTTGTTTCCCTGATCGTTGACTACAACCTCGATCCTGTCTTCTGACACATACTCGAGTGTCCCTGGCTTACCGATGGCCGGGTTCGCGGATGCACCTGGTCTAAACTGACCTACGAAGTTCGTGAGAGGCCAACATGCTGACATCTAAGGGGATAAATGGAGCATACCGGTGCCAGGCGTGACGAATGCGCACTCTTGGTAGTCACCAATCTTACCGACCGCGTTGGGGAGACGGACGAACAGCTGCTTCAGGATGGCCTTCGTGTTTTTTCTTGGAGCGAAGAACACCAACTTGAAGCGCACGAGACTCATGAAATTAGTCAGAGACTATGGCACTTGAGTTGTATTGAAGAGGCAGAGCGGGACTCGACCAGCAGCGGACGAGGGACAGACGCGAAGGCAGGCAGCGCTTAAGCTTAGGGGTTGACTAGGTTCAAACTCCGACCCGCTCCGTGTCGCGATTGCAAGCGGACGTCCGCAAACCTCAAACCCTACCAACTTGTTACTTTATTCATACCAGCAGTCCAAACCATCGATGTCCACCGTCCGCCCTGCAACCAACTCTCCAATCTCAACTCAAATCACGAATCGCGCCCGCCGCAATCCCCGCTGCGCGTGTCTCTGTCGCGTTTAACCTCCAAATGACACGCTCTCCTGACAAGATTCGCGTCGGTGCACGTTAGGACTCCTGTGGTGGAGACAGCATACTCGAATGATCCGTGCTAGGCTTGGCGAGCTGATGAATCATCACGGTTGCGTCGCGGGTGTACTTTACACTCCTAGCGGGCATGCATTCGACTGAATAACGTCTTACTCACCTCCGCCTTCGGCGAATGTCGAGACTCAGGCTTCGAGGCCTGGAGGGCGATCAGCAATCACCTCATCCACCATTGAATATGGAGCCCGCTGCGCTCTGAAACAAGGGGGATAAATACCATACAATTCACGGCCGCACCGCTCGAGAACCTCTCCTCAGGCTAGAGGGTCTGGCTCACATGTCTGTTCGTCGGCTTCAAAGTCTCCTAATGCCTCTATTGAGTATGTTTACTAACGCTAGTGCCCAGCATTTTAGCTAACCTACCGTGTCCCTAATGCTAGATTCTCATTCAACAGAAGTCTTTCAGAGGAGCGATTGCATCCTCTGGCAAATTTCGTGTCCTGAGCTTGCTGCTCACCGCCGAAGTCCTCTCGTTCCTGCTGCAGAGGCTCCTGATGATACGCGTATAAAAGCATGGAGGATCGTTCGTAGTTTAGCATCGGTCCAAGCTCACCTACCACCTCTAAACACCACACTTCAAAACCATCCACCGCACTCTACATTTTACTCACCATGAAGGTCATCTCAGCTTCCGCTCTCGCTCTCGCTATTGCTCTCTCTGCCCCGGTTATCGCAACCGCTGTACCCCGCTCGCCTATGGCCGAGGGTGCTCTCGTAGCACGGTAAGCGCTTGCCCCTTGTCCGTGACTTTCGGGTTGCTCACTGCCCGACAGCGGCGGTGACGAGAAGGGTGGCGGAGTCGGCAACTTCGACAGCAACGCCGCTATCAACCAGAAAGACAAAGTAAGCCTCAATTCTCATCTTACCACCATGCGATGAGCTAACGCTTGACTTCAGAAACTCAACGACGAGGCCTTCAAGAAGAACAACGCGGCCAAGGATAAGGAGTTCAACAAGAACAAGGCTATCGATCTCAACCAGAACAAGGATAAGGAGAACGCGATCAAGAACAACAACAAGAACTTGAAGAACGACAACGTCGAGAAGGATAACAAGAACGCGTTCAACTTCAACAACAAGTTCGGTAACGGCTTTGGCTTGGGAAAACGTGGCGGCGATGAAAAGGGCAAGGGCGGTGGCAACTTCGACGTTAGTTTTTCTTCCCGCGAAAATTTCGGACATCGTGGCTAACTATCTGCTACAGAGCAACATTGACGCTTTCAACGTAAGGCCCCTTCGCCGCTCGCTGGGGTGGAGGACAAGTGCTGACGCATGATGATTTTTACCAGAACGACAAGAAGAAGGCTAGCAAGAACGCTCTCAACGAGGTACGCTCGTGTTCGTCTTCATTGACCGACCGCTCTTGCTGACTCTTCTTCGCCAGAACAACAAAGAGGCCTTCAACAAGGACAAGCAGAACACCGACATCAAGATCAAGGACCAGGAGAACGCCAAAGACAAGGCCGCCAAAAACGACGAGGCCGCGCACAAGGCCAACGCCAAGAACAAGGATGAGAACGCGAAGATCAACACCGACTTCTTCGGCGGCGGCGGCGAGGGCAAGGGCAAGCAGGACTTCGGCAAAGGCGGCTTTGGCAAAGGCGGCTTCGACAAGCGCGGAGGCGATGAGGAGGGCTTCGGAGGATTCGGAAAAGGATTCGACCAGGGCAAGCAGGACTTTGGCGGTTTCGGACAGGGCAAGCAGGACTTCGGTGGTTTCGGCAACAAGGGCTTTGGCCAAGGCTTCGGCAAGGAAGGTGGTTTTGGCTTTGACAAGCGCGGCGGTGACGAGGAGGGCTTTGGCGGATTCGGAAAAGAGGGCTTCGGTGGATTTGGAAAAGGATTCGACCAAGGCAAGGAGGGCTTTGGCCAAGGCTTTTACAAGCGCGGCGGTGATGAGGAGGGCTATGGTGGCTATGGCGGCAATGTAAGTAGTGTTGTGGCCATAGTATTCGCGATTGATGCTAATTATCAATCCCATAGGACGGTGGTCATGGCGGCTACGGCGGTTACGGCCAAGGCGGCCACGGTTACGATTGTAAGTGCTCATTTTACCTTCCATATTTTCTCGTGTTAATCACGCCCTTTCACCAGAAAGAGCTTCTTAGCCCACATTGTCCAAGACCTTTCGAAGTCGGACGATGATGTAGTACCAAAATGACTACTTCTTTCGTTCTTTATTTGCTATCTATCACGCGGAATATTTATCCTCATTGTATTCTGGATCATCATCATTGTATAAGCTTGCAATTGTCAAATGCATTTGTTTTCTATGATCATTTGATGGATTCGACTTGAGCGAGCGAACGACTGACAGCTGGTCGTTTCTTTCCTTCAGCTGTTCACGTTTCCATTCAATGACATTTTTCTTAATATTTGCAGCCGTTCCTCATCGCTTTCGTTGCTACTAACAAGCCTTACCTTCGAGCACGCGCTGGCAAAAGAATAGCACGCGTTATGCCTCTCGCCCAAAGCAATTCAAACTCCGCTCGACATTGGCTTTCGCGACGTGGACAGTTGCCCTCGCAATACAACGTACGTGTGCTACGATGGTTTCTCCTCGCCCGCCTAATCTGATCGTTTCCCTCCCTATACAACCAGCATGAATCTGTCGTTGTACAGCGTCAAAGCGTTCCTCATCCTCGACACGGAGGGACACCGTGTCCTCGCCAAGTATTACCGGCCCAAGGGCCATCCTCTCGGCGAGTCCAAGGAGCTTGCGACGCTCAAGGACCAGCGCGCGTTCGAGAAGGGGTTGTTTGCGAAGACGAAGAAGCCTGGAGGTGCGTTCAATCCGCTCCTTGTTCCCGAGCGATGCACGGGCTCAGCTCTGGCTGGGGTCCTGGTGATAACCAACATGTCCGCTGATCATATTTGTCGTCTTGCTTTCGGATACGGATACGGATATACGCAGGCGACATCATCCTCTACGACGGCAATCTCGCGGTTTTCCGACACTCGCTCGACGTCATCTTCTACATCATCGGCGGGGCGACCGAGAACGAGCTCATGCTGCACTCTGCGCTGTCCGCGTTCTCGGACGCGGTGCACATGCTGCTGCGGAACCAGGTGGAGAAGCGCGGGGTGCTGGAGAACCTGGACCTGGTGCTGCTGTGCTTGGACGAGACGATCGATGACGGGTGAGTAGTCGCGAATGCTCTTGAGTTCCTATGCGATGTTGACGGCAGTGTAGCATCATCGTGGAGACGGACTCGACGACGATCGCCTCGCGCGTCAGCCGGCCAAAGGCGGACACGACGGAGATCGTGATCAACGAGCAGACGATCATGAGCGCGTACCAGACGGTCAGGGACCGGGTCCAGCAGAGAATAAACCAGTTCTAGACCGCCGCTACATCGCTCTGTAATCCCAAAATGTAATATCCCTCGTCGTCTTGCTCTCATTCGCGTTGCCCCACCTGAAGCACTTGATTTCCTCGTTGACAAGCTAAAAGTGGGTAAAATCCATTATTCATGTCCCTCTTTGACTCGTACACTACGTGTACATCAACCGTACTAATACAAGGCAGCCTGCCCAGAGAGATAACCAAGCTTGAGGGATGCGTCCTTTTTCCACTAAAATATGCTTAGGGGAGCTTTGAAGCCTCGCCCCTACCTAATGATTCATAGCGCGCCAACTTCTCGACGACCACATCATGCCTTTTCTTCCTCCTTTCCAGTCTCTCTTTCAATTCACGCTTGGACGTCTCCAGGACTGTGATCTTCTCCTGAAGACTGGCGCACGTCGCCTTGAGTTCTTCTAGCTCTGTATCTCGTTTCTGCAGTTCTTCAGTGAGCTGAGACACCTTCCCGTTAAGCTTCCTCGCCTCCAAGTCTCTCGTTGTCACCATCGCGACGCAGCGTCGGCGAGCGCTCGTATGTTCGTCTTGTTTCTTCTTAAGTTCCACATAGAGCCGCTTCGTGGTGTCCGAGAACACGCTGGAGCCAGGGAGGCTCTCGCACGAGTCAGGGCCTGCGCACAGAGTAAGCTCGTTAGAAGAGGTCGAGATTGAGCGACGACTGTTACCGGTTACTACAGTCCCCAGCACGCGTAGACACTCGTTATGCTCTTCTATCTCCTGAGTCTTTGTCTTGAGTTGGTCCGTGAGCCAAACTACCGTCTCCTTGGCGGACGTGAGTTCCTCCTTCGTTTCAGACAGGGTTAAGTTCTCCTTCTCGAGGCTCTTGCACCGCGCCTCGAGGGCGCTGAGCTCCTCCGTGAAATGGCATTCGAGAGCCTCGGTCTCCTCCTGCAGCTCTTCCTTGGCGCGGGCCAAGGCCTCGTTTTCTCCTCGCATGCCGTCCAGGAGATTCTGGAGATCCTGGGCGCGCGACTCGTCGACGCCGCGGTCGGCGGCCAGCCGCTCCACGTCGTCGCGGAGAGCGTCCCTCTCCGCCGCAAGCCAGCTCCGCTCCCGGCTGAGACTCGCGTTGTGCGCTTCCAGCTCCCTGACACGCTGCGAGTTCCGTTTATCCTCTTCCGCCCGTTCCCGACGCACGGTCTCCTTCTCCACCTCGAGCGCCTTGCAGCGCGCGCGCAGGTCCTCCAGCTCCCTCTGCTCCGCGAGAGCGTCTTCGCTCGTCCTCCCGTCTCCGTCGAGACTGACCACGTCGTCGTCGCGCTCTTTTTCCAGCGCCTTAGAGGGCGGTGAGAGACCGAGAGCCTCCCAGTCCTCTCCTACGTCGCCAGAGTCGCTGCGGGGAGGGATAGGGGTAGTTGTGCTGGCGTCCGTGCCCGACGTGGGTATGGCACGTTTTGAGGCATCGACAAGGGAGCTCAGCAGGCTTGCCATGGCCGTAATCAGGTAAGAAGTGTGGGTTGATTCTAGTAGTTTGAAGCGGGGAAAGGCTGGGGAAAACCCAGGGACGTGGTTGGCTCCAACCCTCGAGGTCAAGGAGTAGTCGAGTGCCTGGACCTGTGACGTATGGCAGATTACGTGTCGGCGTTGACAACGGTTCGGGCATTGCCGAGGCAGCTTTCCCTTCGCTCATTTCTACATTCATTTACCGTGGCCAGTACAAAGTAAGGAATCGTATTTCAGAGCGGGGATCACATGTATTTATCTACCTTTCGGTATCATTGGGGCATCATTTACTGCGAGAAATCTGTAAGCGCGGTAGTGTAGTAATATGCAAGAACCATAGAGCATAGAGGCCAGGAAAATCGCGAAGAGTCAAGGACACACGAACACAACATATTATGCCAAAAAAACATTGGATAGTTCCCTGGATTTAAGATTACAAGTGACAACAAGGTATACATAGGCAGTAACAAATTGTATCCACGCAACCATGTTTGCTGGAGAGGCTACTATTGTCATCAGCATCGACTGCTGCTTCCGCCGAGACGGCCGGCTGCTCTGAGTGGGATGTACGAGCGACGTCCTCTGGATCTGGAGATGGTTCATCACGATCGTCGTCGTCTTCCGGCTCTTGACGGCTATTCCGCCGTCTGTTTCCTCCGCCTCTAGCAAAGACGCGCTAGAGATACATCCCATTCAAGCAGTAAGTTCGAGATTGGACATACAAGAGCTGGTAAAACCCACATCCTTTGCACGGCCCACACTGACAAGCTGAAAAGCACGCGCAACGGATCGGTGTTCACGTTGGTTAGTATTCGCTCCACCTTCGGTGGGCTGTGGCTCTTCATTATGAGATGCGGATAGGTATGATTTCAGACGCGATACAAGTTGCGTCATGAGTCCCACTTGCGAAGCTACCAATTTTGAGGCCGTATTTCGAGAAACCAGCTGCCGCTGGTCCCGGGCGCTAGCAGAGGCGCCAGGAGGCATCTAAAGATATGTGCATTTGAGTGTTAGCGCAACGTACATAGAGAAATGCCCACCATCGTGACCTTAGTCCTGTCAAAGTTGGCAGGGGCGGTGGCACGCCTCGTTGTGACCGGAAACTGGGCAGCAGAATGAGCGGCGACTACTTGTTTTTAAAGTTTATCCTTACATCATCGAGCTCGATGTCAGAGTTCTATCAATCGTTAGCATGAATAATCTAACTGCAGAATCGAGGGACATCCTACCTTCCTATGTAAAGACTCCACCGATGCCTCGCTGTCGGTCTAAGCACAACGAGTCAGTACCCGAAGAACCTACCACTCGAGCAAGTAGGAGTATTTACCTGTGAACCAAATACGAGAAGCTCCTTGCATGTCTTTGCATCCCACATCTTGATTTCTGCGTGCTCTGATGCAGTGGCGAACCGCGTTCCGTCGGGAGAAAATGCGAACGCGGTGGTACCTTCCTCTTCCGAAGCTGCTTTCCAAAGAATATCTCCACTAGCAGCATCCAGCAACTCCATTGCCCCAATCTTCGTCCCATTTTGGTGCCGATCAATGAGAATTTTCCGCCCATCAGGAGACCACGCAGCACGTTCGAGATAACCTGGCCGTGACATTAGTTCCGCACCCGTAGAGATGTCCCATACAGCCAAGCTTGAAGTGGTGTTACCAAGAATACGAACGCCATCTGGGCAGAACACGGCTGGACAAAGAGCATCGTCCTCTGCTAGCGTCCTGACCATCCGCTTGGTTTGCAGGTCGTATATGCATAGCGAGGCTGTTATATAAGCAAAGTGTCGGTTGTCGGAGGAAAATGATATGTCGTTGATACGTGCACCAGAGCTGCCTGAGACGTTGATATCCTGACGAGTTATCCCAGTCTCTGGGTTGAAGATGTACAATGTACCATTGTACAGCAGAACGGCCAGAAGAGTCCCGTCTGGATTATACTCGATTTCCCGAACTCCATGCCCGGAGAGTCGCATCAAATGCACCTGCTCGCGACCTAATCTGGTGTCATAGACAAAAACTTCGCCGAACGAGCTGGTTGGTCCTACCGCCAACTTACTCTCGTCTGGAGAGAGAGCGATGCGGCAGCCACCGCGACAGGTTATGTTCGTGGTAGACTGTCCCGTCCCTGTATTCCATAATCGCACGTGGTTGTCGCGGACTCCACTACATAATATGAAGGACCAGCTAGAATACCATGCCAGCGAGTAAACGGGTCCGTAACTAAGACCGAGTAGAGACGATTTCTCTTCCTGAGGAAACGATGAGCGACTGAGTAACTTGCGAGGAATAAGTACTCACAGATGAAAGAACAATATCGCCCTTGTTGGTGTCTATGACCCATATCTTTCCCGATTTACCCACGATGACAGCATGGTCCGTCTGCGCGGACCAGGCAACTAACGCCACGGGGTGAAGAGGCGCAGGCCAATGGAGCAAAGGCGAGGAGCCTGAGTCACCCGTCGTAGCATCCCAGATGCTGATAGTACCATCGGACGACCCAGCAAGGAGACGATTTCCATCCGGCAAGAATAAGAGACAGGTCATTTCCTCGCTGTGAGGGCCAAGCTGTGGCCCATGTAGGATAGCGCTGCTTTCTACATGGCATATTTGAAGGCCTTGAGAGGGGATGAGACCCGCAACTAGTTTGCAATCTGGAGAGAGCGACACAACAGGGGTGTTACGATGAAAGAGGGATAGTGAGGCGTGATGGCATTCGGTTTGCCCCAACTCCACATCAAGCGAACGTAAAGCTAAATGAAGGCCTGTAGCCATGGAGCGAAAAGCAAAGAAGACTTTCCTGCCATCACCAGAGAACCTGAGGATAGATTGGTCTTGACTGTCCTCGTATAAGGTCGAAGAGGACGGGTTCATCTCCTCCGATAGGACGTCGAAGAGCAGGAGTTTCGTCTGAGTGAAGAAGGCAAAGAGTCTACCATCGGGCGAGTAATGGATACCACCCCGAGCTGGCTCCTCGGGGTGCTCTTTTGAAGTTACCACTAGGCCAGTTAGGAAGTCGAATATAAGAATCAAGGGTGTAGGTGTAATTGCGTCCGTCTTCTGAGCTAGCACCGCGAGGTGCTGACCATCCGGTGAGAATGAGAAGGCAAGGATAGGGTGTTCATTAGAGTGCAAGACACGGATGAGCTTTCCGGTATGGGCATCCCACAAGCGTATCGTCTTGTCATCAGACGCGATGGCCAGAAGGCCGCCGTTAGGCGAGTATTCTAGGGCGACTACATCTCCCCGATGTTCTGCGAATGCCTGAGTAACGGCCTTTCCCCAGCTCCGCCGCGTACCGTGACGACGACGTGGTCCGATGGCCATCTTTCTGCAACGTTGGTGATTGTCGTTGGAGAACGAGAAGAGCTGGCAAGTAAGAGACAGAAAAGCGCTTGTAAGCGCCGCCTTGATGGCCTTGCATGGCTTTACGTGAAGCGGTTGTGCTGAAAACGTCCTTGGGCGCTTTCCGTCAACGCTGTTTGGGGTAAACATGCGGACCGGTAGATGCCGAACATTGCGTTCACATAAATAAATACCGTGGGCAACCAGTGGGTTGGCTGAGCACTGGCCGCGAGTGAGAGAGAACAGGCCGCAGTAAATTTGAAGCACTTCAGTTGAGAGGTTATATCACACAAACAGGCAGGTGTTTGAGCCTTCTTATAGTAGCTTGCTATCCACTATACCAGGCATCGTGCATGCGTTGACATGAAGTTAAGTGTGAAATGGCCCGTTTCTACCTCGGAGGCTTCTAGAAGTACGCAGTAAGCGCCCTTTCTCCCATAGCATTGATTTCGATGATGTATACCATGATGAGAAACTACTGATGACAGCCACTTGAAATTTCAGACGTGAACGAGTCTTGCATACACCGTGCACAATGTGCCATTTCACACGCAGTATGCTCACTTCATGCGTGTCTATCCCCCGCAGTCGGTCGACGGTGGATCCAGTTCTGGAATAAGTACGTGTACCAAACACAGCTTCAATGCACCTCGCGATGCTCTTGAAGTTATCGCCTGGTGTCGTGTCAACTCAAATGCCGTCCGGAGGAATATTAGCGGAGCTCAAAATGCACTGGCATTCCCCGTGGGTTCATCGTCACAACTGCTCAGTATTCACATGTTCACACCGTGAAGGGAACCACAGCAAGAAGACGATTACATTCTCAATGTGATTGCAGCGTAGCGCTGTTGGGCCATATTTACGTGAGTTTCAAGGATGACTACGGGGAACGCAGCTGAAGTGGGTGTAACACCAGCAAGGGTTTGACAGCGGATTGCAACGGTGCGGCAGCGCGGCTGGTTTAGACCTGAAGTGGGCCCTTCAAACGTTTCTAGTGAACGGCGCTTATTTACGTTATTGAGTGCCATCAACAACTCATGGAGGAGCGATGCGGTTGAGAGGTCCTGGTTCCCAGTGCTGCGAATGAGCTCCTTACTCCACGACTATTCCAAGAAAGCGCCTTCACTGCGGTTGGATAAGGCGGGACTCTAAATCAACTTCGAAGTTACTCTGGATCTCGATCAGCACTGGTAAGCCATTTCTGCTTTCTGGAGCCTCGAGGATTCAATGCAGTATTATCTGGCAGTGCAGCTCGGACAGGGTTCAATGTCTCAGGCGTGTGTGTAGACTTAGATAAATCACCTTATCTGTCCATATCTGATGCTGTTGAGAAGTCGGATAGTAACCTGCTTCCTCATGTACATTGTGTCGCGATCTCGAATCTCGCGCCGGTATCTCGATCTACACTTGAGCTCCCCGGGCCTCTAGTAAGTATCTTCTGCATCGCCGATATCTGCTGGCGTGGCTCTCAACCACTTGGTTTTATTCTAGAAAATGACACACTGGTATGTGGCAAAGGTCGAAAGAGGCATGCTAACGAGCTCACAAATATCTAGCCTCCATTTTCCACCTCGTGGCTGAAGAAATCTCGATAATCTTCCCCGGTACCCTCTATTTTCGATTTCCTTCTCTGGCAAAAGGATACTAGCTGCTCTGGTAGGTACCCTACTTCTTTTGCCCCTCGATTGCTCCATGCGCGCACACGGAGGCAATCCTGAATGTACGCACAGGTACCGAAGTCACCTCTGAATTGCCAATCTCTATACAATCCAATGGTTCGTTCTGCATTGACAGCTTCCAGCACCCTTGATACCACATGATTACGACTTCAATGCACGTTGTGGGCCTATTTACGGGGATTTAAGATTAGATCAATCGATTTATCCGCGCTTTACACTCCCAAACGGTGTTGTCTCCTACCCCATCCATTGTTCTTGCTTTTAGCCGATGGTCCATGATTTGCTTTCGAGCATCTAATAGCAAGATTTTGCCAAGGTTTATCGAATGTATAGATCACTTCACGTCTTAAAAACCCCATCATACGTACATCAAAGAAGCCGCTAGTAAACATCTTGCTTGCCGCGTTGTGTTCACGGAACCTTTTTGGTTTGTAGGTCCAAGTCGGTCTCATTATTGCCTATCCTCACCTTCATATCTGATTGTCCCATGCACTGCCCGAGGATTCGCTGAACATGCTGATTCAATGGGTTTCATTATACCCCAAAATGGCTTCAAAGCTTCCCGTTGTCAGCGTCGCGTCCCACGCACACTTTGAAAACTGGATTGCGCAGACTGTGTCCGGGTCAAAGTTCCGAGAAGATTGGCCTGATGAGGCATGTACTCAACCATAAGCTTGGTGCGGTGTGTAACTAATCTGATCCTGCTGTTGATGGTGCAGGATGCTGTGCTGGTATGCGAAAGCAGGGTGAAGGGTTGGCCAAGGGTTGAGAGATGACGGCACAGATCCTGCCTTTGTCTTCTTAGTGAACGCCCTTTTCACGCCGTCACTCAAATTGAGTCTTATAGAGGGCTCGTCGCCTTGAAAGATCATTAATCCCTGCGCACCTTAGCTATGGAATCAAACCAGACGCCGGATAGGATTCGCCCTCGGGCCAAACGCACAAAGGTATCGGACACATCACCACCTGATAGTGATTATGCCGCAGAAGACCCAAATAGTAGCTCGCCATTGCAGCGAAAAACTAAACCGGCGACGTCGTTGTCGTCGTCTAACTCCGTTGAGTATAATTCTATTGTCGTTTGGTTAGCATGGACTTACCGCCTTTACATGCCAGAGAAAGGCATCGAGGTCCACGCCCGTGGCGCCTATGGTCATATATGAGGATGATATAGGCGCACCGCAGGTTGGTTCCCCTCACGAGCCGCTATACCGTATACAGATCTCCTTCTAACGAGGAATGTAGGCGTTTCTCGCAACACCCACCTCGCATGTGGCGCTGCCTAACGACCAAGAAGATACCCCAGAGAACAGGCCACCGGGCTCTGGACGCAGTAAAATGCAGAAGGAGCTTGCTATGATCGCATCCCCTGACAAGGATAAGTGCATTATCACCGGAACACGCTCTAGCATGGCGGTCGAGGGAGCACACTTGTTGGGCCATAAGCATGCAAAGACCAAAAGCGATATCGTGAGTGATATGGCGCTCACTTACACTGCGAAATTTTGATAACCATGATGCACGCAGGACAAGATTGATAAAGCTTGGGGAGGGAGGAATCCGTTTGACAGCCGGTTTAATATGTTCTTAGGTGAGTGTGGCCTTTTCTGACTTCAATATTTCATTCCTGACGGGCATGAAAAGTCGATGTTTCTTACCATAAGCGGTTCGATGCGCGCCACTGGGAATGGATGCTGGTTCCAGCACCCGGTGTCATACGAGAGCTGAAGAAGCTGACGCAGGAACGTTTCGGTGAGGACTGGAGACGCTTTACACTAATAGAAAGGTACTGACCAGATTTCAGGGGTGGATGGCAAGGCCATTCTGACAGACAAATCTGTCAGCATAAACAAGGTAAGTTGAGGGCCCGATCAGCAATAGTATCGTATATCCTGACTCTGACCATTAATTCCGTTAGGCCTATCGGTTTAAGCATTCGACTTATTACTTTGTTTCGCGAACGAGGATTACATGTGGTATCACGAGATGGGACGCCGGAGATTCTGATGACTTTGTCGTGAATGACGCTTTACGCGAATTCGCTGGCAGGTATGACTCGGAGGATGAAACCACTTCCTTGAAGGATACGGTCCTGATTACAGAGAGGGAGGTCGATGATGAGGATGGTGCCCAGGAGACTGCTGACTTGGATGCTGTTGAAGGTAGCGGTATTTTTAGCGGTTCACCTCTTAATGAGCTCGACGTTGGGTTTGGAACTGGAGAGACTGCCGCTGCCTCGAAGGCCGATCCGGAGGCCGATCCGGAGGCCGAGTACCCGAAGCTGGTTGGCACGTACGTTCACCCTTTCAAGGAACTGGGTCCAATCGAGAGCCATGTCTCGCCGCAGTTCGTGGTATTTGATGCCATGAGCAAGTATCTGTCGCTGGGAGAGTGGGAAAGAATGAAGCTATGCGCCAACCTGGGGCAGATATTAGAGATGAACAATGAGGGTAACAAGCACACCGCAGACGAAATGTTTGAGGATATGCAGGGTATGTTTCTTAGGTCTTGGGATTTGGACCAATTCAAATTAAAGCCGACGGCCGAGCGCTGAGCGCCAAGGCCTGAAGCTCGAAGACGAGAGGATGGAGCTCACATATTTACAACAGTACTAGTCTATTTCTAGTAGTATTTTTGTTGACTTCGATTGATTGAAGGCAACCGTTGTAGCCAACTGGTCTTTGTCGAAAAAACATGCTGAATATGAATATGGTGAGATATCGGACGAAAAATATACAAGAGTAGTCAGTGAACGAGGACTATGAGACTACTAAGGGGGAATCGCTCCCATGTTAGAAGAAAACTTTCGATGCGGTAGTAGGTAAGTAGATGTGGTGTTCAGCAGCAGCCCAATCGTTGCTCGTGAACGAGCTGACGGGTCTACAAACACCTTTCTGACGATACCAAGTCGGACGCCAGAAGCGCCAAGCGTCCGGGGGCGGTGGGGAGAAACCCGTTCCTGCTTCCGCGCGATAATCCAAAACCTGGTCATCGTTAACAACCGTCGGTTCCCAGCCACTGCATTTAGCATCATGCTGGGCCTGAATGGACCAAAGACGCAGATCACTGATTGACAACGTGGAGTTGACATGTGGGTAAGGGTTACATTCGAGAAGGGGGCTGTCCGAGACTGAGGCAAAATCGATGAATCCGAAATACAAAGGTTGAAGCCGTCGAGATGAACGATCGAGACGCCGAAAGGTACGAGGCATTTGGCGTTTCGTCCATCTCCACTCCGTGTCGAGGAGGCTATCCACCGCCCTAATGGCGAGGATGAATGGCGTCCGGTCTGTTGGCGGACCGTACAGTGTGTAAAACGCATCTAACGCACGCTTCACATCTATCGAGTCCCACCCACAAGTTTTTTCCGCCTTGTGGGAGGCGTCGTACATCACAAAATGTGGTCGCACATGACTCGAAATGGGACCCAACGTTGCGAACGGATATGTGTGAGCGGTGCGAGTGCCGTGCGACGACTCAGTGGTGATGATTTCGTGAATGAGAGATGATCGGGGGACGAAATAGTAATTAAAGACGTTTTGACATCGCAGCCACTACCAGAAGAAGACGGTCAGCCAATACGCACTAACAAGTGACGCCGTACCTTGTTCAGTTTGACACGGCCCGCGGCAGTCCGCCTTTTAGCCAATGCCGCCAATGTCTGGATTGTATCATAGTCTGGAAGCAGGAGCCACTGTTCGTCATCAAAACGTTTCTTCCACTCTGCGCTGACTACCTCTGTCATTAGCATGATAAAGCCTACGCTTCGGGTTAAAAAGCACTCACCAAAGAAGGTATTATGAGGACTCGCAACGTCCAGACGACGCCATCCCATTCCCCATGCCCACTCAAGCTGCGTAAGCTAGTGACGTGTTTCTTGATAAGTACATTTTGGTAGGGAAGGCATACACGAGACTCAAGCGGGCACTCACCATTTTATCACCTGTGTCCATTGGAAGGAAATGGAGAGTCTCCACGCCAGTCCTCCGACGAGTGATTGCACACCGCCCTCTATTTGGGTCTATTTTCTTCGCTTTTTGGAGCTTGATGTGGGGTTTGGCGCGTCGGCGACCGGTACGCGAATCGATGGATGCACGTTTGTAGGGTGACTGGGCGTGCTTGCCGTCGTAAAATTCATCTCCAGACGTCGCCGAGTCCGAGCATGAATGGACCTCACAGCGTGCGAGATGCTGCGGTTGATTGGAATTGGGGAAGCCACCCATTGTGAAGATGCGAGGACGTCGTGGCGTATGTTATGAGCTTTAGGCTGAGACTGACGGTTCAACGTCAACGACGCGACGCGTACAAAGTCACACATCACGCGTTATTCCGTCACACCTAACTGTTCAACACCTCCTATCGTGTGACACGCGCGTTCAGCCTCCCGGATGAACAACCTTACATCCGGGCCGGCGCCGTCACTCAGGACATTTTTTGCTTCAACCTCTATTCAAGTGTTCTCTTACAACCGGCTCTATTCCTTCCCATACGTTCTGAGTCGTGGGCGGAGTGTCAACACATGACACACCCGGGCCGCACTCGAGTCTCGAACACTCACGTCCAAGCTCAAGCGCTCATATCAGGGTCTACTGACTAGGTTACAAGAACGTACGCGCATCGCGAACCTTCCATAGAAGCTGAGGATGTATCACGTCCTTCGCCCTTCGCCACCCTAGCAGTTTGAGCCTCGATCTTCAGACTAACGCAGAACATGTTGTCCTATCTCATCTGGCAATACCGCTGATTTGGTTACATTCATCAGACTTCATGTTGTGAGACGCACGCTGGCCTTTGTATTGGATCGCGATGACCCTCGACAATGAAGGAATTCTCTTGTGACTGTCCCGCTGGTGTCCAGTCGCTCAGTGCTCTGCCTATAGCGCTTGAATGTCAATGTTTTCATCCTCGTGCTCTCGTAATAGGAATTAAGAATTGTGCTGCATAATGTTCGTTGACGCTGGAGAAGGCACTGGCGAGTAAATTCCATCTTACGCCGCTCAGCACCCATTGATGCTTATAAGGAGCATGGAGGTATTTGACACCATCACCACAAGGCCACCATGTCGCTCATCCATGTAGCTTCTTTCAACGGCTCTTCCGTAGCCAATCCTGCTTTATTCTCCATCTCGATCCCTTTTCAGCTGGAGCACTACACGCTCTGGAACATCATCTCGAGCTCAGGCTTGACTATCATCGCATGCGTCTATACGGCAATTCACCCCAACGTACCTAGTCCGTACGAGCCATGGTATTTGGTGTCCTTCCATCGCCTTGTCACTATCGTCTTTGGCCTTATCTCTCCCGAGCTGGTCGCCATATGGGCTATGCGTCAGTGGACTAGTTCTTATTTTTTTTCAGAACAAATGCGATGGTTCTTGGAAGGGCGAAAGGAGGAAGGTGCGCATTGATTTTACATGTCGTGGCCCTAAACTTATAGTTTGCTCAGAATGGCTGAAGCTCCCACCGCTGCCTATTGTAATACTCTGTCATTTAAGAGGTATTATTTCCCCATCATATCATAATCCCAAGAGTATCAACTAATCATATAGCTCTTCGACCGATCTTAGGGATGTACTGTTCTTCGTGCAAAAAGAAGCAAGGAACTTCCCTAATTATGCGCTCTCTATCCTTCGTGAAAGGGATATTTAAAATGAAGGCCCTGCCGGAGTCTTCAGAGAACACCACCAAGGCTCCGCTCTTAAGCAGCTATATGTCCCTAATCGTATCTCCTCTACTAAGACTATGGAGATGGGTTGTAGACCTTAATGAGAAGTCAGACATTCAAGGAGAAGAAGGTAAGGATGATTCGTTTTCCATGTGAAACAGTTTCTTACCTACTTCAGACGAAAACTGAACGCTTACGCATAGCTACTTTGCCAATATGGGCGGCTTCATGGTTTATTACAAAGATGAGCCATGGTCAACCACCACTCCTCGAAATCTTCTTCGACAGATTCATGCTGGAATCCTTGACATGCCGCGCATCACTGTGGAAGAAATTGATGACTGCAGCAAAGCACTGTGAACCCGGACATACCTGAATATCATGAGCACAAATCGTGTGCAAAATCTGTGATTATCATTCATTATGTATATAGTATCAATGGGATTTTGTCATGACAATCAGGTCCTTGCCCGAAAACGAATCATGTACATTTTTGTACGATTCCATTGTCCGAATCACCCTACATGTACCTGATTTTTTTTGGCAGAAAGGCAAGACCGCGGTAAAATAAGTGGTTTGCATTGAAAACAAGGCAGTTATCAACATTGGGAACGTGCAAAAATCAGGAAAAACACAATTCTATTAATGAACTATGTAATGCATAAATAGCTACTGGATCTCCGCCATTGCACCCGATCAGACGATCTTGGCCGCTTTCCTCGGCGGCGCCGGGGGGCCCTCATCGTCGTCGGAAGAATCAGTATAAAAAAGATCATGATGCTTACGGACACATTTATTCTTGGGCGCGGAATCGACACTATCAACACTGTGTCCCAGAGATTGTTGGAGTGGGCTGGGTGATTGGTCGTGTAAGTGCCAACAATTACGTTAATGTCCTTAAACGACGTACCATATATCTCAGTGTCGAGCGACAACAAATCCCTATCGCAACTTCTATGACGCCGGCACCGCGACCCTCAGCATCCAGTCTGTCTCCCCGAGCTGTTCGATGTGCACAGGAGCACCGTGTCAGCAGAGTCGTTGCACATGCTCGCGTTCGCAGAGTCGACATAGATCTCGAAGCCCTTCTTCGAAGTAGCACCGACGCCTTCGGCGACGAGGACGAGTCAAGTCTCGAGGCCGGCTCGCGCATGGGGATCTCGAGTCCGGCTAGGTCGAGGCGCAATACGTGCACGGCGAAGGGGAACGCGGAGGCAGTGGTGGCGATGGTTGCTGCTGCTGCCGCCGCCGCGTCGGACACTGATTCGCACCGCTGTGCAACGTCCGAAAAGTCGCCATTGATGTTCGTGTGGCTGTGGGTGCAGCCGAGCGTGCAATTTTCCTTGCCGCGTCTGGTGGCAGCGCTAGTGGCAGCGTCTATGCCGATGGCGAGCTTGGACTTGGATGCGCACTTCAGCACGAGCTTCTTCTGCGCGCCGCTTTCCTTGGGCGCTAGGACGGAAATAGCGGGCAGTGGGGGCAGTTCAGCCCATGGCGAGGCAGCACTCATGTTCTGAGAAGTGTTGGTGGTGGAAAAGGAGGCACTGGGGTTGAGGACGTGGCAGCTACGAGGTGAATGTGGGAACGGCGGGGTGGGGCGTCATCTGTAGGGGATGTCAGCATGGGGAAGGACCAGTGAGGATATGTATAAGTATAGCGCACATGCGTGACATTGCTGCCGTACCCGTGCAGTGTTCCGCCCGCGTTGACGAGCACAAAGTCCTCCACGCCGAGCATGCGATTGATCCCGGAGCCATGCAGGAGCGCAGCATTCTCTATGGACATGATTGTGCAAACCAGCTGACGTTTTCAGAGCCATCAACACTCATGAAGGAAGATGAGCAGCAGGAGCAGAGGAAGAGGAAGAATGAAGAGGAATGACAGACTTACCACCAAACAATGTGAGCAAAAACCTCTCCCTGAGCCCGGCAGCCGATGTCGAATCTGTGGCCCTTGACAGAGTTGCTGGTTGTGCAATGAGCGAGGTCGTCGTCTTCCGGCCAGTCCCTGTCCACGTTCTGCACGTGCAGGCCTTTCGAGCCCCCTGTACGATGGAGCTTTAGTAGAAGTGTTCTGGAAGCAGCCTGGGTTAAGAGCGAGGGCTGGGGAGGTGCTAACCTTGAGGGCAGAAAGGGCGCTGGACCCGAACCTGAGCAGGTGGCATACACACCTGGCGGTCTGGAGCATGAACTCCACAAAGGAGACATAGTCGATCAATGTGGTGAGTTTGCGTTGCCCATGACCGAAATCGTGGTGGTGGTGGATGGATGTGTCTAGATGCGTGCTACTCACGCTAAGTCTTTGCGCCCAGCCACATAAAGGTAAGAGTTCACACGCCATTACGCCGGAAAACCAAATGAAACTCATGCTATAATGCAGTGATTTTCACTTGATGTCGGCGACCCGCATTCATGATCACGACCCCAGCAAGTCAATGACATTCTATATTTCAAGTCAAAGTACATAGTTTTGTACATCAGGTACACAATGGTGATGTACATGACTTTGAAATCAGGTCAAGAACGTATGATTAAATAAAATCAGATGCCAGGTACCTTGTGCATACCTGAAAATCAGGTATATATGTTTTTGCAGTGAAGGCGACTTGCTCTCAAAGGGTCTAGTTATTGTTCAGGTTGGCTGGTTCATTATCACAGCATCGCGTTACATTCTTGGTCTCGCTATATCCCAACTGGAGATCGGAACATTCGCTTTCGCGGTCCTTTTCTTTCGGGTGTGCATCTTTTGGCTAGTAAAGCCACTTGATGTGCGTCATCCTAGACGACTCTACTGGAAAGGGGTTGACCCTCCGGACGAAGAGAAACTTAAAGACATTTTTCAAGTGTGAGCTAATATTGAGCTTATTCATCGAAGACACAATACTGATATACTATATATCCTTATACCGTAGCGATCGCGACCAGCGATGGCAAGGAGTACTTTCCATTTGTTGGAAATATCATCCGCCCCATGGTAGAACCTAACTACACAGGAAACAGGCGCATGAAAATCGATTGCTATGGCGGGGAAGATATTGACCACGACGATGCCGAGCACCCCCTTCTTCTAATTGCCGGCCTGTTCGTCGCCCTCACATTTGCTAGCCTGCATGCCCTCGCGTGGTCGTTCGATCTCCCCACGCATGTAGAGCTTGTAGCGTGGCGCGTCAGCACCTGCGTGATGCTTGGTGTTCCGCTGCCTTTCCATGTCTGCGTGAAGCCGGATCTTCAAACGAAGGTTCTGAAGATATCTAACCATGCATGTCATGCCATCATGTTCCTCATAGTAGCTGGTTTACTTGGCATGGCATATGTCTTTGCGAGACTCACCCTCCTGGGGATTATGCTCATCTCACTTCGAGCTCTTCCTTCCAGTACATACGTAGCAATGGCCTGGACGGAGATGATTCCACATTTCAGCTGACGGATTCCAAGGACTGGCCAAGTACTAGTCACTTGTATTTTACATGTATATGTTTTCTCCCTTTATGTGTTTGAGACTAAATTTCGTGCAACATTATACACGCCCAGAAACTTTGCAATATGCACTACACCAAGCTAAAGACCAGTTTCGTCAGCGTAGGTGACACATATAGGGGCTACTCCCATTGTGTCGAGGCCGGAAATTGCCGAAGCGGAATGCATCGTGCCTCACATGCACATCCCACCACGCTCGGAACCCAGAATGCTGTAGACCATTCGCCCTCGACCTGGAGCTTACTGGCTACTGGAAGGACCTCCTTCTTCATCTCCAGCTTTCTTCTTTCGGAGAACTTCGCCTTCCGTAACATCTGGCGCAGACGCGAGTGGTAATCCCGATGCATAGCATTTGTAAGTTTATATGCTTTGCAGCGCTTGTTAGTCATGCCGGAGTCACAGCGACGGCCGGCTTACGCGTTTCTTTTTAACAGCCTTAGAAATGTTGGAGTAGGAAGAAGGTATATAAGAAGTGTGCTGAAGGAGGCCGACCTCCCTCGATATCATTCTTCAGAACAAGCTTTACCATGACCTCTTCTTCAGCTTCACCAACATTATCACGACAGGTACGTTGCTTCCTTCCGTCGGATATTACGGTAAGATTAATCTTCATGCTGCCAGGACTCCTTGGAAAGCTTCATGATGGTGAGTGTTCCGGAACTACACCAAATTGTAACGACCAAGTACTGACTCTGTTCGGAAAGCGTCCCGCAGCAATCTCGCAAAGACACCATAACAACCCGGCTGGTGGGAGTCGCTTCTGGGATGATAGCGATGGCTCGGATACTGATTCGGTACGTAGCTAGTCCCTCTGGCTTGATTGGCAACTACATAATGTATACCTCAGATAAATCCGACCCCCAACCCTCCACCACGTCGTACGGCATCTCACAGCAGCCGCTCGGCGCGGTCGACACGCCGACGTTTCCGCTGGTCACAGCTTTTCCGGCGTCGACCAAGAACGCCCAAGCGTTCCGAACTAGCGACCGGAGAAGCGAAGCCCTCATTAAGCAAGATTGCCTCCCGTTGGCATAGATGAACCATCGCATCGGATTCTCGTAGTTAAAAGCACGTCTACCCCGTGCTCCTTAACGACACTTGTACCATCGCATCCCTAACTTGCATTTTCTCGATGTTGGTCACTACATGCATAGACCAAATTGCCAATTGTTGTCATGTTCCGAGGATAACAGCTGTCAATGATATTTTGATGAGCTATTCCTGGACTTTGCTATATACACAGATATCTCCGATCATACGATAACCGCTCTTAATCCATTGCATAGCACTAGTATCACTACCTATTATACCAACATACTTCTCTTCCTATAGACTTCTCATTGGGTTGGGCTAGTACCACTGAGGTCGCTTTTTGTGGGTCCATATAGATGCCCTTGTATGATAGTACTTAGGCCCCGACCGCAAAGGATTACCCACTGTCCCAGCCACCGAGCCTTGGCCGAGATAGTAGGGCATCGTCGCGTATCGGGGTAGCAACATGGGATGCGATGACAGGTTAAGTGCGATACGCGATCGAAGGTAAAGGCATTGGGAATGCTCGGAATCGACTGGTTGTTACTTCTCACATACGCACATGATTTCTTGCTCAATCAACTACTTCTACTATGGAATCATACGCATTGCAACTTCATCTAACCATAAGTAGTCGTAATCATACATGCAAGGCTATGTCGAGACATGAGCGTTCATTGTAGCGCTGTTCACGGGTGCTCTAGTAACCAACCACCATCAATCGCCAAAGTCTAACAAGATTTGTTAGTCACGATAGAAGTAGGAACGCATCGTATCCGCACCTGTCCGAAAAGATACTGGTTCACGGCGAACATGATCGCGGCTTGAGCGATGTCCTCCTCGCGTCCGGCACGCCCTGCAGGAACCTGGTTTCTTTTCATTCTGGCAGACTCTTTCGGTATGTCTGACTTGTTGCCTTGATTGGATTCACCAGCTAACAATTATAAACGCGTAGCTCGGTCAACGGAGGTTAGTGAGAACGCACTGGTCATCTCGGAAGGGAAAAGTCCGGGAGCAATGTTGTTTACTCGGATCTGGACAGCGCTTCTCTTGAACTCCTGCGCGAGGAGATTAGACAACTGTATGGTGGCAGCCTTCGATGTGGTGTAGTGAAAGCGCTTCTGAGCGAGTTGAGTCACTATACAAATAAGATCAGGGTGCGAAAGAGCAAAGACAAGTGGATGAGATGGTGCGTACGTCCAGCGTTAGACGAGATGTTAATCACCGTAGATCTGTACTCGTTTCCTCCTTTGTCCCTCGTGGCAGCGCTGAGCAGCGGAATGAAGGCAGCTGTCACAAAGAAGTAGCTCGTAACATTCGTCCGGTATACCTGCTCCCACTCCTCCATCTCCTGGCTGAAGAGCTCCTGAGATAGCTCTTTGGCAGAGATATCACCTTTGTCGGTATCCAGTTCGTCGCCTGCATAGCCCGCGTTGTTGACGAGAACATCTACGTGGTCCTCGTGTTTCCCGATCTCGTTGACGAGGTGCTGGACGGACTCCTTAGATGTGACGTCGCACGCGACGGGAATGATCGCGCCCTCGGGATGGTTGAGGGAAGAACCCCATCTTTGGGCGGCCTGGTCCAAAGTGTCTTGTCGTCGAGAGGTCATATATACCCTCGCTCCGTTGTGAGCGAACGCTTGAGCTATCATGAGGCCGATACCTGTACCGCCGCCAGTTACGACACAGACCATGCCCTCCACACTGAAGAGGTTAGAGAGGGTGAACTTAGCGTTTTCGGACATAGCGGGAAGAGAAGTAAGAGGACAGGATGCAGCTATCGTCTTTCTCGAAACTGAGGGCTTATAAGTCTTGCAACCAGTTAGGATGTGTTTCAAGTCGTAACACGCAAAGGTGCCCAGGCTGGTCATGATTCAAATGTTGGTCACGATTGAAATCCGTCTCAGAGCGCATGGTAGGGTTGTGAGCTGGGGTCGCTCCCCAGCAATAAGATTGTATGTTAGTCGTGCAACACTGATAGATGAGGTATAGACGTAATGTGTTAGAGCTGGCCAAAGGATCATGGGACTTCCTCTACTGCCAACAGTAGCTCGCTCAACATCGCATAATCGGGCTGGCCATCAAACTGCGTGTGAATAAGCGAACTATAACGACTTAATATCACGAAATGGATACGAACTTGAGCGAGGTAGCATGCTCGGTAACCCGCTTGCGGCCTTTGGGGAGAGTGGGACCCAGCTTCGACGGATCGAACTTCTGTTTGAACTTAAGATGATCATGTCGAGATAAGTGCACTGGTTGGACCGCGAGAGTTCGCCGTGTATTATGGGGGTTAGGGAGTAGGCGAGCGAAATCATGTCATCTCTGGGGATATTTCCTGCGAGAAGACGAACGTTGGATTCAATAGCTTTACAATAGTGAAAAGTATTACGCACCAATGCCCATGTATATGTTAAAGTCCATGAACTCGCTGCTCCCTGCCGCTCCGTATGGAGATCTGTTCTGATCCAGGTAGTCGCCATCATCGAGAACGTATGGTGCCGCATGTCCGAAGTCAACCAGAACGAAGTCGAGGTCTAGGTGGCCTGACCCGTGCTGCTGCGTGAGTGTGGATGGAGGCCGAGTGCGCAACAGGATGTTGCTGGGTTTGATGTATCCGTGGACCAAGCTCTTGTCGTGGACGATTTGAAGACTCAGGACCTACCTCCACCGCTGATCGGAATGAGGAGCGTATGTTATTGGGTGTAAACTCACATACAAGCTTCCGCCCGGTAACATACACCTCACTCATAATGAACGATCTTGTTCGCGTACTCCTCCAGGCTTCGCTCGCACTTCTCAAGAACGAAATATCCGTGCTTCCCGTCGAGAATGTTGAATGTTGCAAGGCAATTTGCAACGTCGATGATGTTCTTTGGACGCTCGTATGCTGTGGCCTCCGCTGAGTGCGCTTGAGGCCGCATTCGAGCTTAAGCAAGCTGCGCAGCGCCTTTGGGTTCAAAGGCTAGCGACTGGGCTCCTAAAGGACGTCAATCCGAGGTGGATAGCCAAACAGCACAGACGCGAACATGGATGGTGGGATACTGACATTGAATGCTTGAGAGAATCCGTTGGCGTTGACGGTGCGGTTCGGAGATCGGAAATAGCCGGTTCGGGATAAAGCTCCGAAGAAAGGACAACAATGACGCAATGGTTAACATTACGAAGCTGCTCTTTGTTGACCACCCTGCCCATCCTCTCCTCTTGCGTCCATTGCCCAACTAACCATCGTTGCCCGTTGTTACTATGCAAAAGGTAAGCATGGAGATTCATAATTGTTAGCCCTACTCAACTCGACATTGCCATGGACAGGTTGTGTGCCAGAATGAAGGTATGTCTCAGACCACTTTACGTTCAACGTCGGGCCATTTACACTCCTCCTTCAACTATCTTACTGCTTTCTTGAACGAAAATGCTTGGGTTACATCTTCTCGAAACTCTGAAACGGTCCTAGCCTGTGCGCTACAAGGGTGCCTCGGGAAGAACACGTACTCGCCCGAGAAGTGCGACGAACAGATGCGAAGGCTTTACTTGTGCTGCCAGCGGATGTACGACTCGAATTCGAACGCCGATTCACATCCGTGTCCTATGCCGAGCGTTGTCGACCGTTGGCTAAAGTCGCATCCGCCACAGGGCCAGAAGTCTTCGGAAATCAGCGGGTGAATCGAGAATGTTGAGAGGTACGTCATTACTCGCTACCAACTAGTACCTTTGAAGCGAAGCTGAAGCCCTGTCATCGACCACTAGGCGTAACCTCGTATAGAGATTACTGACTAGACCATGAACATATGAGCCACATTCGAGACCTTCTACTGTAGGTATGCGCTGAAATGTGTAGCGATCCACTACGTGTCACATCTCAGAGCCTTCCAGTAGGCAAATTATCTGCCATTTCCTCGCCTATTTACTTACGTTGCGGCCCTTCAACTGGTCGAGGACGCCCCTTCAACGTCTACACCCGCATCAACCTCCTTCTTGGCTTGCACGACACTCCTTTCGTCGCTCATTCTGGCTCTACTCCGCCATGCCGTAGGTTCCCGTTTTCATCAATCGTTACTACGAATTGGTCGCGTGGTTAGTCTCGAGTAGTCAAATAAGGTGAGATGTCTTGTTGCGAAATTTATGATTCCGTTCCGGGAAGTAGCTGAACCGACGTGTTCTCGCCATCGACGACGTCACCGCTTGAGAGACTTTCTTGATGAATGTTTCATCCGTTCGCGGCCTTGATGAAATGCCATAGTTCGCCTACTCTACACACATTTTTTGACGAAGTCGGGAAGACGCCCCCGATTTTAGTCCCGCCATGGTGTCTTTGCGATTGAGCGCTCGTTTACGTATGCGGGCACACCGAGGACAGGGGCAAGTCGCAAACTCGGAGTAACAACTGCTGGGGGAACTATTTTACATCCACCGGGTCATGGTGAGGTTTCTAGGTAAAGTTACGAGGAACGCGTGCTTTATGAGCTGCAGACATAGCCATAAACTAAGTGTCAGAGCCCTGGTAAGGGTGGTACTCTCGGAATAATCTGTAAAGGCTATGTGACGTGCAACTTGGGTAGACTTGGGCCTCAGGAGGTTGATGTGAAGGGGAAATACTAGGCAGCTTTGCCACGCGGGCTCGGGAACCCGTTGATCGATTGATCAATCACCGGGTACATCTCTCCGACTTTACCTCCGACGTCAGTTCCGACGTCTTGCCCGCAAATTCCCTGGCGCCTGTTAGAAGCCAGCCACGTATAACTAGTGCCAAGGTATGTTCATGGGGCGATACACTCTAATATCATTGCATTGAAAGCACCCGTGACGACCAAGGCTGTTAAAGACTCAATTGCAGACAATAGCCATGCGCGCGCAATGAGCACGCCTGCGCGAGCGCATCATGACCTGTCGGCCACGTCCACGACGCTCTCGATTCAAGGTAGAATCCGCATAAATACAAGACATCGAGGATGTACTCTCATTGTCAACTCCTTAGTTTCAACTGCTCTTCTAACATCATGCTCTCTTTCGCCGTCGCCGTTCTCGCTCTCGCCAGCGCTGTCATTGCTGCTCCCACTGATGAGACGCATGCCATTATTGTGCGCATTCTCCTCTGACTACCTTGCGAAATGAGCCTCACATGATCTCGTCTTTTCTACTCTTTAGCTCAACAACAACTGTGGGACCGGAACTGCTCTCTGGAACCAAGCCAGCAGTGATTCCCCCCAGTCCTCCACCACCGCGCACGCCGCTGTCACTGGTGGTGAGGCGTGGCTGAACGACGGCAACTGCGGCATCCACGGCGAGAACTGCGCCGCTGTCGAGTTCACCCTTGACAACGGCAGCGTGACGATCGCCGACATCAGCCTCGCGGGTTCTCATGCCAACTAGTGCGTAGCGTTTGACGTCGTCTCTGGTAGAATGTCGGCGTCTGATGCAGGCACGACAGCACCCATCCCATTAGCTTCAAATTCAGCCAGCCCTGCACCCAGACGCTGAGCTGTTCGTCTGCTGACTGCAAGGACGCCATTCACGATCCTACGGCCAACGGTCCCTACGCGACTTGTGACCAAGCCAATGCTGGGGTAAGTTTTCTCCTGAGCTTTATTCAGGGCGTTGTGCTAACACCCACGACAAGATCGAGATCACCTTCTGCTGAACGCGGAAGCATGAATAGAGATTAGTGTACAGGATCCTCATATGTTCTGATATGGTCCTGGACCGTTCTACACGCACACTTTTTATTCCATATTTCTTTGACAGGAGGGACGTTGCCAAAAATGCTGGAACTTATATATACACTTTGAAACAGTAACTCTAGGTTCAGACGTGTGTGGAATGAGTGGCCCACCTCCTGCAATTATGACGTCCTCATCGGGAGACAAGAACAGGAAAAAGAGACCGTGAAGCAGCGTTGCCCTTGTACTTGCGTCTCCAATAGATGTGAATATTTTTATTGAGTACAAAAATGCCGAGAAAAATAGCCTTCGGGAATTGTCAAGTCAATAACTAGCACGTCCTGAACAAAACCATGGGCGTATGGGCATAGTTTGCTACTACTTTGCTGTGCATTCGCGTTCCTCTGGTTCAATGTGTTTTTCAAACTTCCCACGTAGCATTATCACAGCAAAGACTTTACGTAATTATCTGCGAGAAAAAATGAAGTAGGGCTGGAGAACATGTACTAATCGATTGAAGGATTCGATGGCACAGAATGGTAAGCATCGAAAAGTGCGCTAATGCGGTGTTTGATGCGCTCATCTTTCGACAACATATCCTCAAACCGCGCCTTCGCCAGCGCCTGCCCCGTACAGTTAATTTTATGCTCTAACTTCTCTTTCAAGACAAGCGAGGACGAGATGCTCTTCAGCCAATATGGATCCTAATAACAAGGCATATCATCGCTTCGCTCCGACAGGGGGGATGTCAGGCGTCGATGTATACCACATATACATATACTTTAGCACAGAAGAAGAATTAAACCTCGCTTGCAAAAGTTTATGCTTAATTAAGGTATTATCGGATCCTCCGAGGCTCACTGACGGTCACTAATCTCACAGTGAACGTACTGATACATACGTCGGGTATAGTACCATTGTATGCACGTGTTTAAAGTGTGTCGGGGGCGGATACTGGGCGGACCCGCGCCGCCCTGCTTAGATTCTTACAGCCTATGTACTACGAGAGGGAAAGAGGGGGAAGCCTAGTGAGGGTTTGGAACGCAGCGCGGGGGTGTTTAAATATCAAGCACAGAGTGCATGCTCAAAATAGTAAAATTGATATATCTAGAAAGAGTGGGGCGGCGTAATGAGTCACCCATTAGGAAACACGGAGGCGCAACAACCATTGAATATCGTTGAGCAGAAAAGAATGGTGGTGCAGCCATGACGCAAGGCTTGGGTGGGTCAGTGGAGAGACGACAACCGCAAGGATGTTGAGATTGTCGTCGCTAACATGGACAGTGGGGTAGTAAGAAGACATCAAACGTAATTGGGGCATGTTCGGGATAGAATATGGATGTCAGAGTTGGCTGAAGAGCCATGGGTTGAATAGACGGTGATTCGGTGAGAGATAGGGTTGAGACATGATGAGAACAAAATTGGAGCAAGGCAAACATGTACAATTAAAAGCCGAGGATGTACTTAATGATACGGAGAGATGTGTTAGGGCATAGAATGTAAGAGGATGGAGGAAGAGTTGAAGCTACCTCAGCCAGCGGAATCACGGTGGTGAACCTAAGGCAAACGTTCATCCCATATATAACATCCCAGTGATTTGTCGCCGCCAGAATCGTCAATATGGTGTCGAAATCATACTCCAGATAGTCATAGAGAATGTTTGCCAGCTCGACGCTCGGACGAGTACAACCAACGTGGAGGAGGCAATAGGAACATGCGTAGAGGAATGCCTCCGAAAAGCTAGTCTTTGGAGTATCGGGATCATCGAAGTCTCTGTCCTGTGTCTCCTCGTGCATGACTTGAAAGCAATAGCGAGTCAGATGTAGGTGTGGATGGGATACGTCGACCTCAAAGGAGATAATCTTCTCCGAGCTCTGCAGAAAGTCCCTAGCAGACGAGTGAAACGGCTGGACAAGATCAGGCGATCCTACCGGAGAGACGGAGATAAGAGCTGAGAAAGGGAGTAGGCACGTATGTACACGATCTCCAAAAAGCTGATCCATTTCTGGTACGGACAGTTGCTCGACGAGATGGAAACTGAGATAGAGATAGTACAGCCCCTTCTTACGAGTAGGTTCGTCGATGCCGTTGATGATGGATTCGTACAGGTGATGCACATCGCCCCAGACTCGTCTCACATGACCGCGCAGCATACCGCACACCAGGGGAAGGCGGCGGTGAGGCTTTTCTTGGTCGATTTGTCTAATTATAGTCGCTGCAAAAATAAAGCGGCCGTTTGATCGCTCCGATAGCATTGTGAGGTCCGCTTCTGAGGGCCACGGCCCTATGCGGGATGACGAGACGCCACGGGAGATGTATATCCGTTGGAAGGCATGTCGCAGAAATCGGGTGACATCTTCGCGCGATTCTCCGATGCGTTCAATTATTACATTGTCAATAATGTCGCCACTGCGCATGACTGCATCGATCGCGGGCCATGGCCTGCTAGAGATGATGATGTTTCGAATGGGGAGTCTCGAATTTCTGAGGAGACGAACGAGGAGGGAGACGAAAGGGTCGATGTGAAGCACACCTTTTGATGCACCTTCGTCAAGAGCATCGATGATGATGGACATACTCCGGCCTGCCCATGGAAATTTAAGAACCTCCAAAGTTCGAACGATGAGGTTTTCTAGCTGATCCGAATGGGACTTGGTAGGATCAAGAAGGGAAGGGTCGTTAGAAATGGCTTTCGTGATGGTTTCTCGGGCGATGTGATGACGTAGCCCTAGCTGATAAGCGAGTGTGGTGAAGACAAGGTCGAATGAACTACGTTGAGGAGTATTTCTCGAAAAGAAGAACGTGCCCGCAAGCAAACCCTCCTGACCGAGCTCATCTGCGAGGGTGTGCGCTACTGTCGACTTCCCAGACCCAGATTCTCCCACTATCCAAACAACATTCGAAGACTCTGAGTGAATTGTTGTTCGAAGGGATTAGAGCAAGTCCGTTCTAGTTCCCGGAAGACATTTTGAATGGGGCTGACGCTCGGCGGAGTCATAGATGGCCCCTTGGGCACACGCCTGAGCTAGCTTCTCCCAGGCGTCTTGTGTCCTCTGAGTTTGAGCATTCTGCATTGTGTCTAGCCACTAACGTGAGATAAATCGACCCAAGGGACGAGGACATACTTACTAGCTTGAAACTAGGTGGTGGTATGTAGTCGGTATGCAGTCAAGGTGAAGCTCGATCAGCATGCCCACCTCGTGTATGGAACGGATACGCCCGAGCCCCAGAACAACCTCACACTCGTGAGTCAATCAGGGATAGAGGTAAATGAAGCCCATCTGCTCGGAGAGTGATTGTTTATTGCTTTTGAAGTTTTGACAAGAAAAGCTAATGCTATCTTGTTATCACTGACAACAAGAGAGTCCTCAATGAACTCTCTCAGGGACAGCAAGCGCATTGTCTCGACGTTGGACTAGGGAGGTCGGACCGAGCCTCGAGGAAGGCACGATGCAGTAGTTTAGGGTCGACATGCGCAGCCGCGGGGTGCATCCAAGTATATAAAGTACATCTGATGGGAGTCAAAGTTCCTCCAGTGAAGGATCTGCTTTACATCCTCCGCACCAACCGCCCACCGGACGTGCACTGTCCAATGTGATAACACAAAGGCTGAGAGGATCATGTCGGACATCGGGCTTGTCCAAGAAATACTTTCAGCGAAAATCGAGCGAATTTTGAGGTGGAGAAGTCCTACCTTCTCTCTAATCGCGCACGCTTACTACTAGTAGCTTAAGCAATAAACGCATTTAAGTCCTTCGCTGTCGCCTCCACGGCCTCTATCATAGGCCAATGCCCCACGTCCTGCAGCGTCACCGCCTTCGCACCGGGAATTGTATCGCCGAGAAACGTGACCGTCGACTCGGGGCATGGCTTGTCCTCCGCGCCAGCCAGAATGAGCGTCGGGGCAACGATTAGCGCGTAGTCCGGGTCCCGTGCCTTGGTGATAGCCAGACAGGCAAGCGCGTACCCTGACAAGGAGGCGGAAAGCAAAGAGGCGCGCACTGTCTCCTTCGCAAGGGGCCGCTCGGCGAGGGATTTTCGGGACATGCCGATGGTGGATATGGCGTCTGCTGTCGCAGACATGCCGTTCATGCGCACGTTCTCGGCGCGAGCCTCGATGGCTTTCGTGGAGGCGTCGGTGAAGGATCTGATAATGGCGGGGCCGATGAGGACTTTGATGGGTGCTCATTAGGAACGAACACCGATATCAATCAACTAGGGAGACTCACCTAGCTTTTCAACTCTGTTGGCGTGCTTCACCACGAACGTCGCCGCGATCAGCTGCCAGAAGCACAAGGGTCGTCAAAGTCAGCCCGCGGCCTCCCGTCTATCCCGGATGGACCGGGCCGGATCGGGAAACTCACCGCACCCATCGAGTGCCCGACGATAACAGCGCTTTGGATCCCCGCGCTGTCCATGACGCTCGCAAGGCTGTCCGCGTACCCATTAATCGAGATATCGGTTGTCTGTAGTGGACTTAAACCATGCCCCTCGAGATCGAACACGAGCACAAGGCGCTGCTTCGCGAGCCCGGATACGTCGATCAGCGTACCCCAGTTTGTCGAGTTGCCACCAAGCCCGTGCACGAAGACGACGGGTGCTAGGTCGGAGGCAGTACCTGTGAGCTCGACGTAGAGCGATTTGCTGTCTTTGAGCGTTACTCGCGATTTGCTGGGTGCGTGGATGCTGAGCGTGCGTCGTTGGGGTACGTCGGTAAATGAGCAGGGATGTCTAGAGCGCTTGGACGTAGTACTCACGTTGACATTCGTCGTTTGGTCGCCAATGACACGGATGAAAGGGTTGGGACTCTTTGTATGTTTATGAGTTTCGGGTCTGTCTTGATCCTCCTTGTGCTGCTGAAAAAGCAGCCGTTCAGGCAAAGCGATGTATCCCCGCCTGTTCGCTATGTGGGCAATGCGTGATCGTGTGGTGTGAAATGCAACAGCAATCCCCGCCAGTCTGTTCATCAGCGTCAACTTTGGCCAGAGTTGGTCAGCACATTTACGTGGGCCTATAAATAGCGTAAGCGAAACTTACCTATAATTTCGACCATAGTGAGAGTAGCGTTGAATTGTGCATCACCATGCTTACTCAGGTGCAGAATCGCAAGCCAGGCCTATAACATACTCGATCAGCACATCGAAGTAGTAGCGCATAGAAATAAGTTAATTACCAACTATGTGTACACGTTGAACAGCGTCGTTGAGCGGGTAGTTGGCGGGTAGAACTCGAGCAACTGCCAGGGTGTAGAGAGACAAGACTCAGGCAGAGGGTGCAGTCGCAGCGACCTTCCGGCAGAAAGCGGGCGGAGTTTGCAATGCTTTTCAGACGCGCGCTCTTTGCCTTTGTTCTTTCGACATTGTTAGGTCTATGTCAACTCTCTGTCTCGCTTCTCTGGATAACCCACTGAAAACATTCTCAAGGCAATCAATCTGCATTATGCCTCACGTCTTAGAAAAGCAGAGCCACTCCTGTGCGCGCTAGAGGTGAAGCCAGTGCTGTTGTGGGTACACGAGGTTGCAACAAGGCCTGCTATATTGGGAGCACAATTGAGACAAAGATAAAGACTGTACCAGGGAACAAGGTGCGTTATTGTTCTTTCTGACTTCGACTACTCAACACAGCATCGCTTCCCCAGTTATCCGCACAGCAACACTACCACGTTCTTGGAAGGCAGGCCCGATGGACGTATAAATGTGGCGTCCTATGCCTTTCCTCCCTTGTGTCTTTCATCACAAGTGCCGCCCTTCGCTGCGACTTACGCTTTTCAACCACTCACAATGTCTCGTCTCTCCAAAGAAGGATCTATACCTTGCGAGAAGCCCAAGGCTCATCGCTCTTTCCTCGGGATGATACGCATGAGACGGCCTCAACAAGCTGATGTGCGTTTCTCACCTTCACCTAACGGACATACCCCCGTCTTATCCATCATCATTCACAGTACGCAGAGGAGTTAACAAGCGAACCTATTGATGATCCCAAGGCCGTAGAAGACGTGAAGGAGAACCACAATTGCGGTAGAACTTTCGTTCAAGAGGCGGACGCAATACACCCTTCTGCCCACCCCACCCCCAAGCGCCGCTCCTCAACCAAACCAACCCCCTCGCGCAAGGCCACCACAGACTCCACCACAAGCAGGGGAAGGCGCCAGCTTTGGCGGCGCCCCGTCGAAGACGCCACGTACGAGGCGCGCGTCGCATACTGGCGCGCGCGCAGCTCGCGCTCGAGCGTGCGCGAGGGGCGAAGCGAGTTTATTCCCGGAGACGGCGCGCCGCGGCGTCGTAGATTTGGCTTTCCTTCGGCTTTAGAGCGCATGTGGCGTCCTGCGATCCAAGAGCTGGAGTCTGACTATGAAACGGATGGCGAAGACAACGACGGGGATCGGGACACGGATGGAGACAGGCGGTCGGTTTCGCATGCAAGTGTCTCGTCCGACGGAGGGATAAAGGAATACTTGTTTTATTGTCTGTGCTTGCCCTCTTTTCATGGCAGGAGTTACCGCACGGGTTGAGAAGGTCACCATCACCAATAGTTACAATTATTGAGGGAGGACAGTGTACAGGTTTACAATGGACATTTGTCGTGTTTATTCGTTGCAGGGAGCGTGCGTCTCTGGAAAGGCGGATTAACAAACCAATGTATACTATATCTTTGTATCATTGGAGTTTCTGGAGCAGCAGCTACCATCTTGTCGAATGAGCTCGGAGCTAAAGGCAAGAAAGACGAACAGCAGCATATTTGCTAAATATGACTCGTAGACAGCATGAGGAACTTATGCATATGAAGTTTTGTAATACGACGATGTAAAGTATATATGCGGGATACCATGATCAGAAAAAAGTCATAACGTGCATGCGTGGGTATGAGCGTACAATGTCGTTGACGAGTACGTCCGTGTGTGAGCAATAAAAACATATGGGAAGAGTACGGGTGAGTAGAGTAATCAGCCAATCTATAGGCCAAAATAGAGAAACCAGATGACCAAGAAAAAAAGTCAAAGTCAAGATAGAAAAGAAATCACTCGATAAAGAGCACAAGAAAAAATAAAGCACGCCGATCATCCCCCAGGCATACTAAACCCCCCACCTGCACCCACCGGCTCCCAGTGCAGCACTGGCGGCGGCGGCGGCTGCATCTCCGCGGGCTTCGAGCCGGGCGTCACAGGCGCAGGCAGCGGCGCCCCGCCGACGTCGCCCCACCCGGACGTCGACGCCGGCGACGCCACGCGCCCTCGCGATGGTGTATTACCCTTCTTGTCTGGCCCGTATCCATTCTCATATCCATACCCGTTCCCCTGTCCATTTCCATACCCGTTTCCCTGTCCATTTCCATACCCGTTTCCATACCCGTGCCCATTTCCGTGCCCATTCGCATGCCCATGCCCATTCGCACGTCCAGACCTAGGCGGCGACGGAGACTTCGCCTTCACCTTCGCAATCGTAGCAGCAGGCACGAACGGCGGCGGCAGCGGCAGCGTCGGCGCTGGAGGCGGGGGTTGGGGCGCGGGAGACACAACGCGGCTCACGAGCGGCATCGACCCGCCCGAGGGCGACGAGCGGGCGTGCAGGACCGGCGGGGGCGGTATATATCCCGCTTCACCTCCTCCTGCACCCGCGCCGACCCCCACTCCTGCGCCGAGCGCCTCCGCAGTGCCGATCGTAACGTCCCCGCCGGGCGTAGACATGACGTGCGGCGGCGAGCCGGCGAGCATGTATACAGGCTGGGGCTGGTATACGCCTGGCGGCGGGGGGTACGGCTGGTACGACGGGGGCGCGGGCTGTGTAGCGGGCTGGTGGGTTCGCTCTTGCCCTTGAGGATGGGCTTGAGGCTGGCCTAAGACTTGAGATTGAGCTTGAACTTGCGAATGAGCCTGAACGTGCTGGTGAACGCCATAATGATGCCCACGGTCATAATCACGGCCATGATGTTGGTGCTCATACTGCCCCGGAGCCTGAACCTGCGCACCACCCGGCCCCAACGCAGGAACAGGCCCACCCGCAGGCGGCGGCGGCGGCTGCGTCGGCTGAAACCCAGGCGGCAGCCCCGTGGGGTACACGAACAGCGGCTGCCCGACGTACGCGCGCGCGTAGCCCGCCGGCGGACGCGGGTACCCGTGCTCGTCGACGTCGTATGCGCCTGTCGTCGGGCGCGTGTTCGTCCCCGTCCCCGTCCCCGTGCCTGTGCCTGTGCCTGTGCCCGTGCGGGTGTGCGTGGTGGTGGTGGTGCCGGTGCCGGTGCCGGTGGGCGAGGTCGAGCGCGACTGCGAATGCGAGCGGTGGGATCGGTGCGTGCGGTGCGAGCGTGAATGCGAGCTGTGCGATTGATGCGAGTGCGAATGTGAATGCGAAGTTGACGAATGCGTGTGCGACGAGTGTGACTGCGACTGCGGCGAGTGCGAGCGTGCCCTGTCTGGATCATGCCCGTGCTCGTGTTCACGATCGCGGTCGTGATCATGAGTGTGTCGATGCCGTGACGAACGATGATGATGATGATGATGTTGGTGATGCGGAGTAGACCCAGCCGCCATCGGCCCAACAGACGCCCACCCCATAGGCATCCCCCGCGGGTCCGGAAACGGCGGCGGCCACTGCGCCTGCACCTGCGGCTGTCCCGGCGGCACAGGCAACGCACGGGGGCCCGCACCCGCACCATACGTACCCACCCCCGCAACCGGAAACAGCTTCTCCGCCAGCCCCGGCCCCGCCCTCGCCACCGGCCCCATCCCCCCCGGCGTACCCAACAAATCCAGCGCACTCGCCGCCGCTCCCCCTCCCGCTCCCCCTCCCGCGCCGCCCTGATACCACGACTTGGCCGGCTTAATCGCCTCTGGCGCCGTATGCCCGTGCTCGCGCGCATGCAGCAGCGCCACGCGCGCGTACGCGCTCTCCGCGGGGTAATAGTCCGCCGCGACCGTCGACGGCGTGACCCACGGATACGCGTTCACCCTCGCGATGAGCCCCTTGAGCGCGCCTGCGCGCTCGTGGAACGTCTTCGAGGGCGCGGCGGAGGGCGGCGGGTGGTCGTGCGGCATGGACGCGAAGTCGGGTGCGAGCGGGGGCTCGACGAGCACGGGCGACTCGAGCAGGGAGGGGTCGGTCGTGCTCAGCACGCGGCCCTGGCTGTCGCTGTGACTGTTGCTGTTGCTGCTGTCGACGTGGAGCAGGGGCCGCGGGCCCGGGCCAGGCGGGATGACGGGCGGCTCGTCGAGGTGCATGTCGAGATCCGGGTCGATCGCGTCGTCCGAGTCCGGGTCGACGTCTGCGACTTCGACTTCGAACTCGTCGTCTTCCACGTCCGAGTCCGGGTCGGACGCGACCTCGTGCACGGCAGACAGGGGCGAACGGTCGCCCCTGCTCCCGCTCCCGCCGTCGAGCACGGAGAGATGGCCACCAGGCGAGGGTGCACCGTAGACCGCGTCGCCGTTCGCGTACTGATACTGCTGCGCATACCCATTCTCGTGCTCGTGCTCGTGGCCACGACCATGCTCGTACGGCGACGCAGGCTCGATCTCCACCCGCACATCCGCGCCTCCATCCGTACCCATATCCATATCGACGTGCGACGCCATCGGCGACGGCACCATGCCGAGCTGCGGGTCCATCCTGTAGCGCGGGAGCTGCCCCTGCTGGCTCTGCTGCATCTGCATCGGCGAGGGCGTAATCGTCGTCGCGCTCTCGTTCAGATTGATCCGCTCCCTGAGCGCCGCCGCGCTCCCGCCTGCGCCGCCGCCGGGGTACGCCGCGCCCCTGCGGTCCTTCATGCGGCCCTTGGACATCACCTTGCGTATCCCCCTTACGAACCCGCCGACGAACCTGTTGCCCGTTCCCGCGCCCTTGTTCGTCGTCACCGACGCGAGCTTCTCGCTGTTGGCCGCCGCGCGGCTCGCCTGGCTCTGGTACCAGTTGTCGTACGCGGCGTCCGAGGGGATATTGGCGTCCGTGATAGTCATGAACTCGGTGTCGACCTCGCTCTCGCGCTCCGAGCGCACGTTGCCATTGCTGTTCCCGTCATACCCATACCCATACCCGCTCCCATACCCGCTCCCAGACCCCGCCTCTCCTCTACCTCTGCTTTCGCCCCGCCCGCTCCTTGTACCCCGCCCGTTATCCGTGTAGGCATCCCCGGTGCCGTTCGCAGGGCTCGGCCTGGCGTTCCCGGTGCCCATAACGGGCGTGAGCAGGCTCTGCATGGAGCGCATGCCCTGGCCGGACATGGACGGCGGCGGCCAGTGGTCGTGCGGCGTGATGGGCGCAGCGGTGTGCGCGGACGTGGGCTGTGAGATCCAGGTGACGTCCCGCGGGCGCTGCTTGGCGGCGTTGGCGAAGTAGCGCATGGTTGGGTTCCCGTTCCCATTCGCGTGCTGCGCAGGTGGTGCGTTCGTGGGCACCACGGGGTGGGGAGATGGGCTTGCATAGGGGTCGTAGGCGGAGTCGGAGTAGTCGCCTGGTGAAGGGGTGGGTGCGCCGCGGGCGTCGCCGTAGCCGTTGCTGTTGCCGTTGGGCACGACGCGCATTTTGCCTTGCATGTCCGAGAATGTGGAGCCATTGGTGTAGCTCATCGGTAATGTTCTACTGGCGAGCCTCGAGCGGTCCGATGATGGGTTGCGGGGAAGCAGATATGTGGAGAGGGCGACGTGGCTGGACCCTAGGGATGGCTGGGGACGTGGATCGAGTGTGTCAAGTACCGTGTTGTAGATTTAAAGGTGACAGGTAATGAGAGGACAGGGAAAGTTTAATGAGATGAAATGAAGCCGTCGGGTAGGCTGACGAGGACGGGCTGGCTTGTGCCTGCTGTCGAAAGAGGAAGTAGCACGATGCCACGAGGCGGCGGTGCGCCGGGGGGAAGGCGAAACACGCACAGCAACGTTTGGAGGTCCTGAAAGCACGGTGGCTGCAAGCTGGTATCCGGCTCTCCAGGAGTGGTGTTCGTGAAGCGTTTATGCCATGACGGACCGATATGATGGAAGACCGACAGGAAATGAAGGCAGCGATGGTTGACAAGCGCCTGTGCCGAGTCGTGACAAGGAGAATGCTGAAAAGGATCAATAACGAGCTGTCTCGACAAGGACGCGAGTGATAGGAGCAGCAGGACGAAAGAAAGCTGAAGACTGGCGTTGGCGATGAAGCGGACGATGGTGAGCAGAGGAAAGAAGATGTTCGGCAACACCCGGTCGACGTCCTGGACGACACATCATCGTGACAAACACACGGTAAACGTCGACATGAACCATCCATCTCAACTTTTGTCTCCTTGTGAGTTTTGTTGTCTCATGAACGCCCAGTCGCTTACTCCACGGGGCAACTGTGTATTTATACTCACAGGCACTCACCAAGTCGACTTCATCTGGGCAGCGGATAAGACTGAAGGTTTCCTTCGTTTGCTAAGTATATCTTTAACAAGTCACCTATGACTTTTCTGGAAGCCGACAGCTGCGGCCGAGTCCACGCTTCAGAATCCTCGGCCTATATTACACCCATCTCCATCTCGCACCTTTGACTTTCGCCCCCGGATCTGAAGGAACATGGCTGACCACAACACAGAGCGCATTTACCCTCCACTCGACCATTCTCTGCTCCTCTACGAAGTCGTAGACTTTCACATCGACAACAACCCCACCGTGCCAATCTATGTATACCCCGATGACCAGTCCCCCGATGGCGTCACTCATATCTCCTTCCTCGAGTTTGGCCGTGCAGTCCACCGCGCAGCTCATATCCTGCGCCCAGGGCGAGAGGGTCCAGAGGGCGAGGTCATTGCACTTATCGCCAACGTTGACACACTCCTCTATCAAGCGATTGTTGTTGGAATGATGAAGGCTGGCATCGTCGTGCGTCTATCTCTGTGTTTCCCTCCTCTGCATCCCTGACATGCCACACCCAGCCCTTCCCCATGTCTCCGCGCAACTCCGCCCCCGCTGTCATCGACATGATGAAGAAAACATCCTGCACCCGCATCCTCACTCTCTCCCACACGCACTCGGAGCTCCTACACGCCATCGACACCGAACGCGCCTCCCAATCTCTCCAACCCGCAACAACCACAGAAATCCCAACGCTCGCCCAGCTCTTCCCCCACCTAGGACACGAAACCTCCTCCCACCCCTTCACCCAGCACCCCGGCCCGTACCCACCCCCAAACGCCCGCCCGGACGTAGACACACCGGCGATGTACATGCACTCCTCCGGCTCAACCGGCTTCCCCAAGCCCATCGCACACACCTTCCGCATCCAGATCCAATGGCTCGCCCAGCGCCGCTTCTACACCCACTCCGGCGCGCGCCTCTACCCCGGCGAGCCCGACGCCGCCGTCTCAGCGCGGCGGAGGCTGGGCACGATGGCGCTCCCCGCGTTCCACAGCTTCGGGTACGCGTTCCAGGTGTACGCGCCGCTCGGCGGTATGGTCTCTGTCGGGCTGTTCGCGCCGACTAGTATGCAGGATCCAGGGAAGGCACCGGTCATTCCGACGTCGGATAGTCTCTTAGATGCGATCGTTCGGACGAGGAGCACCGTCGTGCTCACCGTGCCTGCGTTCGTCGAGCAGTGGGCCGAGTCGCGCGAGGCGGTGGATGCGCTCAAGCGCATGGAGTACGTGGTGCGTTACCCCTCCATCCCCTCCCCGTCTTCCTATCGTGGCACTAACACCCCGCAAGCTCTACGGCGGCGGCCCCCTCCCCACGAAAACAGGCGATAGCCTCAGCGCACAGGGCGTGCCCATCGCAAGCGAGCTCGGCGCGACCGAGTTCGGGTGCCCCGTCGCGCTCCCGGACAAGCAGGACCTCGCGGACGGCGACTGGGTCTGGATGCGCTTCTCGCCGCACGTCTCCATCCGCTGGGTGCCGCAGTCCCAGTCGGGGGAACGGGACGCGGGGTTCGAGTGTGTGTTTCTGGTGCGTGGTCGAGATTGCCGGGGTGTGCTTTTGAGTGTTTAGGGGATTGACGTGGGTGGGGGGCAGTCGAACGAGAAGATCACGCTCGCGGTTGAGAATCTCCCCGAGGAGCACGGCTACGCCACCTCGGACGTGTGGATAGAACATCCGACGAAGAAAGGCCTGTGGAAAGTGTAAGCCCCACCCCTCCCACCCCTTGTCTCCTCCCTCCCCACTTCTCACTCACACCACACAGCATCGGCCGCGTCGACGACGTCCTCACCCTCGCAACCGGCGAAAAAACCGTCCCGGGGCCAATGGAAGACGTCCTCGCCGCGCACCCGCGCATCGGCGGCGCGGTCATGTTCGGGCGCGCGCGCCACCAGGTCGGCGTGCTCGTCGAGCCGCGCGGGGCGTACGCGTTCGATGTGCGGGATGAGCGGGCGTTGGCGGGGTTTCGGAATGCGATCTGGTGAGTGCGCATCTCTGGACTGCGTGCGTTGTGCTGTCTCTTCGTCCTTCCTCTGAACCCACGTGCGCGGACACGGCTTGCGTCTGTTTTTTGGTGGTTTCTTTGGAACGCGTAGAAGTTGTGCTTCTGTTTTGTGTGTTGTGCTTACGCTTGTGCCAGGGACGCGGTTGAGACGGCGAATAAGAACGCGCCGGCGTTCAGCAGGATCTTCAAGGAGATGATCCTCGTCGCGAGCCCGGAAAAGCCGCTCCCGCGCGCACCGAAGGGAACCGTGCTCAAGAAACGTGCGCTGCAGGCGTACGAGGCCGAGATCGCTGCGCTGTAAGTCGCTCCCTCTTCCTGTTCTCCTTTGTATCTTTGTATCTTCTTTCCCTTCCCCCTCACCTTATTTCCGTCGAGCTTCTCTCCAAGCGGCCCTCTGGCGGATTTCAGACCGACGTACTTACTTGTTACACCCCCAGATACGAAGAAGTCGAGCGCAGCACGCACAGCGCGATCGGCGTGCCAGACCAATGGACGCAGGAGACCCTCGAAGACTGGCTCGGCAAGCAAGCAGCGCTCGTCAGCGCGCGCACGGTCGGCCGCGACGCCGACTTCTTCGCACAGGGATTCGACAGGTTCGTTCTCCCTTCTCACCGCTCCTCCCTCGCCTCTTCGCTCTTTTCTGACGTGAAAGACCTTAAACTGAAATGGGCGCAGCTTGACAGCGACGTACCTCCGCAACCGCATCATCGGCGCGCTGCGCACAGACACGGACGCGAACGTGCGCACGCGCGCGGCGCAAAGTGTCCCGCAGAACATCGTCTTCCAGAACCCAACGATTCGCCAGCTCGCGGGCGCCGTCGTGCGCATCGCTGCCTCCGCTGCCCCCAACTCAGCTGCAGTTACTTCTGCGAGCGGCGATCTACCCGCCCTTGTGGAGAAAGAGCTGGAGGAAGAAAAGACACGTCGTGTAAAGGCCATCGAAGCGATGATCGAGAAATACACCCAGGACCTAACCGGCCCGGCTGCTGGCGCTGCCCGCGACGTGATACCGCTCAGCGGGCAGAATAAGGCAACGGTTCTGCTCACGGGTTCGACGGGCGGGCTGGGCTCGCATCTCCTCGCGCATCTACTCGTGGATGAGCGCGTCGAGCGCGTGTACGCGTTCAATCGGCCGGCTGCCTCCGCTGGGGCGGGGAAGACGAGTCTGGAGCGCCAGACGGCGGCGTTCTTGGACAAGGACCTCGCTGCTGCGCTGCTCGCGTCGGAGAAACTCAAGTTCGTGGAGGGTGTGTTGGCGGAAGAGAAGCTGGGTTTGGGCGAGAGCGTGTATGACGAGGTGAGTCGAGCGCTGGTGCCTCGTCCCGTCCTGTACTCACTCGGAATAGCTCCGGAATTCGGTGACGCATATCATCCACGCGGCCTGGAGACTTGACTTCAACCTCGCCTTATCGTCTTTCGAGCCGCACGTCCGCGGCACGCGGAACCTCGTCGACCTCGCGCTCGCCGCGTCTTCCTCGTCTTCATCCTCGGCTCCAGCCCGCGTGCTGTTCACGTCCTCGATCGGGTCGACCAAGTCCTGGGATAAATCCAAGGGCGCGTATCCGGAGGAGGTGCTCCTTGATGCTGCGACGGCGGTGGGGAACGGGTATGGGGAGAGCAAATATGTTGCTGAGCGGGTAAGCTTTCATTGCTTTTATTTTACGATTATTATACTACACTGGGACTTTCACCGTTCGCGCAGGTACTGAGCAAGAGCGGTCTCACTACGACTTCGGTCCGCATCGGCCAGATTGCGGGCGGGCCCAACGGCGCATGGGCAACGTCCGACTGGGTACCCATATTAATCAAGTCGGGGATCGCACTCGGTGCGCTGCCCGATGCGCTTGGTGTACGTCCCGCCAACCATGCTCCATTTCTAACACCTGTCACGACGAATACCAACATATTGATCTCCTGCTCCAACACAGGTCGTCTCGTGGCTCCCAACACGCACCGTCGCAGCCGCCCTGATCGACGCCGCCTTCGCGCCCGTCGCGCACCCCGCGCTCAACCTCGTGCACCCGCGCCCGGCGCCGTGGCAGACCGTCTTCGGGCACATGCGCACCGCGCTCGCGACCAAGGCCAAGCGGAGCGTGCCCGAGCTGCAGCTGCCGTTCGTGCCTTTCAGCGAGTGGCATGCGCTCCTGGCGCGGAGAGCCGCTGCGTGTGAGGGCACGGGGGATCTTGATGCGATCGTGCGTCGCAGGTCTTGAGCTTCATTCTGCGTGTGATCTGATTGTTTTTCTTGTTTGTGAAATGTAGCCTGCGATCAAGCTCCAAGGATACTTCGCCGCACTCGCCAAGGCCGACGAAGATCTCCGTGCTGCGAGCAACGACGGCGTCCGTGCCGACTCGGGCGTCGGCGAAGCGGGCGGATCTGCCACGCTTTCGACGGAGAAGTTCCAGAGCGTCAGCGAGGCGCTCAGAGGTGTCGAGCCGCTGGGTAGGGAGGATGCGGAGGCATGGGTCGGTTATTGGGCTTCTAAGGGGTATATCTGATCGTGAGCGAACGATGGTGCGTTTTCTGTCTGAGCTACGATGTGTTTGTCGCTAGCTGACGAGTGATTGGTACGGCAGGTTATTCTGACCCCATGTGGATGTACTGTGTAGAAGTGTAACGCATGACAATTACCTTTTGACCTGGACCTGTTCGTTGATGCTTGTCTCGCCTCTTCCCTTTTCCGTTGGAATCCAGCTGTCGGACTATCCGTCTCACCATACCAGAGTTACGTTGCAGGGTAACGATATGTTTCTTTAGTGAACTGAGCTCTAGTCCTGCCGACTTACACCTGTGGTGGAATATCTGATTGCAGCTCTGGTTCATCTGCAACTCGCATAAGTTTCCCCACATAGGCGCGCTTCCAGCCAATGGTCCATGATCAGCAGAGCATGCTAGTTCGCGAAGAAACAGATGTTTTACATTGCGTTCACCGTCACACTGTCAACAAGTTGACGCAAATGCAAAGCGTAAAAGTGCGAATGGAAAGATCACAAAACTATGGATTGGAATTAAATGCAATAATGCTGAGAAGCGTCCAGAATAAGCGCTGAGTGAGGTATCAGTGCAAGGGGATAGTTGGCGATATTGTAGAAGCAGGACGAGAGATGTGATGTTGATATGCATATCGAGAGTTCCAACGCGAGACTCCAATATGTGATGCATAAGCAGGGTAGTGCGGTATGGAAAGATGTGATCCGCGAAAGGCATGATCAAACAGAAAAGAGAAAAACATAGCGCGGAAAGGTCCAAAGAAGGGGAATAAAGATACGTGTAAATATAAGTGTAAACATCCTCCCCACCTCCCCACCTCCAAATCCAGCAACAGTCCAGCCAGCACCCTTATTATCAAACATCAGAACGCGATATCAATACTCGCAATCCCCGAGCTCGGCACGTCCCCACTGACGACGCGGTGAATCTCGGGGATCGACGCGCCCTTCTCATGCCGCAGGTGCGCCTTCTTGCCTTGCTCCTGCCCCGCCGGCACCTTCTGCGGCGAATGCGGATTATGCATCTCCGCCGCCCCCGCAGGGTTCGCCGTCTCCCAAGGCGAATGCGGGTTCCTCAGCGCCGACGGCCCATGACCAAACCCAGAACCAGCGGGCGCGACCGTGGCCGCGCTCCCCCCAGCTCCACCAGGCGAATGCGGATTATGCAACGGCCCGTTCCCCACCCCCACCCCCACCCCTGAGCCAGAGCCAGAACCAGAACCAGAACCAGAGCCCGGGATCTGCAGCTGCGAAATATGCAGCCTCTCCAGCGCCCCAAGCCCCGCCGGCGTATTCCTCCAATCCCTCGTCGGCCCGCGCCCTCTCGCCCCCGCCCCCGCACCCACGCGCGCACCCGGTATCATCGTGCTCGGCAGCCCCGGCAGCGGCGGCACGTCCGGATGCGACTGCGCGCTGCTCGATGCACTCCCCGAGTTGCTCCCCGAGCCCGAGCCCGAGTTGGAGTTGGAGTTCGAGTTGGAGTTGGAGCTGATACTCGACCCGTTCTTATGCGACGGCCCGCTCGACCGCGCCGCGAGCGACGGATACCGCTCCGTCGACGCCGAGAACGAGCTCGAGCTCGCGAGCACCGACCCGTCCGTCGTCGTCGCGAGACTCGCGAGGCTCGCGCGCGAGGACATGGACTGGTCATTCACCGGGCGCTGCCGCGCGCCGAAATTCGTGGAGGTGAGCAAGGGCATGGGCTCGTTGCTGCCTTCTCTTCCGTGCGCCTCTACCGAGAGAGGAGGCAAAGGTGGAAGAGGGGGTGATGACAGCCCTACGGTGGATGCGGAGACATAGGACGCGCGGGGCGTAGCGTGAGACAGCGCAGCAGACATCGAGCTCGTCGAGGGGTGATATTCGCTCCCTGCCAGTGTGTACACCACTGACTGTGGGCGAGCCTCGTTTTGTGCCGGCGTGGGTATCGCACTGCCAGATCCAGGAGTGGACCCGAACCCGGACGCAAGCCCGGATACCGACGCGAAGCTCCCGTTCGTCACCATCGGGCTTTCAGGAACAGTCGGAAGCATGTCCGCAGGGCGAGCCGGACGTCTTCTGGATGACTTGGCTCTTGCAGCTCCCGTGATAGTCTGTGACTGCGGATATGGCTGTGCCCCAGCACCAACAAGAGTCCCGTCTTCGCCCACAGCACCAGCATTCGCAGAAGCAGGAGGTGCAGGGGACGCAGACATCAGAGTGGGCGCGGGCGAAGCCGACGTCGGAAGCGGCGGCGTCGGCACCGGACTATAGGAACCACCACCGCCGTGCAAATCCGCATACATCAGCTCGTCAAGCGACCCGCCCTTGGCCGTTCCTGCCAACGATCCCGCCCGGCTAGTATAGCTCGGCTGGGACCACACACTCGCTGGACTCGCATCAGCCATCCGGAGCGCCTCCTGCTCCCTCGCCAGCGCTTGCTGCTCGTCCCACATCGCGCGGCGCTCCGCGTCGGCGAGGAGCCGCGCGAACTCGGCTTCGCTCGCGACTGTGACGTTCGTGGATGCTGAGGGCGAGTGCGTGTGCAGCGTCGTTGCGTTCGACGGCGCGCGTGCGGGGCCGCCGGCCGCTGCACGGGCGCGGATGAGCTGGGAGATAGCGGAGGTATGGTTTGAGGATGGCGTTTGAGGGGACGGTGTGGCTGAGAGGCTGCGCCCATGGGTGTGTGTTTGATTTTGAGTGGGTGGGTGGCTGAGGAATTCGTAGGACACGGGTGGGCGCTGTAGATGCACCAAAGGTCATCATCAATATGCACTGTATAAGGAGAGTAGACCCGACGAGCCTTCGAGTTTGAGTTAACCTCAGACGGAGCCTGCAGTTGGGGTGTTCGCGAGAGCGGCGACGCCGCCAGCGTGCGCGACACAAACGGCTGTGTTGGTGTCGTCGAGCCAGACGACCCGCGCCTTGAATGGGAGGTGGGCTCTGTGCCCGCACCCTTGATCCGCGCATACGGATCGTACTCCTCCCTACCGTCCCCGAACCCATCTCCACCCAGGTGCAAACGTGGCAGGTTCGGCGGTGACGGGTTTGTCCCGGCGCCTGGCGGCAGGCTAGCGTGCTTCTGCTGCGCATGGGGCGATGAAACGGGCGCATATACTCCACCTTCGAGCGCCACTGGATCTGAAGCATCTCTGGAGTGAAAGCTGGCGTCGCGATCAAGAGTTGCGCCGCGGGTCCACTGGCTCTCACCGTCGAGGAGAGGCTCATGCGAAGTGGATGGTCTCGTACTGTGCCGTGCATACCGAGCTGGAGGCGAGTTCATCGACACCAATCTCGACCTCGACCTCGACCTTGGGCTCTCTCCCTCCCTCTCCCCTGTTCTACTCCGTTGCCGGTCTTGTAATGGCTGCTCGTTGCCCGAAGACAAGCGGCGGTGCCCCCTGCTGAGCTTTGTGAAGTCACCACGATCCCCGCCTGATTTGCGACGCCTCCGACGCATGACAACGACGACGATGGTGGTAATGGTAGCGACGCCGACAACAACAGAAGCGACGACGATGCCAATAAGTGCACCTTGAGAGAGACCACCGGATGATGATGATGAGATATCATTTGTGGTCGATGACGGGGTCGGAGTTGTAGCCGAAGTCGGAGCAATGGTGATAGATGGCCAAGATACTACTGTCGAGGCCATGGCAGTGATCTATGAACGGAATAATGAGAATGAAGGCGTGAATGTTGCAAACGGGGCCTAGGGTAGGCAACGAAGGCAAGGGTGGGGAGATGTAAGGAAGGAGAAAGAGAAAGAGAGGCTGCAAGAAACGCCCGAGCGGACTCCTATAGGTGGTAGGAGGCGTGGCGCCGGGCCAGCCGAGAGCACAGGTTGGAGGGATGGCGGCGAACATGTTACTCACAAAGGGGATCGAGAGGCCGGTGCCAGTCTTCTTCGCGCTATCTGCAGTGCTGTGCTGTGTTCGTGGCTGCGGCGCGTATTGCCCGCCCTGCACTGACATTTGAACAACCCACCCTCGCGTTCCCAAGCGACATCCTTTGGCGAGAAAATTGGCGATGGTCGATGCGCATATACTCCACCTCGCGCGAAGATCAAGTCAAGCCAAGAAAACAAATCCAGAGTCCAAGGGCAAAAGCCCCGTGGGAATAATAGCACGGTAATGTAAACTCCGACCATGCTAAGGCTCATGACGTCAGTCCTACCATCCAACATCATCAGAAAACCACGCCATGTTATTTCTGTGATAAGAGATTCCAGTCAGAAAGAAACATAGCTCCTAGCATTTCTGCCTAGTGACTGCTTGCATTGCCAAAAAGCCAAGATAAAGAGGCTGTGTTCGGAGGTAACGCGAGCGCTTGATCATCAAGCGCTCATTTATACCGAACGCGCTCTCATTGTCACTGTGATCAAGCGTTCGAGCTGAACGCTGTGTACTGGGCGTCGACCTGAGATAACTGCGCGCTATGCTGTTGCAAACATAAGACCAGCCCGGTGATAGGTGCATCGTTACTTCATTCCCGTTTGAGACTCGCTTTCGCCTATGTTAAATCTTGTTTTACGTACTTACATGGTTGGCAGCGCGCTGGCCATCAGCCCGTGTGGCGCGCAAAAGACCCGCCAAGTTTCAGTGCTGCGTTTCTGCCGTAAAGTTTCTCGCTAGCAGTTATCACTAGAAACGGAAAGGAGGGTTCGCACGCGCTCCCACCAGCTCGCCCACCTCAACACCTCCGGGTCTCATTCTCTGCCCTAGTAAGCACGCCCTGCAACAACATGCCGATCCAGAAACGCGTCGATTTGCTCTCTCCTCGTCAAATTGAAGAGCCTGAGGTGTTGATGGAAATGATGGAGTTGTTTCACAAGTTGCAAGTACGCACAACCACTTTGCTGGACGGCACCGCTACCTGACCTTCATCGCCGTTTCAGCAACTTTTTCAAAAACTTGATGAGCTCTGCGCGAACTTCGTAACCAAAGCCGAACTTCACGACATCGAGCAACTTGTGCACCATAACCGGGAACTATACGAGTCACGCATCAAATCGCTGACACAGAAGAATGCTTACTTGGAGCAGCGGATTGCCCTTCTAGAGCAAGGGCCCGGGAACGCTCTGGAAGGCAGGGATGTGTCTCTCGCGCAGCCAGCGGGAAGACGTATCGAGGCCACAGGATCAAACGAGCACCAGCAACACCAGCAACATCTTATGCTCGAAGAGCAAGTAGCTCGTCTCTCTCGGGAGAACGAACGCATGTCCGAGGAGCTCGCTCAGCAGTTCGTGAGCCACAGCGTTGAAGTGACCAGACTCCAAGTGGAGAATGCGCACCTCGCTCGGGTCACGGACGAGGCTCAAATGGAGAAAGATATCACCAAAGACAGACATAGGCAGGAGGTTGGAAGGGTGCTCTTGTCGACCAAGGGGACGGCCGTCCGACTTGCGGAGGACCTCAAATCAAAGAATGACGAGCTCAGGGTGTTTATAGAAGGCCGAGGCCCGTAGGGAGAGTGACATAACTAGTAGGAGCGGGTGCCATAGCCAGAAAATAAAGCGAAGAACTTGTTATCAGACTGTTCCAAAAAAAACCCGATTTGACCAAAGCCATGGATGGGGGACGCGATCGCAGCGTTACCTGAACTCGAACTATTAACATGTTTTGTAACACCTACTGCTATATTTTATATGCGGAACAGACTCTACTTGGACTCGACGGAGCGGAATTTGTAAGTTTGACGTTGACCATGTCGATTTGCACGTTCTCCTCACAATTCCTGCATTACCGCCACCCGAGATAAAGAGAGTGTGTTTGGGTGTAACATGAGCGCCCATGAGCACCAAACAAGTTCTACACATGCAGATATGAATCTGCCATGGAAATTGATGATATCCTTCGCTTTGGTTAGTAGGCTAGACCGGAGGCTCATATACCCATCCCTCGTACTATCAAACTCGAGAATGAATCGTACATAATTTCGATCATCCATTTGACACCAACTTTAATGTAACCTTTTTGACAAAGTCGCGTGGTCGCATTCTTGTCAACTGTGCGCCTGTTGAGTGCGTTCCAAGGAATCCAAAGTAAGTGCAGGCATCATGTTTGACGTGGTAGCTGGTGTCACAACAAAATAGATAGACTAGGATGATGGTGTTCTTCAGCTCATTGAAACTCTGCTATGACCACATGAAAGACGCAATCACAGTGATACAGCCGAAATTGAGCAGCACGAGTGATGCAGCGTGCCAGCCGTCGGTCGATCCGGTGCGCCAGACTTCGACATCGCACATTTTCAGCAAATACTCGAGTTCCTATAGGTGGATGCGAAGACTTGAGGAACCTACCTGAGGACATGGGACTTATTAGTAGTAAATTTGATAGACAAACATATCATAAATCATCAGGGGTCCAATTCCATTCCTCGTCAGGTGCGTGTTCTGTGTCGTTGTCCGCACTATACTGTAGCAAATCGACCATAAGTTCCCGGTGGCGTGAGAGACCTGAGTTTAAACCCGCCTTCCTAAACGGTATGTCCCGCAATTTAGTTCCCGATGGTCGGTAATGGTGGGACAAGGTTCCCGGGCCGGGACAAATCCGGGCCGTGTCCCATGTTCCTGGCTATTCAGTAAGATACGCACGATTCCGCGAGGGCGGCTCGAAAGCTAAACACCTTTAATTTCGGCAACCTCGGCGACGCATCATGTCGTTCACTGCTCCCAACTGCTCCCTATCGCTTTCCTATCTCCATGCAAAGGTATGTTTCCCTCGGACTATGTATGTTGCATCCTTTCGTTTGTTACTGATTTTCTATTTCTTTACAGCGGCGGTCGGCCTTGCAGCAATCTCGCTGCAAGCCTCACGTCCCCCTCACCTCTCTTC